TCAAAACCCACAAATCTGATCAAAAGATCCAAAACACAAAGGGATATGAATAAACACTGTTCCATTGGACTGTCTATACCAGAAAAATAAATGACAGGATTTATAATGCTGAATAATATTGCATGAGTTCCAAGTCAGAGTGGTTAGTGTACAATATGTCAAGGGCATTGTGACATGGAAATGCTTGTTCATATAGTCCATTAGGGACAAGTTTCTTTCTCAACCTAAGGTATAAATTTAGTAAAGGCAGTGGGGGTGGACATTTAAGTAGTTTGCCTTTATCATTTTTTAAAAAGTGTAATTTACTACAAATAGCAAGCTACCTTGTTTGTTGGGGGAACAAATGTGAGTTGGGAGGAAGTAGTTAGTAAAGCCCCCATATACTTGTAAGTTTAATAAACTTGATATTTGTAAAACAGGGATCATAGGATAAATGCTTCCTTTTCTCCATTATTTCTTTGGCCAAAGGAAATCCTTGGCCAAAGTGTCACAATATTTTAATTATCTATCATTGTAAGAAGTTTGAGCAGCAGTGCATCTGGTAGCATCCAGGATTATAATTCAAAATAGATGCTTCCAGGTGTCACATGTCTGGGTGAGCTCAGCAAGCCTAGTAAATTTTTAAGTCCTTGCAGTTTATGGTTTTCCATTCATAGTCCAGTGTGTATCTCAGGGACTTCACCTTTGTTAGGAGGGATTCTGTTGAGTCCAATTGCCAGCAAATCAACACTGTTACATGAATGAATATATATGTATATATGTATTATATATACATACTTATATAAATAATATTTTATGCTTATATCACTACTTCCCTTCAAATTAATTTAGTATATCTATAACCCCAAATAAAACAAAACCTAAATTCTAAATATAGCAGAACCAAGAATGTCATTTGTAAATCATATTCATTTTTTAGGAATTTATTTCCAGGATAAAATGATGAAAGAAAAATATTTTCAAAAATTAAAAGAAAATTTTTTTATCATATTGTTATTCTAACAGGAAAGAAACCCCAAGAACTAAATATTTGCATAATGTACTAGTTACTATTTGAGATACAAATTTATACATTTTACCTGTTTATTTTATAAAATTTATATTAGTGAGTGGTCAAAATTAATTGACACAAACAAAAGCAATCATTACACAAAATGCTACCAGCCCTTAAAATCTGATTACTTATTAAAGAGAAAGTTTTCAGCTACAGAACTGTAAACTGGCTAAGGCTGAATTTCAGTTTGATCAGAAGCCCGTCCCTTAAATAGCAGGCGATGGCCTCACTGATCTTTTTCTGAATCTCCTTCCTGGGTCTCGGCCTCTCTCCATAGCCATCCCCTTGCATGACGCATACAGTCCAGAGACAACTGAAATACCAAGTCATAACAAAGGCCATTAGCCTTTCCATCCAGCTGCACATGCCCAGTAGATGAACAAGAAAACAAACCAACAAACAACTCTTTGGAGTCCATGGCCGACAATCTCCTAACACCAATCAGCTTCACTGAATGATGCAAAGACAATTCTGGATTAAAGCTTCCGGCATCTACACTATAACCCCACGTAACCTGAAAGCTATGCACCATGGAAGAAACTCAAGGAGATGCCTGCCTCGTGACATCGCAGTTGCAGTCTGGGAGGTCTGCATCCACACTGGCGTCCTCTGCCATCCTCAGGGCACGCAAGTCCTCCACCACCACCATGAAGCTTCCACTTGCAGAAGTTGGGGTCTGCAGAGTAGAAGACTAAACCCTGAGTGGGGATGAAAGTTTCCCTTCTCTGTGTAGAGAAGTTTGGAAATGCTCACACCAGACAAATGGTGGTAGTCTCTGCCTGATAACATGACACTGAGCGGTGACAAGTGGTCATGTTTCTAAATAAAACCTACATTCACTAGCATGTGCCAGGCTTGATCTTCTGGAATGTAGGCCACGAGGGTAAGAAGGGGAACAAGCTCAGTGTAATCTGCAGGGAAGAGGCGGCTACAGGTCTAAAGAAAGGATATCAAAAATAATGTCAGCTGCAGAGGCTCCACCCTTCTGGAAGGACAGGCAGCTTTCCTTGTGGGCTGTTTGTGACACTGGAAAGCCTACTTGAAAAAGACAAACCACTCCTGTGCAAACTAACCAGACAAACCTCCACAAGAACAGCAAATTGTAGTAGCAAAATGGAGCCACTTCTCCTTTTCTTCAATTCAATCAGCCTGGCCGTGGTGTAAGTAGGACTGTCACAAGTTGTTTGGGAAGGGGGGAGGGAAAAGATAGGCTGTGGGAAAGGACTTAGTCTGTACCTTTAGACAGACTATTTCAACATGAACAATAATCAAGAAATATTAGTCTCCCCTTTATATATTCAAAACCTTCTTCTTGTTAAAAATAATGATGTAAGTAATCCTAGTGTATGGGAGGCTGAGGCAGGAAGACCATGAGTTCAAGGACTGCCCGGGCTATGTCACGAGACCTCTGTCTCAAAAAAAGAAAAAAGAAGCAAAGAGAGAAGAGAAGAGGAAATAAAGAAAAAAATAAGAAAGCAAAAAAGAAAGAAAGAAAGAAAGAAAGAAAGAGAAAGAGAGAAAGAAAGAAGGAAAGGAGGAAAGAAAGAAAGGGCAAAGAAAAAATCTAAGTGACAAATATAGCATGCTTATTTTAAGATAATTTTTAAGTCTATTCATTTGCTTGGTGAGTTTCAGTTAATTTTTTGTATGTGTGAATTTTAAGAGTTTCCAAATTTTCTCACTAAGCATATAAGAAATATAAAAAATAAGCAAAGACATACACCAAGTTATGTTCTGCTTCAATGAATCAGTGTGGCCAAAAGTTGAAAGAAGGGAGGGTCCCGGATGAGACCGAACCACTGAATGTAGTATTTCAGCTGGCAGTTCATAGTTGTAGACAGGTGTGGGAGAGTTTGTGCAGCTTCTGTTTAAGTAAACAAGGAAAGGGAAAGCAAATGTGGTGGCAAGTGTCTCGGGAGAAGCCAAAAGAGGTGTTAAATACCAAGGCAAATTAATGATCAATATGTTATCTGATCTGAAGGAGGTAATCCTGAAGGATTGTATGGACATGTAAGTCACTTCGTGGATCAGAATCTGCCAAAAAATCCAGAGGGTATTTACTAAGTGGGAGGTTTTGCTAGAAAAAGATATTTATAGCATAAGAGGCTTCAATTTCTCCCTCTGAAATTCGAATTTTTTTTATCATTTTAGGGACTGAGATGTGAAGCTGAACACAGCTTTGGGATTCTAAACCTTCGCCATATCTGAACTGTTGAATAATTTCAGCTGAGAGGCACGTTTTCATCTCTTTATGTACCAGAGTGCTGAGCTCCCTGGTTTATTCAATTGCTTTGCCAGTCTGTATTCCCACATGGCTCCTTGGGGAAAGGGCCTCTGTCACTACATTCTCAGAGCCCAGCAGTTGCTGCTGGGTTGTGAGTCCTTTACAGAAGGACAGGGAAATTAGATTGTTCAAATCATTCACAGAGCCTAACTTTCGTTGAACTGCATTCTCTCTAACCAGGAAAAGGAAGCCACAGATTTGCCAGGCAGGAGAACACGGTTTTCCACACCATAGGTATCAGAGTCATAAACCACAAGCTCTGCCACGGACCATGTGTGTGACCATGAACAAGCTTAAGCCTCCACCTCTACACTGGCGAAATGGGTGCAGTGATAATGCCCACTTCAGAGGGCACTATGGATGTGTGAGAGGATGTATGTGAAGCCTGCAGCGTGGCCCTTGGCACAAAGGAAAGATGCAAGAAAGGCTGGTACAATATTGTTGCTAAACCTTTTAAAAACTGAGAAACATTCATCCCACTTTTGTTTCTTTGTCATTAAAAGAAATTATATCATCTTGAGTTAGGCACTCTTTGATGACTTCCTTGTAGAAGAAAATAGTGTTTTCAAATTTGGCATAAAAAATTGCAGTGCCATATGTATAAAGGGCACTATTTTATGTGTGCAGCATGGCTAAAGAAAGCAATCCAGATTTAGAAAGCATATTGTGGGATGGCCCCCAAATGGCTGCAAATCAGGAGCACTGGAAACATTCCAACTCTCTTAACTGCCATGATGATGAATATCTACATGAATAGTAGAGAATTCATTCATTCCTAGAAATATTTATTGACCCCATATTGTATTTAGTAATTGTTTTCCAGTGCTGGAGATTGAACCTGGGGCCTTGAACATGCTAGATAAGCAGCCTACTACTGAGTCACACTGCCAGCCCAGGCACTTGTGCCTGGGTAACAGCGAATAGCATGGATGAGGCCACCCAATCTCATGGAACCTACATTCCAACATGAAGCAAAGTTCACCTACAAGCAAGCATCTACTTAGTCATTCCCTCCATTAATACAGCAAATAAAAGTGCATCATTCCATCCTACTAGAATCTGTATTGCTCATAGAACCTCATATAGTTTTTATCTTGACTGTCATCCCTTTTATTCACACTGCCTTCTGCAATGGAGACTGACTGTAATCTGCCTGTCAGATAAGATGCAATTCTATAGTTACTATTAAGGCAAAGCACAAAATCATAATAATGAAGCTGCCATTTTTTATAACTAAGTAGAGTGGCAATTATTAGCTTTACTCTCACACCTGCTAACCAAAAGTATAACAGGATGTGATGCCACTTTTTTTTTTTCATTTACTGCTTGCTATGGCAGACAAGCATTTTCTCCTTCTTCCCCATGGGGGTTCCACGTCCATGAAGCCCTGAAAGAAAGAGCTTCCTCTTGAGAACAGGTATTGTTTGGATATGACTCTCTCTTGGCAACATGCAAGCACCACTAGATTTACAAACGAGGAAGAATTTTAAAGTTAATGAAAGTGCCCTGTATGAGAACAGCATGAACATTCTTCAAAATGGTGGTATAACATAGGAAGGAAGGGAGCAATTGGTTGCATTACTTTTAGCTAAAATCAAAGGGGGCTGAAAAGGGTTTAAAGTTCTGCGTGCAAGTGTCCTATTGAGCAGGGTTTCTTTTCACCTGGCTGCGATGAGATCCAGGAGATGCTGCCAGCGGTCGTTGACCTTTCCCAGCTTGTACTCAATCTCAGATGCTTTACTTTCATGGCTGGCTTTGGCAAGTCGTTCTCCCATTTGCTGGAGCTGTATTTTGTTCTCTTGGGCAACAGTAATTTCCTCTTGGTAATCCTGAATAATAAATAGCAATCACAGAGGTCAGAAAGCATATTCTTAATGCATTCATTCAACTTCTCTAGAAATATGGTAATTATAGTTTTCTATTAGGTGGAAGTAGTTTGGGCATAAGAAACAGCATGTGAACATCAGTCTATGTGCAGAAGAATTAGCAGTATGTATCTATTATTTTCAGTATGTATGCATTTCTTCTGGATTAAATTTTTAAAAATTGACTGATTGATTGATTGTGATTCTGGGGATTGAACCCATGACCTTTGCACTGAGCTCCATTCCCAGCCTCCCCTCTCAACGTTTAATTTTGAGAGTCTTTTAAAGTTACTAACTTGCCCAGGCTGGGGTCAAACTTCAGTCCTCCCATCTCACCCTCCCAGAGTGATGGGAGTACAGGTGTGCACCACCACACCAAGCGTGGATTAATTTTTTATATAGATATTCTTGAAGGGACGAGGAGGTGCCTTCTATGTACTTAACATGGGCATTAAAAATAATACAAATGCATGGATACAAAAGACAAAACTTGAAGGATTTAATAGTGGGAAATTATACTTTATTGCTCATCACTAACATGATGATATATTTAGAATCAATCCTCATAGAAATAGTTGACAAAAGGCTTATGATATAACCACGTCTATTTCTTTTCAGAATTAATAAAACCACAATTAATCCATTTAATAGAAATGAACTGAATCCTGAGTTCTTTTTAATTTTTTATTACTACATGTTTGCAATACATAATGTCTACATTCTTTGTGAGGATTTGGTACATAACACATCTGAATTCCTTTTTTCATCGCCTTTTCTTCCCCTCCTTCGTCTTTTGATCCCCTCCCCATTTGAGAATCTCCCTATTTCCTATCACGTATCTTTTATTTTGCTTTTTTAAAATAATTTAAGTTTCTCATATAAGAGAAACTATGCAATATGTAAGCTTGTGTGTCTGATTTATTACACTTAACATTATGGTCTCAAGTTGCATCCATTTTCCTACAAATAAGTTTATCTTTATGGTAGAGTAGCACTCCACTGTGTATACATACCACATTTTCTTTATCCATTCATCTGTTGATGGACCTATGGGCTGCTTCTATGATTTAGCTAATATGAACTGTGCCACTGTAAACATGGGTATGCATGTGTCAGTGTTATATGATGTTTTTAACTCTGTTGGAAAGATACCTAGAAGGGGAATAGCTTTGACCCAGATATCCCCTTTCTAGAAGTTCTGAGTTCTTATAAAAAGTTGGGCACTGCTGTAGGTATAGGGAGCTGGCAATGAACAAAAGAAAGTCCAGGCTCCAAGGAGAGTTTGCTGCCCCATGGGCTTCCCTTCTACGTAGATGACAAGGAACTAAATATGAAACGCACATGGTACATCAGATAGTGGTATGTACTAACCAGAAACAAGCTGAAATAATACCAAAATGATTATTTGCTCCAAAATAACACAGAAACTTTACCAAAAGTATCTAAACATTTCAAAGGGTTACTCAATTTGACCAGTCCTATATAGACATGAAAAATATCTGAATCCAAATGAATATATAAACTTTTAAATACATATTTAACTCAAAAATAACAAGAAGTCAAAATTCTCAGAAAAGTCTTCATTACTACTGATGGACTGTGGACCGCGTTTTAAACTGAAAATTTCAGTTTAATTTACCCCAAGAATATTTTCCTTTTAGCTCCTCTCTAGTGATGTTTTTTGTCTCTTTAAAAACCAAAACAGAAAAATAAAATAAGAGAAAACTAATGCCCATAAATGATTCCTGTTGCAAAGATAGCAGATAATCTATTTCATCACAAATTTAAAGTATTCTATATATTTTGTATATAAAGTAGGCCTTCTTATGTGAGTCTATTTCATATTAGAGAGAGGAAAATATAGTGTTATAAAAATAAAATAAACAATAAAAATAATAATAAATAAATAATAAAAATATAGTGTTCCCTTGACAAGAAAGTAATTGTAAAGCCACCTTCTGCACCTGTTGAAAAGGCAGCCAGGCACACCCACCTTCTTGAGCTTCTCTATCATTTCCTCAATGAGAATGTCTCCATTCTGAGAAACTTTGCTTTCCATCTGAGTCAACCACTCACAGAGCTCCTTGTTCTTCTCACTGAAGACTGCCCATTCATTCAGTCTTTCGCCTACTTGCTGCTGCCTTAAGGAGACCTGGAAGGTTTAAAGTGGGAGAATATGCAAAAGGATAATGAGAGAGAACCTTACACTCCCAGTATAATAGCTCTGACCATTGCTGGGTGGACTCAAATGAGCAAGGGCTGTGCAGCCCGTTAGGCCACTGCTGCTTGAAATACAGAACTTGCTATCAATTGCAAGTGGGAGATGTTGAACCCTTGTTTATTTTCTGAAGATCCACATACACATCTGTTTGTTGAAGGTTCTGAAAAACCCAACTCCACAAAACAATTGGTTCAGCTTAGATCTGATACATGATTGGTGATATACTGGGACTAAAACAGAGGGAAGAAACTGAGAAGACTAGGAAAAGAATGAGGAACAGAAAGAGAGAAAAAAGGAGAAAGAAGGAAAGAAAAAAGAAGAAATGGAAAAATAAAATAAAAACATAAATAGGGAAGAGGGAGGAAAGAAGGGAGAATTAATTAAGCCTCAGGTATCTAGAGCAGCAGGAGAGCAGCCTGAAGTGGATGCTCCCATTCCTGATTCAGTCTCTCCAGATGAGCTTACTTTGGAAAAGTTCCTTTATTTTGCTACTCTTCATTTAAAAAAATTTATTTAATTTTGTTTCTTTTCCTTCTTTTTTGGCATAGCTTTATTGACACAGAATTCCCATACCAGACAGTTCTGCTTAAAGCATGCATATCAGTGGTTTTTAGAAAATTAACCAAGGTGCACAACCATCACCAGCATCAATTTCAGAACATTTTTACACCCTCCCTACCCCAGAAAATAACCTTGTAGCCTTCACCAGTCACTCTTTTTTTTTTTTTGTATTAAACTCTTTTATTGGTACATTGTAGGTATACAACACAATTACATTTCTCATTGGGAACTGTACCTTTACATAATGCATCTTGGTTCTTATTTTTTCCCCATTCCTAGCCCTCCCTTCACCCCCTCCACCCTTCCCTATTTACAAAGACTTTATTTCCATTTTTTCCATTTCTCAGCATTTTTCCTTTCCCTTCTTTCCTTTCCCCTGCCCCTCCCACTACCCCTACCCCTTTGGACCTTTTCTTCTTGTTTTACATTATCGATTATTCGTTCTAATCATTGGTACATTTTAGGTATACAATATAATGACATTGATCATTGGAAATTTGCACCTTTACATAGTCTCTCTTGGTTCTTATTTTTCACCCTTGCCCAGCCCTCCCTTCAGCCCCTCCAGTCCTCCCTATTTACAAAGATTTTGTTCCTATTTTTCCATTTTCTCATATTAATCCCATTCCCTTCTATCCTTTCCCCTAGCCCTCCCACTTCCTTCCCCTTTGCCCCTTTTCTTCCTATTTCACATGACCTATTATACATTTAGTCCTTATTTACACTTTCAGTTTCTCACACTAGAGAAACTATTCGGTATTGACACTCTGTGTCCTATTTATTTCACTTAAGAGTATTGCCTCAATGTGCATCCACTGAGCTATAAATGTCTCTAATTTCTCATTTTTTATGGCTGAGCAGTACTCCATTTTATTAAAAAATCACATTTTCTTTATCCAGTCTCCAGTTGATGGGTATTTGGGCTGTTTCCAAGTTTTAGCTATTACAAATTGTGCTGCTATGAACATGGGTGCACATATATCACTGTGGTATGATTCTTTTAATTCTTTGGGGAAGATCCCCAGCAGTGGAATAGCGGGGTCAAATGGGACTTCCAGTCCTAGATCTTTAAGGTATCTCCATACTGATTTCCACAGTGGTTGCACCAGTCTACACTCCCACTAGCAGTGGAGCAGGGTTCCTCTTTCCCCACAGCCCCGCCAGCATTTGTTATTGGTTGACTTCATGACAGCAGCCATTCATTCTGGAGTGAAGTGGAATCTCAGCATTGTTTTCATTTGCATCTCTCGAATGATCAGTGATGTGGAACATTTTTTCATGTATTTATTTGCTATTTCTACTTTGTGTGAGAAATGTTTGTTTATTTCAGATACCCATTTTTGGATTGGGTCTTTAAATTTGGGAGGTCTGATCTTTTTAAGTTCTTTATAGATTTGAGATAGTAGACCTTTGTCTGAGGAAGAGTAGGTAAAGATTTTTTCCCATGTTGTGGGTTGTCTCTTTACACTGCTGGTGGTTTCTCTTGCTGTGCAGAAGCTTTTTAATAAGAAAAGATCCCATTTGTTGAACCAGTCACTCTTTTGTCTCCCTTTCTATCCCCTAGACCTTGCCTCTATGCATTTGCATATTCTGGATGTTTCATGCAAGTGGAATCAGATGGCATGCGGCCTTTTGTGATTGGCTTCCTTTACTTAGCATATTTTAAAGGTTCATCCATGCTAAAGCATGTATCAGTAGTTTACTTCTTTATACTGCTGAATACATTCCACTGTATGGTTATGGAGTGTTTTATTTATCCATTCATCTGATCATGGACATTTGGGTTCTTATAATTTTTTGTCTATTATGAATAATGCTGTTACAAACGTTCAGGCAGGAGTGTTTATGTGGATATGTTTTCATTTCTCTTAAGGTACATACCTAGGAATATAGCTGCTGGGTCATATGGTAACATCATAGATGTTTCCCAAAGTAGCTGCACCATTTTACATTCTCACCAGCAGTACAGTTCAATTTTTCTACGCCCTTATCTACACTTGCTATTACCTGTCTTTGTGATTACAGCCATGCTAGTGGGAGTGCAGTGCTATCTCACCGTGGTTTTGATTTGCACTTTCCTAACAACTCATGATGTTGAAAATCTTCTCATATATTTCTTGAACATTTGTATGAGATGTGATCAAAATATATGGTAAATGTTTAAATTAAAAACATTATTACACTAAAAGACACATTTTCATTAATTCCCCTCAAAATACTCCTCACTTCAAACACATTTAACCTATCATTTTTGTCACTTTCTGAAGTAGCTCTGTAAGTTCTCTTTCATGTCTTCACTCAGTGTAATCAGGAGTATGGCAAATGGAACTGTTGAGTGCCAGTCAATAGAAAAGCAGGCTTGGAAGAAAATTATGGTGTGTCCTCACCCACCTATACGCTTGATCTGGCACCATACAACTTTTATCTCTTCCACAAGATCAAAATGACCAAGAAAGGTAAATGTTTTGCATCAATTCAGGGCATCAAGGCAGTCATAAGAGCACAACTAAAGATAGGAAAGAGGGGTTCAAGAACTGCTTCAGAAAGTGGCAAGAATGACAGAATAGGTTATTTGAAGTAAGGGGGGATTTTCTGAGGGTGATTAATGGCAACATGACTTTTACTAGAGTAAGTTTTTAAAAATTTAAACATTCATTGTATTTTTTATCATACCTTGTATATCTTCTTTGTAGAATCTATCAAGTTAATTCCTTTCCCTCTTTTTAAAAATTGAGTTATTTCTTTATTACTGAGTTTGAAGCATTGCTTCATACAGCATAGACAGTGGGCTTGCTTCTTTATATCTAGGTCTAGAGAATCCTTTCTAAAATTCTGACTTCATAATACTCTTGTTTCTGTAGTGGTGGTGGAGTTTACAAGTAATATTTCCAGTGGAGTAAACTACACATTAGCAAACAAAATACGATGAGTGAAAAGAAGGTTTGAAGATGATCTTCCACACAGACCTATTAATGCTACATTTCACTGTTTGTTCCACAGCATTAAACACATACTTCTAGATTTACTGTCTCTTTTCAGCATTCATTAATGAAAAATTTCAAACAAATAAAAATTTAAAAACTGTATGCTAAACAAGGCCATATGCCCTAAACTCTAAAATTATTAATATTTTGCCACATTTTACTTTAAAACATATATTTCTTAATCTATCAACTCATTTACTTTTGGTGTACTTTAAATGAATCTTCTTTTTTAGATGAAAATGAAAATATTTCAAAGGTGCTATATACTTTTTGGCTATCAATTTTGCTTAGGGTTGGCTCTGTTAATAATTAGGCAGATAATATTTACAGTATCATACAATCCCAAATGTTCGTGATTCTGTATCTGAGAAAACAGTTGGGAATTATCCATGATCCTGGTTATCTTTCCCATGACCAGTCTTAGAAATTTGAGCTGTCCTTATAGTGAGCCCCATAATCTACCATAGTTTGTGAAATTTTACCATTAAAAATGTATTCCTTTGAGATAATTATAATCCATTAAAATAAAAAATTCACTGGATTAGGTGTCACTGATGAGTCCATTAAGTATTTTCCTATTAATGTAATTCAGGTTACCATAAATTTTTCTTTGAGGCAAAATAATACAGAACAGTCAAAGGGCATTAAACTCACCTCGGGTAGGGACTGACTGGAATAGAGAAAGTTCAGGAAACACAGGTTAAAAAGCTTGTAAACACATTTCACCTACTGTAAGCTCTCCCCAGGATGGTGCTGCAGAGCAGGATGATTTACACCCCTTGCCTCTGTGACTTAGAGTAGAGTGACTCTAATCTGCTGGAATGCTAAGAAACTTTCTGGTGGATATGACTTTTTGGTTTTAATCACATAGCACCAGCATCAGGACTCTGGCTGTAGCTAAAATTCTAGTTCAATGGGTATTATAAGAGGAAACTGTATTTTCACACTGGCAATTGTTTTCTAAGAACAGGTTAGAAACACCTGCCCTTAACACTTAGCAGGAATTTGTCTGGCTCTGAGCAGTTTCCCCCAAATGTTGGCCGGAATCCAAGAATCAGTGCTAGGGCTACTCTCACCAGTGTTTGCAAGGAGGAGGACAATACAAGACATTGTCTATTACTCTGAGAGGTAGACATTATTATCCCTGCTCCAGACCCAAGGAGAGAGACAAATGTGAGGCATCTGTTTATAGCCAGTAAAAGACAGGTTCAGCAAAGCTCAAGTCTTTGATACAGGTTGCAATATAATGTTATGATCAAATATCATGATGCAGGGCCAGGGATTTAGCTCAGTGGCACCGTGCCTGCCTTGCAAATAAAAGGTCCTGAGTTCGATCCCCGGTGCTGGGAAAAAAAAAAATGTCATGATTTAGTTGAGGTTCAAGCCAGTCTCTGTCTCTTAGTGATGACAGGACCAAGGTGAGGTTAATCATCTAATCTAAGCTCTAATCTCCTTGCTTGCAAATTAATCTCACATTCTTACCCAATGTTCCATCATGATTAGTGAACAATGTTCTTCTATGTGCCAGGCCTTGTCCTACTACTAGAGTACACCAGGCTGATAGCATGATACAAATAAGAAAAGCACTGAAGAAAGAGGCTGGTCCACACTGAAGATACGACTGCACTGCTGCCGTTTGTTTGTATTACTATTATGCATCATTTTTTCCTCCTTGGCACTCATGAATTCTGTATCTCCAGGAAGCGACTCGAAAATATATTTCTAGTCCTTATCACTCACCATGAAAGTTCTGCTTTTATTTGTTTACTGTCTAGATATATCTGAAAGGAGAAATAGGTAGGCTACAGGCTCTGGATGCAAACCTAGCCAACAAGCTCTTCAAAAAAAAATTCATAAGGACGATGTATTGTTTGTTTTTATTTATAAATCTACTATTTAGGCCGCACACATATATCTCTTTCTTTCAAGTCAGTCAAAACCCTCAAAATTACTTATCAGGCTCAGCACATATTTACATTTTCTTAAGGGCACAAATCTGCTGCACAGCCTGCAAAGTCTGAGACAGCTGCACAGGAAGTACATCCTTTTATACTTCAAACATTTTTACCGTTACACTTTGAAAAACAACCCCAAACAACAAGCAATTACAGAGATATGTATTTATATTTTAAATAGAATTATACACAGTTTGATAAATCAAAACAAATAAAAGCAAGCATAACCCATTGTACTCAGGCACAGAAAGCCCTTTAGAGAGTTTACTTGAAAACAGGATCCTTTGACACATTTACTCTTCCCTTAAAAGTACTTACAGCCTGCCTGCCTCATTCTCACTGCGGTCCCAGCGACTCCTGACTACTTTAGGAGAAACAGAATGGACTACTTGCTCCTTAACAGGGATAACGCTGTGTTCAAGTAAAGTTTTTGACTTTTACAGTGAGCCAGGTTCATTTCCTGTTGTGGTTTCATACTCCACACAAGTCCACCGGAAACAACTCAAAAACAAGACACTTATCTATGTCCCTCCTTAAAAATTATATCCTGGTACCTCAGCAAACCCATGGCTAAACTCTCACTAGTTTAAATAATTTAATATACACTGAAATAGTATCAGAAGTAGTACCAGATGCTTTAGCTTCTTGCCTTAGGACACCTGAATTTTATGAAAGGTTCTAGAAACACTGTATATTGCATCAGCTTCTTCTTTATGTTTAGTCTATTCATAGGTGTGACGTATTAATTTCTTCACACTGTATTATATAATCAACAGCAACTTCCAAATTGTGTTTTCAGACTATTGCCTAGATATATCTAACCTACTCTACTAAGCAATTTTACAACATATGTTTAAGAATTAGTAATAATACTTTCATGACACTGTTATACAACAGTTCTCTTGATTAAAGAGTATTTAACAACTATAATCTTCTTAACTTCTAAAATGCTAAAAATATTTTTACTATTTTATCCTTAGAGGAACATAAATATAAAGTCATAAAACTGATGCCTTGGTTTAATTATTAACAACACAAAATAAGCACTTATTTGTTCTAGGCACTGGCCATACAAGGAAATGGTCTCTGTATCTGGAATCAGATCACAAACATTTACAAAAGAACAATGCCACGCCACATGACAGCACAGATGAAAAGGATTTCGGAATTCTCAGGACCAAGAAAATACTGGGAGCCTAGCATTTCAAAAGCAAGAGGTTGTGGGATGTGGAAGAAAATTGGTCAGGAAATCAGAAGGGAGGAGGTAGTCAGCCCAGACAGGAAAGGCAGCAGCCTCAAGGCCCTGAGTAAGGACAGCCCTGCAGATTTCTCAAGGAAACAAGAGCCGAGTTTTGACGTGCAATCTCTCTAAAGCCTTTGTAGGCACCAATTAGCTAGAGAAATGGATCTTGTCTAATTTCATTTCACCTAATATGCTGAAAATTATTAAGATAGCAAGTAGTGTTAAACTATTCTCGAAATTAAGCAAGCTGGATGAAAAGCTCACAAGGGTAAGGGAACAATGTTGTGATGATTTGCCATTATTTGTACCCACGAAGTATCTTCCACTTATATATCACAATAAAATCTTTCCTTTATAAAATTATAAAATTATTGATTATATGGTTCTGTTTTCATTTTATGTTGTGTATTCCTATTTGATACTACTCTTTGTCTAGGAACCCTTCTCACTGCCTTCCCACCAATATTTCCCTTTCAAGTTTGCCTTTGGAAATTTGTCTCCTGTGTGAAGAGACACAAAGAGAAAATAAACCCTATGAGATTCTCTTTGTACACTAAATTATCTGAAATCTGAAAGCGACAGTTGGCAGAGAACAAGAATTACACAAGTTGCAAGACTGGTCAAAACACTGCAAAAATTAATGGCAACTTGTTCAAATATTGTTCTAAGGATTTTGCTTTGCATAAGTCATTCCCCCAAAGGATAGGGTAGGTAATCTTCTTCAGCAACTTTAGAATACTCAAAGTCCAACATGGGATCTCCTCTAAGGTATTGTGTATACAGAAAGATACTTAACACATCAATAAAAAATGACTAACAACACTGTGTACTTGTGAATCATTGGGAAACAAGTACAGTAAATCCAGAGTAACAATAAATTTCCTATGTACAAAACCAGTTGGCTAAAACTTCAAATCAAATAATGTTTCTTCGCATGTTTATAGAAAACAGCACCAATATCTACCTAGCAAAAAGTCCCAACTGTGAGACACATCATTGTGTTTCCTCTTAAAAATATTATGCCAGCCAGTGAAAGAGAAACGAAGAGAATCCAGTGTGGATGCATCCAAAATACAACATTAAGATACAGGTGTCTTCATGTGAAATACTTTGGCAATAACCCTAGGTCTCTTCCTTTGGCCACAAAGGAAGTCTGAGTTATGGGGTGCGTCTAGCTGTGAGCCAAACCACTGGACACAAAGAGTCAGTCATGTCCCAGTTTTCCCTCCTGATGAGTATTTCCAGGCTCAGAACTTGTCTTACCTGGTGGCACAGTTCTTCCCATTGCCTCTGCAAAAGCTCTATGCGTTCGTTGAGGATGGAGATGTCGTTGGGACTGATGTAGGCGGCAAGGGAGCCCCTCAGCAATGTCAGCTCTGTCAGGTCATCTGTCCAGCTCCCGATTGCATTTTCTAATTCCTACATGCAAATTTTAAAAAATCCTGACTCTCCATGTCAACAGTTTCACAGGGGTTTTTGAAATCCCCTCTTAATACAATTCCCTTTCCATCCCACTCTATCTGAACACACAATTTGGTATCTGCTTTATTTGCTTCCCATCCCTAACACTCATTTATCATCTCAATGACCTCTTCGTGACGGTTTTTCTTAAAGTTTCATTGTTGCACTGATGTTCTTTACTTTAAAGATATCCTTTAAGCCTATCTTTCCTTCTTGTTTGGAGTTACTAATTACCTTTATGAAATATTTTAAAGAAAAATCTCCTAAATTTAACTTTCATTTTCAAATGCTGAGTTGCTACCTTTGGTGATATATGGTATAGTGTAATGATGGAAATTTAGTTCTATTACTATTAAATTTTAAATAATTGACTGAATATATTTTGTGCACAATCAGAGATTTAAGTTACTGAAAAAAAGATTTTGTACGGAGGATGATTTAAGAAAAAAACACTTGTAACAATATTTGAATGAGTCGACGTCAGTTTTTACAATGCTTTGACCAGTTTTGCAATTTGTGTAACTCTTGTTCTCTGCCAACTGTTGTTTTTAGATTCCAGCTAATTTAGTGCATGAATAGAGAATCTCACAGGGTTTATTCTGTCTCTTTTTGTCTCTTTACACAGGAGACAAATTTCCAAAGCAAAAGTAATTAAAGGCACTGTTTGTGGCTAACTTTTCAGGCAATTTAGGCAAACGAGGCTTTAGCCTGAATTTCCTAGGTAATTACTTTGTTTTGCTGATAAGGGTGGTTTGGAGAAGAGCGGCAGAGACCTAGATGGAAATGCCGTCTTTTAATCTAAACACTAAAAAGCAGGATAATTGTCAAGTATTCTGGGACATGAAAAATGAGGTCCCATGGTTACAGTATCTGGCTTAAAGACCAAACTATATAGGTGGATTAAATATGCAACATTTCTGTTTATAGTTTAGACATATTCAATTATTATACCAACACAGAGATTTTCTTATTATTATACTAAATTCTATCCCCCAGTTCAAAAGTCAGTTTTGATGTATGGATTCAAAAAGAAATAAAAACTCCATTACCAGAAACCAGCTGGGTCAGACTGTTCACTAGGTAAGTGGGTATGGCTAAAATGTAGACTTTAAATTCAGACAACACTGACAGTCACTAACTCCGAAAAGTTATTAAACTTCTAGAAGCTTCAGTTTTCTCATTTACAAAAGGAACATAACAGAAAGTCCTCGTGGGCTTGTGTGAGTGCCACCCACTGAATAATACTGGTATCGTTACTGGCACAAAGACAGAGGCTGATAAATGCCCCTTCCTGCTTATCAGAATTTTTGTCTAATTTTTTCTTCTAAATTTACAACTATAGGCTAAAATAAACTTTTTATCCTTCATGGCCTTTACATACTTCTTAATGTAATCCCTCAATATAAAAATTCACTCACCGTCCATGGTATGTTGTGTATCCTTATTTATTTTTCCTAACTCTCTTTTCAAGTTTCAAAGAATATCTTTGAATTTTAGTATTGAAGGAAAAATTCTTATAGCTATACTTTTTATGATTTCTAGACTTATGCTAACAATGCATTGCTTTTAAATACTTATAACTTCTTAGCCAAAGTGAAGCAGAGAACTTCTGGTTAAAAACCAAGAAATTTAAGTGTATGTATATATATGTATGTACAAAATTTTAACCAGAATTACCCTAGAGTAGTAACTTACAAATGATTAGGGACTACAAAGACATGTACAGTTTGAAAGAAACCATTTATAAAGGTACTTTTGACACAGTGGCATATTGCTCACCTGATTGCTGGTCAGGTCTCTACTTGGCTACACAGGTGTGAACACAATAAATCCTACAGCTACTAAATCAAGCTGACTTCCTGACTCAGAATGCAGGGAGTGGTCAGTGTTAGCACTGATTTGCTTCCAAGTATGCTTTGACATATTGATTATAATCTTTAGGTAGCTAGAGTCCTGAGTAATTTAAGGATTTGGTGACTCCATGTGTTAACTAAGATCAGCTATTTTTTCTGCCTTCTTTGCAGACAGAGCTGAAGAGCAGGTCATGTTCCTCTGAGGGCCACTATCTCCAGGCTGCTGATCCTTATGCTTCTTTGTAAATGAGACTCTTCTGATAGAATAACTCCCAGTGTGCATGCTTTTATTTCTCTTGACTCAGCTTTTAAATATCTTTTATGTTGTGTTTTAAACTTTCATTCGCTTCCTCTAGGTGACCCATCTGGGTGATCCATAAACTATAGTTTTATTCTGAAATGAATCAGCAAAGCAAGTTTCACCCAAAAGCTGTCTGCACTGATGTACTTCCCTAGGACCCTGCCACTACCAGTAGCCACAGGACCTTTCTGGGTTCCACGTTCACACCCATTGTCTCACCAGAAGCTCGTGGGCAGATGATGAGGACGCCTCCATCCTGTCCCTTACCTTGCACCGAATTTGCTCTCCATGGAGCTCCTCGTGGTGATCTGGTAGAGGCTGCAGAAGCTTCTTTTTGAAACCTTTTAGTTTCTCCAGAGAATCAGCTACTCCTTTCTCACATTTTTCCCAGTCCTATAATGGAAGAGAAAAAAAAAAATTGAATGGATTTCTCTTTTTTTCTTTCCTTCACTTTCTCTCTTGTTTTTCTGTCTTTCTCTCCCTTCCCTTCCCTTGTCTGCTTTCCTTCCTTCCTTCCTTCCTTCCTTCCTTCCTTCCTTCCTCCCCCCCCCTTCTCTCTTTCTTCTGGTTAAAATGGAAAAAACAAACACTTTTTAAAATGTGGGAATAAAATACTCTTTTTAATAGCCAGAGAAAGAATTAAAGTTACATTGGTGAACATTAAGGTATGTCCACACCCAGGCTAGCGTGGGCAGCATGCTTGGGACACAGGAAGAGGAGTTCAGAGTGAACTCTGCTACTGTTTAACTCTGTGGCTTTAATAACCATATGACCCTCTATATCTAAGTTTTCCTATGAAAATGGAAACAATACCAACTCTGAAATTATTGGGTGATTGAAGTAAGCAGTGAGTGTCTAAGCATCAAACACAATGCCCAGAGAATTCTGGCCACTCAAAAATGTTATCAGAGTCCAAATCTATGTGCAGAGGTAGTAGTATCAGTTCAGTACACTGCCTCTTTCCTCGCCTTACATACAAATACATTCAGTATCTTCACTCTCCCACCTGTGTTACAGGGGAATGAGAAAAGAAAATATAAGACTTTCTTTCGGGATGAAAATACACATGAGTTTGTGAAAGCGATTGGAATGTAAAAATGTAACTCTGACTGTGATTCGACAAGAGTGGGAACACTCAATGGTGACACTCAATGGCTTTGACTGCCTTTGTCTTGCCAGTGCTAAGGGTTAGTGAAGAGTTAAATGTCTAACACAGAAAACTCATCCCCAAAAGCAGTGGAAGCAGAGAGCTAATGTGGAATTAGAAATATATTCACGTAGTATGCACAGTGGTGATAAGTGTTGGGGAGACACAGCAGGGTGAGCAGCAGGGAGTGGCCACACTGGATGTGGGAGTCTACACATGCTCACAAGGACGGAGGAGCATGCCTCCTGTGGTTCTGCTTGGAAAGGTGACATCGAACTGGTAAACACTGGTTACCTCTCGGGGAGGGAGTAGAATGTGGATGGCAATATAGGGAAATTTCACTTTTTACTCTATATACCCCATTTATTACCTGAATCTATTCTTGTGATGCCTTGTATTTCTTTTGAAATTAAAAAGAAAATGAAAGGAACCATAATGGAGATTGGTTCTTTACAACTCTATAAATTAACTCAGGTCTGGTATGTTGGTGGCACTGAAAATTAAATTCAACTAACCAAGTCTCGCCCACTTTTCAATACTGCCTATTTTGTCATACTGTCCATTCTTGGTCTCCAAGTCCCCATTCATCCTCCACACATAGTAAATTACCGAGCTCCAGAGAAAGGCAATTGGAAGGACAGCTTGAATCGCTGAGTAGCCAACACAGTGTCAAATCGTGCTGCATTCTCCTTCACAGAGCCTCAGACTTAGTCTCAGACTTTTTCTGTCTGAAGTCTTCCTACCATTCCTCATGATGTCTTGTTTTCAGCACAGTAACCCACTGCTTCCATTACAGCCACCTTCTGTAAAATCTCTCCACTCAAAGTGGCTTTTGTTTTCTAACTGAACTGAGAATTCGGCCTCAAATTCTCATTTCTCTTTAAACTTCCTTCACAGAATTTCCTAGAGTGCATGATCAGACTCCCCTTTCCTAATGAACAGAAGCAAAGAAACAAATGAAATCCCCCTACCCAAAAGGCAACACCTTTTTTCTGTCATTTGCAGATTTGTTCCCATTTCCCTTTATTGTATAATAGCTCTGTCTTCCCAAGCAACACTTAGTTTGCCAACACTCAGCATAGTGAGGATAGACAAAAAGATCTTTTTTCTGATTAAATTGTACAACATCTCAATTAAGTCAGCACATGCCCTGAAATCTATCAAGATGTAGTCAAGAGCTGTTAATTGATCTAACACAGATACCTGCTACTTATTTTTATGACAAAATTAAGAGATATTAATGAAGCAGGAGAACAAGATATGGAATTATGATGACTATTTTTGCCATGTGTACTCAGAGTATTACGTTAAGAGCTAAAAATAGATACAGATTATATTATGGAGAAGGATACAATAAAATGAGGCTGTATAAACATTAAAATTTAGATTCATACTTTCTTAGACAAATAAGATATTCAAAATTAAAAAAACTCTAACAAAAGAAGACTAGGGATTTCCTTTTCCAAAGATAACTCAGATTGTGAAGCTATAATAAAGTCTTTTTACCACATGAATTATAAGGAAATAACTTCATGTCGTGGTCTGCAAACATCTATCAAAGCTGATGTTTTATATATGAACAGACAGAGAAACAAGACAAGCAAATGTAGTGACTCAGATATCACGCCTTATTAAGTCTTGGGAATATCTCCAAAAATCATATCACAAAGAAAAATATATGATTAACATGTTTGCCACAAAGTGAGCTACAACATTGTAAATTCTTTTCTGACAGCAAGAAGAAGAAGAAAAAAACCAATCAGGCATATTACAATACTGATGAATTGTGCTGTGTGAAAATAATAGTGATTGATAGATGCTTAGTGGCATTCTTGAGTGTTTCCTCCTTGGAAGGTAATATATTATTAAATTAAATTCAGTAGCATGAACCCAATGGATGTGTAGACTTTAAGCAAAGAAAAAAGCAAAATGTGTTTCATTAACTTTAGTTATGTATTACCTTTGATCCAAGCAAGAGATAAACCACATTTAGCAGATAATCTCATTCAAATATTGATTATGAATGTATATAAAAATTTATTGTGCCTATCTATGTACTGGCAGAAGGTGACAATCCAAACACAATTCACAGTCTTATTCCATTAATCAATCCTAATTGTCAGACATGCCAGCAATGCCACTGTGTACCCATGAAATATTACTTAAGAGATTCATAGAGCCCAAAATGGCTAAAAGGTCATTGGCTACAAATTGGCATTGGATTGGGAGGCTGGTGGCAATTCAATTTTGAAGGAATCCCTGTAGTTTGGACCATGCTAATAAAAAAGGTCTGGACCACCGATAGGCCCACTGTGGGAGAAGGCCCATCTCTAAAATTACTAAAAAATTTAAAAACAAGCCAAACCAATCACACAGGTATTAATATGGTCCAAACAATCAACAGCACCCACCAGCTCCTATTAGCAACAGACCTGGAACTAGTCTCTGATTGTTGGATCTGTGCCCCCTGAAGCCAAATGTCATACCAGGCTCTTAGTGTTACAGTAAACAACATGATGACTGGAAGCCTGACCTCAGGGGCCTCAGCCCTGCTAATTGAAGAACCTACTGAGGCCATAGGTAATAGTACCTGCCTTCTGGGAAACAAACTACACCTGAATGCTACCTGTGAGTGTGCAAGTATCATTATGTACAAGGATAATAATGTTTCTGCTCCTGAAGGGACTTTCTTTGTTTGTGGAGACAGAGTTTATAGTGTTCTCCCCAAAAATCCATGGACTTTGTGCTTTAGGAATTTTAAGTCTACACCCTGACTGACCTGATACAAGTGCCTCTGAAGATTGGCACAATCAGAGGTCTCAACAGGAGGAGAAGGAACCCTACTGTTGTGCCTATAATGGCAGGACTAGCCATTGCTGCAAGCCTTGCCCTAGGGGGAACAGCTCTTGGTCTATTAAAACAACAATATCTCTCTTTAGAAAAGGAAGTAAAAGAAAGTCTGGAGGAGGTTAAGAGCCTCTATCCTCACATTTCAAGGGCAAATTAACTCCTTGGGAGATATGGTATTACAGAATAGGATTTACTAACTGCTAAGTATGGGGGAATTGCTTGTATCTGAGAGGAATGCTGTTATCATACTAATAAGTATAAAGTAGTAAAAAAATCTACGAATAAGCTTAAAAGGAGTTTAGGTAAAATGGGAGAACAATTTTATACTAAAAATTCAGATTCATGGGGCAACTGGACCTTATCTAAATGGAAACTGTGGTTAGGAGTCCTTGCTGGACCACTATTCAGTTTGCTAGCCTTAGGCACGATAGGTCCCTGCATTTTTAATTAGATAACCAAGTTCATCTCACAAAAAATAAACTCTATCCAGAGCTACCAGATGTTAGTCTCCACAAGATACATAGAGTGCAGGGACATCAGTGATGCCAATGATGAAGAATCACCATGAACCAAAACAAATGGAGGAATATTAAGGAAAATGTAAAATGACTGCTTGCTTCATTTTGCTTCTGTAACTTGCTTCGCTTCTCAAAATAGTAACATGAGAAATTCCGCCATCGCCATAAGCTTGCAGGCACATAGCACTAGCTCAAGATTTGGAAATGGCTGCAACATTACTTAACCACAACCCCCGCTAGAATTAGGCCAGATGTCCAAACTAAGACAACAATCACCATACCTTGCCAACAAAAGTACATGTAGACCCAAAGCTTTCTGTAAATCACATTGATAGAGAAAAGTTTTAAGAAGTTTAGTAGATTTAATATTAAGATACTTGTAGAAGCAAAATAAGTAATGTATTCCTTTAAGATTTGCTTTTCCATAACTCTTGTTGTTTAAGGTGATGGTTATCTGACTCTTTAACCAGTAACTTCATTAACCTAACAAAGTTGCAATGCCTGGGTGAACTTACAATGTATATGTGCTTATCTTATGTCTGTGACCTATAAATAGGAACTGGAATTGTATTTACACATCATAGACCACTAGGGATGAGATAATGACTAACAAAGTATAAAAATAAGAGACTAACAGAGAACTGCACAGACACTGACTAGACCAGTTTCTGGTGGTCCTGCCTGCTTGCAAATAAAGCTTTTGTTATTTGACCAAACAAACAAACAAACAAACAAAACTTATTGTGTACTGTGCTCACTTTTTAAAATAATGGTAACATCAATGATGATAATTACCAATTATTTAGTGTTTAATACGTGTCAGTTACCCCACAATATATAAAGGAGGTGCAATTTTATCTACTCTATAGATGTGAAAACTGACATTTAGGTAGGTTGCATTAACCAGGTTACATGGATTTTTTTTTTTCTCTTTTTCATTTTTTGCAGTGCTGGTGATTGAGCCCAAGGCCTCATGCATGTTCAGCAACCATTCTACCACTGGGCTACATCCCACTATGATAAATTTTAACTTGGACTTATCTGAACTTAGGGCTCATGTACTTTTTAAACTGCCCATTTAATTATGCATTATGCATGAGGGAGAAAGGCTCCTTTTGCGAGGCGTGGATAAATCTAAATTTCCTTATACTTACAGAGTGATCAGTAGGCAATCTGTATCCAACTAAGGGTTTTACATAAGCTCTGGAAATTTTATTACACAGCAACCTGTTTGGATAAACTAAAACCAATTCAGAGTATCTTTTTAAGTTGGATTTTCCCTGCTATAAAATGTAAGATATGAATCTTGAAAACCATTTTAGAGTCTTAAGTTAAGGAGTGGAATTTACTCTTTGAATTTCTGTCTGGCTTTATAAAGTCATCACATGGCTAAGGCTTAGCACAGGCCATTAATCAGAATTCATAGCTTGGATTGTCTTATTAGAGTTTAAATTACTTTGCTGGAGGATTTTCCTAGAAGATGAAATGCTAAAAATCGGGAATCTTTGCCAGTCATGCAGGATAGGACAAGATCTAATAAAACACAGAAGATCAAGATAGTGCAGGGTATTACTCAATGATCTTACATGATTTGATTTGCAGAAAAACAATGAAAGGAAATAGTACAACTATTAAAAAGGCCCTGTTAACTGAACTTACTTTCAACAAGAAGGCCAGTTTTTTCTTTTGCTCCTCCAGATGCAGGCTGGTGGACTTCCACTTCTCTTGGATTTCAGTGAGTTCTGCCTGCAAGGTGGCCTCAGCTGCACTGTCTGCTGAGAGCAGGAGCTGCTTGCCGGCTTCCACAGTCAGGATGTAGCTGCCTTGCTGTCGCAGGAACACCTTTTCTTTGAACTGAAAGGAACCAGTTTTTTACTTTTTCATTTTTTCTTTATCATTCCCCTGTTAGTATCTTTAAATGACCCTACATGTTAGTGTGCATAGCACGTCCTCTTTCATCCAGCAAGCATTTACTGAGCTGAGACTGTGTGCATGAATGAGCCAAGTGCAACTACAGGAGAGTGCATCTTCCTTTCTGCTCTCAAGTTAAGTACAATCATGCTGCAATATGAAGTCTGTTCTATAAAACAGATGCTCAAGGAATACAGAGGGACGTCAGACCCAGCGTGGGGGGCACAGACACACTTCCTCAAAGCGGGAAACCCCGGTGGAAAGTCATGTGAATGCAACCAGATCAAGAAGAGATGAGCGGGACCAGGGGTGGAGGAGAGGACATCTTCCTACGGGGAGTGAGGCTGGGCTCATTCACTCCACAAGAGCATCATGAAGAATTCAGGAAACAGGGTGTAGTATGGGAGGCATGTAGCAGAGTAGCCGAAAATGAGGTGAGACCACATTTTACGGGAAAAAAAAATTATTTAATAGTAAAAGTGATTGAGATTGATGGGGAAATATTAAACAGGGAAGTGACTTGTTGAGATTGGAGTTTTGGGAAAAGCACACAGAAGCAGGGTAGAAAGTGGGATGGAAGGAAGGAGTGTACTGGGTATGTTAAGACAGATTAAGAAGGTACTGTCTATCCAGGCAAGAAATGATGAGTTTCTCACTTAAAGCATCTGCCACAGGGATGGAGACTTGAAGCAGATTAGATATGGGGAGAGGCAAAGAAGAGGACAGCTCTATAGTGACTCTGGGGTTCCCGGACCAATGGACCAGAGAGCTGGTGATAGTACTTTCTTTGACTGGGGACACAGAAAATGGAGTGTTTGGCACAGAGACAACAGGCTCTATTAGGATGCACAGGATTCCTTACATCTGCAACACACATAGATACAAATCTAAAAGGTGGTTGGATGCAGGAGTTGAACATTAGCAGGTGACCATGACCAGAAATACCTATTTGCCTCTTCTCTGCTGGCAGCAGGTAGTTGAGGCCATGTCTGTAGATGAGTTTTCCCAGAGAAGGTCGGAGGAGAATAGCAACTTTTAAAGGAGGTGGAGCCCACAGAATATGCTGGCAAGGACTGATGAGAGCACTATGAGGTATCTGTCTTAGATACTGGAGCCCCAATTCCTGGGCTGGTAAAAGTAAGGGTCTAGATGAAAAGGGACAAAGAGCTGAAGGACTAAGAGTTTTACCTTCTTCCCTGGAGTGCTTAAATTATGCATTTAAGCTGCTCATAAATATAATATGATATTTATAATATGTTAATAATAGGTTAAATATACACAATTAATACAAAGCTATCTTTTCCTTTTCCATTCCCTTTCCAACCCATGCTGGGCTGCAAGGAGCTGCTGTGGGCCTTGGTATGTGAAGTGATGGAGTCTTTGGAGGAGACTGGGGTATACTCTAATCCCTCCATTTAATACAGGCTTCTCAGTGCAATCACTTTTCATGTTTCAGTTGCCACTGTATAACAATGTTTTCCTAATTGCAATGTCACTACAGAGTCCTTCAGAAGGACTGAAGCCAAGGTGAAGGTTGCAGTGGAAATGCAGAAGAGGTTAGAGAGCAGTGTGTTTTCTTACCTGCACTTCGTCGAAGAGGCTGCTCACTTGTTGTAGTGGTACTGGGATGCTTCCGAGACCACTCGCGGGTATATTGGACACTTCCACCAGCCATTTAAGTAGCTTTTCTGCCATCTCCCTGTAGCGCTGCCACTGGCGGATCTGGCTGTCAATGATCCCTCGCCTCTGCTGGGCCCTGCGAATCACTCCCTGCCACTGATTACTGAGGAGGGTCAACTTCAGGTTGAACTCATCCCTAAAGGAGATATAATTACATGATGGAAAACGCTGTCATCTGGGGTGTAGTAATGTAATTAGCTAATGTGTACATTTTTGATGACCATAACCCCTGCTTGAGAAGTGATCTAAGGGGGAAGATTTCAAATATGCCAGGGTCTGCTCTTGGGTCTATTGGAAGTAATTTTTAAAATTAAACTACCATATGTCTGCAAATGGTGAGTGTTTTCACGTCTCAGTGTAGGTTGGAAGCAAATCTCTGACAAGGTCAATGTCATTGACCCTCTTCCTGAGTGCATGTGAGATAGGAAGAGAGCAATGGGAAGAGCTCCAAAGCCCAAGCACATTGTAGCATATCTGTGACAGCGTCTTGTGTGCCCTACAACAGGAAAACATGCTGGACAAAGCTTATTTATGAACCCTGTCTTCAGCTTGATTCAAAGGCTCTTTGGATGGACAAAACTGTTATGTCAGTGAGAATTACAAGCCACTTAAACCATATGACATTATTTTTAAAAGACTTTAAAAAACTGTAATTTGTAAATGTTCTTGGTATTCTCTCACAGTCAATAGCTCCAATGGTCTAGCAAATTATTCCACATATTAATCTAACTTGTGCTTTCTACGTTTTAGGCCAATTTTACTTTGTGTTCAGAAAAATGAAAATGATCTAGTCATCTTGATCTCTATAAAGGTCATTCATATATTTAAAGATAGTTCATTTTACTTGTATATTCTCAATTTTGAGCAAAAGAATCTTAGGATTCTTAAATATTTTCTTCTTACCTCTGTATTTTCTACCTTAAAATATTTTTAGTAATTTATTTTTATTTATCATTTAAACTGTGCCTTACAACTGACTCATAAGCATTGTCAAGATGAGCTTCTTTGTAGCCTCCAGTGTTATTCACAAATTTGATTATTACAGTGACAAATTACTTGCTTTCTCTGGTGTATTTGTTTGTATTCCTCAGATATATTTTTCTCTCTCTTGGGGGTAGTGTCAAACTGAATTGGACTTATTCTAGACTTCTACATTATTATCTTGGGCCACTGTCAACTTAGACTTTATAATCAGGTGTGCTTTTAATTTCCAAAAACCTATTTATGATTCAACTCAAACAAACAATGCATACATAGTGAAAGCTAACAATGCCAGAATTAAAAATAAAACAAACTGAGTAAATCCTAGAAAAATTTCTTATGCTCTTTCATTTTAAAAATAGATCACTAAGATAACTACCAAGATTTTAATAACTTCTGCTTAGAAAAGGAAAGTTTGATTGATCAATCAATCTATCTATGTATCTATCTATCTATCTATCTATCTATCTATCTATCTACCTATCTATCTACAGTAATACCTTGGATCATGAATGCTTCTGTTTGTGAACAAACAGAAACATTCAGCAAAATTTTGCTTCCTTTCACAAACTCCACATCGAGTGATGAACACAACCATGCCATCTTCCCCAAAATCATGGAACCCATTAGGTTCGTGAACTGAGGTACCACTGTATATTCCTAATGTGAATTTGCTTCACGATACTTCCCTAAAAGTTATAAGAATCTGTTACTCAGAAATACATGACTCCTGGGCTCGAGACTATCCCAGAGCATGTTGCTTTTCACACCAGGTCATCATCCAAGATCTTTTCAATGCCCTTCTCCTCACAGTGTACAACAAGGCTGTGCTGATCTATCTGCCAATATGAGCGACTACTGAAACATGACATCTCAGTGCTGAAAGTGATGCTCTAAAAAACAAAACTCATAAACTAGCTTTTAAAATGCAAGTGTATTTCTCATCTGGAACCTCAAGAGGCTGTAATCTGATTTTTCTTTTTTTTTTTTCACGTGCAAATTTCAAAATTCTTTATTCTCAGGCCCAACTCCCTCATTTTTATTTCTTCCTTCTAAATGTTAGCATTTAAAATTTAATACATGTTTGCTTACACAGGATTTTTAATTTTTATTTTACTTAATTACTTGTTTATAATATTGCTATAGAATTGGCCAAAGGATGATAAAACCAAAGATAAAAGTTAATTGCACTTGAATTTGTATTATTTTGAAAGTCTTAAATTATCAGTATAGCTCACATTTGTGTTTGGCTTCCATAGAATAGAATAAACACAACATCACATTTTGTTGTTCCAACCTTAACCATGAAAATCTTTCATATACTTCCAAAGAAATATCCACTTAAAACTGAAATTTCTTCCAAAACATTAGAACAAAACTCTCAATAAAAATGATTTCTAATTTTTTAAAAAAGACAATAAGTTAATCTTAATCACAACTATTGGTCCTACATATGAGAAAGATGTATACGTGAAATAAAATGAATAAAGTTAATTCCCCAAATAGCACCGTGGAAGATAGATGATTTTAAATAAATATTATTCTTAAGATGTGTAAATATTGTATAAAATTGCCAATTCATATGCTATAAATCTGAAGAAAAGTTCAATTTTTACCATGAGTTTATTTTCTACATAAATAAAGAGCAAGAAGGATTTTAGGGTGAATGCAACTTGGCTTATGGTCATAAATTATTTTCAAACATGAAGAAGAAGGAAGATGGCTGATATAATTCCAGTGTTGACTACAAACCAGACACAGAAGTACAAAGCCTAATTCTGCTGCTATTTATTTAGGTGACCTTGGTCAAATCAGTTCACATTTGTAGGTTTCAGGTTTTTCATCCCTAAGTAGGAGAGATGGACTCGTGATATCTAGGCTCCTTTTAGGAACAAAATTTCTGTAATTGTATAAGAATATTAGAAGCATCTGTTTACAAACCATTGATACAATTCATTCTGATCTATTCATTAATTCTGGTCCCTACAGATGACTAGTGAAGGTTGGCCAGGTGATTTCCAATTACTGCATGTCCTTCATATCATATAATAGCAATTCTCTAAAAAGATTCAATACACACTCATTTCAGAGTTTCAGACAAGCTTTCCTCCAATTACTGAGGCTCCATTATAGTACAATTGCCTTAGGAAGATTGGATATATGCCCTCTAATCTACTCATTAAAAAGAAAATGACTAATTTACTGGAACCTTTCTTCATAATAATTTATCAAAGATCCTACCTGTCATCAACTTGACCTTGTTCTAGAAGACGTTGCCCATCAATAATGATTGAATGCAAAATCTGCTGACGACTGAACATCTCAGCTTGAAACAACTATAATTTCAAAAGAGAAGAATATGATTTATAGTTCCTAATTTTAATCAATTCTCTGTTCATTTTCCAAATATTCTGGTTTTAGCAAGGCTATAAAAAGTATCTCCAGTTAAAATAGTGTATATGTGAAATCTTGCAGTGTAGGAATAATTAATCTTAAAATCATCAATTAAGATAGACTTGAAGATAAAGTTTAGCTTTTGGTTTACTAGAACTAAATGACTAAAAGTAGACATGTCTCCTTTTTTTTCCAAAAAGCATCTAGTAAAGTAAGTTAATGCACAATTTGTGTTCTGGTCTTTTTGAATTCACTGTTTTTCAATTTAATTAATAAAATTATTTCACTAATAAAAAAACTCAATAGAAGTCTTTTGAAATTATTTCCATTATTTTTAAAACAGTTTGTTGCAACATAATCCAGCACAATCACACAGTTAAATGTCTAATTTAATGGTATTTATTAAATTTCAGATTTGTACACACAGTACTACAATTAATTTTAGAACACTTTAATCCCCTCAAAAAGAAACTGTACTCACCAGCTATTATTCCCCATTTCCTCCCAACTTCTAGCCCTAAGTGACCCTTACCCTACTTCATGTTTCTATGGATTGCTTATTATGCTTATTACTATATATAAAAGAAATCATGTAATATGAGGTCTTTTGTGACCAGTTTTTTCACCTGACATAATGTTTGAAAGTTTTATCTATGCTGTAATACGCATCAGTAATTTATTCTTTTGTATTGCTCATATGGCACATTTTATTTATCCAGTTGATGGACATTTGGGTTTATTCCATTTTTTGCCTGTAACAAATGATGTCATTATGAACACAATACTTATACAAGTTTTTTGGGTGGACATGTTTTCATTTCTCTTGAGCAAATATCTAGAAGTAGAATTACTGGACATTTAGGGTAACTCTCTTTCACATTTTGAGGAACTGTCAAACTGTTTTCTAAAGTAGCTTCAGCATTTTATATTTTCATCAGCAACATATGTGGGTTCCAGTATCCTACACCCCCACCACTGCTTTCTTTCTCATTGTAACAATCCTAGTTTGTGTAAAATACTTCCCTGTTGTTTTGATCCATGTCTTTTATTTTGTCATTTGTCAATTCAGCAAAACTAGATTTTAAAAATACCTTACACATGTTTAAATTCTGTATTGTTAAAATTTCAGCAAAATGCTTTAAGACTAATTTCATTCTTAAGTTTTGATTTTTTTGTCCCTTAGTCTAAGGAAAGTCTTACACCTCCATGTGCATTTCATAAACATATATAGCAACCTAGCTATGCTCATACATAGCAAAATAGAGACAAAGAGTTGGCAAATTAATTTAGTTTTTATAGATTGTGCTCTCTGTGTTTTTATAATTGTAATAATTGTAATGTAGTTTGATCAAGAGGTACACTTGGAGACCTGATAGCTTGATTTCCTGGTATAAAATTTGTATTTGCTTTTTTTGTGGTACTGGGATTGAATCTAGAGCCTTTACACTGAGATGTATCCCCAAACAATTTTTTAAAATTTTGAGACAAGGTCTCATTAAATCACCAAGTTCCCTAGGCTGGCCTTGAACTTGCAATCCTTGTGCCTCAACCTCCCAGTGTGTTGTGATTATAGACATATTTCACCATGCCTGGCTAAAAATTCATATATGATTTTTAAAGAACAGATGATTTCATTTATCAAAGACTTCTGATCAGAGCACAGCTTCTGAAGCAATTAGACTTGGCAATATTACAGTACTTTGCAATGCAATTCAAAGAGTGTCTAGCTTCCTGCATTCCTTCTACCTTTCCTTCCTACCCAAGCCCTGCCAGTAAATAGCTTTTAATGACAATTCTGGGACTATACATTGCAAAGTGTTGATGTCTGACACATGCCTATAAATAATGATGCAGCAGGGAATTGAGCACTTTTTTGTAACCAAGATACTAAAACCTCAAGCTTAAGAAAGTTGAAACTATATATTCATTTGAGCAGAAAGGTACAGAGTTTTGTTTTTCCCACATGGAACTTTATAGCATCTTCCAAAGGCCTGCAACATTTTTGTTACCCACAAAGCTACAGGCAGGACTTACCTCATGTGCTCTCTGCTGTTCCAAAAGTTGCTGATAATTGCCTGAAATCTCTACTGCTAACTTTTGCTCCGTTTGAACCAAGAATTCCATCCATGTCTCACATTTTTCCAAGAAAGTCTGATGTTGTAGCAAAAATGACTGCAACTTACTGACAGAATGAAGGACAAGGGATAACTAATTGTTAGCAAATAATTTTTTGCTTCTTTGCTTATACCTCTAACATGTAAAACGGGATTAAATGCCCTCTTCCTCCAATTCTAATGAAATCACCACAAAGATTTCAGGTGATGGGATGCTGGGTGGCAAAATTAAAAAGAAAAGAAAATTGGAAAAAAGTAAAAATTTAAAATGTTACATTTTTAAGTGATTCAAATTATGCATGTCCCTTGAACATTCATACTCAAGCTTTTCTTAAATATAAGAAGCTCCATTACAATTTATGTTTTCCATTTCTAGTTCGACTTTTTTTTAGTATTATTGGAAAGACCTAGAATTTACAAATGTACAGGTAATGAACTTGTACTCTATTGATATAGTGCTATGGTTTGAATGTCTCCCCTCCAAAATTCAGGTGTTGAAACTTTAAGGCCAATGTGTTACTATTAAAGTGGAACTCATAATAGATGATTAGGGCTAGTACACTTGTGCACCCCTATAATCCCACCTACTTGCAGTGATGAGGCAGAAAGATTGCAAGTTTGAGGATAGCCTGGGGAATCTAGCAAGACCTTGTCTCAATACAAAAGCTTGTGAAAGGGCCAGGGATATAGACTGGTGATAGGATGCTTGCCGATCATGCCCTGGTTCAGTCTGTATTACCGCCAAAAAAAAAGGCGATAAGGCCACTAGAGCTTCCCCTTCATAAATGGAATTAAGGCCCTTATAAAAGAGTCTTCATGCAACCTCCAGATCTCTTGCCTTTGGCCTTCTTCCCTATGGGGACATGGTGGCCTCTTCCTTCCAGGATCCATCCAGCAAGAAGGTGCCATCTTGGAAGCAGAGAGCAGCACTCACCAGACAATCAAGCCTGCTACCCCTTGACCTTGGGCTTCCCAGACTCCAGAACCATGAGAATATAAGCTTCTTTTCTTTGTAAATCACTCAGTCTGTGATGTTTTGTTATAGCAGAAGAAGACAAAGATAACTGCAGTGACCAAAGCACCTCTTGTTTACCTGAATCTTTCTGTCGTCTGAGAAGAGATGAGAGACCAGAGACGGTTTAGATTCTGCATCCTTTTGATTTCCTTGTCATTCAGGGGCAACCTATATCCCAGTTCATTAAGATGGTCTAGATCTGGAGCCATGCTGCTGAATTTTAACATCTGTCCCTGCAGGCAAGATCGAAGAGCAAGTTCATGGACACCATGGTCAGAAAAGGCAGGGCTTTTTAAAATGTGGACAGTGAATGTTTGATTTCAGGGAAGAGCTGGTCTTTGGCCTGACCTGCACTTTGAGGTCACTTGAAATCTCTAGAGGTACAACTAGAGAAAAGCTGTCTCCTTCCAGTTTGCATTGCTGTGGACAGTAACGCTACACAGCTGCCCATTATCCATTGCTGGATTTCAGTAGGTTACACGTATCATTTCATTTGCATGATTTATTTACTCATACGTAATTCTCAATTGAATTGATAAAGAATAAAAATTATGCTGGTGAATGAAAAAGTCTTACTCTATGTTTAGTATTTTCATGCTAATGTGCTACTTTACTATTCAATAGTGATAATAGTTATAATGGGATTGCTAACATTTATTGAATTCTCATCACAAATTAGAAATGGTTATAATAACTTACAGTAAACCTTGTGGAAAAGCTTATGTGTTAATCAATAGATGAATAGAGTAAAGAAAATGTGGTATATATACACAATGGAGTACTACTCACACACATAAAGGATAAATTTGAGTCATTTGTAGGAAAATGGATGCACCTTGAGACTATAATGCTAAGTGAAATAAATCAGACATAGAAAGTTAAACATTGTGTGCTTTTTCTTCTATGAGAAACCCAAAGCATAAATAATTTAAAAAACAAAATAAAAGATAGGTGATATGAGACAGGGGTCAGACGTTTTGCATAAGGGAAGGGGTCTTAAAGGTGGAAGGAGAGGAGTATGGGGAGGTAAAAAGGGTTACAATGTGATATGTAGATGCATCAACTCCACAGATGAATGTATTTATTATATATCATAAATGTGTACTAGTAAAAATTTTTATACTATTTTACAAGTAATAACTTATTTTACCCTCTAAGCAATCCCATGTGGAAAGTAACACTCTTATTTCCTCTTTACAAATGAGGAAAGGGAAGGACAGAAACTAAGTAAATTGCTCAAAGCTACCCAGCTAGCAAGTGGTAGAGCTAGGTAAAGCTGACGGGCTTGTGTTAGATGAAATAGAATTTCACCTGAGTTTAAAATGACCCCAGATTTCCTTCACGAAGAGCTTCAGTTTTAGGTCCCTGACCCAACCCCAAGTTGATGGGTCTCAACAAAAAAATGTAGATTATGCTTTCAAATCTTTCCTCCTTTCAAATGCAGGGCAAAGCTGCCTATTCTGGGTTCCCTATAGACATTTTTATCTCTATCTAGGGAACTGGCTACGAGAAAGAGAAACTGTCAGGACACCTTTAGCTCTGCCAAAAAGATGTGTTTTTAATTTGCATGCTTTGCAAAAAGTCTCATGATCCCTGAAGAAAATCAATCTTCTCAAGCTGGGTGCTGTGGTGCAGGGCTATAATCCCAGCACCCTTTGAGGCGGAGGCGGGAAGATCACAAGTGCAAGCTCAGCCTGGGCAACTTAGCTACTTAGCTGCTGAGGGGCTGGACAGACAGATGGACAACAATGACAGAGGACATCTCTGGGGGAGATCAAAGAAGGCTATGCTGGACTTGCTGGGCCCCACTGGTTTTTATCCTAAGAGCAACTGGAAACTCACAGGATTTTAACCAGGTAAAAAATAGGATAAATTTTTCATATTTGTGATATTCTTTTTCTACATTACTGGATGTTTAAAATTGTTAGTAATTAAGTAAAACCTTTAATTTTCCTTTTTAAAAATGATTAATATTGCTAATTGACAAATCAAGATTGTACACAGTTATGGTGTGCACTGTGCTTTGTTTGTTTCTTTGTGGTACTGGAGATTGAATCCAGGACCCTTTTAGTGAACTACATCCCTAACCCTTCTTAAAGTTGTTCTGAGACCAGGTCTAAGTTGCCCAGGCTAGGCTTGGACTTATGATCCTCCCGTCTCAGCCTCTCAGAATAATGAGATTACAGGCGTGTGCCTGCATCCCACCGAGCTCAATGTGATGTTCTGAAGTTGTGAAATGCTTAAATCAAAGTAATTAAATAAAACTTTAAGGAAGTAACTCATCCTGGCAGCCAGCAGAAGAGCAGGTGGGTAGGGGGCCGGGTGTAAGATCTGCCTGAGGCTGTGTTGTCCAGGGAGATGGAATAGGGTGAACCAGGAGGTTGATGTTGGAGACAGGCGGAGGCACAGAAGCTATTAAGGAGGTGATGGCCTGGACAGTAGGTGGGACAGGAAGTGGAAAGGAGGAGTGAGATGGTTTCTAGGGCTGGTCCTGGTTGGTCTTCCATCATGGGCTGGGCTATCATTGAGCAATCTCTGGCAAAAGAGAGCGCACTCTTCTCAGGGGAAAGGAGGGCAGAGATGGTGAAAGTTTCCCTGGGAATTCTAAAAAAAGTAAGTCTATAGAAGTTTTCCTGAAGACTTTGAGGGCAGAAGCTAGGTGATGTGGCGCAGACGTGAACACACTTACCTTAAGTTCTTCCATCCTCTCCCGGATGGTGGAGAGGTCAGACGAGTGGGTGGGGTCTTGACCTTGTAGCACCTCCTCAGCTTCTACAATCCAGGCATCCAGAGCTTCCAAACTCTTGGCAAAGGTTTCATAGTCAACAACTCCAGCCTTTAACCACACACACACAGAAAAAAAAATCTGCTTTAGTGAAATAAATTGGTATTTTAATGAAATCCAGTGAAATGGCAAATGAGTAATGAAATTACTTTCCATATTCTTGTATCAAATTGCCATTCCCAGGAGAAGATGTTTCTAAAATAACAAGGCCACAATGATATAAAATTTCTCATTTATGTAATTTTTCTAAATAGTAGAATTATTTCTATATACCACTTGCTAACAACTAACATTATTACTTAAATACACTATGAATCACATTTGAAAAAATTCAGATTTTTGTGAAAACTTAAATAAATACTAGTATTAATGATATTTAGTGTTAACTGGACATACCATGAGGCAGTCATGGTTTTGGGGCTTGTCTCGCAGACAAATTTTAAAATTATATAGTAGAGAACGGTGCAAAATCCCTACCATCTTCTCATGTTCCCATTGGAACTTCCAAGTTTGCTTTGGCCTTGGAGGAGGCATTGTCTCACTAATGAAAACCCCATTTCTTGTTTTATGCCCATTTGTTATGAAACATCCAGTTTATAACCCACACTGAACATGAATTTTGTACCTGTAACACTGTCTGTTGTTTGGAAAGAGCTTGCTCCAGGGTACACAAGTGCTGGCTCAGGGAGAGCTGATCAGACTGAATGGCCTGGGCTGCTGAAGCATCCACTTGCTGTTTGAGTTGTTCTCCCAGCTCACGGAGGATGAAAAGGGAGTCTTTAACTGTCCCCAGTTCTTTGAGGAGGTCCTGTAGGAGATGAAAAGATGTGCATCGTGAAACGGTCTGTGAAGTGTGCTACTTGATATAATGAGCAGTAAGAAAAGGACAATTCATCTAAGCATAGTAATTCCTATTTGTTATATTACTGTGCTAAATAACTTTCACTTGCATGAAAATGATCAAGAATTTAATCCAATATCACAACTATTATCTACATGTATTACTATTATATATATCATATATCCACACAAATACATACTTATTATATATAGATATTACACATGTCCACACATGCAGATACTATGTACAAGTGCTCCTCTGATAATAAAGCCAAGGTAGGTTGACTATGGAGAAAATGGAGAAAAACAGACATAAACAGGAAATAAATCCACCATGATCCACAAGTAGAACCAAATATTTTGTCATTTTTTCCTACCTCTTTCTATAATTGGTGTCATACTGAAGACACAGTTCTATATTTTCCCTTTTTCTACTCATTTTTATTTACCAGGCCTTAATTTGCCCATGGCATCTTCTATATGTGTGGTTCTGTTACTGTGGTTCCAACTGTGGTTCCTACTCTCATGGGGTGTAAAACCCAGGGACAGTTCAGATAAGAAGGGTTGACCGCTGTTAGCAGTCTGCATCTCTGTTCTTTCCATGGCGTCTCCTGCTGCCACCTTTTATGAAACTTTTTTTACATGCTCAAAATCACAAGCCTATGAAACCCTCTGTTCTTGGTTTGTAGCCACTACTAAGAGAGGACATGTGACTGCTGGCCCAGGGCCTGCTACACTCACACAGTGACTATGGGATAAACTACGTAGACCCACACACACACACCCCAAATCTTACTGTCTTTATTGTAAGTGTTCATCTTTCGTGTTAAAGTTATTGCTCAGGTTGAAGATACTAGGGTACATTAAACTTTTATTTACATAGTTTTTATAACTTTCCTAATCCTTATAAACTGAGTTGAGAAAGTTTATGAGATGATTTTTGTAACAAGTTCATTAAAATAAAGACGAATAAGGATAAACAGTAAGAGTCATGTAATGGAATAAACAAGAGAAGCGCCTTTCTTGAAAACCTTAAGTAGCTTACTGGCAGCTACAGTGAACAAGATAATTATTTAAAAGCTATTAAAAAATATACCAATAAACCAAGACAGAAAGAATTCTCTCCACCACTAAATTTTTAGACAAAACTATTGTTGATGTTTACAGAGCTGATAATGACCCTAAGTGGATGATGACTTTACCAGTTGATTTCTTCAAGATATAATTTGATACCTCATGAGATAATTTCTTCTACTGACCATCTCAGTAAAAACAGATAACCTAAATCTTTCTCATGGATTATACTCCACCAGGAAAAGTGAGAAAAAATGAAATAATGGGAGGAGACCTCGTATACCTTCAACTTGTCTGTGTTTTGGAATCCTAGAAGGCTCCGAAATATACATAAGACAGTGATTTTCAGGTAACTGTCACTGAGTGAGACATAACCAAGCTTACACACATCAGTACTAGCCCTGCTAAGCTTGCAAAGTCTAGGCATGGCATGTTGGAGAAACAGGGTAGCTCCTACACGTACATTACAATCTTGAATCCACGTAGCAACCTCATCGTCAGCTATGTCCTTGTTAGCCCCTGCCTTCAACAGCTCATTGGTGTGCTTCTCCTGCTGCTGAACCGTGGTGGTACACTGACTGGAGTAGTCCTTGTATCTCTGCCAAAGCTGAAGGAGGGCCTTGCTCCAGTGCAGCTGCTCCGCAATCTCTTCCAGTAAGTTATTCCATCTGGGAAGAGGAGCCAACAGGCATGAGCAGACAATCATCTCTTACCAAATGCTGTTATTTATTATTTTACTTTTCACGATCAAGGTTCATGTGAATATAGAAATACTGCAGGGATGACTCATTTCTATTTAATGCAATAAAAAGTAACATGTCACACTTATATTTCAAAGGTAGATAACAGAGATGTGAGCAATCTTTGGGCATATAGTAGTTCTAATTATTCCTAAATATCTCCACTCTCTCTCTCTCTCTATATATATGTTACATTCACTTTATGAAAATAAAAACATTATCAAAATAGAATCTGAAGAGCTCAACTTCAAAATTTCAGAACGTTCTCATTACACTTACAACAATGCTGGGATATAAATAATGCGTAAAGTTAGCATACTGCATACCTCATATTGATTTCTTTCAAGGTATTGGTGAGAGTTTCTGCCACAGGTGGGTGACACACTTTTAATAGTTCGTTGGTGACAGTGCCAAATTTCTCTAAGCTCCTTTCCTGTTTTTCTAAGTCATCATGAAGATTCTGCCCAAAGAAAAAGTCTCACAGATGACATGACAGCATCTAAATTCTAATAAGCAAGTTTCAAATAATGTTCCAAGTTATACACATGCATGACTTTGCTCTATTGCTGTATAAGCTTCATTTAGATAGTTGCTTTTTCCCTTTTTATGGTTTTGTTTTTATGGTTGTGGGAAGAGATGGTTTGAAATTGAACATTTTTATAGTGGCATCTGGGATTCTGCTAGAAATGACCACAGCAGGTGCCCTTCTCCTGTACCTGGTAAGAAGCTATGGTCATGGCATAAGTAGTGTCCATTACACTGTGGTTTCCACTGATGCTCAAAGCCAAATACCAGGACTCTGCTGACACATGTATAGCGGTTCTTCCAAAACCTCCTGATAATTGAGATTGCAAGTCATAGCTTTTCTGAGTACCATCTCTAAGTTCTATCTTTGGATGTTCTTCTTGTCAAAAATTTAAAAAATTAATTGTATTTTTAATTGACAAAAATAATTGTATATATTCATAGAGCACAATGTGATATCGGAACTCATATTTACATTGTTGGGTGATTAAATTAAGCTAATTAACATATCATCATCTCAAGTACTTTTTTAGAAATGTCTAAAAAAGTTGAACTCACAGAAAATGGGAATAGAATGGTGGTTACCCAGAGGCTGGGAAAGGGAAGGGGAGATGCTCATGGTTTCAGCTGGACAGAAAAAATAAGCAATGGTGGTCTATTGCACAGAACATGACTATAATAAATGATGATGCACTGCACATTTCAAAATTGCCTGCATTAGGGAGGTTTGGTGGAATCTTCCACCAAAGACCAGGAAGGAATTAGAAGATGATGTTTTCCTGGAAATGTTACCAAAATGATAGACTGAGTTCTTAATAGAATTTCCCAGGCAAACTGGGCTGCAAAATCTAGTGCTATTTAACATCAATATCTGATTGCCTTTAAATCAAAATATTCAAGGGAAGGGCACTAAATCCTTTCATAACTCTTGTAAGTGTTAAAAATAGACTATGTTAAATTGAAAAAGACTTCTAACATCCTCAAAGTTACAAAGTGTGGTTTTAAATTTATCATGCTCAAAATGAGTTTGAAGGATTCCTGATATCTGCAACAACTATTTAAAGTCAAAAGAACTTACATTTACACATTTCATCCTTGTTCCCTCCACCCCACCCTAAAAAAGACATTCCCTTCAGAACCACTGTGCAGGAGGTTGGCAACACATCAACTCTGAGAGCCAAGTCAGGGAAGTGAGCTACAAGAACCACAGGCACATGCCGGGCTCCTGGGCATCCTGTCCTTTGAGGGCTGGCCCTGCACTGCCCAGGGTCTGCATTATTAGTCAAGAAGAAAGAGCAGTGACAAGTGAGTGTGGCCCAATGCCCAGGTGTGCAGGGGAGTGAGGGCAGCAGTGATTTGAGGACAGTGGCCTGCGGTGGGAGCTTGTGCCATAGCTAAGAGAAAAAGCAGCAATGAGTTCTAGACTGAGTGAGAATGGAGGTATAGGAAAGCAGGCAGTGAGCGCTGGGAAAGAGGAATGGTGGAGACACTGAACAGCCTGCTGCTATTACACTGAAGGGAAAAAATAACTTCATGCTTTAAACATTTACCACTTTTGCTATTTTTCTCTTTGTTTTCATTTTAATCCCTTAGAAAGTGTTTGAAAAGGCAGGATAAAAAGAGAAAGGGAAGACACAAAAGGCAGTGACGATGGGTGGAGGAAGTTGATTTGGCATAAAATCATTTTATTAAATACACTGATGCAGAGACTTATAACATAAGAGGAAGTTTACAATCACTCATATAGCAACTCATCCAGAACTTGGTGCCCACAGGCATATTTGACTAAGTCATAATAAAGCACGTAAACTTAAAGATTTAAAAAATACTAAATGTCGGGCCGGGGATTTAGCTCAGTGGTTCTGCAACCTGCCTTGCAAGCACAAGTTCCAGAGTTTGATCCCCAGTACTAAAAAAAAAAAACCTAAATGTAAACAATTTATTGGCAATCTTTGCTGGTTATTAGATTTAGTCAATTAAAAATAGTGTTAAGGATGCTTTAAATTCATGCCTTACCTGAAGATTGTCTACCTGAACCTGCACAGCTTCTAAGGAGCCGGTCAGCAGTCGGAATCTGGACAGGGAGTATCTGGCTTCCATGAGGTGACTGTTCATCTCGTCGAAGGCCACTTTGTGATGTCCCCACAGGTCGAGCACTGACTTCAGCAGTACCTTCAGCTGCCCAGCCTTTTACAAAGGAGGAACAGTTGTTGTAATTATGTGATATTTAAAATGATAGAAAATATACTCAGTAGATGGAAAATATTAGCATCTATAAACATCAGGGTTTTGGGTATTTTAAAAAAAACTGAAAAAAATATGGGAAAGGTAAAATGAGCAGCTTTGAAATTCATGCCTTTCAAACTGTTGAACCCTCAGTCTAAATATAAATGCTTAAAAGGTGACTAATAAATATATATATATATTCCAAAGTGAGAGGAAGTAATTGTATTGCACAAAGGCATTTAGGAAATATATTGAGTGTTGTCAATGTATTAATTCACTGGATTGACAACAATCTTATGAGACAGGAATAATCATTATCCCCATCTCATGATGAGGAAACTGAGGTGCTGAGAGGTAATGAAAATTACCTACCATCATACTGTTAGAAAATAAGAAATCTATGTTTAAATCCAGGTAGTATGGTCCCAAGAAATGACATCTGTATATAGGCATGTGCACACATGTGCACACACACACACACATACACACACACACACTCTCACATGAATATCTTAAGACAAAACATATAAAGCCATTTTCTGTATGTATTTGTATCAGAAAATTTTTTACTTTGGCCCTTATCATTTTATCAGATGTCTACTTGGACTTCCTGGATGTCAACACTGATGTAAAACTAACCCTCTGAATGGAGAGTACGTATGGGCCTGATTATCATATTTTATTATCATATAAACTCATTTGCATCTGCTTTCTCTGCTTCTCTTCTTGCATAAAGGGAAACTGTTGCAACCAATCAAAGTAATCTGATGGACCACAGGATGAAGCAAGTGCTGTGTCAGCTATGAGGCAATCCCCACAGGTGCAGCCAGGCTCCAGGCCTGTCCTAGGAAGCCCTGACACAGACAGGGAGGCAAGTAAAAAAGATCAACAGGAATTTAAACAGTCTGTTTCCTCTTTATACTAGTTTGTTTTTTCATGAGGCAATATTTCCATGAAAAAACTATTTATTTTATACTTTCACGGTAAATTGTTTCCAAACATTTGCAGTAATTACAAAAATCCATATAGTAAAATAGATTTCAAGCCAGGTTCAAGATAAGGTAAAGACAGAGTAGAAAGCTGAGTTGGGAGATGTCTCCCAGTTGAATTCCCCAGTCTCTGTTTCTATAGAGTTCAGGAGCAAAATAAGGCTGGAGAAAGATGCTGAGAATTATCTGTGCCTAGGTGGTGTTGAAAGCTATGGGAAGGAGTGAGTAATATTTATCACAATGTTTCTCAGAGGAAGCACCAGAAGCTAGAGTTTTCTTTGTAAAAAGCAGTTAATGAAATGGACTTAACAGTACGAAGAGGTGATACATAGATTTGGTAATGAATTGCAAAGTCACTTTAAGGAAACTAAAACCCAGAGATTGATTGGACAAGAGCTAGCAAGCAGTCCTGGAGCTGAGGCGCCCAGAGCAACATTACCATGTGGTCTAAATTGCCCCAGGCCTGGTTGAGCCCCCGCAGTGTGCTCCTGACAGTGCCAGACACTTCTTCTTTCTTGTTCTGAATCAAAGCAAGGCCATTCTGCTCAATTGTCTCTACTTCTTTTTCTTTTGCTTTAATCAAATCTTCAAGGTCCTGAAATATTTTAAAAATAATCATTTCAAACGATTTTATTATGGAACCCTGGGTACCCTGAAATTGCGCTATGATAGTTTTGGGTACTATAAGTCTGTTGCGAATCCGAAAGATTACCATTCTCAAAAAAGGGTCTCCACAGCAATATTTCTTCCTACACTTAAATATAAAAAATACAGCTTTTTCTAATCTATTGGGGAATTGACATAACTTAAAGGATATAAAATCTGATCATCTACTAGAAAAAGAAATAACATCATGTAATTTTTTTTTAAAACGTTACACAGAAAAATGTGCCATAAATGGTAAAATGATTTTTAAAGTCAGATTATCATTGGGCATTTAAAAAGTTACACTCCCTACCCTCTTGGAAGAAATGTGATAGAATGGTGCTCAGAATGAGGTTCAGAAATATTTCTGCTTCTATTAAGTGGTGTTGCTTTGTGTAAGTGAATAACGTCCAGTGTGTCCCAGTTTCTCACATGGGAAATCAGAAGGTTGGGAAAGAGTTTCCATTACAGTATCTTCCCTTTCTTTCTAAAACACTACGATTATATGTGATTCTGAAAGACTAGAGGTTTTTTTTTCATGAATCAAATCTTCATTTTCTTCAGGATGTGCATTTATAACTATCAGATGAAATGTTCAAGAAGGGAAAATGAAATGAGGAAAAGATCTCCCATGTCCCAGTCATAATCCAACATATATTTTAAGGCCCTGGAGGTTAGAAGGAAGAAAATCCAAAAATACTTTAAGTTTGGGTAAAGTCTCAATTATGTAAACATGATTTTCATCCCTTCTCACAATCCATATATGTGATAGTAATATTGAGATTTGGTAGCTAGTGATATGGTGTTAGTGATAAGCCTAGTATCTGCTATAGTAATTATAACTGTATGCCTCTTATTGTCTCTTGTCTCTGTTGTGGTTCAACCTTTTCATTTCCCTCTACTTCATTGGGACAATAAAATATTTTCTACTTACCTAAAGATATAAAATTAGGTAAATGTATATTCAGTAGCTTTTAATATGTCAAAAACTAGCCAAATATAAGATATTATATTCATCCACTTGGCAGTGTATCATATTTCAGAGGAAATTTATTTATTTTTCTCCTGAATTACTACTAAGCTATTTTTGTTTTAATGCAATTACTTAGAAATTCATGCTTAAAGAAATCACTTTTGTTTTCCATTTCATTCTCTCATCTCTACTTTATAATCCTGTGAATATTATAATTACTTTGATAATTACTAGAGAAGGAATCTAATAATTACTGGGATTGCAGGTCCTTTATGTAGTATAGAAAACAAAATTAACTTTACATTTTACAACTTTTCTCTTTACTACTATAAAAGCAAATAGCATACATCAAAATCCTAGTTTATATTTAACATATATTACTGTATATTTATTTATATTTTGATATATAATAAATACTTTTAAATAATTCTGTCAGTATGATTCTAAGATTCACATATTATAAATTAATTTTATTCTCATTTATCTATAGGTGTTAACTATTTTCAGTGAGAAATATTAAAGGGATTATCTTCTGGTTAGAAACACATCTCAATAGATGCCCTGTACATGGATGTTGGCATAAGAGCAAAACCAGGAAGGAAACTTTTTTGCAAAATAAAGGTGTGTTCTCCTTTCTTTTCAATAATAATTTTAAAAATTATTCTGTTTCTGGTCAATAATGGAAAGGCCCAACCTAACATTTTTGTTACAATAAATCATTCTCAACTTGGATTAACTCATAAATATCAGTTTTTATATTGCTTTAAATTAATAAATCACCTCCAAAAGACTGGGAAAATATTCAAGATTTTTTAAACAAAATTCAGTCTGAATCCAGTCACTGATTTAAGTATGCTGGCTTGAATTTTACACTTTGGTCCAAAGGAACAATTTCTCAAAAATGACAATAAATTTTATCAAGGTTTGTGGTAATGCCAAGTAGAACCTGCCAGTTAGGTCACTGTAATTTATCCGTGATGTTTCAAAACAACAGAGTGGGTAAATTTCTTTCCATGATTTTGTTTCAAGGAAGTAACTTTTCATTTGAAATCATAAAATGGTATTAATATAGACTTCATTAAACTGCAATACAGGCTTTCTTTCTGAACAGTGCCTGAACCGACCCTCTGGGAGATGAAAACTGAGGTCCTTGGAGTAGTATAATTTGGCCAAACTTCTATAATATTTTCCAAATAGCAGTGTGTATCTGTTACATGGAAGACATACATAGGAAAAGAAACAAAATGGAAAATGGGGGGGGGGGAAGGCATTAAAGAAAAGGAAAAAAATAGTAAAGAGAAAAAGAAAAGGAGGGAGAAAGGAAGGGAAAAAAGGAGAAGTTACATTACTGTAGTATTTCAGCCTTCCAATAGTAAAGTCATCCCAATAAGGCAGCCATGAAGCACTAGCCTTGCTAATGTTAACACTGAGAACTGCTCTCTGAAATGAGTAGAAATCTTTTAACTAGGAGCTCAACAGAAGATATGATTTTCCATCCCTAAAAATAAAATTTTGAAATTCTGGCTTATTTGTAGACCTTAGCATTTACGGACTAAAGTAGAAGTACTACAGGTCCTTGGAAAATTGGAAATGTAGTGAGACTAGCTGATGTACATTTTTTGGTCTTTAGGCTTTGTTATACCCATCTTCTGATATGAAGCATTTTAAAAATGATTATTGCTGGGGGTTGTGACACACGCCTGTAATCCCAGCACTCTGGAGGCTGAAGCAGGATGATTGTTGTGAGTTTGAAGCCAGAATGGAACACACAGTGAGTTCAAGGCCAGCCTGAACTACATAGTAAGACCCTGTCTCAAAAAAAAAGATTATTTAAAAGTACTTCGCTATTGGATGTTTTTCCTTGCCATTTTTATGCAACTTCCTAACTGCAACCCATTAGCAGGTGAGCCTAGCCTTCAGAGCATGTGATAGTCCTCTTCCAAACCCTAAGTCTCTGAGTGCTTAAATATAAGCTTCTCATTACAGTATATCTGTCTCAAACAGAAAATATGCTGATCAGAAAGGAGATTTGTTTTACCCAAGTTCTTTCCTTTAGAAATTTAAAATAGAAAAACAAGATTTGGGGAAAGGATTTTTTGCCGGAAACAATATATAAGAACAGTCATAGCTAATCTGCAAAATAGTGAAAGAAGTGCATTATTTTACAATAATTTTGATTACACCATTAACAGGAAGAGCTCACATTTCTTTTGTGTATATAAGGTTATCTGAGGAAATTCTGTGTTGCTCAGTCACTGGAAAACATTGGAATGCAATCCTTCCACCTGAACCCTCCATCCTCAGCACTAACAAGGCAAAGGCAGACTCCCTGAGCTTCACTGTGGTCAGAACTGGAAGAAGGAGCAGTCACCCTGTCCAGTTCGGTGGAACTGAAGTCCAATCAAGGCTCTAGAGCTGATCCCCTCACAGGAAGTACAGAGCACAGAAGCAGTGACGTGACATGGTAAAGAAGAAGCGACATTAGCCAACTTAATCAGGCTATTGCTGAACATGAGATCAGTCTAATTTCTGCAACAAGTTAGTATGAGAAAATATTACAGAAACTTAAGAACTCCAACAAGTAAATATAGTACACAGACACTGTATTCTCATTTTGAATAAAATTTTTTTAAAACAATTCAAGAAATGTGATTATGGCTTGAACATGAAATAATATTAAGAAATCATTGTTAATTTTTGTGGTAATATTATGGTTACATAAGAAAAATATCTGTTTCAAAGATGTGCATGACAGTGTCTAGGGATAAAATGACATGATCTCTGGGATGTATGATCCAGTCTTTAAGAAAAAAAGGGAATTCAGGCAAATGTATTTAAAATCTTGTAGTTTTAAATCTAGTGATCAGTATATGGGATTTACTGCATTTCTCTCTGCTTAATGAGTGTGTTTGAAAATTTGCATACTTTCAAATTTTTAACAGCAGCTGAACTGAGCATGGTAGTGCATGCCTGTAATGCCAGCACTTGGGAGGCTGAGGCAGGAAGATCACAGCAAGTTTAAGGCCCGCCTGAGTATATGCTGTGTTCAAGGCCAGTTTGAACTATATAATGAGACCTTGTCTCAAATAAATAAATAAGTAAAAGCAGCTGAAAAATAAGTTGAGAAAAACCTCTATTAGCCACATAGTCAGAGAAATTTGTTACCAAATACAACTTTTGAAAATTATTTAGCTTGCAGATCCCAGAGCCTAAAACCTTTCTCAGCTTATGCATGAAACTGTGAAATGGAAATGTGTGTAAGCCCCCTGGACCAGTTACCTGACAGTCTTTCAGTGCATTCTGAACAGAAACCTGATCTCCAATTCGATGCTGTTGTTTCAGTCTCTTTTCCTGGGTTTCAAACCAAGTTTTCAGACATTGTACATTATTTTCATATTCTGACCAAGATTCCAATAAGCCTTCCAACATCTGGATCTGAGCAAACAATGAAATTAAACTTGCAATTTTTTTAAAAGAAAATCAGTGGCAGGCTAATTAGTCTAGCCACTATTACCTCCCAAATGAAGAATTCTTAAAATGCAGTCCATTGTACATATAATTTAAGAAATTAATTTTATCAAGTGTGAATTAATGGTTATTATTGGTAAACAAGAAAGAATTAAAGTCAGCTTGAAACAAAGGGAAGAGAAATTAAGACATATCTTTAAAAACAACTTGAAATATACAAAGAAAAAAATAACAGGACTAAAGAAAGTTTAGAGCCAAGCTGGCAGCATTCTTATGCCCCAAACAGCCATACTAAGTGTGAAATAAGTTTCCCTGGCAGAAGGTGCCTGTTCTCAGGGTTTCTGGTAAAAATGGGCAGTAGCAGGACACCTGGCTTACCTTCTCAGTTACTAGACTTTGCAGGATTTGCCAACTTTTATTCATCGCCCCGAGCTGCTCTGCAAAATCGGTCTTATCACTCCGTTTACTTTCCACATCCTGACTGCTGATTTGTAGCACAGACTGGTTCACAAAATCCACTGTCAGCTGTTTGCAGTTAATGTCTATCTTAAAACCCTAAGGAAAAAGCGGGGACAATAAGAAAAAAAGGTGGCATGTAGAAGAAATAGATCATTTTTACCAGGAGTTGGAAAACCTTAGATTACCTTAATATTAGTATTGTCATTTCTATAACATTGTCCAAATGGCACAATTTGTGTTTATTCCCATGGCCTATCATTTTCAGAAGTTGAACATATATATGTATACATTATATAAACATACATATGCATGTAATTAGGCAGAAGATGCAGAACTGGTAAAATCACATAATATTTATAAATTGTAATATTTATTTTTATCATCTCTATTATTTCTCAAATAACAAAATTATTCCCAATACTGGACAAGCTTTCTAGGGCTATACTTAGGGACATAATTTTCCTGTTTCTGAATTCCTCTCTGGTCATCATGTATGGAATATATATCCCAAGACCTGACTTCCAGAATTTGGGTTTTTGAGTTCACTCAAATAAAATACCTTAAGTACACGAAAAATTTAAACCAAGTGTTAATTACCTTATATTTCTGAAGGTATTCATGAATTGCTTTGTAACCTATAGCATTTTTTATATCCTCTTCATCCTTCTGAATAACACTTTCCATTAAAGAGATCCAACTCATGACTTCAGAAATGGCATGGCGGGAAGGCAGCTTATCCATTTGGAGCTGGAAGACAAGTTAGAGACAGAACGAGTCCCAAATATTAAATTCAAACCCAATTTCTGCTAACATAAGAACACCACAGTAATTCGTACTAAAGTACCAACAGAAATATTAAGGACTTTTTTTATAGAGCTTTGAAGCTTGAAACACGAGGCAAATACTGAACAATACTAGTCATTTTATGTTCACTTGACATCTAATACTGTAAACATTGTATAAATATTAACTAATTAATCACAACACCAGCAAGAAGAAAATATTATTCTTATTTTATAGCTAGTTTTATGAGTTTTAAAAAACCTAACTACAAAACATTCAACAGATGTGTTTTATTAATTATCCTGTAAAAATCTCTGTGTATTATGACTCAGGAATGCTAAAAGAAAGAAGAAAAATACCACACTACAAGATATCATTTTCTAGATATTTTGGCACTGTAATATTTATTCCTAAGAGCACAGCCAATTTCTTGAGTCTTTAACTGAAATATACTGGCTTCTGAATTTTACTTACGATAGCACACATTTATAAGCATATTTATCATAATGATTTGTAAAAATGAAGGCAGTCATTTAAAATATTTATAAATCAACTCCTAATGTGGTGCTGAAAGGCAGAGATGAACATAGGCTTTTGTTCCTTTAGGAATGTGTAGCTGCTGATTGAGAGAGAGAGTGTGTGTGAACACTAAACACAGTTATTATACATGACAAACTGTGATAATAGAGAAAAATAATAAAATGATCTGGGATTTCAGGGGAGTGAGGCCTATTTCAGATAAGAGGAGTACAGTCATGTGCCGAATAATGACGTTTCAGTTAATGACATATTTAATGGCTGTCCCGTATGATTATATTGTCCAGTGACATTATAGACATCTTAGTTCACGTAAATATACTCTATGATGTTCATACAATGACCAAAATGGCCCAAGGACATATTTCTTAGAATGGATCTCTGTTGTTAAATGATGCATGACTGTACCTACACTTACTGAATTCCAGTTGCTCTCTTGTATGTGAAACAATAGACCTTTTACCATAATCTATCATAATTCTTCGTTGCTACTCACTTTATATAATTGCCCACATTATATCCATCAGGAAACAATTAAAACAAAGCCAACGATTCCAATGCATACACACAAACATGCATATGCATATTAAAGAAGCTTTTGGAAGTAGTGCTGTCTGAGTAGGACTCTGTAGAATAGTTCATTTTTACTATATAGTCCAATGTGAGAAAGAGAAGGCAAATTTCTGAGACAGAGCTGATTTAAATTTATGAGCGAAAGCAGATTAACATAGTTTTCCATTTAATATGGCTTTAATCAGTTGTTACCAAATAAACCAGTCCTTACTTCCATACCTGGTGGAGCTTTTCCTGAACAGCTGGAATATTTGTCAGGAGGTCCATCCACTGACTATCAATGTGGGACAACTCGGAGCGCAGGGCAGCTGTGTCCACCTTCTTCAACCGAAGAAGCTGATTTCCAGTGCTCAGAACGGATGATTTCAGGGAAGATTTGGCATCTACTTCTTTAGAAAACTCCTAAAAGAAGTGGCACTATTCAAATTAGGATTACGTAGCCAGACCTTTCATTTGGGTGCAGAGATCAATTTAGAGAATAGGACAAGTTTCCTCTACATGTTCAAGGGAGGGCTAGGTTGGGCTCACTAGAGGAGAGTGAAATCAGCACATTGTTGCCCTCAAATGAAGGCCAACCATTACTTAAAAATTACCAGAAAGAGACAATGTTGAACATAAGCAGAGGTGAGCCCGATCAGTATGCATAAGAAATTCAGTATCTATCACAGTGATTTCTTTTTTGCTAGTGTATGGGTTAGGCCTTACCTACTGCTTAAAAACACAAAATTGAATCAAATGTCTTAGATTCTCAGACTTACCAGGAAAGCATTTAGATGATCACGGACCATTTCTAGTTCTTGTGGGACTGTCACAGATTGCTGAGTCCAAAATACTAGCCTGTCTTTTGCGGAATGTAACCAGTGAATTAGATCTGCAGATTCACTTTGATATCTGTAAATATGTTAATGAATCCATTAAGTAAACATTCAATCCCTGTCTTCTGCTCAGTCATGTTATTCACCAACGCCTAGAGTTTTACAACAAGAGCCCTGATAGATTCAGTAGAAAACTGCACTAGGTTGACCCTCTAAAATTCTTGTCTCTCAATATTTATTCCTTGACCAAGTTTGTGTTTCTGTTTCAGCTTTCCCTTCTATAACCACAAAGCAAATAAAAACCAAAAAAAACCCCATAAAAACCTTTCGCTTCCTTCACATTGGCACTTAGAAATACTAGATGATGTTTATAAAATTTCTTTGAAATAAGAGAGTATATCATCACATAAAATCAACCATCTGCCTCCTTTGAGACATCCCATTGCCCTTGAGAAGTTCCCCTTAATCAACATTTTCTCTTCTTTCTCTACTTCTAAGGTTTTACTGGGACCACTTAGGTACAGTCATTAGGCAAAGAAGGGTGACCGCTCAAAGGTATGCTTCAGTATGCACCTGTCTTCCTGCCTAGCTTTTAATATATGTTTACACAAAAATGGAAGTATACAACTGGGGACTTTCTGTTTGTCTTTATTTTCCAAATTATGCAACTTTCCAAACTTAGAAATCTTTTCCAAGTCCAGCACCCAGTAGTCTCAATACACTGCAGGAATTATTAAAAATATGCAAAATAAGCATCCTATTACCTGGTCCAGTGTTTCAATATTGTTTCCAATCTGTGAAGTTCCTTAGACACTTTACTGGTATTACTTAGCCAGCGCTCTCCAAGTTGATTTAGCTGGCTTTCTAGCTCTGAGCAGCTGATAGATATCAGAAGTCGTTTTCCATCATCTAATACTTGATATAATTTGGGCTGGTATTCATTGAGGCTGGATTTTAAATGCTAAAATGATCAACAATGTGGGTTAAAAGTTTAAATATGGTATACTTTGTCCTTGAGAATTTTAATTTCTCTGGCGTTCACAATGTTCCCATTATCCATTATTCAAACAAACTATTTACACCCAACAACACTGAAGACTTGAAAATAGTTCATTGTAGTTCATCTCTATAAGAGTACAGATATTCTCCTTTTCATTTTGTTGGTAGTATTTTTAGGTCCAATTAAAATTGTTGAACTTAAGTATTTCATGAATAGTGTAATACACCAGCATAAACTACAGAAAATACTTTATGGAGGCTTAGTGAAAATAACTGGAAAGCTTTTTAAAAGAGCTCTTATTTAAAAAATAATTTTTTGTGCAGTGCTGGAGATCAAATCCAAGGCCTCATGCATACTAGACAAGTGCTCTACCACTGAGCTACACTCTCAGCCCAAGAAAGACATTTTCAAAAATATGCTACTCTAACAAGCACAATCTATCTGCTTGCAACAATGACCTTATTTTGAAGAAAGATAAAAGCAGTTAATACAACATTTAGATTCATACAATCTAAATTTATTTAGATTCCGTTAATACTACTAGAAAGCTTTTAATGGAAACATGGCCGCTCCTCACACCAAGACACCTGGGGACCCTGACCTGGTAGAGGCTGGCCCGTTCCATGAGCCTGTCTTCACTCTCCTCCACCAGGCCCACACTCGGGATGCTGCTCTCCACTACCTCCAGCTGTCTGCTGAGCTCCTGCCGGTCCTCATCCAGATGCGACCAAGTCTGGAAATGCAACATCAGTCCATGAGCTGAGGAATCCTCCCTAGGGAAGAACACTCCTGCTTGGGCACAAAATATGCTCTTGACAGAGTCTCATTCAAGTAATGTTAGGAATGTTTAGGTTGGGGTTTGCTCTGAGAAGGAAAAATGGCTCTAAAGCAAGTATTCAGATGGTGACCCTTAAAAGCATTGTGAATGGGTATTAGTACTGCAATCTACTAGCTGTATGAATATGGCTAAGTTTCTGAACTTCATTTTCTCTAGTAGAAAATATATCTTTTCCTGATAAAGAAAAATTTCACATCAGTTATTCCTAAACTCAGACTTTTATTTGAAACTGGAAAAGACTTTAAAAATCAGTTTAAGTATTTCCCAATCACTTATAGAAAAGGTCAGCAGGTTATCACATGCATATTCATTTTAATCTGTAGCAGGGGTGGCAATAGGACATAACAGTAATGATCCATGTTTTTTCTAGCCTACATACCTATCGCTATGCCCTGTCTGAGGCCTAGGGATCTAGCAGTGAATAAAACAGAATGCATGGGAAAAATCCATGCAGTCTAGTGAGGGGAGACAGGCAGTACACAACAAACTATAAATCAGAAAGCAAAGAATAAATTCCATGGCTTATAAAGAGTTCTTGGGCTATGGGGGAATTAAATTGAGCTGAGCAGGGAATGAGGGAATTCCCAGCGTGTGCTTGATGAAGCTGCAATTTGAATGATGTGGTCAGGAAGATAGGCACTGAGAAGTGCACATTTCAGGCAGCGAAGCCAGACAGGTGTGGTACAATTGCTGACTCTGCTCCCAATTAATCATGTGCTATGGCAAGATACTGCTCCCAGATTCAGTCCTACCAGAGAGATTCACAGTATATTTCATTGTGAGTGATTCGAACAAATGTAAAATGTCTGGTTGGGAGACTAGCATATCACTAAAAAGTAGGTGTTAGTACAAGGATTTGAAATGCTACAGTTTCTCTCTAGTTACATAGTACATTGAGGAATTCCATGTCTGGAACTTTTGTAGTTAGCTACCTATGATAATGTTGGGTCAAGGAGGAAGATGAAACAGGGAAAAGTGTACATATGAGCTATGGGTAATCCAAGTATGGGTGGTAATGTTGGTGGAGCAGACAGGGAAGACAAGAAAAGAGAGAAAGATATAATCCCTAAAACTTTTACGGGATAGAGGAGGAATAAAAAAGCTAGAACAGTGCAGGTCAACTGATTTAGTTACTGCATGAAAAAAGTGGACTGTTGTATCAGCAATGTCTCACATTCACACAGGGCTCTATGGCTGCTCACCTGGCCTCTGCTGAGCACCTATTCGGTGTTCAAAGTCAAATGCTTGTGGTAAAGCTAAGCCTGGCTGACTCTAGAGCAGAGGCTTAAAATCTTTTCCTAACTGAATGTGAGAACAAAATCTCACAGCATCTGTGTGTGACAGGCAGGATAAAACCTCAGATTCTTAACCAGGGTGAATGCTACAAATGACTCCTGTAATCTGAACCCAGATTTTCTCATTTTCATCTAGTATTCTTGGTTTTTTTAAAAAACAAATCCTTCATTTTCTGTTTTCAGAGTACAAAGATTTGGGCTCATGTATCCGTCCTCTGGCTCCTGGATGCTAGTGACAGGTCTTATCATAAGAGCACTTGCACTGGGCACAGAGCCAGGGATATATTTTTACATTTTTCATGCTCTTAATGAGGCTTCTTTCAGCTTGAATATCAAACCCCTATATATCTCTTCATGCACAGTCTGAAGTCAGTCTCCTAGCTGACTCACAATTTAGCACCCCCAAATGGAAAGAGAAAATAATAAGAGGAATAAGGGAACACATGACCATAGGGAGAGCACAATCCTGAGCCAGGAAGCAGAGCTAGCTCCAAGGTCACGGCGGGGGGGGGGAGTAGAGTGTGTGATTAAATATATCTCCCCTGAGGGTTTGCTTTGCAGGGGAGGATGCTGCACTTCGGCCTCACCTCTAGGATGTACTCCAGCTCCATACCCTTCTTGTGTGCCCGCTTCAGCACAGCAGATGCCTGAGCCATCAGGTCCGTATGGCACTGGGTTTCTTTGGGGACTGCAAAGCTGATGATCTTTCTGAAGAGCGTTTCTGTTAAGATCATATGCGATTCCAGGCCTTGAAAATATTCCTGCAATTTTGCAGGTAGATAGAGGTCAACAACTCATTCATAAATACTTCAAGATAAAAATTGCTTCAAATGCAAAAGCTGTTGGAATTCAGTGATATGAGTGCTATCATTCGGCTCCCACTCATCTCTGTCTTACGTGGGCACCTCACTACCTGTGCATGCTGCCTGCACAGACTGGTGCTCTGGGCCTTGAACTGGCCTCTTGTCTTCCCATTTACCCTACACACACCATTGTGCTACAGACACGATGTCCCCAAAACAAAGCTCTTCCTATGTGACCAGCTGCTAAAAACCTCCTTGACCCCAGTATGTGTCCCTTGCACCCTGGCCTTCCTTCCTTCCCTGATGTGGTCTCATTAACCCCACTGTACCAGTGGCAAACATTAGCTCCCACTTCCCGCTCTTCAGCCTCTGCTTATACTCCTCTTCTCAGGATGTCTGCAGGTGATACATCCAATGACTTTCCTTCCTCTGTAGCTGGGCTTGAGCCCTACTTTCTGAACTTCTGAAGTGTCATGATTATTTTTCTTCCTGTCAAGAATAGCTTCACTGGTATTAACAGCCTAATTTGATATTAAATATTTTCAAATGTCCCTCAAATTTCACCTCAATGCCGCAGACCTGTAGGCCTTGCACGAGCCTATACACATTTTTGAAATGTCACATTTTACATGCAAGAGATCCTGGGGGATGAGATGGGCCCTATCCTATTTCCTACGCCCAGCACCATGAAAAACAGCTAACATTAACTGAGTTTGCATTATTAGCTGGGCACCCAAGCCTCCTTATTTGACTCATATCATCCTTCTACCTACACTATAACTCTACAAGATGGGTAGTTTTACCTCTCTCTCTTTTTTTTTAATATAACCAACCGCAAAATTACGGAAGATTTATTCATCAAATACAAAGAAATGTTAATAAATACATGAAAAACTTACAAGGTCATTTACAAAAAACAGGAACAGTAAATATGGATTTAATTGAAAAAAACAATTTTTTTTTTTTTGGATCCGGGATCGAACTCAGGACCTTGCGCTTCCCAGGCAGGCAGTAGAACCACTGAGCTAAATCCCCGGCCCTAACTGAAATTTTAACATAGCCACATTTGGGAAGTAGAGTAAGGCAATGGGGGCAGTACGATGGGTTTGAAAAGCCTCCTTTATCCTTTTATCAATAGACAGACATTTAGGCGTTTTATTGAAGTGTATATATATAAAACAGCAATGGAAAGTAGTTGCTTCTGGAAACAGAATTTGGTATTACAGGCAAAGTAGATAGGTATGTCCCATTTGGCTTTAAGCCTTTTAGAGGTACTTTATGCTTTTATGTATTTTTTTTCTCTTTTCTTTTTTGTTTTTTTGAGGCAGGGTTTTGCTTTGTTATTCAGGCTGGTCTTGAGCTCTATGTGTAGGCCAAGCTGGCCTGGAATTTATGGCACCCTCCTGTCTCAGCCTCCCAGTGCTGGGATTACAGGTGTGCGTCCCCACACTGGTATTTTATGGATATTTGTAACTTACGTACATGTAGGCTGGGAGAAAGCTGAAAGAAGATGATGAAGCACTCATATTTAAAGACAACATCTTTTTGAAGTTTATTAACAGTACTATTAAACCCCTTATTTTTTCAGTTCATACGAAGTTTTTGTTTTAAAGATTGAATTTATTTCAGAAGTACTTATAAACCAGTGAGACATGACTAAAGCATTTATAGTAAAGTTTTCAAATTTTAATACCTACCTTTTTGTGGGATAAAAATAGCATTACCATTGTAGTATTTTTGTTTTTATTAAAATTAGTTCTTTTCAAGTTTGATTACTACTAACAAATCCTGAGTTTTGGTACAGGCAGAGTATCCCTTATCCCAAATACTTGGAACCAGCCAGGTGCAGTGGTACGCTCCTTCTAATCCTGGCACTTTGGAGGCTGAAGCAGGAGGATCACCTTAAATTTGAGGCCAGCCTGGGTTACTACATAGCGAGTTCAAGGCCAGCCTGAACTACATAGGAAGACCCTGTCTCATAATCAAACCAAACAAAAAGATTCGTACCAGAAGTATTTTGGAATACGTACATATACAGAATGTGGTGTGTTTTGGATGGAACCTCAGTCTAAGCATGAATTTCACTTATACTTCATAAATGCCTTCTGTACATAACCTGACGGCAATTGGATACAGTGGTTTTCATGTTGCCTGTGAATCATAGTTGCATGGTGTGGAATTTTCCATTTAGGCATTCTGGATTTTTGGATTAGAGATGTTAAGTCCATAGTATTCCAAGGAAAAGTAGAAATATGATCTTTTTTTCTATATGGAGAATTGAATCCAAGGCCTTCACACTGAGCTATATCCTCAGTGTAACTTTTAAAATTATCTTTTATTTTGAGGTAGGGCTAAGTTGCCCAGGCTGGGGTTGAACCTGCAGTCCTCCTGCCTCAGCTTCCTGCAGTGCTGGGATTACAGGAGTATGTCACCACACCTAGCTCAAAACACGATAATTTAAAAAATTATTTTTTGGGCTGGGGATTTAGCTCAGTGGTTCCGCCGCTTGCCTCGCAAGCACAAGGACCCGAGTTCAATCCCCAGTACCAAAAAAAAAAATTATTTTTCATCTTTTAAGCACTGTTTTATGGTAAAAAATTACTATTTGGTTCTAAGTGTTCTTATATGCAAATAATTTGTACTGTGGATGGTTTTTATTTTCCTGACATCTACATTATACAACTCCAATCACTGAATTCTTCCTCATCACTGAAGTATGTGCTCTTCTTTATCCTCAGGCGCCATGAATCCTCTGGTGTTGAGGGGCCCCCTGCACTGGGTTTCCATTGCTTCTGTTCTTCAGTCTTGGCTTGCTGGGCGCGATGGCTTGGCTGAGACTGTCGAGAGCAGGGTCTTCCCCTTCGTCTTCACTTTCTGCCACGTCCTCAGTTTCTTCCGGTTTGGCAATTTTCTTTTTCTTCTTTTTTTCTTTCTTCTTTGGAGGCTCACGTTCTCCGAGCATGCTTTTGGACAGGCAGAACTTAAATGTCCACTTTCCCCACATTCGTAACACTTCGATTTATCAAATTATTAGTTTCGCCTTCGGATGAATTCAGCTGCTCTCCCATTGCCAATAGCAACACTTGCCTTTATCACTCTACCAAACAATTGTTTGTTGTTTATGGCTCTGGTGCAGTTTTGTGCAGAGTCTTTATCCAAAAATTATAAAAACGCAACCCCTTTACTCTTCCTCGTATCTTTGTCTTTCATTATGGCAACCAAGTTAAGCACTACTCTTTCTTAATTTCCTCAACTTTACAACTTTGCCATATTTGGAAAATATCCGGTATAAGTCGTTATTTGTCAGGGAGAAGGGCAAGGTGGACACATACACTGTGCTCTTACTTGGAGTCAAGCCACCACTCATTTCTTCAGGGACAGTGGCCTGGCGCAGCGGGACTTCAACCCCAACTTTTCCTCGCCCCTCGCAGCGGCCTGGGCATCCTGCACCCGGGCGGGGTTGGCGCAGAGCCCTGGGGTCGCGGCAGCGGAGCGGCCCTGAGCTGCTCCCCTGTTACCTCTCACTTTATGAATGGGGACACATGGCCTGTATCTGTGCTCCCCAACGACACCTCAGCATAAGCTCCATTTCTTATCTTTAACAGACGATCATTTTATCAAAGTACCTTAAAGTCAGAGGAGATCTCTGAGTCATCTAGGACAATGGACAACCAACAAAAGCCGAGCTTCCTTTCACAAACCCTCTGCCTCCTCTGACAGTTCTTAGGGACCACGGAAGAAGCTCTTTGGTTTCACAGCAGCCTCCTCCTTCTAGTACCCTTCTGTTGGGCTTTCTTATTGTTACTCACTGGTCCTAGCTTTCCTTCTAGAATAACTCAGAATGATCTTTTACTGCTCTGGTCAGATTTGAGAAAAACCAGCTGTGAGCTTTAAAGCAATGTTTACTAAGTCAAATGATAAGACATTAATACATCATAATATTTTGGACAAAAATCCCTGGAAAAAATAGCAAGAAGGAAAAATCCCTCCCCCAAATCCATCATTATGAGCTACCAGACAGCTACATAATTGTAGAATTTACTGCCTCTCTATAGTCCAATGGGATTTATTTTGTTGGTTTGTCTCCCAACAGGGAATTCCCATAGCCTGAGTGGTGTGGTGTGCGTGTGTATGTGTGTTGTCTATGTATGTCAAACAGCTATTTCTTTGTTAAAAAGCAGTATCCAACCTGAGCTTCAGCATACACTGACAGAGTGATTTCATCCCAACCCAATCTGATTACATGGTAAAAGGACACAGTGTCCCAAGGAAAGCCTCCGAGGCTTGCAGCAACGAGAGGGGAATATGCTTAAGGGCCGGAAGAACCAAATGATGCAGGCAGCAGACATAAACCTGATCCTGGATCCCAGCGGGCAGTTTGGTGTTCCTGAGCAGAGTGACTGCTTCCTGGCCAGGATAAGGGGAGCGAAAGAGAGTACCTAGGCCTAAACAGGTGAAGAGCCATAAAGGACAACTAGAAAAAAAGTGGTTAAGGAGGAAGTTGGGCTGCTGAAGAGAATTTTTCCTTGATTGCAGGTTAGGTAACAAGAGAACCTTGTTCATACCAACAAAGAACTGATAAAATTCCTGAAAAAGATCTTTTTTAATTTACAGAATTATAGAACACATATTCCCTAATTTCTCTGTGCTATCGAATACCAGCAGTTACACATTTATTGGCCATTTTAAAGAGTAAATTACACAAACAGGAACTCAAATAAAGAGTATAGATATCAAGGCTTGAAATAACTTCCACGACTACATCTCCTTTCTCTTTTTTTACCTTATGTTTGTCAAGTAACTGATGAATTTCCTCTTTGGATGACACGATGATTTTCTGATCTCCTGCCATCTTCTCTCGTCCAGTTTCTAGCAGATCTGCCAGATCTTGCAGAGCCCTTTCGTACTGACTCTTGAGTACAAGATTTTGATTGAGACCACTCCTTCGTGAGCCAATGGTCATCATCAGTTCATCATACATGTCCTAGGAAACAGAGATGCTACACTCAACCTCAATTCAGAGTCTGGCACCTCTCCAAGAGCATATTACTTACTGGGCCAATCCCAACCAAGAATGCTCCTTGTAGTATGCCCTACAGGGTTAGGGCATATCCGTCCAGATCCTCTGCTTTTCTTTCTTAGAACCTTCACTCTGAAAATTCTTTCAAGAAAGATAAGCTCTGGGCCTCTATTTCCATGCCCACAGCCTATCATTTATAGGACTGTGGTTTCACGGTGGTTTGATATCAGGTAGTTCAGGCTTTCTGATTGATTAATCTTATTCAGTATTATCTATTTTTTGTTTTAAATTTCATTTTGTTTTTGACACATAATAAAGCACAGAAGAGACAGAACTACAGTGGTAAGAAAGAACTACAGTTAAAGAAGTAAGAGAAAAAACTACAGTGGTACCTCCATTCACAAATTTAATTTGTTTCACACTTTTGGAAAAGATGGCCCCATTTGTGTTTGTGTGCAAAGGATGGCTGTGGTAGTGTTCATCACTTGATGCAGAGTTTGTGAAAAAAACCAAAATTTTGCCAAATGCTTTTGTTTGCGAACCAAATTGTTAACAAACATTCATGAACCCAGGTACCACTGCATATAAAAATTTAAGGATGGAGTCATTAGAGCAAAAGATAAAATATTAAATAAATCATGTGGAAACAACTGAACTATTTGGGAAAAAGTAAAACTAGAGTTTTATCTCATTCCAGATCCAAATATATTTAGGTCGATTCAAAAATAAAAATATAAATAAAGAAAAAAGAAAACTTCAGAATCTAAAGGAAAACTATGTCTATAAAAATAAGCTTAATATTTTAAGATTCCAAATGATATGAAGAAGCATTTCCTAGAAATAGCATATAAGGGAGGTTTGCCAACATAGTTGAGAAGATACTTTCAAGACTCCAGTAGTCTATGGTAAGATGTGAGGTTAAAATTGTGAAAAAAAGTCCATGTAACTAAGGAAGATATCACAGAAAATGTACTTCTAATTTTGATAATTTTCTAAGTATTTATTTAATTTTAGAATAGTTAAATATAATATGCTTAATATTTGTGTCTGCTAAATAATATCAGATTTTGGACTATTCCTCAAAGCGCTAGTCAAGCAGAGGAGTTTGATGTGAGCAAAAATACTTAAGACTTGAAAAGGCCATGTTTTTTGCCAAATGCGGTGGAGTACATAACAACTTAATCTGGAAAGATATTTAGGAGATGATGATACACCAACAAAATTTATTGGAGGCATATGGACCTGATTAATGTATCACATTAAGGTTGAGCAGGCCAAAGTGGTTCAATCTGGAAAAGTTCAACTTTAATGTCTATTTACAGCTATGACGTTTGACTCTTACACCTGACACTGATATGCTATTTGACAATGATCTAAAAAAGTGCAAAATAGGGATCATGGGCTTGCACCATTTAGAAATGTTACATAGAGAGTTAAAATGAAAATGCTCTTTTGTTATAAACAAAACTGCTGGAGTGTGTGAGCCAGAAGGTCCCCTGCTGCTGTCCCAGGGCCCGGCGCGCCTGCTGGTCATGGACTCGGTGGCAGCCCTTTTCCGTCAACTCCAGAGTTGTTTCATTAGGAACTTGTAACCTTGTGTTGTTCTTACCACTAACCCTCAGTTGTTTTGCAATGAAGCATGCAGAGAAAATCCAGTGTGTATGTCTGTGTGTGTGTGTGTGTGTGTGTGTGTGTGTGTGTGATTGTACTCAATTATTTCTTAATAGAACTATGTTGCCTATCAGATGTTAAATTTCACTGGTCTACTATGTCAACATCTTCTTCTGATACCTGATTCTAGTCTAGATGTCTGATTTAGGAAAGTAAATTAACACAAAATGTTATTTTCTTTTCCTGACCAATGCCAGGATGTCTGTTTAGATTTCTACCACTTTGTAGCTTAAAGTTTTAATTGTATTTCTAGAATTGAAACAGTGTCTCCATTCCATTCAAACATATATGGAAAAAAAGCTATTGTTTTTGAATGTCTTAAAATGGTTTTCTAAAAAGTATTACCCTACGTAGTCATTCTTTTAAATAGTTTCTGAAGATAAAGTGCAATTCAGGATAGGTATCTTTCTCTTCTATCTCGAATCTATAAAGAACTTAAAAAAATAAGACCTCCCAAATTTAAAGACCCAGTGCAAAAATGGGCATCTGAAATGAACAGACATTTCTCTTTCTCTTGACTTTTCTAGGTAGGAGTGATGATAATTACAATTCTAGAGAAAATAATACACTACCACTAAAATATATCACAATGGTTTGTCATCAGAATAATAATTAATTTCAGAAAAAATATGAATCTTGGAAGCCTGAGAATATATTTTACTTTATTGTACTATATATGGTAATAACTTGAGAACATTTTCTAAGAGTTACTTGGAAGAAAAGCTAAGAATATGACATGACTTTTATAAAGAAAGCCAAGGAAGTACAGGAAGTAATTTTTTCTTGACTTTGAGCTAGCTGTCCCCTTGAAGCTGAATGGTATTGGCTGAAGATTGTACCTGGAGCTTGGAGAGCTCTTGCAAGGAAGGCTGCTCAATCTGTAACTTGTCACCACGCCGTTTTAATTCTGTTATTCCTGCATCCAGTTCCTTTAGTCCCTCTTCAGCCTGCTGTATGGCCTAGGTAAGATTTGCAACATTTCATTAAAACTCATAGGAATAATCTCCCCTCAGAGAATGCGGTTACTGTATGTCTTTTTGTTTGTTCCTCCCTTTCCCCCCAAAAAAAAAAAATTCAAAAAGTCACTTGAACGAAGTGACTTAAAACCATAGTCAAATACTATACAGAAGAGAGAAGGAGGCATTCCTTTATTATACTATAGATCTTAGAGGTAAGACTGTAGGAGAAACTTAGGGCAGGAGGAGAAGGATGCCTCCCTTAAACAAATGAGAGTTAGTAATAGGAACACATAAATAAGAAGGCAAATGCAGGACATAGTTAGGGAAGTCTGTTTGCCAGAGATTCCCTACAGGGCTGTGCCTGGTTTCCTGAAATGCAGTTGGGAGTGTCCTTGAGAGAGTTTCAGAGGGGCAAAAGAAACACATGACAGCACGGTCAGGAAACTCTTGCTCGTTGTTGTGAAGGGGAAAATCAATCAATCAACTGATGAACACTCAAGTGGCTGTCATTGCTGAGCCTTGTCCTCCCAGTGTGAGATCTGCAGAAGCAGAATTAGATCTCATCCTGGACTTCAAGGAGCTCACAGTCTGGTCAGGAAGCTAAAGGAAAAATAAAGCAAGGCTGAATACAATTAGGTGCTAAATTTCATGGCACAATTCATGCCATGAGAAGTATGGACAAAGGAGGAGCCAGACCAGCAAATCCTAGTCTAAATTGGCTTTTGAATGAAATGCAATCTCTGTTGCCCTTGAAGGATTAAAAGAACATCCAATTTTTTTCTTCCCTGAAGCCTCTCTGTAACCACAGCAAATTTTTTTTTTGCATGTGTTGGAAGTGTTCTTCCTTCCATAAATCTACAAGGACAAGCAACATGAGAGAAGATAATACCAACAAAATTCTGGAAGCTGAATTCAGAATACATCGAAATAGATTTAGGAAATCTAAGAGAGCTGAATCCTAGTCCCGCAGAGGATGTGCACCAACAAATTTAGAGTCACAGAAGCCTTGGGAAGCCACAGTGAAGGGGCAATAGGCACTAGAGAAGGAAAGTGAGGAAAGGCTGCTAAAGGCAGTTAAGTTGTACCCAGGTCCCTTTCCATTTCCCACACTGCCCCTTTCTTTCCCTGTGAAAGACTGAAAGTTTATTTTCTGGAGAAGGTAAAAGAGAGCCCCCAGACTGAGGGACAGCAGACACAGTGGTGAGCTTCCGTGGTTGATTGAAAACAGGAATGAAGTGATGGAATGCTGTAGGCACAAAGATTTTCCAACAAATGGCTCCCACATACCACCTTTCAGCATCTCGAAATTGTCAAGCTGTGTCCTTATATAAAGTTTTCATTTGTCTGACTAGTCCTCCAACCTCAAGGTAAACAGACAATGTGATGTCCATGTACTTAAGAAAATACCCAATACTTGACTGAAAAGTATTTCAGAAGGGATACAGACAAAATAGAGAAATGAAAAGTATTAGTAAATCATTAGAAAACTTTCCAGAATGGAAAGATGAGCACTGCCAAATCAAAAAAGCCCATTAAGTTCCCAGCCCAGTGGATAAAAATAGACCCTTCCCAAGGCATGTGATTGTGAAATTTTAGGACACTGGGAACCTTTGGGAGTTAGAATGATTTTTAAAATCCTCAAGCAGACTTTGGAAGCCAAAAAACAATGGAGCAAAAGCCTCCAACCAAAATAAATTGATGTTGAACTAAGAATTCTATAAAGATCCAAGCAATCCATAGAGGGTAAACATAGGATGTGACCATTTTCAGATATGCAACATCTTTAAAAATACACCTTTGGAAAGATATACACTGACAAAACAAGGAAGCAAGTCAGTAAACAGAAAGACTTGGGACTCAAGAGAGGTAGAAATGAAGGGAATTCCCAGGATGCTGGTGAAGGAAGATCCCTAGAAGATAAATGTGCACTGGGCTAATGGAAACAGGTCTCTTCTAGATGGGAGCAGCATGACTCAAAGAAGTCATGTTCAAGGACTGTCATCTCCATGCTCTCTGCTATTACTCTCTTCTTAACCCAAGGAGGGTATAGGTGGAATTAGTACAGTCATTAGTTGCTTTCCAATTATTCAAAGGAATAATAGAATTGTTTCAATTATTCAAAGAAATAATATAATTTAGTTCTATTGCTTAATAATCAGTAAAAAGGTTACTCGTGATCACGTGATCTCATATATACCCTATATTTCACATTAGAAATCCAGCACAAGATATCACTCTAGCTGTTCAAATCCCTTTTGGAACCATGTATTTTACGGCCAAAAAGAAGTTTCATGTGGAGGACAAAACATAAAAGAAATGTTTTTTAATTGGAGGAAATGAGAAATCTCTTGAAAAAGTAGATGAAATTGTGGTCAAGAAGAAAGCACATTCATATGTAACATTCATATAAATGTGTAGACTATTTTAGGTGACTTTCTTTCTGGTATATAATATAGATACAAAAATGATACTTGGAGAGATCTCTATTTCAGGTGATTCCCATAGTTTACTCATAGATCCCTTCATATCCACTGAAATTAAAGAAATTCTACTAAAACACATATTTTTTATAATTATGTAGCTGATATCCTGTGTACTGTTCTCCCCATTTCTTTTCTCCTCCCTGTTTTCACTGCCATTACATTTAAGTTCTCAGGCTTTCACATCATGCAGCCCTTGCCAGTGCATGGATCCCCCGTTCTTGACACTGGAGTTGTTGTATTAATCTTCTAGAAGCAGGATCCGGAGCTGACAGTCTTTCTCACCCTTAAACCTCCCCAGTGACTTTCCTCTACCAGGACCAAACACTACATAATTCACCTATATTGAACCACATTCACATTCATTTTTCATTTGTTTAGATGCTTTATGAGATAACATGCCTGCAATTCATCGATTAGTAAATCACATACATTTATTTTTAGCTCATAGGGTTTGTAATCAATAAGGCACAGAGATCTCTGGTTTATACAATGAAGTCGAAGCTCTCTGACATTCATCAGGCTCCACAAGGTGCTTACAATTATATTTCCCCTCAATCACTTTCAGCCATGCTAAGTGTAGCTAAAGAGGATGACCTGTACTTTCTGTAAATGCTCACATTTTTCTAAATGCATGCCTTCGTTCTAGCTGTCCTCTGTACTTTGATATACTTCTTGGGTCTCTGTGTGTCCAAACTTCCGATGTATCCAATTCCCTCTCTAAAGTCTTTCCTGATGCTGGAGGTAATTTGCCTTCTTCTGAATGTTCATAGTCTTCCCCTCTACTTCTCTAAGGCAATTTGGCACTCTGTCCTGTCACTGAGCCTCATGCTTATATCACTGTTGGGGAGCCATATCCTTCAGGTCAGCATCTCTTACTGACACTTCCTAGCTCACATTTCCTAATTCCATGAAGAAACAAGTGAGAGTCAGTGTCACCCAGCATGTTATTCAAACTCAGCATTTAAAATCAAAATATAAAACAAGAAAAAATGCTACAATAAGCCATTAGACTTTCATCTGCTATTTGAAATTTCATAATAAACAAAGTATCTATGCACTTGTTCTTTTAGGAAAAAGCAGCTACGCATACCTCTATCTGTTCTGCTACAGGCTGTTCAAACACATTTGCCAGTTTCTGCAGAATGATGTATTTGTTGTCAGCCAGTGATGTAAACAGCACCTTCAGGTCATTCTAAGGAGAAAAGCAATAGGAAGCCTTAACATCTAATGAGAAATTCAAAATAGTTGTAAATATAACATAGATTCTTAGAAATTATACAAATCATCCCTCAGCATCTGTGGGAACTGGTTCCAGGACTCCTCACAAATACAAAATCTGCGGATGCTCAAGTCTTATGTAAAATGGCACAGTACTTGCATATATCCTGGGCACATCCTCCCATATACATGAAATCATCTCTAGAGTACTTAGAAATCCTAATACAGTGTAAACCTTTCGCTTGTAGTTGTTATGCTGAATAGTTTAGGGAATAATGATAAGCATAATGATCAGTACAGATGCATTTTTTTACAAATATTTTCAATCCATTATTGGTTGAAAATGTGGTTGTAGAGCCCAAAGATATGGAGGGCTGACTATAAAGGTGTAGGAGTTTAATTTTAGGGAAAAATAATACTGCTCTAAAGGAAAGTAAAAAGAACTAGTAACAATTTACCTAGGTGCTAAAATACAATTTTGCAGAATTTATTACACAAAGAATTTTTCATATAATACAAATGGAGTTAAAACATAAAGGTATTAAGCAATACTGGTTACCCTAATCTTGTTATGTCTGAAATAAATGAGTATATTCAAAGATTTCAGCACAAATATCATACTAACAGGTTTCATCTAAGAAAACAACCTTATAGGTATTATCTCACTTTGGGAAATAATATGATTCTTAAAAACATCATGATTCCCCTTTTCTCTTTCCTCTCCTTGGCTTTTTGCCTCACTTTCTTCTCTCTTCAAAGAATTTGCACAAACTTATAAAAAGCCATCAAGAAGTTTAGAAAGCAATTATGAACTATTAAGACTAAGAACATATGAAGAGAAAATTCAGAAAAATCTTAGCTAAGTCTTGTTCATATAGATTCTTCATATAAATGTCTAGTATACTTATAATAAGTTAGACTTGTATAAAAAGGAGCTAGCTACCAGAATTTTGTACTAAATTCCAAAGGGAGTAATAAACTAAAACTAAAATTTTAAATATAAAACCTAAATTTTTCCAAGAAGTACCAGCAAATAAGCTCTAATTCCTATTAGCCACCAAACATGTGTGAGAGGCTGAAACTCAACTAATGTTATTCTCTTGACCAGGTGTTGGTAATGTAACAGTGCACATCACCAACATACAAAAATTCTTCCTGTCTATTAAGGAGCAGGTTGACCACACCAAGGAAGAAAAAAACATCTTTAAGCATGTGTGGAAGCACGAAAATGCAATGTAAGGCTAAAAAGCAAAATAATGGGTGAACAGAGGGTCTGGGATGTAGCTCAGTGGTGTTCTTGCCTAGCATGTACAAAGCTCTGAATTACAGCCTGATACTGAAAGAAAAAAGAAAGAAGTATTATTTGAAGCTGGGTGTAAAGAAAAAAACCTGTTATTTATAGCCTATAATTCCAGCACTCTGGGAGGCTGGAGGTGAAGGATCATAAGTTCAAGCCTAAACTGGACAACTTAGACCCTGCATCAAAATTTTTTTTTAATGTTAAGAATTTATGTCAGTGCAAAGGCTTTAGGTTCAATCTCAAGTAATAAAAAACAAAAGCAAAAATAAAAGAGTAGAAATGAAAATACAGTAAGAACTAAGAAATAAGAACTAAGAACTGAGCATAAGAACTAAGAACAATAATTGGCACTAAATTTCAAACCAATCTGCAAGCCTAGTGACTGAGTAGGAGATTGTTATAACAGCACTGAAAAGTAATGTTCACGTTATTCAAGAGTGTTCATGATTATTAGGTCATGAGGGCTGTTAGGATCATAACACATTTATTTATAAGCAAAGTAGAAGATGTTTCTTATTCATTTGAATTGATTCAAAAGCAAAAGGCCTTCACTGTCTAGATATATTTATAACATTAGTTCTATTTATCTAAAGGCTAGATAGCATCTAAAGGTATAAATAGCATAACATGTGTGTGTTTCCTGTGTATGATCTTTTTATTTTTAATAACATATTTTCTCTTAACTATATTCTATTCAAGATAATAAAAAATAGAGTTCACATTTCTGGAAGCCACAATAATTATTGGGAAAGACCAATGAAAAAGACAATAATATGACTGATTTGAATAAAATTCATTAAGAAGTGCTAGTAATATTATGGATGATGATTTAAAAAGAAAAATATAAAGGATTTAAAAATTATTTTAAAACTTGTAATACAGAAAGATAATCAAGGTAACTATATATTTTATATATTAACATAATAGATTTCACAATTTAGTTTTCTTATAGTCAGTAGAATTATGGTAGGGCGTAAAGTGGCAGGATTCTTAGCCATTTGAGGAATAGATCCATGGAAAGTTTCAAGCTTTAAAATCAGTTATGCTGCCTTATTCTTTTATTAAAGAATTTCTATTATTTTGCATTAAAAATAACTTAAAATCCTGAATTATATGTCCAAAAGTTATTTGGGATCAAGTCTGCAGGTAAAGAAATTAAAAATACAGAACAATTAACAACCGACTTGTTTGTGATTTCACATACATAACATACAGAGCATTTATGCATCCCTCAAGGTAGTCCTTTGGATACAGAATAATGTTAATAGGTCATAAAAACTGGTACTCAAAGATTAAATGGAAAGTGAAGACTTACTATCCAAACAACTACTGATTACTGACAGTATACCAAGTGCTTGGTACAAAGCAAAATGAAAGAGCTTATGACTTGATCTTTCATTATATTACTGGAATTCTTTCAATGAAATTGGAACACAAACAGTTGAATTGTCAGTTTTTGTTCATGAACTGGCTACCAACGAGGAGAAACTGGTTGGCAAAAGAAAAATGGAGATGATTTAGGAAGAATTTCATGATTAAATCATCTTCTTATAGCCCCCTAAAACAAAATAATTTCCAAAGTAGTTATGCTTATTTCATATTTTAGCTGAGTAGCTCTATAATTACAATAAAATTAAAAAGTGCTAAAGACCCTAACATGTTAAGTACAATTCAAAAAAGAGAGATACATCTTTGGGTGACAAACACATTTGCACCATCAACCTGTCACACATACAGGCATTACACCAGAATACTCATAATTTGGTATATTATTTCACAAGAGATGAATTTTAAAGAAATAAATTTTCATAAGTTATACAGTGGTCTTGCTGATTGTAAACATATTGAGTATGTATCCCTGTAAAAAGATCTTGCACTCAAAACAAAATACCTAAATAATAAACACCTGCTTGTCTGACTCCAAGGAAAATTTTATTTCTTTATTATGTATTACACAAGCTAACAAGTGCAGATAGGAATGTCCTGGGTAGGCCATTCCTCTGTGACACAGACTTGCATACTCAAATGTCTACTATGACTCTTCATGTGTGTATCGTAATACCATCCCAGGTCCCAATCAACAGTTCCAATTGAGAGTGTCTGGATTCTCAGAAGCCCCTCTGTCTATTGTGCATCATCCAAACCATCAGCAGTGCTTTCCTACTCTCTCTGCCTTCACAGTCTATCTTGAGTAGGTTTAGTCTCCATCTCCTCTGCTATTACTCTGATACTACAAAATACAGAACTCTTGGAATCAAATCCTGCTTTGGTTCTTAATAGCTGAAGATGTGTGAAGTAATTTAATCTTGTTGTTGGTTTCAGATCCCCTATCTGTTATAATACTGCTCTTAATTATAGCAATGATTATAATAACAAAATTATTATGAGGTAATTACTATAGGTGTGATTGAATATTTGAAGATTACTAAGGCTCAGAGAAATTAAGGAGCTAAGATTATACAGCAGTAAGTGACTTAGCCAGAATTTGAATCTAATCTAGAGTGATGGCTTCAGAGATCATATTCTTAATTTTTGCTCTTCTGACATTGTAAAATTAGAACAATGCTTAACTAGTGAGGATTTTGTGAAGATTAAAGACAATGATTCATCTGAAATTTTTTGTGAATAAAAAATAAAACACAAATGTTTTCATAATTTTACTATATAGTTTTAAGTATGTAGACTACTAGAAGTTAGTGGTAATTTGTCCCTCCAAATAAATATGCAGAAAATGTTACATGGTAAATGCATCATTTATTTGATACTGCATAGTTTCTTTCAAATAAAAAATTTATCAAACTCTTACCAGGAATTACACTTGTATGTATATTTTGTAAATCTCCCATGTTTGTTAAAGATAAGATTCAATTAAACATAAGAATTTCCCAAAGGTGATTTTTAATAGGAATGAAAAATCAACATTAAAAGCATTTAGAAGTAGCTTTTGCATCTGTTTCTGTATTATATGGCAAAGGAATTCTAGTATGGGGCTAAAATGTAGTAAGTGTGAGGAGTTAGGATTTGAAAGTAATGTAAGATATCTTGACAGAACAAACTAGACCACAGCCACCTTCAAAGACTGTTGGATACTGAATTCTGGGGTACTTTCTATGTGCATTCCAGCACTTCTGGCTAAGTCACTTACTGCTGTATAATCTTAGCTCCTTAATTTCTCTGAGCCTTAGTAATCTTCAAATATTCAATCACACCTATAGTAAAGTTCTTTGGTAATAGGTATTAAACTCCACTACTAACAACTGGAAATTATATTTATAATAAACCATAAATTTGACTTTTATTAGTTGAATGTAAAGTTTTATTCAGCCCTTAGTTTGACTGAGTGGTTTTCTCTACCTCCCATTTCTAGAAACATGAAACTTGTAGTTTTCTAACCCTTTAGTTCAAGCTGCCTAATTTTCTGCAGTGCTCTTGCCCTTTGTTGTACATTTGGGGTGGACCAGGTTTATAACATACCTCAATCAGTTACCCTATTGATTATTATTGAATGTATCTCAACAATGGTCAAAAATCCTTTGAAACTGTCTTCTTTACCTGGAAACTTAGTATTTGCTGGAGTCTTTCTTTCATCTGATGACACCGTTGATCCACTACAGAATCCAGCAAGGATAACCTGCCCACAAGACAACCCAAAGTATCTTCAATAACATCTCGGTTATCACCATTCTCTGGAAAAGTGTGGGAAAACAAGTTCTTGTTCTTATCCATTTCTTCAGACATTTCCTTAATGTCTTTGGCAAGAGCCTAGGATTGATAAAAGAGAAACTTCATTTCCATATTTAGATCCATGAATCAATATGCAAATCAAGTCATTTCCTCATAGAGAGTCCGTTACATCTCGCTGCTTAGTAATAACTACACCTAAGATGGCTGAACCTCTTTCACATACATCTACATGTTTTAGGGAAATTGGTCTGGAAAAGATTTTTCTCAGGAACATTACATCTGAAGCTAGTAATATACACTGATCAAAAATGAGTTGTTTAAAGTGTTATTTAGAAATTCAGTACTTGTTTTAAAAATCTATATTTCATATTGGAGAATTTGTGCTTTCCAACAGTTACCTATAGTGTTCTCCATTTTTTTCCTTCTCTTACAAACACAAGACAAGAAATTAAAGTGCAAAGCATAAATACCTTTGAAATTTTTTTATGTTTAAGTACTTTCATTGTATGCTATACCACCTGGAAATATACCTTTGTACTTTATTAGATCTGTTTTATTCTTGGTATTCTTTGAATATAAACTTATGTATCCAATATCCAAACTTCAAGTCCTTCGAATTTTCACTCACAGACAGAAACTGCTAAACTCACCTCTTGGTCGAAGAGACAAGTTTGTGTTTCTTCTGGTAAAAGTGCCGTGGCAACAAATAAACGCTCTTCAACATCATCCAACCAAGTGGAGGTAGCTGAGACTCCATCATACAACTTCTGTTCCAAGTGTATATTCTGAATCTTTGCTCCTACACCCTGGAAAACAAAGGCACACACAAAAGGATAAAGAATAAAATATGGTTTTTTGAGGAATAAAAACATACTAGGCTGAGACAACAGGGACAAGGGCTTTTATTTCCAGGGCTCATTACTATCATCAAGTTTCAACATTCATGCAAGACCATGAAAACCAGTAGAGCAAGATAAGACAAATCCAAACCAAGACAGCCACATCCATACCACGGCTCTACAACTATACCTGGGATGAAACCTCCTCGAAAGCCTGGTTCAATCCATCCAGCAATGATGTTACTGCAGATTTATCCTGTGTCTGTACTTCGCCTTTGTACAGTGGCACACCAGACAGGAGTCGGCTTGGTCTGCTGTAGAGCTGCAGGAAAACAGGGGAGTTTATTGCACAGTGTACTGTATACCACTTTCCTCATTTGGAAGTGCACACCACGATTGGTGCTGAAAAAAATGCCCTTAGGAAAACCCCATCTAGAGAAACATGACTTCTACAACTTATCTTATCACTCCACATGGTGGCCAGATTCATCAACGGAAATGTTTCTGCTGATGGATTTAAAAACACAGAAGTGGTGGGAAAAAACTGCCTGAAATCTTATCATAGCCTTCCTTCCAATTTATCTTCTCAGTCTTAGCAATACCTGTAGGGAAATAACTCATCCTAAATACCAGACCAAGAGTGCCTTCTTTCTTTGGATTGCTCTCCCGTAGCCTCTTTGAAGCATACAGAATGCTTCCCCGTAAGGCCCAGGATGTGGCCCACCACTTATGCTCTGAGAGTGCTTCCAATCGTCTCCTCTGATTTTTAAAAACACCCCATCCTCACCTTTCGGACTGTTACCCATCACCCTGGGACCATGCCAGCCCATCCCTACTACAGCTGGAGCACTGACCACCCAGCACCTCTTTAAAATTTTCTACCTTATGTTCCACACCTGCAAGAGTAACTTTCCACTATTTAATTTTAAATCTATTTCCTTTGGCTTTCTGTTTATGGAGATCACTGGACGCTTAATTTTAGAGAAATGCATGAAATATTTCTTGGGTTGTGTTATAGCTGAGCCTCCCTTTACCCCCACATTGTGTCTGTTCTGACACTGGAGAGTAGTAAATATATTCAGCGCACAAAGTGCTAGTTAGCAAGTATGAAAATAAAGAACTTCGGAATGAGGCACATCTGCATCTCAGTTCCAGCTCTGGGTGTTACTTATAAAGTCCTGAGAAGTTAACCACTCCAAACCTCAGGTCATAGGTGTGCAATGTGGAGAGAAAGGTGACCTCATCACAGCATTGATATGTTAACACCTAGACTTAAAATGTGTTCACTAAATGATCTCTCTTTTCCTCTTGGAAACTGTGACAGATTGCTTGCTTCTTCTCTATCTTTCCACCACTTTCACACCAAAGGAAATGCACTTTGGAGGCATTTTGTTCAAATGACTAGTGATTCCTGTTAAGAATTCAAATGCAAATCATAGCATAAAGAAGGATATTTGATGCTTTCCATTTATAATCAGAAATGCAAGTGAGTCATGAACATGATCTAAACTCAAATAACTTCCTAAGAAAAGAACAGTTAATGGGTTAAGTCTGTGATAGGAGATAAATGATGTAGGTGCTATGAGTTGGATAGAAAACAGATGGATTCCTGGGGTTGGGTACCTGTCTAATGAATGGAGAATAATAAGTAGGTATGGAATAAGTAAGCACAGATCTCAGAAAAATCCTGGATTTATCTGTCTTAGGACAGACAGAAAAGACTGTAATCCTCTGACTCAGGATTGTATCTAACCCTTCTAATCAAAGGAAAGGGAAAATACACAAAAGTGACCTTGAAATCAAGTCCAGGATATCTGCAAAAGAAATCAAGAATTCGAGGCCATGCATGTGATGGACATTTGATTAGGGGGGTAAGGAAGGATTAATACAAAGACAGGTAGGTGGTCTGTGCAAAAGATAGAGGGGCTCACTGGTCAGGGCGAACCATGACTATGGGACAACTGCCCTCAGGAATAGAGTATGTTAAATTCCCTAGAGACCAGAGCTGGTAACTGTTCCTGCAGACTCACTGGCCAGAAGGGGTGTGGGTAGGGCATGGCATTTGTATGCTTTTGTAAAATGGGATAGAAATGCATGGCTCTGGAGAGTCAAGAGGCCCCACACACAAAGGGACACATTGTGGCCCTTTCACCGTCTCCTTTCAGTTAGTCTTGTCAAGTTGTGTCCCTTTACAGTGCCTGGTTTGACAGCACCCCCACCCCCACCCCCTGCACACACTGCCACCAGGTGTCACACAGCTACTGATGCCCTTCATTTCAGGTTGAGTCTCCCTCAATCCCTAGGCCAGAGCTGGCTAGAGAAGTGAGAAGAGCACCTTCTTCAGATCAACACTAGAGGTCTTAGAATTATCCAGATGGAAAAACCGCCGCCCTGGAATGAGCCTAGGTAGACATTGCTGGACTACGATAGGTGCCTTGGCTTTTATTTTAGAACCCTCTGAGCCGCAGCCACAGTGGGCATCCCAGGCCTGCTTGGGTCCCTGGCTCTCTCACCAGCCCTCTGAACTCTCAGATTCCTCTGACTTCCTCTGGTTCCCTAGCTTCTGTTTAGAGCAAACTAATGAAGTTATTTATCTAGAACCTTCTGTTGCCATATTCAGCTCCCCTAGATTTGACATGGCTGGTGGAACTGAGCTCAAGATCACAGTTATCCGACCCAAGAACCTGCCTTATTGATGGGTCAGAATCCATATTCGCTGACCACTGGTTTCCCTTCTTTTCAGAGGGCCCAATATGTTTCTCATTAAGATCTTCTGAAAGCATTAAATATTGGAAGTATAGGGGCCGGGGATTTAGCTCAGTGGTTCTGGTGCCTGCCTCACAAGTGCAAGGTTCTGAGTTCGATCCCCGGTACCCAAAAAAAAAAATATTGGAAGTACCAATGAAAAGTTAGATAACCTGACAAGGTATTTCCAAATTTGTGGAATTCCTTTCACTGTACATGTGTATATCCTTGGTGTGTATCCATAATTTTCAATATTGAAACAAAATTTAAAAATTTAATGGTTCATGCTTCTTATGAATAAGATTTTAAAAACCGTTGAGGAAAAATATTATCTAGAACTGAATATTTCATATAAGGATATATGATTATTATGGGAAATGTGAAACAGGATTTTTAAGAAGAGCATATGATAAGTAATTTATGTCAATATGGCAGTGATAATTAAAATATAGATGACTGCACAGTTATATTTTCTTGGCATAAACTATGTATCTCTTATATTAGTCAATGCATAAAAACAAAATTTTGGATACCACTTGCTCTTGTTCTTGTTCCAGAGCATTCTGTAGTAGTTTCTGCTTGGTACTAAATTCTTGATGTAGACTTTCCCATTTCATTCTCATCTGGTCTTCAGCAGATGATTTCTCCCCTTCTATTCCCAACTCCTGGGATAACACATCAGGCTTTTCACTATTAAAAGAATCAATAATCTAAGCTTACAATATGTACGAAAAAGGCAATGAGATAGGTAATTTATTGTGTGTACTAGACCCGGCCTCGAAAACTGGACTAAGATTATTTTTGGTCATTAGCTTACACTTTTAAAATATTAGTTAAAATATAAAATTTGAGGCTAAAAAACAAGTTCTTACCATATTATAAATGAACCATGAGCAGAAGGAATATTTAAAAATACATTGATAACAGCTCAATATTAAATAAAAATAATTGCAAAATTTAGAATTAGAAAGTAGACGGGCCAGGGATTTAGCTCAGAGGCCTACCTCACAAGCGCAAGGTCCTGAGTTCAACCCCTGGTCCCCAAAAGAAAGAAAGTAGACTGAGATTATAGACTACTATCCTTTGACAAATAGCTCTCAAATTAGTTCAAAACCCTGAAGATGTTACTTTGTCTACTCAGAGTTTTCACAAGTCTGGAGGACGTCGCCCAGGAAGGACAGAACACAGGAGGAAGGGGAAGTGTGATCCCTGAGACACAGCCTGGCTTTCCCAGTGACAAATTAGATATGTGACACTGAGGAATTTGTTTTGTTTCTCTGAACCTCAATTTTCTCATCTTTACAGATAGTATCTATCTTACAAAACTATGAGAACTAAAGAAAGAGAACATATGCATATTTATTAAAGAAATAAATTGTATGCATATGCTTTTAGCCTTATGTGGCTAATAACAACCCCTCAATAAATGCGGGCTAATAACAATGATAATGGTAACAACAATAATCTAGGGAGCCTAAGTTTCAATAAATCTTAGTGTGTCAGGAGTTTTGAGATCCTCACTGAAACAACGTCATCTGAAAGGCATGAGCTATTAATATTTTGACACAGTGTTTTTTATACTCCCCCGAAGCCATGATTTGAAGGCCTAGTCAACAGCCTATGGGACTATTAGGAAGTGGTGGAACCTTTAGAAGGTGCCTCCAGGTGGGAGGAAGTGAGGTCACCGAGGGGGCGGTGGCCTTGAAAGGGATACCAGGATCCTGCTTTGCCTTTGCTTGCTTCCATGGCACCAAAAAGTAAACAGCTTTGTTTCACCATGCACTCTCTGCCAAGATGTTCTGCCTCACCACAGGTCCAAACTGCTGAGCCCAGGTGACCAAGAACTAAAACTTATGAAGGCAAAATAAACATTTCCTTCTTTTAAGTGGTTTATCTCAGTTATTTTGTCATAGTGGCAGAAAATTGACTAACACAGGGCCTTTAGCTCAAGTGGAAAAAAAAAAGGACAAGTCCATTGGCGGGATAATGATATACAGTACCCCCAAGCCAAGTCTTCCCAGAATACATGTAAATACAATGCTCTTTTGGTGAGGCTTTTGAAGTAAGCCTTAACATTTCAATAAGCCTAAGGTGGCAGGATTCTACTACAGGATATAACTCAGGGAATATCTCCTATCTGTTAGAGACAATGTAAGGTTACTTTCAACAATTGTTTGTAACAGGAAAAACAAAAAGAAGGAAGGAAGGGAGGAAGGGAAGGAGGGAAATAAATTGTTATATTCACAAGATAAAGTTCATCAAGCAAATAAAATGAAGAACTATGCCTATAGGGATTAGTATGGATTGATAAAAAGTAATAATAATGTTGAGTGAAAAAAAAATGCCAAAACAGGATTAATACTCCTACATGAGTATTTCTTATATTAGTCTCAGTATTTTTCTTTTCTTTTTAAGGTCTTTTTAAATTAAGAAAAAGTTTAAAAGTGCCTACGCAATTAAAATTCTTTATTGTACTTTCTTTTGTACTCTATTCTCTATTGTACTTTTTTTGTGTGAATATACCATATGACCATATTAATTCATTATGTTCACATAAAATTGATTCCAAAACCAAGGAAGTATTTAATATCTATATCTTATATTTAACGTAAAAATAGTAGCAAATTAGTTTAAAATTAGAATGTAGTCTTTCATTAACAGTGAACAATATTCTTCTTTCCTTTCTTATTTATATTAATGAATTTCCAGTTGGTTTTCCGTAGTAATCTTGGAAGGAGTCCTCCATCCACCCTTGATCTGTCATACAGGTATTTATTCTGTATAAAGTAACTTTGTGTAAATTTGTAAATATCTGAAACAGATAAAGCCGTTTTCACAGGGATTTTCTTACACAAACCAATTAACATTTGATAATCTTCAGAAATCAGCTAATAAGTCAAAGGCTGAATACAGTATTTTTTTTCCCCTAGCAATGCTATTCTGTTTTTATAAAAGATACATTTTTTCCCCTTTGCCATCTAGATATCACTTAATTCATGGTTATTTGTTTGCTTGGTACCAGAGGCTTCAAAAAAGTGGGTGAACTGGAATAAATTACACTGAAAGGTGATTTTTCTCAAGAATTTGTATAAACATTAAAGATCTTATCATAAGCCATCATTAAAGCTGATCTTGTACGGAAAGCCAGTATTGCATTGCAAATGTCCTTTTCAAATATTTTCATATTTCATGTTTGCAAAAGCAATTTATAGTTGTAGTCTGCCATCTGGGTTCTTTCCAAAAGTGAAGGCTAAGGAAAGAAAAAAGAAACCATTGCAAGAGAGCTGCAGCAGCTCCCAACTGCTCCCTTTTGAGGCTTAGCTGTATGATGAGGAGGCTGTGTGTGACTGGCTGTTCGTAGAAATAGACTAGAGAAAAACAACACAGACAGCTCTGAGGGCAGAGTAAACATCTTAGAGGAACTGGAAACAGAAAATTCAGAAAGAGGGCAAAGCTCAACTCAATCGACATGGGAGGAATGACTAGAACGCCACATTTTGGGTTCACTACAGATACATATTCAAGCCTTATCACAGTTTTTAAGCCTGGTGGACAAAAGAGATGTTTTAAAACTCTGAGATGATTTTATCACCAGTTTCACAGTTTTAGGGTTATTTGAATGCAATTCGTGATTACAGATGTCATAATTATTTTCACTTATATTCATTTAAAGTGATATATATTAACTGTGTCAATATTTTTACAGTTTTTGCTTTGTCTTTCTTTTATTTTATGTCATCCGCTATTTATATATTTTGTTACTATACTGCCCTTGAAATTTATGTGTATATATATTTCTATACGTATGTGTATGACTTTTAATTCATGGATGTTTACACAGAACATTTTACATACAAGCAGGGGACCATTTAATATTTCTATTCTATAATCTCTCTCCCTTTTTCTCTATATGATTGGCACTAATGTCATATTAGCAACATTATGTCAGTGTTGATAAAAGTGTAAAAAATCGTTTAAAAACTTCCAACTCTTCCCCCTACAAAGTTAGTCTGATTATCTGTTATATTTTCATTCTTGTCTACACATATACTATACTTTTATTTCACATTTTTATTTGGTTTTGTATACACATTTTCTGATATATTATATATAATATTTATTAAGATTATATACACATAAAATCTTTCTTTGGGTTCTTAGACTACCGAGTATTTCTACCTTTTCAATTATTTGGTATGGCAAATAACATTTAAAAAATCATATTCAGGATACATGTTCCCTTCTTTACATTATTGTTTTTGGGGAAAATGTTAAGAAATGGGACACAGAGTCAAAGCTATTCCCAAATCCTAGCCTTTAGCAATGGAATGAACACAGAGGCTTCACTGAAACTTTTTAAATGTTTTATATTTTTAAAGAAGGTTTTCCTGTATATTCTCTTAGTGAAGTCACAAATTTCATACTTTTGCCATCATGGTAGTTGCTTATTATTCTGACTACAAATGAGCAAAGGAGCATAGAGCTGAGTGACTTTTTCAAGCTAAAGCTATGGAACAAGAATAAAATACAAGGCTTTTCCACTATTCTATATTTCCTTTATTTTTCTACCCTTCAAATAAAAATCTTCAATGTGAAAATTTTCCAGCTTCCTTCATTTTACTTTCAACATTTTATTTGTCTGTGTGAATTTCTTTCAGTCTCCACTTTAGACCAGGACTCTAAGCTCTATGACTCTGCATGTAGAAATTATAGGAACAGACTCACCAAGAAAACTCAAGATATTTATCTGGCACACACATTTATTTTTAGAATGATGCTAGGGGAAAATACGCTCTTGAGGGGAAAATGCTCTGCAGTTAGATATGATCATTCAGTTAGCATGATCATGAATCCAATTCCATAACGCATTTCCTAATTGATTTAGAAAATGCACTCGCGAGAGTCTTCACTGGACAGACATGCTGAGCGCTCCACAAGGTGGGCACATGAGTTAGTGCTACTGTTGCTAGCAATGCTCATGCTATGCAACAAAATATTCGACTTGCAGGTACAGGGAGTGTCCAAGTGAAAGCAAATCACTAAATTTTGCAGGAGATGCATGACTCAAATTTTGAGTAAGATGTTTGCATTTCTTCAAATGTCAGGAAGCAGCATAAACAGAGAAAGTTCAGGTGTTTTAAACATACCCAAGGCCGCCTGAGGTTTCTGCAGCTGAATGTTGGGATAGAATCTCCTCTCCACGACTGGCTACTGACCGGAGGAGGCTCTTCTGTTCAGCTAATTCTTGCTCTAATTCCTGCTCAAGGGAAAGGATACATACAAACATCTTTGTCACGTCGCAGTCATTGTCTACAATCATGGTTCCACGTCTAGAAAATTCTCAGAAAACTGTGGTGGTATGCTTTACATTTGTACATTATAGAAAAGGTGTAGTTTAGATATTCAAATGTGTCTCTAAAGTACTCTATAGCTTTCTTTTGCTTTGATAAAGATATCTGAAAAATCTGGGAACAACGACAACAACAACAAAAAAAAATCAAAGGGAAAAGAAAATTTTGCTGGGCAATGGTGCCCTCAAGTGGTACAAAATGTAGTCTGACTTTTCAAAATCACCATTGTACCAACTGAGATAAAACCTTGGAAGCAGCTGCTGTCCGTAATCCTTCTCTGCTTCCTTTATAACCTGTAGTTTCAACTGATTTGTTTGTACCTTTTCATTATTTGCATTCATGTTTTTCCTCCTTAGGAAAATAATATCTTTTTAGGTGTCTTTTATACGAAGTTAAGGTATCAAAGAGAAACCATTATTATTAATTAAGAATCATTTGTTTTACTGGGGAACATCTTACAGTTCTATTTTGCGATGGTGTTTACCTGATAATGAAAAAAAGTAGCACTTCTTTGAAAAAAAAAACTCATGTAGTTCTGACTTTCCCCAATTCTCAGAGGCCTTTTTGAGATTTTATGGATTTATTATTGATTGGTGCTGGGATGCTAGGTTGGTGCTTTACCATTAAGCTACATCCTCAGCCCAAATGTTATTATACTAAAATAGACTCAACTGAAGGCAAATGTGAAAGCAGAGTGGGTATCTGTGATGAGAGGAGTGAGGTAGTTGGGTTATGCTATTGGTAAACTTAAACATAAGTTTTTCTTAAAAGACTGGACTTGAAGAGACCCGATGTTCCAGCAGTCATGGATAAGGGCACTGAAAAGGGACATCACATCCCATTTCATTCCAAGTGGAGATAAAAAGACACTTGCTTACAAAGCAATGTGCCCTTCTGAGCCATCTTCCTTGAGTTCCTTCCAGGGCAGGTCTGCAGGCCAGAGAGCTTACTTTTTGCTGTTGGAGACTGCTCTGCCGCTTGTGGGTCCGTGTGGTGTGAGCTTGAGCCAACCATTCCTGCACGCCAGGGCTCTGCAAGGCCGTGAGGTCAGCGTCACTCTCCTCCTTCTCTTGGGCAGTTCCCTGCTTTTAATGAGGCAGAAATCAGGAGTCAGAGTGCCCACAGGAAAACCTTAACCAAAGTGGAGAGAAGACTCTTTCGGTGTGGTCTGTATAATGAAAGATACCAAAGTGGCTCCATCTGGATGTGAAACCGCATTTTTAAAATGGTGGTAACACAAAACCTGAGTTATGGCGTTTTTAGGACTGAGAATAATAAACAGATGATTATGCACAGAAATATTTGAAGGGGAAACCCATCTATTTCTAATATGGTCACCAGAGATCATTCCAGAATTTTTCCACAAAAATATAACACTAGATCCTGTTATGAGTTCTTTTATAAGTCACACAAAGGTAAAACATTACTGAAATGATTATTATGGTTATAATACCTCCTGTGAAAGCATACCCCTGCCACCTTTTCTATTCAGGTCACACAGTAGCTACCAGACATGCACAGAGTAAGCACTTGCTCCCCAAAGGTGGTTCTGGAATGCTGCTAAACAAAGATATCTCAATGTCTTTGCAAAGCACTAAATCCTTGGTGCTGTAAGGTAGGCAACACACTCTAGAATTTAGGAAGAGACTAAATTTGATCTTCAGTTCTGTCGGGAGCAATGCCACATAATTTTAGGGAAAAATCATTTGGTTAGTTTAGTTCTCCTGCCTACAGACCAGCTATGGAATTCTGAGACATAATTCCATTTTGGCCTCCGGTCACAACTGAGAACTCAATGATCCGGTGATGCTGTGATTCCCCAGGAAAAGAAACATCCTGGGAGCTGAAAACATCCTGGGAGGAACAAACATCTACTCAGTTCCTTGTTGTTCTTCAATTGATACATCTTATTTAGGCGGATGTACTGAACTCTCTGCAAGTCATTCTTTACATTTGTTTCTCCCGATGTACTGAGTACTGAATAAAAGGTGCCATAAGCTGGGGGTTTTCATCTTTGCTGCCCAGAGCAGCACTGATCAAACTCAAAGCTCAGCTTCTTCTCAGTCTTATTTTTCTACCTTTCCTATAATTCCCCTTGTGCTGCCGTGGCTCACAGGAGACCAGGACTTACTGCAGAGGTTCTAGTAACATCCCCTTTCCCTGTTCCCTACACAGTTCCTATGGAAGAAAGTTCACTTTCTCATACAGGCAAAAGGGTCCAACCAAGGGCTTGCCAGAGGGTGACCATCCTCTGTCCCAGACTCCACACACCGCACCCTTGGACTCTTGTTTGCAGGGCTATACGATGTGGTCAACCACAGAAACTCAATTCCCAAAGCACTTCAGTGGCCCCAACAATGACCTTTAATAAGTCTTTGATGTTCACCCTCTGTGGGCCCTAGATTTGAATGAGTTCTAGAATCTTGCTGGCTGGTTATATAGCTATGTTTCCAGACTGTCTTGTATAAACAGAGTCTACTCAAATATGAGAAATCTTTAAGTGACTCCTTGCAAAAATAGGACAATAAAAAAAGAATTAAGCTGGGTGTGATGGTGCATGACTGTTATCCCGACACTTGGGATCCTGAAGCAGGAGGATCATGAGTTCAAAGCCAGTCTAGACTGCATAGTGAGATGCCGTCTCAAAAAAAAAACAAAAAGCACTTAAATGTTAGCATAGTGGGTTACCATTTCACAAACTCGAAAGTCACTGTTATAGTTTAGACCTAAAATGTCCCCCTAAATTCTCATGTGTTTAGAAGGTGATTGGATCACAGGGGCCCTATACTCATCAGTGGATTAATCCCTTGATGAGTTCAGAGATGGCTGTGCCTTAGGAGGTAGGGTGTACCTGGAGGTGGTTTGCTGGGGGTGTGACCCAGGTGGGTGTGCTCTTGTTCCCAGCTACTCCTTTCTCTGCTTTCTGGCCACCATGATGTGAGCAGCTTTCCTTCACTGTCTTTCCACCACCTGTTTTTGCCTTGGACCCAAATAATTTGGACTGAACCCATTAGAAACCACAAGCCAAATAAGTATCTCTTCCTATAAATTGCAAGTATTAAGTATTTTATCCCAGAGATAGAAAGATGGTTAATATATTTGATGTGGGGTTAATTCTGAATGAGAACTATTCTACATATATTTATAGGCCAAAGGATAAATTACATGATTTTAATGCAACTCGTCCAATACACACACATGAAGTGTCAACCAGTGTTCTAAGAGCTCCAAGTATTCTGCAAAGAAGTCAGACAAGGGCTTGGTGGAGACACAGAAATAAACAGATAAGAAAGGCTGAGCTGGTGTTAAGGCTGCAAAGAAAGGGAAAGGAGGCAATAGGACTGAAAGTGGAGGGGAAGTGAGCTTAGAGTGGTTGAAGAACATTTTTAGAAGAGATAAATGCCTGAGTTCTGAATAATAAGACCTTGCCAGCAGATCTGCGGGGTGGGACCCTAGGCCTAGGGAGAAGGTGGTACAGAAATCCTACAGAGATAGAAATTGGGCATTTCAGAGAGAACCACTGAGGTTTAGTGAAGCAAAGAGGCAGAGAAGAGGCTAGGGTGACTAGAGTAAGGTGTGGCAGAGAGCAAGGACAGTCTACAGGTCGCTTCCTCAGAGGAGTCACCCTCCATCTCTTCTGGAGCTGCCACTGCCCTCCTCTTTGCTCTGTGCCAAGTCTGACCATGAGTGGGATCCATCGTCCCAATTTATCTGTCCTCACTATTCACCTTTCCCACTCACCTTCAGAATTTCACACTCCCCATTCCAGAGAAATAGACAGGGTTTGTTTCCTGGTTGAAACTTGGTTGGTTTCCCTCACTGGAACCTCATGAGAAAAGTGGAGAATGCTGGACTGTGCTTCACCTCTGCACCATAGGTATCAGAAGAACAAGAACTGAAGCAATCAGTGAAACCGACAAGTGACATCATGCAACCCACGTGGGCTTGGAGCTCACCTTATGCCACAAGTGTTTTCTTCTTTCTCTTCCTTTCCAGCTGTCTGACAAAGGAACATGGCTTGCTTAGGTGAAATAATGGGTATGCCTTTTGTCTAAAACACGCTACTGTATTTATATTTTGGAGTCCTGCTCAGAATGGGTGATGGGTCACACCCAGTTCACTAAACTCCCCTCGAACCAAGGCATATCTCTCAAAGAGAAGCAGTGATTTGCATGAAGTTGGATGTTTGGGTGTCCATCCAGCACTGAAGCCCATGATTATCTGCATGTAACAGAGTCTCTGCCACCTACAAGGGCACCGTCATCCCAGATAAGATCTAAGAGATCCTGGCTCTTACAGACAAGGAGGAAATACCAGGTCAAATGGCACCTGCAGAGAGTGATGGAGATGGCAGGGAACGACACTTTAAGGAGACCATGTGTGACATTAAGTTGTCTCCAATCAGAGCTGTTCCAGCTAACAAAATAGAGGCCTTGGCCATGACCTGTTGACCTTCCTTTGAGAGACCCAAGCCACTTCCTGCCTGCTGTTCTCTCCAACAAAGGCTTTTTTTTTTCAGAGCCCAGTCTGAAGATTCCCTTGGCAAGTTCTCGAAGCCCTCAATACCCGCTTGCCCTTCTTGGGTTCTAGTCCTTGGATCGAGAACATTACTTTCAAAGCACACCACATTTGGGCTTGTAAAAAATAACAACTGCAATGTCAGCCCTTGAGAATAACTTGCTCACTTTTACACACAGAAACATTTAGATTTCAAGACTTAAACACTAGGAAGGGGATCTTCTCGAATTAATGGGGTTCACAGCCTCAGAGAAGAAAGCAGATGTTTAGTACATGTTCTCTATGTGGTTATGTTCAGTTTTCATTTAATGAATTTCTCTCTGACTGATCATTCATTTTGGAACCTAAGACTTGGACCACAGGAAGAAAAGAATGATTAAAAATCCAGTTCTAATTTCCTTTCCTTTCCCTCTGGGATGAGAAGGCACTGCCAGTAGGAATACAAGTCTGGCGATTACTTTCTGTGTGTTATCATAGAAGTTTTCTCTCTCTCTAGGGAATAAGAAGTAAAGCTGCTTCCATCACCAAGGTCCCAATGGGTGGGGTTACCTAAACTGCTGATTTTGGAAATCCTAGTAACAGTGGCCACTTTTGCCAGGAACATTCTTTGGAAGATCTGTGAGGACTAGGAAATGCTAAACATTAAATAAAACATTTCTTCATGAGAATTTTATTATTGACACAGGACAAACTCTATGCTCCTTTGATAAATGATCATGTGTGGAAATGGCCTATGCTTATGAGGAAAGATACTCATCTTTCAAGAGATTTTTTTGGAGATATTTTTACATGCCCTTAAAATCTGTACTTCTTCATGTAAAAATGCAAGAGTTTTGTTATTGACTGATACTCATACAAGTTCAATCGGTTAAAAAGAATAAGGAAGTAGTTATTACTGCTTCACAGAGCAGCACTAAGAACTGTGAGTTAGGGCTGGGGTTGTAGCTCAGTAGTGGAGTGTATGCTTGGCATGAACAAAGCCCTGGGTTCAATCCCTAGACCTGGAAAAGAGGGAGGGAGAGGAGGAAAGCAAAGAATTGTGTACCAGTGGCTGCATAAGACTTAAAAAGGTGTTCTAATTAAAAGGTGCAATGTCGGGGCTAGGGATTTAGCTCAGTGGTGCCACCGCCTGCCTTGCAAGCATCCGGAGTTCGATCCCCTGTACAGGGGGGTGGGGTACAATGACACTGATTTCTGCATTTAATAGAAGATTGCTTTTTCCCCAATTAACTTTAGTTATCTGGTTTTCTATGTGAAAAGAAATGATCCTTTTCATGACAGAAATAATTTGAGCAAGGCTCCTTTTATCCCCACAGATGAAAAACAAGGTCTAATTATTTTTTAAATCTCATCAATATTTTATATGCTGGAAACTCCATTAGATGGAAGATGGTAGAATTTATATACATTTTTAAAGCACCCAATGAACGTAGATGTGGTGGCATACACCTGCACTCCCAATACTTTTGGGAGGCTGAGGCAGGAAGACTCTAAGTTCGAGTCCAGCCTAGCCAATTTAGTGACATAGTGAGACCATCTCAAAATAAAAAATAAAAAAGGCTGGGGATTTAGCTCAGTGCAAAGGTCTTGGGTTCAATCCTTAGTACTGAAAACTAAAAGCCAATTTTGATGTAGTAAAACACTATAACATTTTTCTGTATTTACACACTGTGGCCCAGCAGCATCCTCAGAAAGGCTTATACTTGTGGCACAGTGTAAACTTCGCTCATTTAAACAATTCCTGTGACTGTGGGAAGGACCTGCTTGTGTGGACCAGCAGGACCGTCACCCACGCAGCCCAGGCTGCTCAATCTCAAACTGAAACTTCGAGTGTGTCACACACTCTTTCCCTCCCCGGGAACCGAGTCTGGGGACAGCAGGCTGGTACTGTGACCTGCCGTGACTTCAGCGTATACTGGAAGCATTATTTGCATTTACATTCTTGGGATGATTTTTTAAAAACTTAAATCCTATAGACTCCCCTTTTTTACAGTTTCTCATTCTGCTATTTCAGGTACCATCAGTGAACCACAACCCAAAAATACTATTTATTTTGACTCTTTCAAGACAGAGAAACTTGAAAAAAAAATCACATAACTTTATTAACATTTATAATATAATAATTCTACTTTATTACTATTGATGTTAACTTCTTGTGCACCTAATATAAAAATTAAACCTTCTCGCCGCCTGCCATGCAAGTGCAAGGTCCTAAGTTCGATCCTCAGTACCAAAAAAATAAAAAAATTAAACCTTCTCATAAGCATCTACTTGTAGGAAAAGCAGTATATACAGGGTTCAGTTACAGGCCTCCACCTGGAGTCTTGGGATCTATTATTCCCAGGATAAGAGACATTGCCATACCATTATTATTTCTGATTTAGAGATGAGGAAACTGACCTGTAAGAAAGCTGCAGAAAACTCAAAGACCTGGCCCCTGGCAATCTCATTAATAATTGTCGAGACAAGGGTGCAGCTGCAAAGTGATGGCCAAGAACCAATCCTGCCTGGGAAATATGTTTTATTTGACATAAAATTATTTAAACATGTTAGAACTCACTGTCAGGGTTTACAAACTGGAAGATGTAGAATTAAATCCAAATTTCTTATTTCTTAAGAAACCGGAAGGTCTAGGAACAGAGTCTGAATTCTGGGATGCTGAGAACTGGCACTGCCGATTAGGCACCAGCCCACGTGCCCTTCCCGGGCTCCGAGGCCAGGTGCACAGGTGAGGCCACATTGCCTCTGTCTCTTCTACCTGTTGCTAGGGGTAGGGCATAATAAGAGCCTTGCAGATGACAGCTGGTCCACATGTGGAACTGTAAAGATTTCCCTTTGTTTTAGTTTCCTTAAAGATTAGGTTCAATCACAGACCACCAGTGAAAAACAAAAAAAAGTCTTACATGATAGACCAGGAATACCTTTTGCAAAATTGTCTTTTTTGTGTACTTTTATAGTTATAAATCTTTCTAGTTTGGTTTGATTTAAATATTTTTAACATTTTTACTTTTATTAAGAAGTCTCATTGCATTGTTTTGAAGCAAGGTCTTGTTAGGTTGCCTGGGCTGCCCTTGAACTCAGAATTCTCTGCCTGAGCCTTCTCAGTGTTGGGATTACAGGTGTGCACCCCCACACCCCCTCTGCATGTCCATTTTAAAGTACCTAAATTTAAAGTAAAAACTTACATTTTGTTTGTAATGGGATTTGTTTATCCAGTAGAAATTTTGAAATTCTTTTCACAAGTTCCTTGGCCATTCGTATCTCTTTTCCTTTGATATATATTATCCACATTTCTACTAGTTAATCTTTTTTTTTTTTTTTTCCAGTACTGGGGCTTGAATACAAGGCCTTTGCACTGATCTACATCCCCAACCTTTTTTATTTTTTATTTTGAGACAATATCTTACTAAGTTGCCCTGACTGTGCAGTCCTCCTGCCTCAGCCTCCTGTATAGCTGGGATTACAGCCATGCACCACTGAGGCGAACTTAATTTTGTAATATTAAATTTTAACATATAAGGCTAGTAACCCCCATAACTCCTCATTTTTATAAATTATGGTTATTTTTACATGTTTATTTTTTTCTCAGGTAAATGATCACTTGGTATCATTTTGTGACTTTCTGAAATACACAAGTAGTATTTTAGTCAATAAATGAGGAATTGGCAGCTTTAAAATCCAAAAAGAAAATATACCCTTCCATTTTTCATTTTGGTTCTTAAACTTTAAAGTCTGTATCATTAAGATTCTTTTGCATATTTTATTTTACTGATATACACAGGATATTATTTTATGTTATTTCTCTAAATTGGTTTTTTTTTTTTTTTTGGTACCGAGGATCGAACTCTGGTCCTTGCACTTGTGCAGCAGGCGGCGAAGCCACTGAGCTAAATCCCAGGCCCTTCTAAATTGGTTTTTATTCGTGTAAACGAAAGTTGCAGATTCTCTATTTATTTTTGTAGTGCTGGGGACTTTTAAAAAATAAAGCAATCATCTTCCTAAATTCTTCCATTGCTTCTAATAGATTTAAGTTGACTAGGTTTGGTTTTCCAGATCATATAATCATACAATTAGCAAAAAAACCTGTGCACTCTCCTTATACCGAGAAAATAAAAGCAATCACAGTAAATATTTGTGAAGCTTTTTCAACAGCAGTTGTGCCCCACTTCCTGTCTTCCAGCAGCTTCCAGGATGCCTGCAGCCTGGGTCTCTCCCCTGCATTCCCACGGCCCCTTGAGAGTTAAAAGGCACCACAACTGAACTGTTAACTCACTAGTCCTTTGCTCTCCCACATCCATTCCTCGGTTAGTCTTCATCGTCTCAGTTACCCAGAATCTGACTCAGTCTCAGTGCCTCTACCTCTGTGCTTGGACTCCTTCTTCCCTGGTCCCAAAGCTCCTGAGTTCCAGGCAGTGGTTCCGAGCTCATCCTCCTGTCACTCCTTCTCCCACACACTCCAAGGACTTCTCAAAGTCCACACAACACCAACACCCTTGGGTCCTCTGGTCCCAAGGCCCCTCGCTACCTATGTCTGTGCTCCGAAGGTTTATGCCTCCCCTGATTGATACTTTGACACCTAATCCCAAGTGTGATAATACTACGAGGTAAAACCTTTGGGAGGTGAATGCTTATGGAATGAGCTCTCTTATAAAAGAGAGTCCAGAAAGCCAGCTACTCCACTGCACCAGGTAAGGACACAGAGGGAGAGAAGGAGGGAGGGAAGGAGAGAGACAGAGAGAAACAAAACCTGCTGGCACCTTGATCTTGGATTTCCTAAATTCCAGAATGTGAGTGATAAACTTCTGTTGTTTCTAAGCTGTTAAGGTTATGGCATTTTCGTTACAGCGTCCTGGACAGGCTAAACCACGGTCTGGCTTCCTTTGCAACTACTCTCCTCCTGCTCTCTCCACTGCAGCCACAGTGTCTTTGGATGGAATGGGTGTGATCCCACTTAGGAGTCCTTAGGCCTCTGCTAGGGAACTCACTCTCCTCATGCCCACATCTTCTCTCCTTCACTGTGAACTCTGCTGGGATTCCTTAGCACTCTTGTCTTTTGTCATGCCCCCTATAGTTCTCATCATTTCTGTGTACAATAATGCATTCTAATTTCATTGATTGCCTGGCTGCAAAAACCAGAATCTCCCAAAGACAGAAATATCTAGATACACAGCTACAGACAGGTGTTTTCCATGCTCTATTTTATCATATAGAATAGTTGCTCCCACATAGTAGTTTCTCAGTATTTGCTTAATCTTTGCATAGCACTGTACCAGTAATTTATAGTTTTTAAAATAGAATTAAAAAAGCTAAATAGTATGCAAAACTATGCAAGGTGCATGGGAGAAACTGAGTAAAAGTATTCTAAGGTACAGCATATTAATATATTGAGAGATTAAGACGTTGAATTATAATTTATTAGGTATGCTGCTAAACAGGAGGATAAAACAAATAAAAGCACTTAGTCTCTTAAAAAACAAAGGTAAAAAAGAAGAATAGAAAGAACAGGACAAAAATAGAAAATAAAAAGGAAAATAAGAAAGACCAACTATATCAGTAAGCACAGTGAATTTAAAGGGATTAAACTTGCCCTTTAAAAGAAAGATTCTCTGATTAAACAAATGTTTAAAACCAACGAGAGACAGCTAACTCTTATTTATAGGAAATAAATTAGAACACAAGGACACAAATCAAAGGAAAGTTAAAACAAAGGAAAACAAAGGAAAGTGAAAAGACAAGTCAGATAAATATTGCTCAAAAAAGCTCTAGCAATCTAACATGAAAATCACTATTAAAGAATATTAAGGTCCCTACATGATAGTAAAAGTTTAATTCACCTGGAATACACGATAATTCTAGGTTCTTTTTTGGAGGGTGTGGTACAGAGGATGGAACCCAGAGCCCTCCGCATGGCATAACAAGTGCTCTACCTGAGCTACATCCTCAGCCTGAATATATAATTCTAAAGTCATGAGCACTAAATATACGTCTGTGTATATCTGAAGAGTAGGATGCATAAAAGAAATACGAATGTACCAAAAAAAAAAAAAAGGAAGAAAAAAAAATACGAATGTGTCATAGCATGTCTTCATCTATAACCTCCATTTAAATTTGAGCAGTCACCATTTTCCTTGTCTTTTCTTTTCCTATAGCACAGTCCTTAGATCTCTGGATTCAAGTAACCCCCGCAAAACTTAGTTGGAAATGCATGACCAAATCAGTGTAAATTAATACTCCACACCGGAATGTGTACAGTTGTGCAACACCCTCACCATCCTCTGGGGGCCTTCGAACAGCACCTCGCCCTCACCTGGATGTGCAGCTGGCGGTCTCGGAGGGCTCTCTGCAGCTCCAGGAGGCTCCCCTTGAGTGTCTTCAGCTTCCCGGCCAGCTGCTCAGCCTCATCCTTCGTGTGTGCCTTGCCCTCCAGCAGCAGGTTCTCGTTGTGGAGGGACAGCTCAGATAAGGCCACAACCTTCTGCTCGATCTCCACCAGCATGTTCTGGGACGGCACAGACAAGGACGAAGTCACACATGGGAACCAGTCTCTGCCAGGTCTGTGTGTGGTGGCACATGCCCGGAATCCCAGCAATCTGGGAGGCTGAGACGGGAGGATCACAAGTGCAAGCCCAGACTGGGCAATTTAGCTACTTAGGGAGACCTTATCTCAAAATTAAACAAACAAAAAATACTAACATAGCTCTGTGTGAAGGCTCTGGGTTCAATTCCTACTACCTCAAAAGAAGGAAGACTTTAGTGCAATTATCCCTCATGTTAATTTCTAAATACCCAAGCTAACTTTATGATTCAAAAGGCAATGTTTAGTCTGCCTAAAACCTACAGCTGGAAGTTTCCAAATACCATGTCAGGATAAGAACCTAACCTGCAACAGAGCACCTGGGAATGCTTCCTGCCCTGTTTATTCAGTCTGAATCACTGACACTAAGTCCTCTCATTAGGTTTATATTTCTTTTTAGATGCAAAATACAGATACAATAAGGATTTGGATATATACAGTCTTTAAAAATGCTGTAAGTTCTTTTGTACAACTGGGGATTGAACTCAGCCTTTGCACAGAAGTACATCTTCAATCCTTTTCTTTTTTTGAGAGATTGTCTTACTAAGTTGCAAAATTGCCCAGGTTTGGCTTGAACTTGCATTCCCCCTGCCTCAGCCTCCCAGCATACTGGGATTATAGGAATGTTCCACCCTGCCCAGCTGGAAGGCAGTTTTTTTTTTTCAAAAACTAAGTCCAAGTTTGAGCTTCATTTAAGATTTTATAATGTATTGATTCTCTGCTCTCTAAGTATGTAAAGTTCATAGCTGTGAAAAGTCATATATCTGTACCAAGGCTTCTCCCCAGCATGTCTGCTCTGGGCACGTGAGGTTAGCATGTGCCCTTTTTGTACCTGGCAGTCCACCAGCTGTGCCTCCATGTCCATTGGCTCTGTGGGTGCACTGAGGGTGCCATCCAGGGTGGCCTTGGTACTCAACAGCCAGTGATCCAGCTCATCAGCTTCACATCGATACCTCTGCAAGGCCTGCTCGTGCTTCTGTTCCTCCAGCTGATCGTTTAACTTCTCCTAAGGAGATAAGCAGAAGGTAACAGATCAGTGGAAGGTGAAAGCTTGAAGATTCAAAACATGGAGCAGCAGTTTCAGAGCCCTAGGTGTGCATCAAAATCACCTAAGAAATATAAACTTAGGCTACATCTCAGAACAACAAATCAGAATGGGCTGGGGTGAGCTTGAGTCTCAAGATTAGTATTTTTAAGAGATTTCCCAGCCAGGTGTCATGGCACACATCTGTAATCCCAGCACTTGAGAGGCTGAGGCAGGAAGATCACAGGTATTAGGCCAGCCTGGGCCACTTAGCAAGACATTGTCTCAAAATAAAGAATAAAAAGGGCTGGGAATGTAGGTCTGTGGTAGAACACCCCTGGGTTCCACCTCTAGTACCAAAAATATTTTTCCCCCCAATGGTTCTAATGTGGCTTAGAGCTGAACATAGCATCCTCAAACAATATACCTATAAGACTAGGCAGTAACACAAGTGACAGAAATTCCCCAGGAATCAGAACCAGACACTGGCATAAGGCAACTGGCAAATGGAAAAGGCACTTGAAGTCAGCTCTGGGAAACAGCAGGGACTCTGGGGAAGGGAAGAGTGTGTGGTTCACCTGAAGAGCAGTCACCGTAACTGATCCCTGGGAAGGGGGCCCAGGGTTACTGGTGCCTCAAGCGAAGGCAGAAATCCAAACATCTAGATTAGACATCTGGGTGTTTCCAATTCTTGCAAATCATTCATGTTTTTAAAATATTCAGGCCAATACTTCATTTTGCTGTCCCACTAAGTTTTCATAGAGTTAAGGACAATATCAAATCAATCAGACTCTTAAGGTACTCTAGATATTTTATTTGTAAAAGCTACATTATTAATAATAATTATTATTACTTTTACATTATAATATTTACTAAATAGTTTAACATGGCGATTAGCAGGGAGAATAGACATCAATTTTAAATTTATCCAGAATGAAATTTATGAATACAAGACTTAAAGTGGGGCATGGTGGTGCATATCACCAGCATGCTAAGAAGCTGAGGCAAGAGGATCACACATTCAAGCCCAACCTTGGCAATTTAGGGACTTAGAGAGATCCTGGCTCAAAATAAAATAAAATGGGCTGGGGATGAAAAGAAGAATTAAGATGTGTTATGACCATGTACAAACTCCCCATGACAAATGTAATAAGTATGTGCTGCAAACATGGACTAATAAAAAATTATTTTAAAAAATTAAAAATGGTCTAGGGATATAGCTCAGTGTGAAGGCCCTGGGTTCAGTACCATAAAAGGTGACTCTAACTAATATTATAGTAAGTAAATTCAGAAGCATCCTATACATCCAACAATAGGGCCATAGTTAATAGAATTATGGTAAAAGCAGCAGGTAAACAAATATTAAGTTCATATCATAAGAGATGCACTGAGAACCAACTGTGTGCCAGAGAAGCCGCTGGATCCCAGAGATACCAGGAGTCAGACTCAATACAGGCCCTAAGCAGGCAGCCTACCCAACTATAGAACAATGCCAACATCTACCATCCTGTGTGCCTAGGACTAAGAATTATATGAAAATAATATTTTTAAAAAGCTGATTTTTAAACATATACACTATTATTGCCAACATCTGTCTCTATACCAAATAATATTTATACTAAGTAACATAAGAATCAGAACTGCTAGTGTATTTTCATGAATTATCACGGTGGAATTGGCTACGGTGGGATTTATTCTTTATAGTCTCGCTAACATCACTCATCGAAAGCTCTTACTACACTAATCTTCTACAACCTGTCTTCATGAGGTTCATGGCCCCCAGTCCTCAGCATCTCCCCAGGGGTGGAAGGGTGGATTCAGGGCTTTGCACTGACTCGCGCTCTACTCCTTGCACCTTCCGTCACACGCACACTTGTGAACCCATTTGGAAGTGAGGGCAGGGGCAGACGCTTGCCTACCTCCAGCAGCTGCCGTTTGCCCGCGGCCTTCATCCGGATGGTGGACATACGTTCAGCCAGCACTGTGAGGGTGGACTGCAAGGCCAGCTGCTGGGCAGGGTCAGACTCCCGCACCTCTGACACCAGCTCCTCCGCCAGTGAGGCCTGCAGCGCGTTGATTTCGTCTTGGACCATGAGAATCTCGTCCATCAGCGCCTGCAGGGAAGACTGTGGAATCACGCTTATGTATGCATTTCCTCACTGGCCGCGCCTCACACACACACAGGCAAGCGGAAGACATTTCAGGTGGATGTCATGTAACCAGAAATCAGGGCTACACTTAAGCTTCAAAATGAAATACCAGACGAGGCCAGGGTATTTCTGATCTTAATACTGTGGGTGCCACTAACAGAAGCCACTTTTTCATAATTCAGGGGACATGTGTTCAGTAATGTTCAAGAGTCTGATTCTACGCTGAGCATAAAATTCATGATTTTCAGCTGGGGGTGGTGGCACATGCCTGTAATCCTAGTACTCTGGGAGACTGAGGCAGGAGGATCACAAGTTCAAACCTATTGTGGTACACTTAGCAAAGTGGTAGCCCCCCTCTATAAAGGCTTGGGATGTACCATAGTGCAAAAGCCCTGGGTTCAAGTTCCAATACCCCCGCCCCCATTCACCACTTTCACATTTACAAGACAGGAGAAATCTAACCTGTTTCTATATCCTGATGTTGTGTTCATTTTTCTCCTTATCTATCCAACTCTGAAACGAGAATTTTCTCAGGGCGAATAGCCAGACCCTCTTTTCTACCTTCACAGTCTCTTGCCAACAATGTCTATTCCCAAGGTTTCAAGTACATTCTCACTTTGATGGCTTCCAAAGGCAGGTAGGTCCCTAACCCAGGCATCTGTCTGAAATTTCAGCCTTTGTGTACTCAGCTGGCATAGTTCATGGATGTTTCCACTATTCTAAGTACTGTTAGGTAAAAACTACAACAGACCATCTTGGACTGGGCTTTTGCTGTGACTCCAAGGGAAAAGACCCCCAAATCAAAATAGGTGGTCCACAGTAAAGTTCCATGTCACCAGCCCTAATCTAAGGTATTTGCTTAGCCTTCCAAGAAACCAGGTGAGCAACAACAGCCAAATTTCCCAAGGGGGCTAGTTTCGGTCGTCATGGTAACACAATTATCTCTGCCTTAATCCTGCATGAAAGAATTTCCTGTTACTCTTTAGGACAAAAGCAACTTGATGTTAACCAGTTACTTTTGTCTTCTCAGCTTTATAAGGAAAGTAACTTTAAAATGACCAGTCTTTTGTTATGATTTCTGCCTTTTATTTTTCAGCCCTTCTCTGTCTATAAAACCAAACTCTTCTGTTGGGCCCATCTGAACACTCTGTTTTCAGGGACATGTTGCCCAATTCTAGAATCCAAACTAAAGCCAAGTAAGAGGTTCTGGTTAATCTGTTGTAATTTTTTGTCCTTTGACAGCGTGAAGCCTACTTCACCCCGTCTTCCCTACCACACCCGACTGCTGAAGGTGGAAAATAAGGAGTCAGTCTTCCTGTCTTCCTCTCCTCCAAGCTGACATATCCCACCACTCGACCTGCTCTGAGACTGGCATGGAGAGCTGAGTATCTCCATTCCTTCCACCCACCCAAGTTAAGCTCAACTTCCTCTCTTGTCTGAATAGCTGTAATGATTTCCTGATGGGTCTACCTACTACACTCTTCTCCGTCCAGTCCAGTTTTTACAAAGCAATTACTGAGATGTTTCAAAAACATGTGTGAGCTCTTCTCACACACGCCTCTCCCCTACTTTCAAATACTTAATGGCTTCCTGCTTGTAAAATAAAATGTAAACTCCTTATTTAGTGAGATGGTCTCATCCTTCCTGCCTCTTGTACCACACTCCCCTTTCACTGTTTCTGCCTTCTTGGTTAACTCCAGGGCCTCCAGCCCTTTCTGACCTCAGAGACTTTGTACATGCTGTTCCCTGAGGCTGGAGCATTCCTTCCCATCCTTCAGTTTGAGGTTAATGTCACACCTTCCTAGGCCTTTCAAACTATGGAACGCTGGGTCATTCTCTCCCAACAGCACTTTGTTTTCCTGTTTAACATCTACCACAATTGAACATGGTTTTTACTTTTCATTTGTTTTACTTTATGGCTTGATCTTTACAAGGAATAGTCACAATAGAAATTTTTATTTAGGATTTGAAGAGTATGTTAAAAAAAACTGCACCACTGTAAGAGACACTACCATGACCAAGAAATGTAGCTTAGTCTCTGAATTTGTTAAGGTTTCATGGTTTTCAATGAGCTTGTACATGCAGGCTTTGCTGTAAGCACAGTGCGTCCTCAGAATGCACTCTCAATATATATTAAAAACAAGTAACAAAATACCTTCGCTTTTTCTAATATCTTGTCTGTCAACTTATTTTTTTTTTTCTTCTTTTGATACAAGTTCTTGGTATGTAGCCCAGGCTGGCCTTGAACTTGAGATCCTCCTACTTCACCCTCTGGAGTGCTGGGATTATAGGCCTGCACCAACACACTCAGCTTGACTTTTAATAGACTATTATACTGGCATTATCCAGAAACGTGCACAGACTGTACAGGTGAGGCTTTATTAAGTTTCACAAACTGCATATACCCTTGTTGCTGTAAACCAGATCAAGAAACAGAACTTGGCAGGACGGCATGGCCCTTTGACCTTCTCCATGTGGCTGCTTCCCTCTTTCCCAACACTGTGTTGACTCATAAACAGATAACCCTCTCTTGTACTTCAGCTTTATGTAAAGGGAATCACATGGGTTGTGTTGTTTTGTGTCTGGCTTCGTTCCTTCGCTCTCTACCAGCACTGTGAGTTGCTTATGTTGTTGCATGTAAAGTTTCTCACTTTTGTGGCTGTATCAGATAATACTAGTTTGCGAATCTTTTACATTCACAGTGGGAATCTCAGTCCAGTGTTAATATGCCGTTCCCTGAGTTCCCCTATGAGACTAGGTACTTTCTCATATGCATACTGGCCATCTTGTCATTGCTTGCTAACCTCTCTTGCCCTTTCTCTGTTAGAATCTTTCCTTACTGGTAAGTTTTATTTACATATTTTGGATATTGCTGTGTGCCTATGTTTCTTGTGGTTCTATTTACAAATGTCTACTCTCATTTTGTAGAACTACCTGCTCTTATTTTTCTCTAATTAGAAAAAAGATTTATTTTTTATGGCTTTTTGAAATATGGTCTTGCTATGTATTACAGGCTGGCCTTGAACTCTCGATCCTCAGTCCTTCTGCCTCAGCCTCTCAAGTGTCATGCATCAACGCACCTGGCAGAAAATCTTTGAATGATGCCTTTTGAGAAAAGGATATATATTTTTTCATATGTTTGCAATATAATTGAGAATTTCCCTATCAATCTCTGCCCCAAAATGTGCTGGGATTATTAAATGAGATTGTAAATGAGATTACTAAATGATATTGCATTCAACTTATAGGGATTTATATTTATTAAATTTATTATGCATTCAAAGTACTTTTGGTCCAATAACTTATGTTCTACTGTTTTTGATTGTTTTGGGTTCCTGATCACCAAAAGTATAAAATCCATATTTTTGTCCAATTTTAAAAGCTCCTCCATGATTAGATTGACCTCATTATGTCTTTTTTTTTTCGGTATTGATCCTCTGTACAAGCAAGAAGAGCCCCCTTGAGCCTCTACCACATGCTGAGCATCATTCTCTCCCCTGTGTCTTTCCATGCACTTGCTCATTTACAGTGCCTCCTCCTCACTCTCACTATCATTCCAACTTTCCAAACTGTCTCCCCAGGTCCTTGCTGGATCTCATTTAGTCTACCGCCACTCTAGTCTCTTATGAGTGGCTTTAGTTGCTCTGTTGTGGCTGCCTCAATGTCCTGATTCGATTCAAAACATTTACCTTTCATGGTCATTTTGACTTTTGGTGAAGAGTCAAAAGTCACATGGTACCAGATCTGGTCAAAAAGGCAGATGAGCACATATCTTCATGTTTTTATTTGACAGAAACTGCTGTAAAGATTTTTAATCCATTAAGTTTATTGGTATATTATTTTTCCCAAAAAATGTACCAATAAACTTAATGGGAAAAAAAAATAAATGAATAATGTCATTGCAGAGTTCAACATCTTTGATGCCTCATAATCAATGCTAAAGGATGATATAGTATTGGATAGGTGCCACGATATTAAAAATCATTACTAGGTTATCTAAAGGTCTAACTGCATTTTCAGTCTGTGATCTAAATACATGTTAAATAAATTTTATCTTTTGGGCTCATTAAAAAAAAAAAAAGATTTTTAATCCAGTCAGGACATCAAGGCAGCCATGAAAGAGATATTCAGAACTGCTCCATAAAGTGGCAAGAACAATGAAATAAGTGCGTTCAGTGCCAGGGGGAATATTCTGAGGGAGATTAATAGCAATGTATCTTCTATTATAATAATTTTTAAAAAATTATTTGAATAGTCACCATGTTTTGATCATAGCTTCTATTATCGAAAAGCTTGTCTTTTGGCTGTGCACATAGTAAATACTCAGCACATCTACATGAAGTGAATTAATTGTAATTCATAATAAAATTTTGATAACTGAATCACGAAGCCACCAGGAAAAAAGAGCCACTCCTCATTTAACCTCTGTGAATCTGGCCAACCACATGTGCAGTGAGGTCCCTGGCTTCCATTTGGGACCCTCAGGTCCTATGACAGCTCTGCGTGTTCTGCAGAAGGAACAGGGCCTTGGGATCTGGGTGGCTGCCTCCCTGCAGGCAGAGGCAGCCTCTGCTCAGGCCTGAGGCTCTGCAGCCCAGCTCAAGGGGGCAGGCGTTTTCCTCTGGAAGGATGAAAATGTTCGGAACCAGACAGAAGTAGTGGTTAGATGACATTATGAATATTCTAAATGCTACTGAATTATATATTTTAGACTAATTCATCTTAGGTCATGTGAATTTCATTTTAATTTAAAAGAGTACCTGAGGGTCAAACATGTCTTCAGCCTCGTAATTTTGAATACAAGAGCTGGTGACCAGCTATTCTGCCATGATATTTGATTCAAAACTAAGGAGAAGGAGATAAACTGCTTGTCCTTGGTTTTCTGACCTGTGATGATGAGGAGGGCATGAGTGTGACTCTTAAATGAGGAGAGCCTGGAGATTACTAAGGACTGGGAAGGACTGGGAAGAGAGGGGAGCAGAAAAGGGGAGGCTGGATTTGATCAGTGCTTGCTGTATGCATGGTAAGGAAATATTACACTCAATCCCATTAATATGTACAAATAATATATGTGAATAAAGCAAAATTTCAAGCCAGGCATGGTGGCACACACCTGTAATCCCAGCACTCTGGGAGGCTGAGGCAGGAGGATGGCAATTTTGAGCCCAGCTTGGGCAACCTAGTAAGAACCTGTCTCAAAATAAAAATTTTAAAAACAAAGAGGGGCCTAGAGATATAGTTCAGTGCCAAGGCACTGAGTTTAATCTCCAGTACCAGAAAAAAAAATTTTAAACCCCAATACAGAGAAGTACTTTGAGTTTCTCAGAAAGGCCCAGCTCTTTAGTAGTAAGGGAAAACACACAGATCTCATAGTTCAACACCAATGGTAAACAGTAATTTCATTTTGACTCTCAGAACTATGCTCATGAACCTATTTGAGTTGTTATGTACGTTAGAAAAACAAACTAGCCGGACCTGTAATCCCAGCACTCAGGAGGCTGAGGCAGAGGGATCATGAGTTCAAACCCAGCTTGGGCAATTTAGCAACTTAGTGAGACCCTGTCTAAACAACAACAACAACAACAAAAATGGGCCAGGGATGTAGCTCAGTGGGAAGGCCCTGGGTTCAATCCCTAGGACTAAAGGGGAAAAAAGGTCAAAACAAAACCTCAGGGCCCTGCCTACTATGTCAGTGAGTTTAGTGTGGCAAAGACAACACACATCCCATCAGGTGCCTGTGGTAGCGAAGGTCCTGACAGGAAAGGGCTCCACATCCAGAGCATCAGTACTGTCAGCTAATGCACTGCATTAAGGACTTAAAATTAAACCCATGGTACCATGTAGAGATAATAACAGGAAAAGGACTGGAACTCTACCCAAATTTAATGGGTCTAGTAAAGTGTTTAAAGCAAAAATGCAGGAATTGGGTTAGCCCTCTAAGGAAACAATACTCCCAAGAGAGTGTTGGGAAAGAAATAACAGCTGAAGTATTTCTATTACATTTTTAAAATAAAAAGCACAGTGGACTTTCTTATCCCCATTTAGTTGAAGTTTAAAAATAGCAATTCTATAATAGTGCTTGGAAATTCTAAAGTACCATTCCAGCAGTCAGGCACAAATTTAGCTGTTGTGTTACCAATAACTTTCATGTCAGTAACTCTGTCCCAGAATTTGTGGAACTGAGGCACACAGAGAAAGTTACCAAAAATAACTCGGATGACAAATTTCAGATTTGTGATGATATGCAAAATTATACTGAATTAAGCATACTTTATATTTTTCTCTCCCTCTCTGAGAACATTAATATAATTGTTAAGCCCCAATATCTGGTAATCATCAATTAATTGCATCTTCTCCCTTCTAGGATAATTGGCAATGCCATTCCCAACTTGGAAAGGGACTAAAAGTCATGTAGCTGGTCTTAACTCAAAGAAAAATTATAGTTTCACTTTTAATTTATACTAGTAGCATTAATGTGCAGTTTTGATTTTTCTTCATTAAATCTTTTGAACAAAATGATAATTTTGCTCTCTGTTGCTTATGTGTGTTTGTGTGCTTTTTTAGACTAATGACTGAAGAGGGAGGCTACTAAATGGGAGCTAATTTGTATTTTAATTAGGAACTCTGGTATATCCAGGCAGGGCACCAGGATCCTGGTGTCATGTAGTCCCTTACTCCTGTGGGAGTCTGAGAAGGCTCTGTGTTACCTGGGGTCAGTCTCCTGGCCCGTGAGGATGATAGTCCTTGGACAAAGGCGGAGATGACCTGAAGGGAAACAGGGGTGGTTAAACTATTTAACCTGGTGGATTATTGGCTCTTCACAATCTGATGGTGTAATTCTTGAATTAACTGATCCAATCCGCAGAAAATATATGCCATATTCTCTTTGGATGCTTAAAGGAAGTGAGTAAGTGCAGGACAGCAGTCAATCTAAGTTGGCCTGCGGTGCTGTATGGCCCTTCCTCCAGGTACACAGGAAGGTCAGATCAAGATGAAGTGGCTGTCAGCAATGAGAAACTGGAGCATCAGTTAAAGAGGACTGTGTGACCCGGAAGGCTGTCTAGATGGGAGAGGGGTTTGGGAAGGGTAGGGGTCTGGTAAAACATAGGTAAAGCTCAGAGGCAAGCAGCTTTTTAACAGTCAGCCAAGTCTGTGAGTGTCCTTATGATTGCTCTGGTTTATGAAAATAAAGGTTAGTTTTTGTTTATTTGTTTGTTTCAATACTAGGGATTGAATGCAGGGTTTTGGCACTGAGATATACCCTCAGCTCTTTTTTTTTGGTATTGGGGATCGAACTCGGGTCCTTGCACTTGCAAGACAAGTGGTAGAACCACTGAGCTAAATCCCCAGCCCCCTCGGCTCTTTTTAAAAAAAGTTTGAAACAGGGTCTCGCTAAATTGCCCAAACTGCTCAAACTTATGATTTTCCTGCCTCAGCCTCCCAGAGTGCTGGGGTTATAGGCCTGTGTCACCACGTTGACAAGGTTAATTTTGTACTTTTTTTGTACCCTTCCCAAACCTGGCAGATTATGTGTGACTTTAGATGGCAGAAAAATCTTTAGAAAGTAGTTTATCATAATTAGGACTAAGGACAGTTGCTATGCACTTTGATTTTTATCTTAAGAAGTTACAAGAAGGTCATAAACATGAAACCACCATTTCTCAATACGCTGTCTTTAGATGAAATATTCTCATCTGTGTGTTCTCCTGTATGGCTCTGTATTGCAAAAGAATGCAAATGCATTTGACTCCACATATGAATAAGCAATGCAGTTTCAGGTTACCCTGGCTTCCAAAACCAGAAAGGCAAAGCGCAGGGCTTCACTTTTAAAGCTAATAAATTTCTCTGGCTTTGATTGATACACCTATCATACCAAGCTTTTACAGCTTTTCATTAATATCTAAAAATAGCTTTCCTTTCCTCTGCCTTTCACAAGGTTGTCACATGCTACCTGGTCCCAGTCAGGGGACAGCAGCATTTCCAAGAATCACACTGAGTATGCAGCAGGTGAATGCATACTTCCACATCCTCAGCTCCCCACATACCACATAAATACCACTGTGTGTTAATAGCACAGCCAACAATAACACTAAAATAACCAGATTTTAATGTATGCACGTTCCTTAGCATGAATTTTAAATCGATGTATTTTTAATAGCATCTTTCTGAATTAGGTTAATGTAATCAGTTCTGTTTTTCTATAGAAAGATGAAGCCCTGTCTAGTTTATACAAACTTTTTTATTTTTCTTTCAGTACTGAGGACTGAACCTAGGGCCTTAGGACTTAGCTACATCACGAGCCCCTTTTAATTTTTTTTTTTTTAATTTTGAGACAGGATCATGCCAAGTTGCTAAGATGCCCAGGCTTAGCTTGAACTTGTGATTCTCCTGCCTCCACCTCTCAATCTCCCAGAGTGCTGGATCACAGGCATGCGCCACCACACCTGGTTTACACAACCTTTTAAAAAGTGACTGCAGCCAGAACAATTAGATTAGGACTGGCAGCCTCTTCTTTCCACCTGCTCCTTTGCCCACTGAAGTTAGAGGTTTATTCTCTTAACTGATAACCAGAGGTGGGCACGCCCTGGCTATTACCCACAGAAAGTAGATTTGGGATACATTTGATTTTTATAAGTATGGCTGACAATGAAATAAAAAAATCTGGCAACTGTATGGAAATGTACTTTGTGTCAGAAAATACAAAAGCAACACCAATGCATGTAGCTTTGTGAAACTGGGGTCAAGGCCTGATCTTTTTTGCCTTCTTGGATCTATGAAGCAGTGGTAGACACTGCACCATGGGAACTTTGTGTACTGTGCAAGACCTGCCAGTCTGCCCTCCACATGTGGGCATGACAGGCCCTGCAGTCACTAAAGCCACACACCCACCTAACCATGCTGGAAGCAGAAGTCATCACCTCACCGCGCTTACCTGATGTTCGGCCATCTGGCTTTCCGGACTCCTGCCGAGCTTGAGGCTCTCACTAAGCTTCGTCTCAATGGCCTCCATTTTTGTTGAGATGGACTGGAGCGAGTCCTGGTACCTCTGCTGGCGTTCCAAAGCCTCATAGAGCGTGCGCTGCTTTTCACTGATCTAAACAAGAAAAGGGATCTTACCAATGGTTTCCTACATCTTATCTTCCAGATTGCAACATTTCTTTCCTCATTGCTTTACCCAAGGGTGTTGAACTCTGTACTGGATGTGTAACTCTCTGCTTGTGTTTCATAAGGTAAAACCTAAGGTAATGGGTGTGTGGTGAGCTTACCACATTTTTTAAGGTTTCCCAAGAACGCTGCAGATCACCCAGTTTGGCAGTAGCAGACGGCTCCAGCCCTGGCTCATACAACTCCTGGGATGCTGATGTGCTGGGGCGGATCCTGGCAGCATCTGTCTGCAGTCTCTCAGCAGACAGGGATTGGTAATAGGCAATGTCCTGGGAGAGAAAGCACAGTGCTGGTTTCCAAAGGGAAGACCAAGTCTAGACCAATATGCTTGAGGTACTATTTGTCATGTGGAGGAAAGGTCTAGGATTCACACCCTTTGCTGGTGGCTACAAACTAGGGAAGCTAGTAAAATTTTGTGATAAGGTCTTTAGAACTATCAGTACATAATACAATTAATTACTTTAAATGTTTGGTTTATATGAAGTCATGAAATAATTTTACCAGTATTTCAAGTTGCCAGAACTCATTTTATATAAAAGAAATACAAAGGATTTAAGTGGTACACACATATTTAAAGATGGATTAGTACCTATAACCAAATAAGTGAATCAAAATGATCTGGTTTCTAAAATGTTCTTCAATGTATTGATTAAAGTTCTGAATATTTTTTTTTTTTAATGAGACAGGGGCTTTCTACACAGTCTAGGCTGGGTTTGAACTTGTTATGTAGCTTAGGATAGTTTCAAACTCAAGAACTTCCTGCCTTACCCTCCCAAGTGCCAGGATTACAAATGTGGACCATCACATCTGACTCTGAACAATTTTTAAACTATTTGAGTTTTAAAAATTAAAACTACTTGGGCCAGGGACTTAGCTCAGTGGTTCCAATACCTGCCTCGAAAGTGCAAGGTCCTGAGTTCAATCCCTGGTATCAAAAATAAATAAATAAATAAATAAATAAATAAATAAAATTAAAACTACTTAGTGAGAACCTGTATCAAAATGAAAATGTAGCTCAGCACAAAAACCCTGGGTTTATAATCCCCTGTGCCACACAAAAAAGTACAAATCTATAGACAGTAATTTTGAAGATGTAGCTAGATCTTCATTATTCATGGATTTATTATTTATATAAAGTAAGCACTTTATTGTTAAATAAGAGTAAACAAATAACAAAAAGCTTTCCTTCTTAATTTCTGGAAGTGCACGAGAAATTATGAAAGTGAATGATGAAACTCATGATTCTAAATATTTTTTAATCTTTTGGGTTATAAGTAACATCATATGTTTTATTAGTATGGATAAGAAAATTGACCATAATGAAACATAATTGATGTGTTTTTAATAGCTTCTCTGTATTTATCTGTATCCCAGTAAGAACTGAATCGGGAGAGCAATGTTTACCATCTGTAAACTGCTATTATAGAATTTAATGCTCTCACAGTTATATTGGTGAAGATAATTATGTCAGTAAAAATGCCTGAGCCTTACTGATAATCACAAATTGGTAAGGCATATTGAAGATTGTGCCAGCTACATGGAAAAGGAAGATAATAGCAGGAAAGTGTGTGGTATTCAGAGAGGGGAGTTGTAAGTGGGTGGAAGCAGGGTTGTTTAGCAGGGATTCACACTGGAAGTTGGAACACCAGAGATGCTAGCTGAAATTCTCCAAAGAATCTGTGTATGTGTAGTTGGAGCAAATCACTTTCATCTTGTGCACTGTCCCAACACTGGGTAGTTTTGAGAACTAATGAAATAATAACTGAAGACTGTGATGTCTTCTACCCATTTTGTTTTTGCTGCTGAGGCTTCCAGGTTAAGTCCTTAACACACTGATGACAGGGCACTCTGGGGAATGGGTCCTCCTCATTCCTTTGAACTGAGTGCACCACCCTGGTATTCTCAAGTCTGTAGCAGGCTCACACAGCCATTGTCACTCACCTGCATGCCACTGCAGACCTCTGCACCTTTGAATACCATCTCCACTGAGTTGGCTCACTCATGGGTACTTGGTGCTATAGCTATAGTTTCTTAAAAACCCTTGCTTTCCTAGCCCCTTTAACCTCTGCTTCTCCCACTTAGAAAACTCCAACCATGACATAATCCAAATTTACTTTCCAGGGTATGTGTGCACGTGTATGATACACACACACACCCAATCAAATACATCAAGGAGATAATGACCACAAGTCTGTCTCTATTTAGACACAGCCTATCTCAAGCTTGCCCGTTTCCTTGCTTAAAGATGACTCGCCCTCCTCCCCTAGAATCCTGTAAACTGAATTTCCTGGTCCTGTCTCATGAACATCCTCTCCTTCTCGGTTAATTCCCTCTTTAGCTTACAAGTAGAGTCAATTCTCTCTCATCTGAGAACACTGCATGCACTCTTCTGTTTTGATTTTTTCATCATATTGCATCTTAGAAAAGTCCAGGAATCACAGTGTGATAGACGGTGCCCTGTGAGCTCACTTGCACACACAGACTTAATCTTCATTTCTCCCTCTCGCTTCTGAAGCCAGCTTCTGGGAATGGTGGTTTAGATGAGCATGTTCAATTTCTCACCCTCAGTCCACTCTAAGTATCCAATCAGATTTTCATCCTGATGACCACATAACTACAGCCCTCGCGGTTCATCAGTGACTTCTTTGTAAAATGAAATGGTCATTTTTCAACTCTCTTCTCGCTTGACCTCCTTGTAATTTCAGTGGCACCAACTGCCCAGTCCCTTTGGAAACACTTCTTTGTTTGGTTCTTTTTTTTTTTTTTCTGAGTCAGGATCTTGCTTTGCAGTGCAGGTTGGCCTTGAACACATGGTGTAGCCCCACCTGGCCTTGAACTCAAAGTGATCCTCATTTGGTTCCTTAGCCTCCCAAATGCAGGGATTATAGGTGTGTACCACCACACCCGGCTGGAAACACTTTTAATCTTTCCAGCTTTCTAGTCATTCAAACTTCCTCTTCTCATTTTTCCACTAACTCTTTGATAATTGGTAAATTTATTAGCTTCAGACTGGAATACATAATTGCTCACATACCCATCACAGGCTCTTCAAACTCAGTATTTCCCAAAGGAACATGGGATGAGAAATGGATTCAGGAAGAAATGGTAAGTCTTTTCCTTCTCTCAATAAGTGGAGCTTCTGTTCACCTAAGCTATACATTCAGAATTTCTTTTGGATTTCTTCACCCCCTGGATTTACGTGAGGATGAAGCTCTCCAGACACACAGCCTTCCTGTCACCTAGGCTGAAGTTCTCATTACAGCAACAACTTCCTAACTCAAAGGCAGCAAGCGAGCAGGCTGCCTCAGGCCTGCTTATATTTAGTTTGGCTTATACACTGTTTTAAAAATTTATCTTAAAGACAGAGAACTTTCATAAAAATCTAGATTCATGGCTTCTTTGGCAAACCAGAAGGTGTAGGGTCATGGGGGCTGTGTCTCTATAGTAACTTAATAGAGGCTACCTCCTCTGTGTGGAGCAGGTGCTGTTCAGATCCCCACCATCCCTGCCAGGCTGTTTGTCTCCTTGATATCACCTGGATGCACCTGGCATGAGAGTGTGCAATTTCTGTCCCTAACTCTGGCTTCCTTGGCTTTGAGTTTGTCCACCGGCATCCTACCATATCTGATGATTCAGAATGATCAGTCCTAACAGTTCTGGGCATAGCTGCTATTTAAATTCCGTCCACTGTTAACTATCAAGGGCCCTCGTGAAGTGATTCTGCCAGCCTTCCACTCTCATTTCCACCCTCTGTCCAAACTTTTATGTCTCTAGTTACACTGAAACTATCTGCAGTTGCCTTGCTGGGACATTTTTCTTTCTGCCTCTGTAGCTTTCCAGCTGAGGTCCCTTCAGGTCACATCCTAGTGCACTCCAATGTTCTAACTGTGCTTTACTTTCAAATGAAAAAGGCATTGATGTCCTGTGCTAGAAGCTCACCTAGCTGGGTGCTTCCTCTATGGCTGTGCTTCCCCATCAGGCCACCTGCCACTCTCGTCCCAACATTTGTTTGCTCTCACACAAACCTGAGCTCCTTAAACACTGTGAGACTGCCTGTTGTTCATCAGGAACACACTGCAGAGTGCTGAGCAAGGAACTGGTAGGCATGTGTGTTCACAATGAATCACACATGTAAGAGTAGTTTTGGAGCCAGTGTGGTAGCACACGCCTATATCTCAGCACTCTGGGATGCTGAGTGAGGAGAATCCCAGGTTCAAGCCAAGCCTGGGCAACTTAGCGACTTAGCAAGTGCCTATCTCATAACAAGAAATTAAAGATGAGCTGGGGATGTAGCTTAGTGTAAAGGTTCTGGGTTCAATCCCCAGTACCACAGAAATGCATTTTTGTAAACCCTATTACTTTATACACAAGGAAAGAATACAACAGTCTCATCTTATCTATAGTTTCCCACTCTGCACATTCAATAACCCATATTTTCAATTATGGTCTGAAAATGTAAATGGAAAATTCCAGAAATTAGCAATTCATATGTTTTATATAACTTATTGTTGTTGTTATTAATCTCTTACTGTGCTTACTTGTAAAACAACTTTATCATGGGTAGGTATATATGAGAGAGATTACACATAGTACCTATGGTGTTTGGAATAATCTGTGGCTCCAGGCACCCCTGGGTGCTTGGAATGTATGCTCTGTGGATACAGATGAACTGCATTACTACTGTCACAAAGAAAAGGAAAAAGTGACTTTACATATTGTAAACATTTTAAATTATACACTCTGTTATAAATAAAGTTCTCCAAAGAGCTAGAATATAATGCATTTGTTACAAAATAGCATTTTTTTTTCTGTCTCTATGTATACGGCTCATGCCAGGACTGACAACTAGTTTCTTAAAATAATTTGAAAATATATCACCTGTTGTAGATGAATACCTTGAGTCTACCTGAGAACTGACTACATAAATTCAATAAAATAAATCAATCTGTACTATAAATAACTACTGAAGTCAGTACTGGTGTAGTGAAGCATCACCCTTGGAAATGTCTTTCATTTCAAGTTAGGAGAGGCCTAGCCCAATAGCTGCCCAAGGAAATGAATCTGGACAACTGTAGCTACTTTCCAGCTTATCAAGTACTTTCATGGTTAACTCCACATTTCATTTTTTCATTTGTGAATTTAATAGTATTGCTCCCCACTTACACATGAAAGGGTCAAGGGATTTCCCAGAGTCACAGCTTGCAGGAAGGGCTGAGACCAGGGGGTGCTTCTGACCTACAGGGCAGCCATCCACCCTCCCGCTAGCTATTGCTCTTTTTAAGCGGATATTTCCCGCAATTCTTCTGGGGATCCTAAGTCTTGGCTTGTGTCCAGGGGCTCAGGAAGCCTGCAGCACATTCTGGGGATGCCTCATTGTTTCTCCTCTCCCATGAGCTAAGTTGTTATTACTTTTAACCAGTAGCTACTGTCAGAGACGGAACACACAGGCTGGGACTAGGATCAAGCCCTTATGTAATGGGATCTACTTACAGAAGCAGCAAGCACAAAACCTCTTTCAACAGCTGCGATGTTATATTATACAGCAGTCATATTTGGCTGGTCCTTGACACTCTGTGCACATTCTGTGAAGGACTTGGACTCTGAAAACTGGAACTTAAGGGGGTTTCTAAATATTTTTAGTTTTAAGAGATGATTCACATTGACATAGTTTTCCATTGTCCTCTGACTTATGCTACCCATGGCTGTAATGATGAGGTTCATTTGTTTGAACAATGTTGAATATAATACGCTGGTTTTTTAACACCTTCCTCTAAGTAGAACTGTCTGACTTAACCTCAGTTTCCCTTACCCTGAAGCATCTCATAACAGTATGTTAGACTAATGATGCGATTTAATTCATGTTTTCCTGTCATGAGAGGAGAGATCACAACGGGATCAACACAAAGCCTAACGGCCTCAGTTTTAGGGTGTAATTAGCTTTATGGTTAATGTCAAACAATAATAATAAAAAATGTTTGCATGTTTTTTCATTTACTGGACACCTGCATGTATACCCTGAAAAACTCTCTACAAGAAGGGAATCACAATTTCAAAAAAGGTATATTTTATTCAGTGTCAGTCTCAAGATCTGTATTTTTGGTTTAGTTTGAAAAATCTTAAAATCATTAACCATATTATGTAGAATAACTATTTTTTCAGTACAGTCATCAGTGGACTGTACCCCTAATTCTCTGGTTCTAATAACATCTTTGAACACAGGGAAGAACATCCTGTCAAAGAATGAGTAATACATATTTTTAAATTAGAATTTGGAGAACAGTGACCTAAACCTACCAAGGGCACTGAACTTCTCCTTTTTGTTGTTGTTGTTTCTTTTAATTTCCTCTTATCACTTTTGTTACTATTTATCCAGTGTTAGCCTCTCTCTATGGATGATGAGGTCTTTGTGAGTGGGGCTATTGCCCAGTGGTCTCTGTTCCTGCCCCCGACCCAGTGCAAGGTTTTGTGCCAAGTAGGTGCCCAGAATATATTTGATGAATGGATGAGCTGCAAATTTGCCTAGAGCTATATTGCCTTTTACCAAGAGAACTGGACTATCTAAAGGTTTCATCAATTTTATATCCCCTTTTTATTGGGACAATGTCTCTCTTTTCACAGAGGTCCTATTTTGACTGGTTCTACTTTAAAATAAAAGTAATGCGACTGCCATCTAGTACAGCTTATAAAACATTTTCTGTTTACTACTTCTTCCTTAATAGCACTTCTTTTGAACACTTACATCATTTTATAGGAATGTAATTAAAGCTTTTGTTGTTGTTTTAGCTTACTATATAGTATAACAGCATACATTAAAGGTTTTGGTTTGTAAAAGCATCTTTTAGATTTCTGTCCAATATTCCTTATAAAATGTTTGATATGTAACTTAGTATAATGCATGTTTCATATAAAGTATGCTAAAACACATCTGATAACAAAATACTATCTTCATTTTATGGGAAATAAAATTTAAAGCTATTGAAAGATAAGAAAACTGAAATCTACTAAGCATTCCAGTACACATATTGGCAGACACCTCTTAAATTAGTTCACAACTAATAAGTAAAAAAGTACAACATAACAGACATTTTCTATATTCAAAATCTAAACTTGTAAATGACAACAGTACATTCTGTGAATGTTAAAATAGCTGCAGAATTATGTTATTTTACAACAATGACAGAGACCTTAGGATGTAGGGCCCCATTTCACACGATCACTAGAAATAAAACCATACTGCCTTATAAGAGACCTTCTCTGGCTGTAATCTCCACAACCTAATTTTTGCTCATGTCATTGTCAATACCCCAGGAGAGGAGATGGCAGACTGAGCCAGTGGTCTCACAAGCAGTCACAGTTTGTACAACTATAACACCTAATGATGTGCTCCTGAAACCAAATGCAATGTAGTCTAAATGTCACACCCACAGCCTGCAGAGGATAGAGAATGGAATCCTGCATCTGCTCAGAGCTCACAGGTAGAAGAGTCCCAAGTGAGAGGTACCTTGTTAAGAGAAGCCTCTGTATTAGCCGCAGGTGAAGGGGAGCGACAGGCAGGTGGAGAGGAAATCTCACTGTTGGTTCCCTCTTCCCCAGACTCCTCCGTGACAGGTGACAGCAAAGTATGACAGCGACCTGCAGTCATCTGCCACAGACAACGTAGCCCAAAAGACATAATTAGTTAGCTATGTTAACAAAAGATCTGGCCAGACACAGGTCAAACAAATATTATATCACAAAGGTTAGAATGACTGAGACCCCAATTCACATATTAATTGTTTAGTATTTAACAGTTTTGTCATCCAGTGAACATAATGTTAGGGACCACTTGTAAAACCAGTAGGAATGAGGGGGTGCATACCAAAACATTCAAGAGTTTTGCTGCTGATTAAGAAAAACACTTCCTTAACTTATTTTTATTGAGTGTATCTTTACAAATACCGAGAAATATCATAAATTGCACAAATGAGGAAAGGGTCTATCAAATAAAGCTTGGCCTCTGGTGCATCTCAAGTTGCAAATGTCCCAGAGAGATAAAGGCAGCCAACATGACATACAGCTAAGTGGGTCCAGCTGAGGTTGCACAGTATACTGAAGCCACAGCTCACGAGAAAGGAAATACATGGCTCTGGAAAATACAGTTGCCAAAAGTACTGGGAGAAAAGTGGTGTGGAACAAATTAATGGGGTTTATTTATCTTATATCCAAAGCTAAAATATAAATTTTCTATTTTCTTATCTTTCTCTTAATAGCTTTTATTTTGAATCTTGTTAAATATTTCTACAACAATATACCTGCACATGACATAGTAAGCTAGTTAGCTTGGAAAATACAATTCTATCATTTCCCAGAAAAGTGGAGCACTCTGCAAAGGATTTTTTTTTTAAGCTCAGAGCCTCTCAGTATTGTTACTAAATTATAAACAACTGCAGAGCAGATCTGGGACAGGTTAAGTAACTCTGCAGTCTCATGCAAATAGTTTCATTTTAACTGTCACTGTTTACAGACTGGCTCAGGCCCAAAGGTATTTAGAAGGAGTTAAAGATCAAACCTGCAAGAGCTAAAGCCAATCCCTGAAATAGGCCTTGGCGAGAGCTCGGGGCCTCTCCGAGGCTCCAGTCTAGGGAGCACAGCTGGCGGGGCGCTGAGGGATCCGTGCTTACCATGACCACAGAGGGGTGGGCCGCTGGCGTGGGGAGGAGCTCTCTGTCCAGGTCCTCCGTGCCTTCCTCCAGCCCTTGCACCTCTGTCACCGTCAGCATCATGGTAGCGTGCTTGGCTTTCATTGTCAGCATCTTGCACTTGGAATTCAAAGAGGCGATCTGCTCCTGGTAGCCCTTGATTTTCTGCGCCAGCTCCTGAGAAAACATTTCCCACCCTGGGTGTCAGAGCAGCATCAAAAGGAAACAGAAGTAGTGGCGTTCATCTTCCTGCAGCGCCGGCCAATGAGCGAGCAGAGCCGAGCCGGCGGGAGGCAGGATGTGGACTGTGGCAGCAGGAGAGCCAGCCCGCATCTCACAGCAGAGCCAGCCCAAAGCGCTGCAGCCCAGCCTGGCCCGAAAAGTGCAAGGAGCCCCGCTAGGGATAAAAGCAGAAATAAGATGATGCGGTGAATGGCTTTTCATCGTGGGAGACGCCGACAGTGGAATCGTGGATGTCTAGCAGTAAGAAGTGACAACTTTCTTTAAAATGCCTAAAGCCCTTGAAATGTACCAGATGGTTCATGCCATGGAAATTAGGTCATGTGATGACTGAAACTACAAAAAAATGCAGTGCTCAGCTCTTATCTTACACTGAGTATGTTCACAGAGATGACAGTCATTTGGTATTGGAAGGATCACAAAACCACCTGCCTGTCCATTCCTGTGATCATGGGAGTTATTTCTTTCTCTAGATAGGCTTGATATTACATATGGAACCTTAATTTTTATGCAGACTGCCCCTCAAATAAAATTTTGTGCATTCATCAAATTTTCTCTCTTTTACTCCATCCTACCTCAAATGTTTCATATGCTTCAAACCAGAGCTCTGAAACACCTTTCAAATTTAATGGCTTTTACTTTTTGGAAAAAAAAATTGTTAGAGATAAAGGTTTTAAATTTTTACTAAGAGCTTATTAGAAATATATTCTGGACCATCTCTTGTTCTTAAAATGGTAACTATTGATCCATTTTAGGAGTATGATAACTCTAAGTATTACAGATATATAGCTGGGTGTGGTGGTACACTCCTGTAATCCTAGCATCCGGGAGGCTGAGGCAGGAGGATCACTGTGAGTTTGAGGCCAGCCTGGGCTACAGACTGAGTTCAAGGCCAGCCTGAACTATGTATGGAAATGTTGTCTCCAAATTTATTTAAAAAAATAAATATTACAGTCATACTTTCTTATGTATAAAATATTATAAATATTAAATATTAAAGTAATATTTTCTTGCATATTTTGAAAGACAAAAATTTGTATTCCAAAACATTAACCATAACAGTACAAAAGTATTATTCTTTTCTATTCCCCCTTTGGCTCCTTTGCCTGAGAATCTGTCATTTGGTATTTTGGAAAGAAAACATTCTGTGATTGACATTAAACACCAGTTTAAAATGACAGTGTTTGTATACATATATTCATATACAAATGTATACTCACACACACACACACACACACATATATATATATTCCACACATATGTACCTTTTTAAAAATTTTTGAGGCAGAATCTTGCTATATACCTCAGGCTGGTCTTGAACTCATGGTGACCTTCCTGCCTCAGCCACTCAAATTGTGGGATTACAAGGGTGCACCACCACACCTGGCTATGGTTCTGGTGTTGCTATTATTTCTTTCCTCTCACCAAACCTGAGTAGAGGGGGAAAGAGTTCAGCAGAACTCAGCCAGCAACTTCCTTCTTGACTTCTAGAACAGAATAGGAACTTTGAAAAGTAGATTTAAAAAGTAGAAATAATCACTACTTTATCTCTGTGGCTGCAGATATTTAATAAAACATAGTAGGTTTTAATTTAAACAAATAGTGACTTAGTAGCTATTTACTACATTTATTCTAGAGGCTGGTGCATGAGTATTCTATAAGTGATATTTACTATAACTAGTCACTGTAATAGACAACTCCTAGCTTGCTGGACTCAGTGGACTCAAGGACACAAAGCATTCAGACAGTGGGTTGCCACATGACTCTGGAATAGACAGAGGTAGTCTTCACCCTTACCTGCGCTTTGCCACGTGCCTGGCCACAGCTCCCTACAAGCAGTGCCTGCAACGGTGTGTACACACTGAGGTCAAGCGCCCATTTCCTAAGTTGAACATCTCAATTTTATTGTGAGTAGAACTCATCTAGGTTGTTTGATAAAAATGTAGCTCTGGTCAACACTTTCAAAGATACTGATTTACTAGGTTTACGAGAATCTGCATTTTATAGTCAACTTATGTAACTTCCTGAACTTTAAACCTGCTTGTGTCTCTTGACTTTTTACATTGGTTATTCATGATGGGCCAAATTTACTAAGCTAAAATGAAGCACCAGTGGGTTAATGTGCTATCCATTTTTCACATATATATATATATATATACACACATATATATATGTATATATATACACACACACATACATACACACACACTAGATTATTTCTGAAAATGACTATAAAAGTGGGAATTTTAGTACAGTGGCCTAGGGAAGCAAAGTAACCCTGCAGACACCCTCCTGTCCTCAGGTGCACACTTTCTGTGTCAGGAGGAGAGCATAGAGGTCTTAGTATTCTCTCTGAGGATTTGAATATGCTAGGAGGCAGTTGTGGAGGTGCATATCTGTAATCCCAGCACTCTGGGAGACTGAGGCAGGAGGATCCCGCTTGTGAGTCCAGTGTGGGTGATTTAGTGACTTAGTGAAACCTTGTCTCAAAATTAAAAATACAAAAAGAGCTAGGGATGCAAAGGCCCTGAGTTCAGTCCCAGTATCACATAAATAAGTAAAAAATAAGTAAGTAAATAAATAGATCAGGATGATTTTTTTCAATTAAATGCAACCTTTGAAAAATTACAGAAAATAAAACATGAACTGAATCAGTTCAGTGAATTTTATGAGTTGACATTATTCACACAGAACCCAGATTCACCTTAGGACTGAAATTCAATTAACAGCAGATGAAAAATACAAGGAAAAACCCTCATCCCAATTTTCACATTATCAGGCAGGCTTTCTCCACTGCGTTTCCTTCCTGTGTTTGTTTCACACAGCCGTGAACCGCACAGGGAACTATCTCATTATTTACCTGAAAATGTGTTCCAAGTCGCATGATGAAACGGACAAACATTTACATGGACATTTAGAATTGTGGAGAGAAAAAGTGACAAAGTGAACAGGTCACTGAACCAAGAGCCAGGAAGACCGGGCTGCTGGTGACCGCAGAAAAGGCCTTGTGGCCTTGGAGGAGTCCTCTGCTTTCCTAGACCCTCTTTCTTTTCCTTTGTACAATGACAGAGCCCAAATAGTTTCTGTTACAGTGGAAAAGTCATGGAATTCGGAGTCAAAGATACTGGGGCCTGAGTCCAACTTCAACCAGCTACTTGATTTGGGAGCTCAGGAAGTCACTTAAAAAAGATCAACTTCCTTATTGATAAAACAGATTATAAAGAAACAGACAAATCCTCATTGGGTTAATGTAAAATTAAAAAGCTGTAAAATTTGGCAAATTATTTTTAGAAATATAAAAACTTTAGTAAAAATCATTGTTATTCTAGCTAAGATATAAATATTTTCTGGACCATAATAGAAGAGTTGTTGCAAAAAAAAAATTCTGGATCTTATAAAATAGTGGTAAAAATAGTTTCAGGATAAGTATGCACTGTGGAGGCTCATGTGTACATTGTGCAGACAGAGGTTTCAAAACCTTGCACAGCATGTTTTTATTTAACTAATGTATGAGAGAAATAGCTGCCATAGATGTCTCAGTTGTAGAAGTAAATGTAGGCAGGATCTATATTTAAATTATTTTGTCAATCATACACTGATATAGGTGATTGGTATGTAAATACTGTATCAAGAAACTAAAGCATCACATTCAGTGAAGGGGCAATGAGACTGCTGAAATAATCTTCTGAGAACCTTACTATGATATTTGATTTGGAAAAATTGTTGTTCTCATAACAAGGTCTCAAGAGGGCAAATGGAAGGATAAAGTAAATGTCTTGCCATGACACAGAGAAATAAGACCCTTCCCTCCCAGTCACCTACCAAAATTTATGGTGCTAAGATCCAGCCAGGGAGGAAAAAAGTGAACGTGACCTATACAGAAGTTGCCAGGCCAGAAAGGACATTCACTGCTAAATGGCAAGGGCTCAGCCACTCTGAGGCTGTGGTCCCTGAGACCAGGTCTGTACCAGCAGTGTCCAAGCTCTGAGGTCCCTGTGATGCCACAGGAACAAGAAGGAGGCACATTTTAAAAATGGGAAAATGCAAACAGGACCAATCTAAAAATTAGCAAAAAGACCATAGAGACCATTCTCTGATTTTAGTGAAAGGAGCTGAAATGGAGCTGAAATGGCTGATATTTTTCAAGGGGCACATAATAATCTTTTTAATTGAAAAATTCCTTGCATTTAAGGAGGAGAACAATGCAGCAAAGCTTTAAGAACTGCTGTTTCTTGTAGGGCTTAACATCAGGAAGTAGACTGTGTCTTAGTCTACTGAATTTTTTGGCGTATTAACCGTTGTGGGTGCAGGGGAGAGTCCGTGTGTCCTGGTTGAGATATGTCAGGAACAACACATAAAAATGTTTTTGTGGAATCAGCAAAAATCACATTCAACATGCAAAGACAACCACAGCATTTGCTCAGGAACTGACATGTTCAGGGCTGGGAAAACCATTGTCTTCCAGTTGCTGACCACGGTAGTTTCCTGCCCCTGGGATGCGCCTACAACTCCTGTCTCACCTCGTGCCGGGCAATCTGAGCTTGCAGCTCCTGGATGTTACTGGTGGCCACAGGCTTGTCCTCAATCTCTCTGTGAGCACCTTCTATCAGCTGCTGGAGATGCTTCATCTCTTGCTCATATTGTTCGTACTGCACCACTGCCTCCTTCGCAAAAAAAGACAAGAATGTGTGATTTTTTTTAGATGAATAACTGGTTAAGTGGCTGTATCACTGTCAACAAAAACCAGTGTTAATTCATATTTCCCTGTGTGTCTAGGAAGTCACAAAATGATGGGTAAAAGCCCTAAGTGGTTCGAATTCTGAACTTCTACTTAGACATTTCAAAGCTTTCTCTGTAAAATATTGTGATAGAATGATTGATGGAATCAAAGATGTGAGTGGTTAGGATTCTCTCTCTTCTCTCTTACTCCTGTTGTCCTGAAGGCAAAACACAATGGTCTGAAAGTGGAAGCAGAATTGTGCACTCGTATCCCTAAGAAATACTGAGTGACAAAAGTAAGACACTCAGCTAAGAGCTGCAGTAGGGGATAAAAATATGAATTATGTGTGACTTCTAGCCTTGGGAATTGAATATCTAACAAATTATTAGGTATGGAAGGAGCCAAAAGAATTGTGCAAATGGACCACTAATGATTTTAATAAGAAGCCACCTAGGCAATTTTTGATAAAGCAGATAAATACTAGTTGAAAAGACATACATAGTAAATGGTGTCATTTCTTCATGGTAAGTATTTTTTCTTCTTATTAGATGAAGAGACTAAGTTATGCCTCCGTGTGCTTCTTTGATAAGAAAACATTAATAAGCTAAAATACTTAAAAATCCACAGTATGTAACAGTAAACACATATTAACCAAATCTACGTAATGCTCAAGTGAATAAAAGATTGCAAGTATATGATTTCATACAAATTTAACCTATACAAGTTGTTCTTTATAAACAATTTCACCAAGAGGCAGTTAAATATCCAAAAGGATATTTTCATAGAGCTTTCCCCAGCCTTTTGTGGGCCATTCAAATGATAGCATCTTCATCTCCTCATTTTATATAACTACAACAGTCTGTCGAATTTAGCAGTCAGGATATGTTTTGATGGCTGAGCCCACACAATGCCAAGAAAAGCAGCCCGTGACTCACGCGGATGGCTCCGCCAGCCTGGGCCGGGGAGCCGGGCACACTGGCACCTGCCTGCATGATGTTGTACTGCTGGATGGCTGAGTGCTGCAGCCGGCTGGCCTCCTCCTGCAGGTGCAGGGCGGCATGGCAGAGCGGCAAGCTGGCCACCATGTCCTCAGGGATCCGGAGAGCACTCTGGCAGAGCTGCACGGCTTGCACCTTTGGCTTCAGGGACTCCATCTCAGACAGCAAATGCTGAAAGTGCGATGTCATAGCGGAAAAGTTTCATATTTTCATCATTTAGTGCCTCAGCAAAAGACACTGAATGATCATCACAGACTATAAACATATTGCAAGGAATACTCTTCCCAATAACGCATCTAATTCTAAGACTAGAACTAATTCAGTTTACTTATTTATTTTGTTTTTTTTGTGACAGTCTCACTGAGTAGTTCAGGGTGGTTTTGAATTTACCATGTAGCCCAGGCTGGCCTCTAATTTACAGCGATCCTCCTGCCTCAGCCTCCCAAGTGCTGGAATTACAGATGTGTGCCACCACGCCCAGCTTCTATAATTGAATTTAGAAAATACTTTTCCTAGCTATCCTAATTTTTTAGAAATAAGTCATTACTCATTTGTCATAAATCATTTTTTCTTACCTGTCGATGTGATAATTGCTCCTTGAGACTCAGGCGCCCAACTTCTGGAGAAGTCAGGGTGGTCTGGGCTTGTTCCAAAGCAACTTGTAAGTTTCTCAGCTCCGCTTCAAATTTTTTCATATCCTGAAGACCAAAAGCCATTTGAGTATTAATCATACGTGAAGAATAACATCATAGTCAAGAAACTACGTTGTACTATTACTCTAGAGTAGTATCACCTTTTTTTGGTTTTTTTCAGTAATAGATTTTTTTTTATACCTTGGCTGCATCTTGGAGGCTCTGCATACGAATTTTGATCACCTGCCGCAGCTCCTCAGTCTCTCGTCCCAGTTCTGCCACTTGCTGAGACATTTTTTCTGTATAATACACACTCCTGAGGTGTTGTAATTTCTCAGACATTGCTTCCAGATCACTGTAAATTTCTTCAGATTCTTCTAGCAGGGTCTAAATTGAATTGTCAATATCCATGACATTGTTAGGTGTATGGGTGTGGGGTGCAAATAACCAACATGGTGTGGTATAAAGACTACTGGACTTGGGAGGGGGTAAAGAGGACTAAGCTGTAATTCATGCTCCCCACAGGCATAGGGCATGGAATGTGAGCAGGTTACTGTGGTTGATCCCCCCCCGCCACCTCACTCCACTTGGTAGCTATCCCCAGTTTTCCCTATTTCACAGCAAAACAAATCAAAGTTCAGGAAACTTTAACAGTTTACCGAAGCCATCTGTTATTCCTTGTGTGCCCCTGTGTTCCACAACGTGGTCAATCTCCCAGCTTCCAAGTGACAAAAACCTGGGAATTATCCTGAACCCCTTTCTCTACTTCACCCGCATTAAACCGCCTCCCAGACAGGAGTCCTAGCTTCCTAACAACCCTGATTTTGTCTTTCTTCTCAATCTCCAAAGAGAGGACTTGCGTTTTCTACTGGAGAGCAGAGTTTGGAGTATGGAAACCTCTTCGGTTTTCGTCTTACCTTCAGTAATCTGTTTTCCACCGGCTGGGCTGTGGAGCTCCTTTTCTTACACTACCAGCCTGAACTTCTAACTTGGTCCCGGGTTTCAGAGTGACTTTAGGATAACATCTACATTTGGAACAGGCTTTCATTGTTTGTGTTTTCCTAATCTCTCTGTTCTTATCTCTGTTCTTATCCCTCTTTCCAGCTTTCTAGCACATCAGAGTACCTGCACTCTTACTGCAAGACAATGTGGTTTTGTCTAAAGCAAATTCCACAAGTGGGCTGCAGTGCTTTTCAAGACTCAGCCCTGTGTCACCTTTTCCTAAGTAGCCTTCCTTAACTATTTACTAATACAGGGCGGTCTGGGTTGAGCACTTCCTCAGCCCTCTCTTTCTCCGCACTGATCACACTGCATTGGTAATGTACTAAGTATAAAGAACTTGGGTTCAATTCTGAGTATGGGAAAAACAAAATAAAACAAAATTTAAAAACAGGACTGTATTATTTGCAAATATTTACTGAGAAAAACCCAAATATTTACGGAGAAATATTGTTATTTGACATTTAAATTTTCTACACTTTTAATATTAGATAAAATATTTTTTACAGTTTAGATTACAGCATCAGCAATGAGTTCAGAAAGTATAATCAACAAGTCAGAGTAGTGACATTTTTGACAATCACATGTTTTGCTAATTATTTTCTCACTTAAGTATAAGCTTCTAAAAAGTGTTAACTCAACAGTTAAAATTTTTAAATTTCCTTTTTCCTTAAATTTTTATTTTTATAATTTTACTGAGGTTGGATGTATTTTCACTGTTTACAAGTCATTTGTAAGGTAAGTCTGTCTGTTAATGTCTTAGCATATCTTGCACCAAACAATTGAAGTTGTTTAAGTAAGATATCTTGGGAGGGGGCACAAGATTGATTAGAGAAAGAAGATTGTGAATGCATGGGAAATGTTAGGCACTGTCAAAGCTTTCCAGGAAGAGAACAGTGCAGATTTGATCTAGAACTCTGTCAAATGGAATGGAAAAGGATTAATTTAAAAGATACTCATATACATAAGTCATACAAGAGAGAAAATCCAAAATGCTTGAGGACCTCCATGTAATCTAAAGAAAAGTCAGTCTACATTTTGTTGCAAGATAACTAGCCTATTAGATATCTGAATCTAATCCAAGTCTCAATTATGAAAGGATGAAATAATTTCCTGGGTAGTATGAGCAAAAGAAAAGGAATATTTTTGTCACATAACTTCAGAGGAAATGAAGTGACATGGCTGCCATGTGATGTGGACCTATTGTTTGTTCCAGGTGACCTTGACCTCCTGTGGAAGGCTCACTACCCAGCCCTAGCAGAAGGCTGAGGGGAAGGAGGCAGGGAACTCCTAGAGAGCACCTGCTTCTGCTAGATGTTTGGAAATACATGAAGCCATTTGATCCTCTTGAGTCTGACATGGGACTACTATTTACTCCCTCACCTTAGAAATGAGAAGGCAGAATCTAAAAAGGCAAAATATTTTGCTCCAAATCACACACTCCCAATGGCAGAGCTTGGTTTCTCTCAGGCCTATAATACTTCATGCATCACTTTATAGAATTTCCCTGCATATGATTGTTTCAAGGAAGTTAAAAAAAAGTAGTCATGTAGGGCTGATTGTTTTTGGTCTTGGAGAAAGGAAGGGCTAGGAAAAAATGGAGAGTATTACAGTAGTTTATACACCATCTGATAAAATCTTATGGGTAGCTACTTTCTGTCAAACCAGAATATTCAGGATTCTTTTGAACTGGTACCTACAAAACTTTTACATCATGACCCTCTAAATTTTGTGTCAGTCATATTGCTCTTTGTTACTCTTTGCAAACTGTTCCTAAAGTTACCTGATGCAAAATGTACTGTTCCCGAAGTTGGCTTGCAGAATTCCATGCAATATTTCCTCGTACCAAGACTTTAGCTTTCTCAATCCACTTCAAAATCAGTTTGAGCATTTCATTGTAGTCTTCTAAATGTGATACTGCCTGAAAAGTCAGTAACATTCATGAATGTAAACTCTATCTCCTGAGCTAGAAATCAGTCTTTGATCTCTTTGGATACAACAACCCCAGGGTTGATATTGAAAGGGATCATGAAAACTCATTTCCTTGTTGAAGACCAGTCCATCAAAGGTTTCCCAGTGATTTTAGGAGAAAATCAAAGCCTTAACATGCTTGAATAATTTCTCTTTACTTATTCTCCACTCTCATTTGACCTATCCATCTAGCTCCTTTCTAGCCCTTTCCCACAACCTACTGGATAAGGAGGTGACAGTAGGAATCACAGCATGCCAGGTTTCAATATACATTAGTTACCAATTCCTGATTTTAAGGTGACTCTGAGTATACAAATAATACTTAATCAATTTGTAAATTCAAGTCTATAATCATATTATGATTTAGGTCTAAAATGTCCCTCAAAAGTCTCCTGTTTAGAAGTGGAGGTTTTGGAAGGTGATTGGGTCGTGGGGGTGTTATCCATTGATTAATCCATGGATGAGTTCATGGCTAAGTGTGCTGTTAGGAGGTAGGGACTGGTCAGAAGAGGCAGCTCACTGGATAGGTGACCTGGCAGGGTGTATTCTTGGCCCCAGCTCCTTCCCTCTCTTTCTCTCTGCTTCTTAGATGACATGGATTGAACAGCTTTCCTCCACAGCTTTCCTTCCCCATGCCCTTTTGCTATTCTGTTTCTTCTCTGGAACCAACCAAGCATGGACTGAATGCTCTGGAAACTATGAACCAAAATAAATCCTTCCTCCCTTAAGGTTTAGGTGTTGGGTATTTCACCCCAGGGAAGGAAAGGACAGGAAGTAGCTAATACACTAATATTCTAATGGTCCACTAAGTAAATGCAAACACAAACACACACACACACACACACACCACATACACACACACACACACACCCCTTACTTTAAGATATCCAAATTTGTCTCACACTGATTTTATAAAACTTATCAATGGATGAGTATTCATTTTACAAAATACTTCTCCAGTTTATGAACTATCCCCCACTATGTCCATTTGTATAACAGTCTTTGTCAGTGAATTATAATGTTATTAGCTATGAAATAAACACAGGTTTACATACAAATCTCAGGAGCACAAGCATGGTGTGAAATAAACTACATCTAAACTTCTTCCTTCACTGCCAGTATCATCTTTTCATTTATTTTCAAGAGAAAGGCAGATGCCTAAAGTTTCTGCCTTCAAGAATTTTGACTGTTAGCCTAGAAAACAAACCTGATTGAGCTTGGAGAGCCGATTCTCAGCCTGCCGAATGGTCTGCTGCTGAAGTTCAGTCAGTTTTCCTATCTTCTTGGCCAATGGCTTGCCCAGGTGGGCATGCTGTTCTGAGAATTTTTGTACTGCTGCATCCAATTCCATTAACTTTGAATTACAGCCATCTAATTCCTCTCCCAGGACCTAGATGGTCATCCAATAAAAGAATACTAGACTATAGAAAATAAGTTTCTCTACATTTTCTATGATCAGGAGGATTATGTTTTACATATTTTTTTATAAAAGCCAAATATTACAAAAAACAATTTTACTTTAATGTACTTTTGTGTGTTCTGGGGTGGAGAGGCAATGCAGGGTGTGTTGCAATCCTGGTGTTTATTTCCTGCATAAGAGGTCTCACATTTTCCTTCTGCCCTACCCAAATGGATTACTCACTTAACTCATCAACAGGGTTAACACAGAATTAACTACAAAAACATGAGTCCCTTTGGAATATATAAACTTATGTTTACAACCTTGTCTCCATTTAATCTTTTCATACACTTTTCTCTTATTCACATATGCATTAGTATTTATTAATACATTCCATGATTAATTATATAAGTGGGCTTATGCTACTACCAGCACATTTATGAATTTCTTTACTACCTACTTTTACTGCTGGGTCTTAGTGAAGTGTGCCGAGAGGTTTTTTTTTTAATTTATCCCTCCCAAAAGTTGACTCTTTCCTCCTTACCTTTTGATCAGTTTTAGCTTGAACTAAATTATCAGTTTTTGTTTTCAGCTTCGTTAAAATCATAGTGAGATCTTTGGCTATTTTCTGAATTTGCCGGCCGAATTCCTGGCTCATGGTCTTGCTCTGCTCAATTTCTTTTACTTTTTCTTGGATCTAAATAATCAATGACGATAGCAAAACAACAATGGTTGAAACTGGATAACAGGTACTAAAAATCTCCAATGATGCTGACTAAAGACATTTCAGTGGACAGTGCTGTTCTGACATTGATGAGCAGAGTCAAAGCAGCCTTACTTACCACTATCTTTATGCACTTACAGCACTCTTTCTGCTGTCGGCCCACCCAGAAAACAACTGGCATATGCACCATGATTCATTTATTAAATAGTTACAAAATACTTCTGTACATGGAAGGCTATGTAGACAGCTGAATCCTACCTTCTCTACTTACTTTGTGACCTTGAGTATTCAAACTCCTTTTCAGTTTTTGCTTTGCCTTCATAAAATAGAAACCCTCCCACTAAATAGTTGGAGGCACAGGCATTTGTTTCCAAGCACCTATTTGTAATTATCTGTTAATGATTTAACTCTTTTCTTAACTTTCCAATTACATCCCAAACGTACAGCCAACAAATACGAAGGTATCCAATGGGAAGGAAAGTGAAAAAGATGAATTAACATTTACAGATTTCTAATGGGTTAGGTCTGATTTGATAGCAAACATTCATATATTTGCTTAAAATAATAAGCTGAAAACAAGATGATAAAAGAGGAGAAAGATTTTCTTTATCTACCTAAAAGGCTGATAAAAAATTCTTTTGTAGGGAGGAAACACACTATTAAAAAAGTGCTTTGTTGGCTATATCTTGGACTGAAAGCCAAAGTAACTGGAATGCATATGAATAACTGCAGTATAGGAAAATATAGCCAGAGACAAAGAAAATCTAAATTTGAGTTTTTAAAAAAGATTGAACTAGCCAACTTATCCTTCCCAACGGACCTTCCAATGTCTAAGAATGAAAATAGGTCAATCAAACACTTAAAGTACAATATAGTATATATTATTCTGTATCAAAATCATGGTACAGTTGAGTCAGATTTTGATGAGATTTTTAAAACTCTCTTGTCTTTTCCTTTGGAGATTCTAAAGAGTACAGCATATGTGTATGAATTTTATAATGTGCATTTCCCATTTCTTGCAGAGGTTTAGAATTAGTATATAATGCTTCTTTATCCCAGATGGAATGGTTTTAACTAAATTTTAATGGCTTTAGTATTTAGCCACCCAAAAAATCCTCAAAATTCACTACTGCTACATGAGACTACTTTTATGACATGAAAGTATATCTTCTTTTTAAGACTAAGGACAGAAATCTCCCTCTGGTCTCAATACCAGAAATGTGTTTGTTATTAAAAATTGCTTTAAATTTGTAGACATTTAGGTTTCCTGTACTCCCTTCCTTGGTTGTTTAGAAGCTAGGGTCAAACTTAAGCACTTCCACTAACAACAGGAAACGTCTATTTTGGTAATGACTTCTTCCTTGCTTTTACCTTTTCTCTTACATCATTCTTTTCCTCAAGTGGTATCACCGACTCACCTGGAATCTGGCTGAACTAGCAGAGCGCCCAGCACACTCTGCGTACTCAATAAATATTTGGTGAACACATGAAATAAATCTTATCTTTGTTTAAGCCATTATTTTAAACATGAAGGGAACCAGATAAATTATCTTTAATTATATGACTTTATCTTTAATTGTATGAAGTCATTGTTCATATCTATGATTATTTGATGTGTTTCTTGCCTATGAAGAAAGCTTTTAACTTAATATTGTTTTATGGTGATCTATTATTTAACTCTGATCCCAAGAAGACATGATATGAAAATTGAGAACTCCATACAAAAGGATGACACTGTAAAAGAATAGAAAGCCACTTGAGGTTGATCCCAGATTTACCTGATCATAGATCTTCAGGTCCAATGCCACTTCTGCTAACTGGAGGGAGATCTCCGAAGGCAATATAGTATAAAGACCCAAGTACTTAGTCTTCTGTTCTTCAGCCATCCTCTCAATGTTCTGTCTATGATTTGTGGCTTCTGTCAGGAGGATCTGAAAAAATGGTCATAATAATAACTTTCTGGGAACTTGATAAAGAACATGAGTTTTATGAGTATAGAGATAAGGCTATCTATCGTTCATCCATATTTGACTGAGAATCACTATTTGATTACAGAACCATCTTCAAATAAACTAAACTTTTCTTTAATCTCTGAATATGGCACGTGTCCTTCTTCACAAGACAAAAGAAAAAAATTCTGGGAATTAATTCTAAATGCTTTTTTTTTAAAGACAGGATTTCATTCTGTTGAGCAGGCTGGCCTTGAACTACTAGATTCAAGTGATCCTTAGGCTACCCCATCAGCTTAAATATCTTTTATATAATTCATGTCTAAAATTTTGAATTCACTATTTCATAAAATATAAAGTATCTAATTAAAATAAGGACAACTGTTCCTTAAACGATAGCTATAAAGAATGGGGAATTTTATGTACCTGCAGTTCTTCAAGTTGAGCATCTATTTCGATTGTTGGATTCCCTAAATATTCCTTTGTCTCTTGAACCCAAGATTTCACAGAATTAATTTGAGTTTCTACCACTTCTCGCTCCTGCAGCTCTTGCTTTACCAACTTTCCATTACTCTTCACTTTCTCTTGCATGCTTCAAAAAAGATTAGAGGAAGAAGGCAGAAATAGATTTGAAATGAAAAGAGCCTCTTAAACATGATGTTGATTTATCAAAAACATACAAAAAAGTAAAACCAAGTTCAGTTCTAATATAACAAAAAATATATGCTATGTAAATTGAATAATTAATCCCTGCAAAATTGAGAGTCGAGTTTCTCCTGTGCCTCTAAATCACCCAATCTAAAGCACTTGGAGAGTGTTGGATTATTTACTTCAAATATACAGCCATCAGCATTTAGAAGTAATGTCTAATTGAAATATTTGTGGCTATCAGAAAGTAACCTTTAAATGGAGAATCATCTGGACATTTCACAATTTTTAATAATGTCCAAACTTCAATTAACAATGTACAAATTTCAACTCTTTATTTGAATGAATGTGAATCTGGTTAAAAGTTTTCAATATGTGTTGTCAGATTAGCCTGACATCAATAATGTAAGAGGTGAATACAGTATGTGTATAAGCCAATATTAATTACTTTAGGAATTCAATTTTTTAAGGATATTTTCTTCTCTGGCCCAAGAAGTGCATCAGGTTGGTTGTTAACATTGAGATTAAGTCTTTCCTACATTCATTAGCAATAAGTGGCTATTAGTTACCTGGACTTTGGTGTCATTCTTGCTCTTATCTCCCAGTAAGTATAATGCTTTAACAAAGTAAATTTCTAAATAACTCTCAATTGTGTGCCTTTCAAGCTTCATTTCTCTTGAATCATTCTATCCTCACCCCTCACCAACCAAGGATCTCCTTGAAAGTACCACGCTTTCACAGGTGTCATTCCCACCTCAATACCTAGCTGAGGTCCACTTGGGCTTCAGCTTCAAAAGAAATGCCTTCTTCTCTTCCTCTCCTACATAAATTGCCTCAGCTTTGCATTCCCTTGGATGCTTTGCACACTTTACTGAAATAGCTCTTTAGTTATCTATCTTTGTTGCTTGACTATAAACTGTATGAAGGTTGACTTAGGTAAGTTTAAGTACTACCAGGTCTATCGTTTGCACTGTTAGATAAAAAATGGAAGCGTTTAGCAAATTGAAAAACAGAGATGATGAAAATAGATCCCTACGTTTTGAAAGTGGCATGAGGAAGCACCCCTGTACAGAAGTACCATCATTGTCCCTTTGGGTTGACCCAAGCATAATAATGTTAATGAGTGTGGGTGTATAATTACTTGAGGCACCGATCTTGCATAGTGGTGATTTCCTGCAGGATGGGTGGCTCTTCTCCATCGAGGAGGGCTCCATCCTGGAGCATGCTCAGTGCTCTTTGCTGCAGCATCCCCAAGGCCAGCTGTTGCTGGTCCAGCTCCAGCACACATGTGTCATAGTACTCAAGAAAGTCCAAGAGTTCTGCTTTGGAGGATTTCTCTGCTGAACTTCCAGGTAACTTATCTTGCAGCTGATCAATGATTTCAGTGGCTTTTTTAACCTAATGGGAAATGTACATATTATGAAGCTCAAAAATCAACTGTAAAAATAGGGTAATTCTAGTACCAATAAGTGCCATATTTGACATAGTGTATCAAAGAGCATTAAAGATAATGGTTTAAACTCTGAATTTCAGAAAACCAAAATAGGAACAATCTCCTTAACATGAAAGGAAACACCACCTCTTTAAATCTGGATTTAAAACTCTGGTCTCCAAATCATATCAGGGCAGTCAGGTAGAAAAATTTAAAAACTAAACAAACAAAAAACTGTTTCCAATATTTAAGTTAACACAAATATATGCCTTTGAGTCATGAAAATGTAGCTTAAAATATTGAATGCTAGTTAAGTGATGGAAGAAATTAAATATAGGATTTGAAAAATGAGTCAAATTCTTGCTGATTTTCATGGCAAAGAATATGTATTTTGCACTTTTTCAAGACAGGGTAAAAAAGCAAATGGGGTTCAAATCAGCTGGACTTCCTTGCAAAATGTAATTGCTCGGTTCTCTAATTGAAATCATTTGACCCTGACTTGGAACTACATTGAACACTGTATGCTGCATTTTGCATGTCATTGAAAAAAGAGATTTTAAAAGGCTTTTTACTTTTATAAGGGCAATTTCAAAAAGGACCAAAAGTTCTGTTTTTAAAAATATATTGTAAATATCAATAAAAAAATAACTTGAGCCCATCAGTAGTGGAAATCACCTTATTGTTCAGACCCTTCCACTCATCCACTGTGTCTTCCAGTATTTTCTCTTGGTCCTGGGCCACAGCACGGAGACGCGTCCAGCGCTGCCAGACAGTGGTTGTTGACCTACTTAGGGTTGCTTTGCTTGGATCATTTCCGAATTTCTCCAGTTGTGAAGCTTTTTCCTCTAGGGCCACAATTTTCTCATGGAAAGAATCAACCTCTGACACTAAGGCCTACGGTGGGGGTGAGGAAAAGAGAGAAGTGGTGGATGAGAGATTGATTCTTTAAAAATTCTATGGATTTGGGGAAAGCCCAGAATTACCTGCAAAAGGAAACATTTCTGTACAATTAATTTTCATCTTGTAACTTACTTTTCACTGGTTTTCAAAACTGAGTTACGCTTGAATTTTTTTTAAGGTAAGGTGGATATTTATTTATTAAAAGTAAAAGCCTATTTGCTACTCAAGATGCCGTTTTTCCCATTTTTAAAAAGCAGCAAAAGTACAAGCAAATGGATTTTGGTATTTTAATATGTTAGTCTTCCTTATATTGCTATGATAAATGAGGAAAACTTAGTCATTACTTTTTGAATTTTATTTATTTTTATTTTATTTATTTTATCTACAGAAAATATTTACTGACATTTACTAAGAGCCACATCTTATTGGAAGCAAACTCCTCTCAATGTCTCTTTTGAACCTTAGCTGTGCATTTCCAATGAGAATCCAAAAAATGTAGCAGCATTCAATTATACGGAAACTTCTATGAAATGTGATTAATTATCCATCATATTTAAGGAACCAAAATAGAAATGGAGATTTAATGATGTGTTTTTTCAACCATCATGTTGAAAAGAACCATTACAATTATAATTAAGATATACTTTAAGAGCACAATGATGCATACATACACATATTTATAGCAGAACAATTCATAATAGCTAAATCTTGGAAGTGGCCCGTATGTCCATCAACAGATGAATGGATAAAGACATGTGGTACTTATATACAAGGGAGTACTACTCTGCCATAAAGAAGGATAAATTTGAGTCATTTTAGGAAAATAGATGTACCTTGAGATCATAGTACTAAGTGAAGTAAATTAGGTATACTAGCTTAAATATCACATAACTTCTAAGAGAAGTCCAAATAATTTTAAAATAAAAGAGAGGTAATAGGAAACATGGAGCTAGATCTTCTGCAAGAGGTAAGGGGACCCAAAGACAGAGGGAGGAAGAAGGGAGGGGAAAAGAAAGGAAATAAAAAGATCAAGATATGGTAATACATGTACCCACCTCCTAATCCAAATGTAAACATTATGTACAGCTAAGATGTAATAATAAACATTTTAAAATAAAAATTACAAAAAATACTGACCTTGTGTTGTGACAATTTTTCTTCTGCTTCATGACTGGAAGAAGTCTTCAACATGGAAAACGCAGACAATTTCTTTTCCGCATGGTTCATCAATTCAATAACCTCTTCCCTTGCCTTCTGATAATCTTGCCACTGAATTGTGCATCTTGAAAAATCCCAACAGAACTCAATAAGCAACATGAAATCACCCGCTTCTACACAAAGCTTTAGTGTCAGTATGTCTAAAGATTCTTAGGGAATGAAGTCACACACTAGCATATATCATTAGTATATTTCTATTTTCTGTGTGAAGATTCACTTTGCTGAAATATCAAGCACTAAACCACTCTAAGTACCTCTGCAAGAGATCTAACTGGGCATGGGAGTCCTGGATGACTCTCTGGCTCCTCTCTTCCAAGGAACTCATTTTCTGCGCGAGATCTTCTTTACCAGTTGGCTTGATGAGTGGGTCCAACTTGACCACCAGGCCTTGGAGCTCCTCCAGATTACTGTGGAATTGATCCTCTGTACTGAAAAACTCCATGTGGCTCTTGAGATTTTCCTCTGCACTCTCCACATCTAGGCCATTGCCTGCCAGCTGTAACATTTCTTGGGCATCCTCAACCCAATCATTAGCTGCTTGAAAGACTTGATAATACCTTTGACATTGACTATATATTTCAGTCAAGGTAGCCTGAAAAACAGTAATTGCAAATATAATCAAGCTCCAATTGCAATACATTTGCAGGAGATAGTTTCACTTTTTCTACTTCTCCAGTTTTTGGTCCCATGAATGTACAGGTACAAGTGACTTGATAACTTGATGGAATTTTTTTTTGTGGTGTCACCCCTCATCACCTTTTATTTTTCCTCCCACTATTTTTGCTATAACTTTATCATTGCATTTAAAATAAATAAAGAAGAGGAGAGATGGAATAAAAATATATGTTGATATCCTGAGTAGTTCTGAAACTTTCCTCTCTCTACAGAAAACAATATAATGCTTAGTGATATGTGGCAAGTTGAATGTTTAGCACAGTACAATTATACCTCAGTTGGTTAAAAGTGGAACAACACCAGACATCCAAACTAGCAGTCACCAGACCACATAGTGATTACTACCATGAAACAGTATCCTCTGAGTCTTGAAGAGAGACTGAAATAGAAAAGTGTAAGTCTGGAAGGCTGGCCCTTTCAAATCCAGGAGGAAAGGACACACTGCAAACCAGCCATCAGTGAATGGCTAAGATAAGCCATGCTGTGCATCAAAGAAGACAGAAGCAGTGAGAAAGTACAAAAAAGGTCAGCTCTGAATAAGGAAAGAATGGAGATAGCAAATATTTCCAATGACTTGACCTTCAGTTATTTGGGTCAAGACAATCAATAAAACAAGATGGCAGAAATAGAAATCTCTTACTAGATTTATGATTTGGGTTTTTAAAAAATCCACTCAAAAGAAGCAAGCTTACATGACATGTTTTTCAAGACCGAAAATTTCATTTGTTACCACTCACTCTAGGTCTATCTCTATTTATACCTATAGCTATAGGGAAACAGTTTAAAAATTTTTTTAACAATGCTTTTTAGTTAACATGATAAGGTAAAAGTATGCCAAACACACAAGTTTAAGATGTCAGAATTTTACCTGATCAAATTTATTAACATTTCAATCAAATATTAAAATAAAAGACTTACTATTTAGAGCATTAACCTTAATCTATGTGGAAAATAAAGGTAAATGATAGTTAAGATTCATCAGGGGCTACCTCCCATCAGGCCCTATGCTAAGAAGAACCTAACGAGGGAGGTATCATGTCCTCAAAATTGAGAAGTAAAGGATGTGAGTAATTAGTCAGAGGTCAATTAGCTCAGGCTGGCTTCCTCCAAGGCTTTATATAACTGCTACATTATCTTGAAGAAATCTGTTACCTAAACAGCTAATTGAAATCTCCTGGAATCAGTGCCTGAAGACAGACAAAAGAAAAGGTGGAGGTGAGGGGCACAAAGGAAAGAAGGGGATGGAATTAAAATGAGAGAACGAAATAATGGAAACAAAGTCTTTGTAAATAGGGAGGGATGGAGGGGTTGAAGGGAGGGCAGGAGAATGGGGGAAAAAATAAGAACCAAGAGAGATTATGTAAAGGTGCAAATCTCCAATGATGAATGTCATTGTATTGTATACCTAAAATGTACCAATAAAATTAATAAAAAAGAAAAGGTTTACAGGAGGTAATCCTCTGAGTGCTATTGTATTTCTTCTTATTTTCAAATGCACAGACTACTCGAGGTATAGAGCAGCCACACTTGGACGCCAATCTAGGAAGTTCTATACATGCTCCCATTTTTCTTTCTGGTCCCCAAGTTTTCTGCTGTGGTACTGTACAAGGAAGCAAGATAAGGGAGGCATTCCTCCCTGAGGAAGTGACAATGAGATGGGGCAGCTAACAGGTCATCCCACAGAGAAAGAAGCCTCAGGTCAGAGTTTTGGCTATATCACCCTCTTGCCTCTCTCTCTGAAGTCACCCCATCCAGTGTTATCCTCGAAATTCTAGGGTTCACATTATGTAAAAAGGGTTTTCATTGTTAACCAAATTTGTTAATATTCTAATATAGTCATTCCCAAGTCTCTATGGGAGATTAATTCCAGGACCCCCACAGATACCAAAATCCAAAGATACTCAAGTCTTTTACATAACTTGGCACAGTAGCTGCATAACCTATGCACAGCCTCCTCTATACTTTAAACAAATCATTTCTAGATCACTTACAATACCTAGTACAATGGAAATGCTGTGTGAATAGATGGGAGGCTATTTTATTTAGGAAATAGTGACGAAGAAAATAACTCTGTATGTCCAGAATTTTAAAAAATGTATTTTCTATCCAAAGTTGGTTGAATCTGCTAGGAATTATATTATTAAAATTATCCACAACCTCTCAAAATGAGAGAGGACTGAAATATTACGCTAATATAAGAAAAGTAAAGTAACATGGAAGCTCCATGGAAGAACATCATGTGCATACACAATAAAAACATCCTTTTAAGTCACCATCAAAGACAGTTCTATATAGTATCATAAAAGAAATACTTGAGGAAGAAATTCTAAACAACCAAAAAAAAAAAAATAGACTTTCTCAGATCTTGTTTAGAAATAAGCAAAGTGAAAGAGCCAGACCAAATGTTTTTACTGACCTGCCGGGCACGCAAAGCTTCCTGAACGTCTCCATCCAGCTTGGCGAGCTCAGCAAGGGTGTGTTCCAAATCAGCGGAAATCAGCTCCTTGGCTTTAGTGAACTTCTCCTGCTCCTTGTTACTCAGGGCGCTCATGATCCTCAAGCTGGACTGGACCTCCTCCTGATGGATCTGAACCTTGCGGATTTCCTCCTGGATATCCTGGAGGCTGAGGTCCAGGCATATGGCCCCACTGAGCTCCACCTTTACCCTCCGAAGCCAGTCCAGGGAGCGGCTCATCTCCGTCTGGAAGTCCCTGCTCTGCACCATCCGGGCTTCACACTCTGTCACCGTCTCGCCAATGCTGGATGTCAACAATGTCAGCTCCTCTTGCCAAGCCTGGACCTGATGCTTGGCTTTCTCATAAGCTAAAGGTTCCAGAAGCAGAGCAAGGTCCTCCACGTGCAGGGCCACTCGCTTCAGCAGAATTCCTGAGTCCTGCAGACTCCCAGCTAGGGAGTGATACATTTTGAGCTTCTCCTCCGCGGGCAGCGTCTCCTCATTCACTTTGGACTGCTCTGTTTTCACAGTCTCTAGTTGTCTCTCTAACTGTTGGCACATCTTTATGTGCTCCTTATAAGTACTTGTGGTGTCTTCTAATACGCCTACCTTTTGTTCTGCTTGTCGCTTCAGCCTGTGATATAAAGTGACAAGATGCAGCATCTTGTCTGGCTGCCAAGGTTGACCTGTGCTGCGAAAACTTTCTTTCTTCTGATTCAGCTCATCTACTGCTTCCCCGAGGGCCACCACCTCACCGAGAAGGGCCCTGCAGCTGTCCTGGAGAGTCTGAGCCTCTTCAATGATCAGGTCTGTGGGGATTTTCCTCATCTTCAAGAACTGATCTTTGAGTTCACCCAGAGTCTGGGTTGTCAACTCAATCAAGGAAGCATACTCTTTCCGAGCAAGTATTGTTTCTTGGACTTTATAGAACTTGTCTTTAGCCAAGGCAACAATGACATTAAATTGTTGTGGCAGAGCATTTAGCTTCTCACTGAGGTAGGAATGATCGACTTCATTCAGGGATGGTAACATGGCCTGCCCGGTTCTCTGGAGTGTAAGTAGCAGATTTTCATACTCTGGAGATTGTTCTAGAATGTGTTGGTATTTGTCCAGTTGTGCATGAAGCTCAGTACTCTCATTCATGAGGTTGATTTCAGGAAATGTAACAATATCTGCTTGTTTGAGCCAGTGACAAGCTTTATCAAAATCTTCCTTAAAATGCTTTCGAGAAACTAGATTCTTCTCTAGTTCTTGTAACCGATGGCTACACTTTTGTAAAACACTGTCATAAACACTTTGCAGTTCCTGAAGCTTACCCAGCACCTCACCCTTTTCCTGCTCTGTGACTCCTTTCATTAATTCTCGACCCTGGGCCCAAAGTCCAGTGACTTCGTTTTGATAAGTCTTGAGGCTGGCCTGTGCACTCTTACATGTTTTAACCTGCTTGCTCACATCATCTGGTAATAGGCAGATGTGTTCACGGAACAAGATCTTCCGCTCATGTTGATGAATTTGGCTGGTTGCCTGGAATACTGCCATGAGAAACTGGGTTTTCTCGGACAAGGCTTTGTTTAAGTACTTTCTTCTCTGGCCCACGAGGTCACTGAGACAGTTCACGTGTTTCTGTGCATCAGAAAGCACCTTCTGGATCACCTTGCGCTCATTGAGGCCAAGATCGGCCATCACCCTGTCAGTATCCTTTGTGAGAGACTTCAGGAGCAGCTGTTTGGCTTCCAGCTCACTGCAGATGGCCAGGTGATCCATGAGGAGGTTCTGCACCATATCAGGCGGGGGGCTCTGCTTCAGAGCCTCAGCAATATTGGGCTGTTGCTCTTCTGCCCACTCCATTAGCTCCTGAAATCTGGACTGCACCACATTGAGTTCCTCCAAGTTAGTGACTGACACTTGGATTTTCCTCTTAACAAGGTCCTCAAGCTGAAACCAGCGCTGTTCAAAGTGGTTTGTCTGTTCTTTGACTAATTCCTTGTCATCTAGATTCAGATGCTCTATCATCTTCTGCTTTTGACCTTTCAGGTCTTCAATGGCATACTTTCTCTCTTGCAAGGCCAAGGCTAACTTTTTCAAAGCTTCCAGGTGGACAGCGGTGCTCTCTGCATCAGATCTGTAAGTATATTGAAAGACACAAGAGATAATTAGTTCATATCATGTTAACTTACATTTCATCATTTAAGTGGGTGTTCTTAGCCCAGGATCACCATGAGTGGCTCAGTTCATAGTTTATTGATAGAAGTATTGTAATTACTATGGAATATGAGTCTAGTTGATCTATTTCTATATCAGAGGGTGAATCGAATCAAGTTGCCTAGGTACATCTCTACCCTCCTTTTGCCGATTAATGCTGGCCTTCACTCACACCTAAGATACTTCTAGCCTACTGTGGCTCTCATCAACTGTGCAGAATCTGCATACTAATGAGATCCTTGATGATCTGTATAATATTAAACAATGTGAAGCATTAATCTGTTGCTTTCTTTAAAATGACATTTAAAAAATTAATAAGAGATTCATGATTTATGTACTTTCATACAGGCATAAGATCCAAAAAACAACAGAATGCTAGATGGTTGTAAGTATGACTAATGGCTCTAAGAGTTATTCAGCTGTTTGTCTTGGTATTTTTGAACAGTTATGTACTCAGATTTTTGAAATCTTTAAAAACAAGTGTGAGATGCAAAGAATTCTCATCCTTTTGATTTCAGAACACACTTAAGAAACGGCATCTATTTATATAGTCTCTTACAAATATAAATATAAAATGATCAGTTCTGTAGTACAAAAAGCAGGCCTGGGGGAGTGTGCTGCATTCTGTGCTGGACACATTAGGTCTGAGGCATCTGTGGGCCTATTATAAGCCACAAATATGGGGCTTTGTGCTGAGATAGACTGGATTCATCCCAAAGACCAGTAACATGTTGAGCATCAAAAAGGGTAAACATATTGGAAAACACTACACAAAAACAGATACAAAATATCACTATAATTTAACAATATCTAGCATAATATTGAGTGCTTTTTATTGCAGCAAACTCACAAATCTTGACAGAAGTACAGATTTTAATAATTATAATGATCAAAAGTGTGAAAAGGCTTTCCTATGATGACCCAGTGTATGTGGGGGAGACCCTTACTTTTCAAAGAAAAAGTTAAGAGGGGTTCAATCACTATAAAATCTCTAGGGAAACAAATTACCTGAATTTGGATTGTTTACTATTTTCTAGAATATGACTAAGCTTGACTGAATTACACAGAAAGTGCTACTTTATGACTTGGTAGAAATCCCTGGAGCCTATCTGTTCAGGAAGGATTCACTTCATGAACTCACAGATGATAGCCCCATAATTGGTAATTAAGCAAAACTAGAAATATTCTTAGGATATTCCTTAAATGCATAGAGTAATAGTCTTTGGAATATTTTTGAGATCACAGAGAAAAAGTGTTTTCGTTTTTCCTTTTTTTTCTTCTTGGTACAGTACTAGAGGCTGAGCCCAGGGCCTTCCCACTGAGATACATAATCATCGTGCTTTTTACTTTATTTTGAGACAGGGTCTCACTAAATCACTGAGTTGTCCAAGGTAGTTTGATTACGTGATCCTCCTGCTTCAGCCTACCAGAGTACTGGAATTATAGGAATACACCACCATACCTGACCCAAGAGAACTGTTTTTAAACACTTCTCTTTTTCCCACTGGTAGTTAATACTAATTACCACGAGTAATTCACATCAATGAGTCCATATCCATTTGACAACATTAGGTTCTTAATGTTTTACCAATATTGATACTGGTAGGTAATGATGGTAACAATACAGACAAAAAAAAATTTTTTTTAAAGTAATTAAGACATTTCTGGCTTAGCATTATGGTGACCCCCTGGAGAACTTTATTACCTGGCTAAGCTATCCCATTCCGTAGTGAATTTTTCCAAGAATGCTTCAACGACATTCATATGGTCATGGTAATCTCTTGTTCTCTGAAGATCCTGCTCCCTTTGTGAACATAGCTTGTCTGACTGGAGGCACAGATCGAGCCACTGGTCATTTAAGTGACTTATTTCCTTGTGCTCAGGAGACTCCTGCTTCTTTGTTAACTTATTCACCTTTTGTAAGATGGTGCTCATGGACTCTTGTTTGTAATGTAGCTGTTTAGCAAAATCCTGAGGAATAACCACAAAAGATAGGTAATGCATTATGAACCCTCCCCATCAAACAGAGTGAAACACAGACATGATATCTCAAAGAATTTAAAAATCTTTTTAATATGAAAAAATGGAGGAGAAAATCTAAAATTCACCATACTGCTTTGTTAACCTAAATTCTCAACTGTGTAAGAATCAGAGCAACGGTGGTATTTTCTTTCAATTGGTTATTTTTAGAAATGTTAAGAAAAACTGATAAATGTGAAACAATGTTATATCATTAAAAAAATACCTTACACTGAAGTGAGACCTTAGTTTTCTAAAAAGTTTTAAAGATTTCATGTTTTTTAGAAAAAAAGAGAACTATTTATGTTATTTTCTATTTTTTTTTGTCGTTCCAAAATATTCTAGTAGAAAACACATGTAACCCATAAAAAAAATCTTAAGGTTTGTTGAAAATCTGATCCTACATCCAATCAAGTTGATATACTTAAAATTATTTTCTATTATACTTTAATATTATAAATATGAGTAATATTTCTATTATACTTGAATTATTCATGCATTAAATATATAATTAATCAATAGGTAATAATTCTATAGTTTTAGGAACATGGTAATGAAAATTAATAATGTTTAGTGGTTGCCCAGCAGCAGCCTTTTGGCTTTGTAAACTAAACGACAGCTTCTTTACTCAGGAATAAAGTACAGAGTGAATGTTCTGTGACAAAAATGGACATCTGGAACACAAGGAATATATGTGAAAGTTTTCTTTTCTCTCTCTCTCCTCCCCCCCCCCACTCCTTCTCCTCCTCCCTCCTTCTTTCCTTCCTTACTTTTGAAACAAACTCTCTTTATGCTGCCCAGGCTGGCCTGGAACTGCTGGTCTCAGTGATCTTCCCTCTCAGCCTCCCAAGTAGTTGGGACCACAGGTGTGTGCCACTGCATAGGGTTTATATGTGTTTCCGGTGTGATCTGCCTTCCCCTGACACCAAAGAAGGCTGTTCAGAATCTCATAGTCTTTCAGTAGTTGTGCCAGTGTCTAAAGACTGACACATACCCAGGAATATTGAAGTGAATATACTGAATACATGTCAACTTTACTGCCAGTAAATTTTTCAGAGAATGCTCCAGCGACATTCATTACAGTCATGGTAATCTCTTGTTCTCTTAGGGTCCTGCTTCCTTTCTGAACATAGATTGTCCGACTGAAGGCACAGATCCAGCTACTGATCATTTAATTAATTAATTCCTACCTTTGCTTGGGCAACCATGTTCTGGGCAATATTTAGCTCCAGTTCGGAGTGCCTCCTCTTCATATTCTGCAGTTGCTGATCGGTGTCCTGAAGATAAATCCACAGCTCAGCCTTCAGGTGCTTGATCTCTTCCCAGCCCTGAGTTAAATTCTGTGCCTGGGTGAGCCTTTGTTCAATCTTGGGAAAACACAACAGTAAAAGTCAGCAGCCTAGATAGAAGCAATTATGTTCAATGAATCAGAGATTCAACTCCTCAGCTGCTCCAGAAGCACAGACAGACACACATATGTATATGCATGTGTGCATGCATATGCACTCACACACAGATGAATCTGAAAAGCACTTCTCTATTTGCTTCAAGAAAAGTAGACTTTCTTTTGGATTTAGAATTTCTAAAACATTTCAATGTCTAAGAGTTACTCCATATGATTTTAATCAGTGTTGTGACACTTCAAGCAATTCTAACAATTTATTAGATTAGAAGCTATCCTTATGGTTTTTCCCATTGTGTTTTTCCATAGACACATCTGTTTGACTTGTGAATTTGGTTCTGGGGTAACTAGAAAAGACCTATATTCTTATCTGTTCCACACTTATTTTCCTATTTTTTGAAACTCTGAGTTATTAATATTTCAGATATATATTTAGATTTGCTTTGTGGTCTTTGAAACTGTATACTTTCAAAGAATCATTTCCATAAAAACAGTGGGTTATATCATCTTTCATAAGGAATTAAAGGCAGGTTAATTTTAATAAGATGAAAGAGGAAAACCTTATTATAGTAAGACTTTTTTTCTTTTGGATCATTTTACTATCTTGTAAATATTTAATAAGTTAAATACAAAAACCTAGTCTTATTTTTCTTTTAAACCTGAATGTGTTGCTTGAAAATATTGAAAGCTACAGCAGCAATGGTGTAAGCACAGGGCACCCGGGATGTCCCCGTCCCATGTAGTCAGGTACCCATCACTCATCCTAATGCTTCCCACTGAGGCCAGATATAGCTTCAGAATTATTCTCAATACCACATTTGATAGCCATTACCAATAAATTAGAAGGGTCATGACAAACAGCATGCTACTTAGCATCCTTGATTAAAAAAAAAGAGTCAAGGTCCTTCATATAAGTATTATGTGAAGAAAAAGGTAGAAGAGAAAGTGACCAAAAAAGGTGTGGAAAAATAGGAAAAGAAAGAAACAAAGGTCATTAAGGAGCAAAGATGAAGAAGGTGCAAATGAGTATCAACTGAATGGGACTAAATGATCCAGGTGCAATGCAGTCATTAATATCAGCATGCTCACATTTCTTTGACTTGTTTGAAATTCAAATATTGATTTATTACAATGGCCATACAAGTATTATGGCAATAATAACCCAAGAGGTATTTTCTTTAAATGTCACTTATAACATTCTAGTAAGAGAAAATAATGGAATAGACAATTGAATGTATTTTTAAATACTTTTACCATTTGCTCTGTTTGTTGAATATCTTTTGCTGTGGTTTTTACTGAAGAATTCGACAAGTCACACAGGGAACAAAGGAGATCCAAGTAAGTCCTTGCTTGCTCCTGCAAAGCTCTGAAGTGTTTGACCTGGGGAAAAGGCAATTATCAGAGTCAGATGGATGTGTGCATTATTTAGGTAGTAAATATTTGTGCCATTGGTAGGATTTTGTAGACATTTCAAAAATAATCTCTCTTTGGGCCAGGGATGTAGCTCATTGGCAAGAGGTCCTGTGTTTGATTCCCAGTACCAAAACCAAAACCAAAACCAAAACCAAAAAAAATAATCTTTCTTTGCTCACCATTTTTACTATTTCTCTGACCTATGTTTGTGACTTACAGGAGAGAATTCAAACCACACTGACAAGGGCTATTTTGTCTACCATTCGTTTCTCATTATAAGTAAGGCTGTCTGCATGGTTTGGGAAAGAGGAAAACCCGAGACTTTTCCATTCGTCACAGATTCTCTGCCACATTCTCACTTATTTTTCATTTCATAGCAAGAATCCATAGCCTGGTCCTCTGCCTGTGACCACTGGAGCCTGTTCGGGTAGACTGACTAGAGTCCTAGAATTCTCCGCTGCGACCCCCTCCAGACCGCCCCGACTTCAGCTTCTGTCCTTTGATAACACTAAGACTATGTCCCTGTGTCTGTTTTTTTTTTGGTTTTTTTGGTACCAGGGATCGAACTTGGGTCCTTGCGCCTGTGCAGCAGGCAGCGAAACCACTGAGCTAAATCCCCGGCCCCCTGCATCGCTTTTTACTAGAACCAATCACCTATCATGCCTGGAACAGGGACCATAACTAGATTGCCCTTAGCCCCAATAATCACGAAGTTCACATCTATAAGAAGAATGGGAGCCAGCGGGTGAAAGCTCATGAACTCAGGGAGCACAATGGACACATCACAGGTATTGACTGGGCTCCCAAGAGTGGCCTCATTGTCATTTTCAGAGCTGACTGCAATGCCTACGTCTGGAGTCAGAAAGATGGAAGCCGACCTTGGTGATCCTGAGGATTAACCGCCCAGACACTTTTGTGAAGTGGTCCCTTCTAGGGAACAAATTTGCTGTGGGAAGTGGAGCACGACTCATTTCCGTATGTTACTTCGAGTCTGAAAATGACTGGTGGATAAGCAAGCACATTAAAAAGCCAATTCGCTCTGTAGTCCTGAACTTGGATTGGCATCCCAACAATGTTTTGTTGGCAGCAGGATCATGTGACTTCAAATGCAGAGTGTTTTCTGCCTACATTAAAGAAGTGGATGAAAAGCCAACCAGGACGCCCTGGGGCAGCAAGATGCCTTTTGGCCAGCTAATGTCAGAGTCCGGTGGCAGTGGCACTGGTGGCTGGGTCCATTGTGTCAGCTTCTCTGACCCGTGGGAGCCACTTGGTCTGGGTCAGCCATGACAGTACCGTGTCTGTTGCTGATGCCTCAAAAAGCGTGCAGGTCTCCACTCTGAATACCGAGTTCCCACCCCTCTTGAGTGTGTCATTTGTCTCCAAGAACAGTGTTGTAGCTGCTGGCCATGACTGTTGTACGATGCTCTTTAACTATGATGACCGTGGCTGCTTGATCTTTGTCTCCAAGCTTGACATTCCAAAACAGAGCATCCAGCGCAACATGTCTGCCATGGAACGTTTCCGCAGCATGGACAAGAGGGCCGCAACTGAGGACTGCAATACAGCCTTGGAGACACTGCACCAGAATAGTATCACTCAAGTGTCTATTTAGGAGGTGGACAAGCAAGATTGTCACAAATTTTGCACTACGTGCATCGATGGAGCCATGCCAATTTGGGATTTCAAGACCTTAGAGTCTTCGATCCAGGGCCTCCAAATAATGTGAAGCTGAGTGACCACGCCATCCAGCATGAGAACAGCAGCTGAGCACGGCCCTGCCATTCACATGACGGTGAGGAAAGCCAGCCCAGGAAACACTGTAACACGACCGTGCAAATATTCTGTGTTTTTGTTTGAATATAATCGGTGAAAGTGCTGGTTTTTTTAAAAGCAGCAGTGGTTTTGTTTTGTTTTTGTGATTTCATTCCATTCTTGACCGAAGCTTCTCTTTAAGTAGTTTACTATGGAATTGTCACACTAACTTAAAGGAAAGGGTGAAGGAGGTATGTAAATTGTCTGCTAAAAAATCAAATAAAAATCCTGAATGTTAAAAAAAAAGAAAGAAAAAGAACCCATAGCCTACTGTGATCTGTTTCCTAACATGCTTTCACATACTTTGGAGACAAGGCCATGGTCAGAGTGAGTTTGGAGGTTCATTGAAGTGAGTCCAAAACAGATGGCTGGGCTTATTTTCTCTGCCAGAAGTTCATTGCCTGCTCTTCCATTCTAGAAGCCCCCAGAAAGGCTTCTGTGGGTGAATCTCTTCTGCCTTCACAGAAACACAAGAATGTGTTTCTCTGCAGTGCTCCCCACCCGCTGGGTACAACTTATTCAGGAGAGTATAGTAAATCTTGTCTTGTTCTAACAAAAGGTCATTGGGATTAATACTTTTTCTCCCTCTTTTTTTTCTTTTTTTAGTAACAGAGAAGAAAAATGAAGCTTTAATCTCAATTGTCCTGAATAAAATAAATTGGTAACAGAGTCACAAGAAAAAGAATGACTACAGAAAGCTCAGTCTAATGTAAAAGCAGAATATAGACAGTCTTTAATTTCTTTTTATTCACCCAAAGACAGCCACATTTCACTTCTTCTGATGCTCTCCTTTATATAATATAGATATTTATAAGAACTATTTCATTATGTAAATAATGTAAATCATTCAAGTTAGAAAGTATATTTTGGGGATGAATTAAGTAGACACATTGTGTATGGGGATCAAATGAACAAGAGCACTACATTAATCTTAGTTCCTAGTAATAAAATGGAATTATTTATTTAATGCCATTTATTCATACCTGGTAGCAATAACTTTTGCAACTAAATTCTAAAACATTTTTTCACAAAGTTAATACTCCATATAAATCCTGTTTAGTACAAAATTTAGAAAAATATTTCTCCTATATTTTCATGAAGTCTCAACAACAAAATTTAAAGCTTGTAGATATCATATTAATATGCAACAAATTCCCTTTTCATGATAACAATTAACATTCCATCAGTCATTCATTCAGTAATCATTTATTAAGCACCTTGTTGTACAAAAAAACTGTAGGAGAAGTTAGTATTGCTTTTTCTATTATAAATCATGTTCATTTGTGGTATGACATTTGAACTTCATCATAACTTTCAAAAGTATGTACAGTTGCCCCTTTGTGTCTGTGGGTTTTACATCCACAGATTCAACCAATTGCAAATCGAAAATATCAGAAAAAACCAAAATCTTGTTTGTCCTGAAAATGTACAGACTTTTTTTTCTTGTCATTCCCTAAAAAAGCATGTAGCAGCTCTTTACATTGCATTAAGTATTGCAAGTAATCTAGAGACAATATAAAGTCTACTTTTTATACAAAGGACTTGTAGATTTTGGTATCCACAAGGATCCTAGAACTAGCCTCCTGGAGAGATGGAAGAACTATGATCCTTATCATCGTCACTTTATGTTTTTTTATATAGTAACAAACAGGCTCAGAAAAATCAAGTGATTTAGCTTTTAGAGTTCATCTTTGGTTAGAGATCATGTTCTTTCTATTCTACCTTGGCAGCACATCATCTTGGCTGGAACATGAACATGACTGGAGCCAAAGCTTTGACCTTATTTATACCTTTATATTCCCAGGAGCCAGCTCAGTTTGGTACATCAAAGGTACTTAATATGTTTTGACTGAATGAATGACTCATAAGAATGAAAAACTTTCAGGAGTCTATTACTTGCTTAACGGCTTCCGTCCGGCTAAGAGGTGGCTGAGGACTTGGCTTTAAGTCTGGCTGGACTGCAGAAAGCCAAGCCTGGCATTGCTGCAGGGTATCTTGTCGGCTGACATGCTTCTGAAGTTCATGTTCCAAACTCTGGTACACCTGGAGCGGAACAGTCATGCTGAGGTTATGAGAGCTGCCTTCTATCCCTATAAACATCACAGGAACTAAATGAAGTACATTGACCATTGACCAATCTATTTCAATGGATATTCTCCTAGTGTTCTCTAATACCACATACATATCTAAGGTGCTTGGGTATGTTCAGTTAAAAGCATTGTAAAATACAATAGCCACTTGTTGGTTTCTAATTTCTCAATCCATACATCACAATGTAATATATTAACTAAGGGAAGAAAAAATGAGCAAAATTCACATAAGTGTCAAAATGTGTTAGAATGCATGAAATTATCAAAGTAAATGACATACAAAATCAAAAATTTCTGTGGCTTTTCTCCAAATGACATAATTTTTTTCATTTGTTATTAGTACATGTTTATAGTAAATGGGGTTTACACTCCTCATGGGGGAATTGATACATGTACATAATATTTCTTAATTCATTTTTAAAAATTCCTTTTCCCTTCTTTCCATCCTCCTTCCTTCCTTTTTTAAAGGTAGGAATTAAAAGTAAAGATAAAAAGCATCTTAAGAAAAGATAACCAATATTTCTCTAACTGTGCTGCTTCTGCTGTAGGGTAGGGTAAAACTGGAACAAAATTATAACATAGAGTGGGGGCTGATGCCTTCATTTTCTCTTAGAAGTTCCAGACCACAATAATCCAGAATGGTTCGTACATTTTCTGATGTGTCTACTCAGGTAATTAACCCTCAATCATCCAAAATTTTCTACTTTATTCATAAAGACATACTGTGAAACAATTATGTGTCTCTGAGAGTTCAAGATAAAATATACCTGTGACACCTTCTGAGAAAACCATATCATTAAAGAAGAAAAAGTAGGAAATGAACTTAGTCCATTCGCTTTCATTATTGATACAATAGATGTAATAACTGCATGCTGATTTTCTTTGGCTTCTGTTAAGATTCATCACTTTTATCTAACATTGAGTGTATTCCTGTTTATTCATATTCTAAGCAGAAATAAACATGATATTTTGTTCTGTATCATTGTTGCAAACTTCAATTATGAAATTCTATAATCTTAGATTTTCATTGGCTTTTAAAATTTTTTAACTTTTCTAGACTTTTTCAACATTCACCCATGCTTTTTCAGAAAATTTAAGTTGGATTTCTAAGGTAGAGACAATTCCTGCTATAAAGGAAGTCAGTGACCAAATAAATCTCTTTGGAATGAGTGAATGAAAGAGCTCACCAGAAAGCTCCATGTCCAAGCCAAGCTAATTTTTCTCTTCTCTCTCCTTTTACTCTCTTATTCCACTTGCAGTTATCTTTCCTTTTTTGTAACTTTTTGAAAGTGAAATTTTCAAGTCTAGGGAGTCAACTAATGTCACCTAGGATTTTTTTTTTTTATCATCATGAACACAGATTCCTCTCCTCAGGTCACTGTGTCTTACCAGTTATAAGAACAAAATTATATGGAAGACCTTTCAAAGTCTATAACTGCAGAGGACTGTAATACTGGTTACATCCAAAACAGGCTGTAAAGAGTTAACCCCACAACTGGCTTGTTTTGAGAAGGGAGTCTAGCCGAAGCCTATGTGCCAAGGTCAGAGTAACTTGCACCCAAATTCCATTCCCACAACGAAAACCTTCTTACTAGAAGGATAATGTTCTATTTACAACCATATATTTGTCTATTCTGTTCCTAATTTGAGAATGCTTTGTCTTGTCCTTTACAAGCCTTGTTTACATTAATTTCCATAGAAACCACACATAGCCCTGCCCTTGCTCATAGCTTGCCTTTACCCCAGTTGATTGCCAATAAAAGTCAGTGCCTGAGATTAGCCAGTGGCTTTGTAGGTTGCACCAGCATTGGTTTTCCTGGCAGCTCTCTTTCTCTCCTAGTTCTTTTAGTTTTATTTCTCAGGCCTGCATTATATACTGGACAGAATACTGGAACTTAACTGCAGGGGTCTCCAGGATATAACAGGGATGGTGAACCTTTTGGAGAACAAGTGCCCAAACTGCAACCCAAAACTGACTTACTGTGGCAAAGTGCCAACACTGCAATTAAACCTGAATATCCAATGCTTGGCTGCTGGGGCAATGTGAGGCGACTTGGCTCTCTTCAGCACGCATGCCATAGGTTCATCACCACTGACTTATAAGAACCTTTGGCAGCACCATTTAAGATTTCCAATAGAAAGAAATTCAGTTATTATACCAAGCTTTTATTAGAAGAGAAACTTACCCACCCTGGACTTTTTTCTGTAAGATTAAGGATTTTGTTTTACTGGATGTACACCCATTAAAGTGCAACTCGAGGCCATAATGTTAAGTGGAATAAATCAGACACAGATGCTTAAATAGCACATGGTTTCATTTAGATGAGAAAGCCAAAATATAAATAAAAAGCAAAATAAAAGATGCATAATAGGAAGTAGGGAGAGAGATCTTTCTCAAATGCAAAAGGAATCAAGAGATGGAGGGAGGGGAGAATAAAAGGAATTAAGATGTGTTGTGTACACATACCAACTCCCCACAAAGAATGTAAACATTATGTACCAGCTGGGGATTTAGCTCACTGGTTCCGCTGCCTGCCTCGCAAGCGCAGGACCCGAGTTCGATCCCCGGTACCAATAAATAAATAAACAAACAAATAAATAAATATTATGTACCAAAACATGTACTAATAAAAAGTGATGAAAAGAACAAAATATAACTCATGACTGGTACTTATTCTTTTTCTCAATTTCTATATGAATGGATAAAATATTGAATTAAAATAGAACCTAGGCTACACAGAATTAAAAAATAATGATTATAAAAATTGTCATAAATACATTTATTTTAGTATGACAGAATAAATGGCAAATTAGAAAGAAGCTTTGGTGTACAAATTAAAACAAACCAAAAAACTTTTTAACATATTTATATAATTCTTGAGATAAAAGTTTAGAGAAAACTGAATATCTGAAAGTTATTGCTTAGTCACATCAATCAAATATGTGATGTATTAGCTCTGTGTTCACATACAGACTAGAAATCTATCTTCTTATGTCCTGTCTGTCAACACACAAAACTATCCTAGAGACAGGCACCAGTTCCATGCATAAAGCCACTAGACTGCCCAGCCTTTGGGCATAATTCATCATTGTCACTGAATGTTCCAGGTACTCACACGCTGGGCTGTACTGCAGATTGCTGAGTAGCTGTCCTTTGTGCCCTGCAGATGGGCATGAACATTCTGTTTCAGCTTCTCTTGCAGGTGATCAGCACACTGGCCAATCAAAGTGTCACCTTTGACTTTCAGGTTGTTCAAACGGTCTTCAAAACCAGCTATTTCTTCCATCATGGCCTACAGAAATGCATCAAATATAGAGCTCTCGTAATTTTCCTTTGCACTGGAAACAAACTATTCATAAATAGAAAATTTAAGATCAATAATTTCATTGTCTGACAGAGTTTATGAAAGAATTTTACAATTTGCCTGGTTTATTACCTTAATTGATTAACAAATTTTAAAAAAGCACTTGTATGTTTTTAAGGATAGTCCGATGGGTAGCATTTATGAGTTTAAGGGATTATGTACATAGAGAATGATGAAGTAACTTTAAGATAGAGTGTTTCAGAGAAATATCTGTCTGTGATATTGTTACCAAACAAAAGGACATCTATATATTTATTAGAGCTATAAAATATAATTCTGGTATAATTTTTATCTAAAACAATTTAATTATGACTTAACCTAATTATACCAATACCTCACTTATTTAATGATTAATATCAAATTTCTGCAATAACCTAATATTTAATTATTGATTTACATAATATACAATTTACATGCACTAATATTTATATCAATAAAAATAACATTCACCTTACCATTTATTTAGCACCTACTATAGCCCAAGAGTTATATATAAGCCCTATTAAATATGCATTGTCATTGTTATACAGATGAGAATACTCAAGCTCAGAGAGTTCACATAATATACTGCCAATAACACAGTAGTAAATGACAGAGCCTTCTCCTCACAGCTTTGGACACAGCTCTGTGGGTTCTAGCTCAAGTCATTTCCCAGATCTGCATTCTCTAGTGAGCATTCACATAGATTACTCAGGGAAGAGGAACCAACTTTTTCATACCAGATTTTAATGACCTTACTGCTATATAATGCTAATGGCAAGTGACACATTTGGGCCTAGGGTTGCCTGGGTTGACACACTGATACATCCAAGGAAAACATGAGCAGTACTTCAGCAGTGCTGAGCCCCCTTTTTCTTCAATGGTGCTAGGTCAATGGATACTATATACCCCCAACTGAAAAGAACCATTTCATCTTCAAGGTGGAAGAGAATCACCATACCATGAGGTGACTGAGAGGACAGACTGCCTTCTGGGTTGGCATCTCTCCAGTGCTTAGTGGAAGGTACAGTGCTTGCTTTTCTATCCACATTTGTTAAATAAAAAATTTTCCTCTGGCAGGAATGCAGAGAGGTTAACTGGCTTTCCTAAGGCATAATGCAGATATCAACCACTTCTTGACTAAAATTACTGTATTTCCCTATAAGACCACCAGTGAATGTTTCCATAAAACTGTGACCATCTGTCACCTAGTACATGTCACTACTAAAAATACATATTAGTAAAAATAAGAATACCTCAGATCAGTGTTGAACTTCATAGTTTACAAAATGCTTTCATGCACGTCATCTTATGTGATTGTGACAGCAGTTATGACATAGGCTGGTATTGTTTCTGCCTTTACAAAGGTGAACACGGAGGTTGGGAGTGGCTAAGTGCCCTCAGCTAGTCTGATTACCAGTCTTGCATTCTGTGTTTGCCTGCATTTTTCTAAAATAGAAGGCATCTCTTTGACAAATGACTCCATGAAGACTAAATCCTGAGATAAAAACTACTAGTTATGGAAAGTGTTGAGCTTGTTCAGAACTTGAATGCCAAGATTCAACTGTTCTTGATTTACTTGAGCATCAAGTCCAACTCTGCTCAACTGTCATTGTGCTTGAGTCTTAGACCTGACTTCTTAGAAGTAGTTATTTTAATCCAGAGCTGTACGCGTATGTGCACACACACACACACACACACACAGAAGCAGAACAATCAGAGCCATGCTGGGCTTAGCTCTGTAGGGACCATGTGCACCTTGTGGTGGGCCAGCTGCTGGGTGATTGTCTCCAGGCTGCTGGTCTCCAGAAGGCCAGGTGCCACCAGCCTGCCAGACATCTGCAACAACCACTTTTCCACCTCTTGGAGCTCACTGTTATAGTCTTCATGGTCTTTGACTTTTGCCTCCAGGCAGAGGACATGTTCCTGGAAAACAAGGTACCTGTTAGAGATAACTTTCAAGCCCAAAAGCCTACTCAAAACTGATTTTGTATTTCAAAAATACAGGCCAACTCATAGGGTAGGAAGAATTACTTAACATCAGGAAAGTATTAGGAAAGGGATGGAAGGGGTGCAGAGTGCATGCTCAGCACACACAAGGTCCTAGGTTCTATTCCCAGCAATTGATCCATCAATCAGTCAATAAAAAGAAAATTATTAGGAATGGAAAAACATCAGTCTGTAGGCCATTTATGTGTCCATCTGATAAAAGGAAAAACAATGACCAGTAGCAAATTGTAAAACTATCTGACAGAGACAAAAGAGCCACGGTGCACATTTTTGGGCAAACAATTGGACTGGATCTCTGGTCTCTCTTTACCTTTCCCATGCTGCAGAGGTCCTGGTAATCCCTTTGAAGTCTGTCTACTTTGTCCTTTAAAGTAACATCTTGGACCAGATCCAGAAGAGCTTCCCCCTTCTCTCTCACTGAGTTGACTGATGGTTCATGGGACAGCACAGTTTGTTGCAATGACTTGAATTACAAAGAAAAAAATCAAAGCCAGCCATTCATGTAAGATGAATATGCACATATGTTGGTGGCATACAAGACATAACCTGCATCAGAGAAAGCTAGGTATATTGTTTATGAATCAACAAGTGTGAAACATTAAAAAGAGATGATTCATTGTAGCTAATACAGTTTTAAATATGGTACAGAAGGAGAGTAGTTCATCGAACAGCGTTTCATGTGCAGAGATGAAAGCAGGGAAAAGAATTACATTTGACTAAATTTAACACAGTTATATTTCTGGCTTATACTTCATTCCTTTCAACAAAGGAAAGAGGAATCTCAACATAAGACAGAGTGAGGCCACCATCTTTTGCTTTGGAGTTCATGAAGTTTGTTCCAGCTTGAATTAGATGTGGTGTGAGGGAGGCAAAGTCCAGCTGCAACCTTGGTGAGATAGGCTAAAAGCAGTATGTAAATATATCAGGATTCGGGTGCAGGGGCGGGAGAATGGGTTGTGACTCTTATGTGACATCTTCAAAGACAAGCTGGTTGGCTTGGCAAAGAGGCTGAGCACAGAAATAGACATATTCATTACAAGACCCTTCTGAGAGGAAACGTTTTGGGAGAAGCCAGCACTATGTAATTCCTAAAGACTCACTAAATTGTTTTGGTCCTTTCTTTTTTTTTTCTTTTTGGTACCAGGAATCGAACTCAGGGCCTTGCACTTGCCAGGCAGGCACTGCGCCTCTGAGCTACATCCCCAGCCCATTCTAGTCCTTTTAAAACACAACTTATCTGGGGATTTAGCTCAGTGGTTTCGTTGCCTGCTGTGCAAGTGCAAGGACCCGAGTTCGATCCCCGGTACCAAAAACAAACAAACAAAAAACAGAACTGATCTACATATGAGCTCAGATAACTGCTTCCAGATTATGAGCTGGTGAACTCTCTGAGTCTATATCGCTTTTATTCTTTCAAAAATTAATTGCTAAATTGTTTAGCTATGGTTGATTAATTAGAACTTGTCAAATATAGAATCTTATTTTCAATTTACCATAGATTAGCTCAGATAAAAATCTATAGTTATGGGATCCAGATGCCAGCAAAATTTATCTGGAGGATTTCTACACCTGGATAGCAGTCAGACAAGGTCTCCACTTATTGATTGCTCCAATCAATGAATTTATTGATACAATTTTTGGATATCAAATCTTTGAGTGGACAAATAACTCCAAGGAGTCGTCTACATAGACAGTGTCACTCGCCATCAGTAGAACAGACTTGTCAGGGCTGTTTTCCAGCATCTGTATGAGTGACATACATCAGAAATCGTCTTCCTCCCGTGTCGTCCCTGCCCTCCACACACATCTATTAACAGGCAACCAGTATTACCTTGTACTTAGATAGCTGAGCTTTTTTCTCATATAATTCCATTTTGGGTTCTTCAGGAATGTGTAGGATTTCCTGGTATTCTGCTATCCAACGAGTCAGTGCTTTACATTTATCCGAGAACTCTTTTGCTAAATGAAGACCTTTCTCCAAGGTCACGTGCTCTTTTCGCATGGTGCTGGTCAGTTCCTCCAGCTGCTCCACACGATCATGGATGTCTTTTCTTAGCATCTCTGCCTCACCTTCCTCCAAGTATTTAGCAGCCCTCTCTCCTTTTTCCCGGGCTGACTTCAGCAAACTGTGACCTTTCTCCATGTCTTTCAACAAAACCTGACAAAGACAGTGAAGAGGAAGCAAATACAGAGTCCTATTTCTTCTTTCTTAAAGAAAAGACTTTTTAGGTCCACCTATATTCCTTTGACATATGTTTCTGAAATTTACGTCTAGGTCTGAACTTCCAAGAATCAGGAACTAACTCTCTCTCTCTCTCTCTCTCCCCCTCTCCCTCTCCCTCTCACTTCAATAGATGTTTTAAAAGTTTTGATCAATATATCATTTCCAAATCAAAAACTTTCAAAAGGCATTGGGTCATTATTTGAGGTCATATTCCCTCTCTCTCTCTCTCTCTCTCTCTCTCTCTCTCTCTCTCTATCTCTATCTCTCAGTATTCAAGGGTCAAACTAGAATTTCGTTAAAACTTCATGGGCATTCAGATGATTCCAGCACAAAAAGTTGCAAGCCAGGTTTTGACCTTAAAAGAGCTTGTGCACTAGTATTTGGAGTGAAACAGTGAGCCAAGTATTACTAATCATACAGGGTCAGGATGAACACACAGGATTCCAAGGAGGCTGCCAGTGAAAGAGAAAAGCTCAGAGACAAGCCTGAAGCATGAATGCCTACCTCCAGTGTCTTCAACTTTTTCCCCATCATTGCTTTATCTACTTTATCAATTTTGGTGGCCACATTCTTAAAATTTTTATGAGTCGAGCTATACCAATCAGAATAGGAGCTGAGGGATAATTCAGATTCCTCCAAACTCTGGGTCTCTTCTTCCAGGAATTTTATTTGCTCCTATGAAAGAAAAGAGAAAATGGAACCCTGAATGGCAGGGCAGGGCCTCGGTCTTTGTTGATAGCTATGCTTCTCCACCAGTGGCTAATGAAAAGAAGGCTGTTTGGTTGTATGATGTCGGCTGGCCCATTCTCAGACAGGCAGGAGCTCACCAGGACTTGGAGGAGCAGGGCCTGGTATCTGGAGGTCAGCTGGGTGGCCTGGCAGCCCATCCTGCTGTTTACGTGACTCTCATCCAGTATCTCCTGCGCTTTAGCTCCGACTTCCTCAACTTCATCTTTATGCGCAGTCACTTCTTCATGCCATTTCTGAAATAATGTGAGAACCAGATGTAAAGACTCAGTCTTAGCCATTGTTGACTAAGACAGATACTATATGCTTTCTTCCTAATGGAACATTAGTTCAGCATGTGTTAGAGTACATTTTGCTCTGAGACGTAATTTTGAAAATATGTCATATATAACTTTGGCAAGCAAAGGTCTTACAACAGCATGATAAAAATGTATGCTTATGAGTTTGGATACTTTTGAATATATATTACACTTTGACTCAAAAGTTTTTTGCAAAGCAATGCGACATATATTTTACATCTTGTTTTGCACTTAGATCAACTTTAAAAGAGGTGGATAATGAAAAGATTCCCAAGGCGTATGCATGAGTTTGGATGTACACATGGAAATGACATACTAATTAGAATAAAAGTAATTATCAAATATGATTTCAATGTAGCGTATTACAGCAATTTCATATTAGAAGCACAAAATTAAATGACTATAATGGTACTATTTGTGTATCTTTATGAAACAAGACAATGATAGAATATGGGAGGAAAATATAAAATGTTTTCATTAAAATACATTCTATCAAAAACCAAACTACAAAATAAATGTAAGAAAAATGCTCCATTCAATTAATTTAAATTTTTAGATGAGTAGAAAGAGACTTTGCAAAATCCAAGCTTTGGACAAACAATTACTAAATACTAGTGAAACAAATTATGTAAGACATCTGGTGCTTTGACAAAGGCATTTCTTGGTGTTTGCAGGACCTTCATCTGATGTAACTGTATCTCCTTGGTTGCCCAGTTAGACTGGCGTCCCATCCTGAGACTAACTTTCTCCTCCATTTTTTTAAGCCATTCATCTACTTCCTGAAACTTCTGCTCCATCATCCGCAGCTTGTTCACTATGCTGTTGAACTGTGTCCGGATCTCAGACAGTCTGTGCTGGTAAGCCTGCCAGTCCTGCCGAAGTGACTCCAATGCCCGGTCCTCTGCCTGGGGGATGCCTGCTATGATCACGTCCTCTCTGGTGTGCAGCACTGAATTCAACAGTGCCTGTCCCTCTGCACAGTGCATTTGCAGCTCCTGAAGGGACAAAGGTACAGCTGGTCATGCATCACTCAGATTTCACACTTGCGTAGGCCAGCGCATCTCACAAAACAAATTAGGGGACCTTACCCTTCCCATTAGGAAAAACTGATTTTATCCTGGCCAATACTAAGAAAAAAAAATCTGTACCTAGCATTGAATATCATTTCCTAACTTTAGAGAAAGATTCTGAAAATTTTCCAATTCACATAATCAACACACAGTTCACTTTGCCCCATCAAATTTTTGTCAACATCTTCTGAAACTTGATTTTCAGCTAAGAAGCAAAGCTACTCATGATTACAGGCTTATTGTTTAAAAGAATAATCTAGGTGTATTATGGATGGTAATCTGCTTAAAGCATCTAAGGCGTCTTGCTTTGATGTTGAGTGGTTCAGTGCTACACTTGGGGCCCAGAAAGGAACAATAGATCTTCTTTGTGTTAAGAAGGGAACCTTTGCCAGGGTTTCACTCTAGGGAATGTTGTGGCTAAGACAAGCTGGCCCTGGTACAGGACACACAAACTTGGAAGGGTGGATCATCACACACACTTACTAGGTGTTCCCAGGCACAGACACATTTCCTCTACCGAGGTATGAGCCACAGAGATTTACCCTATAAAGTTCAGTGTGTCTTTTCATCCTCATTTACACTTTCAGTTTCTCACACTAGAGAAACTGTTTGGTATTTACACATGTGTGTCTTATTTATTTCACTTAAGAGTATGGCCTCAATGTGCATCCACTTAGCTATAAATGTCTCTGGTTTCTTGTTCTTTCTGGCTGAGTAGTACTCCATTTTATAAAAAAACACAGATAATGTGAAATAGGAAGAAAAGGTGCAAAGAGGAAGGGGCAATTGGAGGGGTGGGGAAAAGAAAGAAGGGAATGGAATTAATATGAGAAAAAGAAAAAATGGAAACAAAGTCTTTGTAGATAGGGAAGGGTAGAAGGGTTGAAGGGAGGGTAGGGGAAGGGGGAAAAAATAAGAACCAGGATGGATTATGTAAGGGTGCAAATTTCCAATGATGAATCTCATTATATTGTATACCTTAAATGTACCAATATAATTAATTTTAAAACCTGAAAAAAATACTAACAATGAGCAATTACAGATAAAAAAGTCTGTATGAACCAAGTCTTACATAGCATAACCTTTTTATAAAAAGAAAAAAATTCTATTGTTTAAGATGCTGGCAAAACAGTATTATATACTGTTATTTCTAATCATTAAAAAGTCAATTCATATTGACTTGATACCATCATCTAAGTAAAAGGAACCAAGAATGTTAAAGGTACCAGTGTATGTAATTAAAATACAGTATTAAGAAAAGAGTCCTTACTATAGCACAGAGCCATCTGAAATTGCTGATAGCTATCATTCTTTAACAGAAAAACAGCGGATCTCTTATTGCCCAAACTAACAGAACATTTTCCCTAAGTATAATGTTACTTCCAGAATGGTGTGATGAGAGTGGGTATGAATGGGGAAACAGAAGGGCCATACACGTGGTAAGGCTGCCATCAAAATGGCCACACACAGAGAAACTTTATTTCCGTATTCTTTGTTTTGGTACCAGGGATCGAACTCAGGACCTCACGCTTGCGAGGCAGGCGGTGGAACCACTGAGCTAAATCCCTGGCCCTATTTCAGAATTCTTAAGATTTCTTTCTGAAGATAATTTTGTGCATCTTTCCCCCTAATTCAAGGTCAACAAACTTTTTTTTTTTCTTGTGAAGAGCTTGATAGCAACTATTTTAGGTTTTGTGGACCTTTTGGTGTTGCTACAGCTACCTAATTCTGCCAGCACAGCACTGACACAGCCACACACAGGACATCAGTGAGTAGCAGTTGGCCATGTCCCAGTAAAACTTTATTTAAAATGCAGACATTGTGGCCATGGCCTGACCCCTGCCTTAATTTATTAATCTTCCCAAATTATCACCTTTTCCATACTTTCTATAAAATAGTTTTATCTATTGTTTACATCCACATACCACCATTTTATTAGCCAAATCCTCATATACCTCATATTTCAAGTCTTTATGCTAAAGGGAAAATGTGGTTTAATATTGAAATTGTAGATATATATTCTGTGAGGCAAATTATGTCTTCGGTTTACTCAAAATCATGGTCCCCAGTGCTGACAACTGGTCCCCACACCAGAGGAAATGGGAGGGAGGACATCAGGATGCTGAAGGGCCTCTGTGGCCTACTTGGGGAATCACAGTGCTTACACTGCTGTTCCTGCCACCGGCGTCTTCCTGTTTTATTAACAAGTGGCGACTCCAAGCAGGCAATTTAAGAATTAATTCCTGGGGAAGCCAGGGGTTAGTGTTAGGTTTGGGCCCCATTAATTTGACTTAAGTGCAATATTTTCTTCTGACCAGAAGCAAGAGAAACATCTGGTGAGTAACCTATTGGCCGAGTTCCTACACAGAAGTACAGAATGCTCTGCGGGGGCTTGCCAGGATGTGTGGAGTGGAGTGCTGAGAAGGGTTATTTGGAGAAAAGAAAACCAACTGTACTCAAATTGCAATATCTAAACCTGGCAGATGAGGAGGTCTTGCTCTTTTCGGGCAGGATGAATGAGATCCTTACGTAAGCTAATGAAACTGATGCTTCTAACTTCTACAATGTATTTACCTTGTGAATAGGCCAGATACTTATTTAGGTAAGATTTTCTCCCTCCTCTTTTAATTCTCATAACAACTCCAGAAGAAGCTGAATCAGAGAAGTTCTCTCTTGCCTAAAGTCACCCATCTAGAGACAGGTCCCATAAGGATCAGAGTCTGAACTTCCTGACCTAAACTTGTTCTCTTGCCATTGGATCACACTCTACAAGACCTAGCAGAAATAGACAGGAATTGCATATGCTAGTGACAGTCTCTGCTTTTTCCACCTTGTCCAAGCTGTAGGGACATCGTGCCACTCTTATCCCAGTTCTGATCCAGGCAGGGAACACCTAACGGAGTTCCTACACACTGTTGGTGGGACATGGAGTACCTTACCTGGCCTTTCTCCAATTCTCCACTATATATATGTGGCAGATCTTTCTTGGGGAACCTCACTGCCCCCTACCTGTCTCTCAGGTGCCTCTTAAAGCCACTGCTTCAAGGTTACCATAAGATCCATCATTGCAGTCTATTAGTGGTCTTACTGCATTGCTTACAACGATCCATCTATGGGTTTGTGTCACTCATCAGATTGCAAACTCCTCAAAGGTAGAAATGGTAACTCAGTCACCTTCACATGAAGAAACCACTGAGGCACTTGCATTGTGTCAGGCACTCAGTTAATGCTGAATGAGTGAATAGGCAAACAGGTCGTGACTGCTCTTCCCCGTGTCTGACAGTTCAACCTCAACTGCAGCCTCCTGGCCTGAGTGACAACACTTCTTATAGCTCCTCTAATGCCTCCTTCTAGCACTCTGACCCTGGACCCGGGCCCTTAGTGGTGTGGGAGGTTCTGATTGAAACCAGATGGCCCACAGTACTGGCACTAGTCTGACTTAAAATGATGTCTCTTTCCATTGACTTTTGCTGCTTTGTCACAATTCTGAGTCTGTCTTTTAGGGGGCAATAGGCAAGTGCATTGGTGGATACATAAATTAGACATCAGCCACTCCTGTCAAGGCCTCCCTAGTACTGAGTGAGTTCCCCAGTAGCCAGTCCTGTGGTCTAAATTGCCTCACAAGCAATATCATTGTGCATATCTTATCAAGGTCTCAGAATTCTCCAGATCAAGCCTTGCTGAAGTTACACTTCATATGCATCAGCTTTCCAGCTGGGAAATGGCCAGTGTTGGCCAGTAATGCCAGTACTGGGCAAGGGTCAGTGAGGCAGGAGGACTGCAATCCAAGCCCAGCCGGGCAATTTAACAACTTAGCCAGATGATATTTCTAAGTAAATACAGGGCTGACGGTGTAGCTTGGTGCATAGGCCCTGGGCTCAATCCCCAGTACTAACTAACTAACTAACTAACTATCAGCTTTCTATAGGATTCAAGGTCATATTAGCTTCTCGTTGCTTAAAATAATAAATCCATATTCAGAAGGAAGGATCCTTTGTTTAGGGTAAAGTAGACTTTACCTGAAGGTCCCGAAATGTTGTCTCGTGAGTGTGGGCATCACCTTCAAGAACTGAATATCGGCCAAGCTTTTCTTGTTCTTGTCCCAGCCAAACTTCAAAGGCTTTTAGGTCTCTCTGATACTCTTGGTGCAGGCGAACAAGTTTTTCAGACTTGGTTACTGCTTCCTATAATTAGTGTTTAGAATGATTAAGATAGGAACACATTACTATGTGCGGGATCGATGTGCTTTAATAATCTACTTTTAGAATTTTAGAAAAGCACAATTAATAAATAATTGGATATGAATGACTTCCTAGAAGAATGAAACTTTAGGATTTATGTATAAAATATGATATTTCAAGATTAAAAGGCTCTTAAAAATCATGATGTTGAATTAATTTACTGACCTCTGGATTTATAAAATGTACCACAGACATGATAAAAACAAATTAGCTTTATTTTCATAATAAAAATCGCTTTTGCTAATAATGAAGATTGAAATCCTTATATTGTGCATTACAGGAGAAATTAGACTCATTGTACAAATTTCTGAACTTTGTCTAAACTTTCTAACCTGGATATTCTCTTAAAAAGTATTTTTATTTTCTTTATGAGACTCAGATGAAGAATGACAAATATTATGGTGATTATTTCCTACTTTACAAACTCTTTATCATTGGACATAATAACACTTAGGAGGTTTCATTATGAAGCTGTACAAAATTTTTTTTGATATTGGTCCATTTCTAGAAACTTTTAGTTGAAAATTATTTTAATTTACTAATTTTTATATACTAACAATAACTGAAAGGTTTTGTTGAGTTTCACCAGTTATACCTTTAAATTATTAAAATTCATTTAGCTTATTTTGTTCTGTTTTCACAAGGCTGACATTTTTTAGAAAGATCAATGAGCCTTAAATGAGCCCAGTCCCACACACTCGCACATGGGCAAGTCTACAGGCCCCCGCTGAGCCCTACCTTGGCCCTCTCTTTGATTGCTAGGTATCGCTCTTGCAGATCTTGGACTTCTAACTGGGTGACATAGTGCTCTGTCATGCTTGCTCTTTTGACTTCAATGGTCTCCAGCAGGCGACTGTGACTAAGCACTTCTTCATTTAATAGCTACAGAACATTTTAAAAAATTAAAGAGTTACTCATGTACCATCATACCAACGATGCTGCCAAAATTAAGATATTTTAATTGTACAGCTGGCAAGTGACCTCAGGTGATCCATCCATCCATCTATATATACATTTACATATCTATCTGAAAGAGATGTGAGTGTACACAAGTGTATTTTTTGTGTGCCTGTCTGAATGTTTTTATAATATCTAGTCCAGAACTTTCTCTATGATACTAACTCCCAATTAACTACTTTATATTTCTACTTGAATATCAAACTTCCTATAGCCAGAAGTGGGGTTCTGATTCCTGTGCCATGTCCATTTTGCCCATTCTTGCCCTATCCCTTATTCTTTTCTTCTCATAGAACCCTGAATGAATTAGGACTGAAAATGCAATCACGCCACTCCCTTGCTGAGAATGTCACTTATCTTCTCAGCTGGGGCAGGATCAAGAGGAAAGCCAGCATGGCTATACATGGTCAGGTCCCAGCCCCTTTCCACGTGCACCTCCTGGCACCCTCCCTCCCCTGCTGATTCTCTGCCCCAGTAACACTCTGCCTTTCTCCCCACTCCCTGCTGCACTGGGTCCTTTCATGCCTCAGGACCTGCAGAGATGCTGCTTACTCTGTCTAGAGTTGTCTTTCTTTCCCTAGCTCTTCCCAAGCCGATCTTACTGCAGCAAATCCTTGAGGGCAACAGTTGTCCAACCCTTTGGCTCACCTGTGCAACATTAAGTGAAGAGAAACTGTCTTGGGCTGTGTATTAACTATATTATACAGTTAATGTATTCAAAAAACAAAATGTCCTTTATTTTTTATATTTTTCTTATAACATCAAAATATAACAGCATAAATTCAAAATTAGTGGGATATTTGACTTGGTTTTTGTTTGACTTATTAAATTATTTTACAAAATAACACAAGCTCAAGTTTAATAATTAAATAAGAAAACTTACATGTCTACTTAATAACAACAAATATCTGTCTTCACAGTGTAGGGAGGGTGCTAAACTATTACAGGTGGTGGCTGCATTTTACTCGCAAACTCATGCAAGTATGTGTAACATCTGATCAATGGAGATTTTGACAGGACTGGTACGTGTGGTGGGCTCGAGGTGGAGTCAGTACTGCCCCGCACCACCCTATACAGTGCACCCCTGTCCCCCACACATGCCTCACTCAAGCAGCTCAAAATCAAGTCCTGAAAAATATCAGACAATCATATAACACTGTCAAAGCTTTACAATCCTGTGGGACCGAGTTACTAGCTGTCCAGGGTACACGTGGCCCATGGGCTATGGGTTGGACACACCTGCTTTAGGGAAGTGACTACCTGTTTTCTAGTTCAAAGACCTTTTTCACCCTAACCTTAACAATTAACATTAGCTTTTCCAAATTAATCTCTCAAGCATACTTTTTTCTTCATAGTACTTAGTAATCACAGCTTTTTTATTCATATGCTTATTGCCAAGTGCATGTGTCCTCATGGCAATATAACTCTTGCCTACTTCCTTTACTAGAATGAGGCATACTGCCTGCACATAATAACTTGTCAATAAATACTGATTGAGTAGAGGAATACCGTAATTAATTAAGAGTCAGTTAAAATTCAGGTGAAGAGGATAGATCAGCAGAAACTAGTGATAATAGCAAGGAGGGAGGATCCAAATGAACACAATGTGAGAATTTAAGCGCTTGAAAACTTTTTCTGCGTGGGTTGTGATAGTCTGATGATGAATATGCTGTGGAACAAGACTGTTACTATAAATCGGAAGTTCCAAAAGTTCGTTGAATATTATTATCAATAAAATATTTAAGAACGTACCTATAATTAATTTATTTATTTTTAAAAATCTTGATTGGTACTACTACTCTAATATAATTATGTACAAACATACTAATTCAAAAGAATGTGCTATAAAGGAAGTATTTTTACATTTTCATAATAAGCAGGCTGAATATATTAAAAGTTATTCAAGTAGCTAAATTTTAAATAGTCTGTACTGTAAGACAAGGGTGTATATGATTGCCCTGGTATAGAATATTTTCATTCATTAATAAAAACCACAAAGTCTGGTTTAAGGAACCATTAGAAAGAGTACAAGGCAGAAACTTCAAGGGTCATTTACCTATGCGTGTAACCCCAGCACACAGATCAGTACACATTTGTTGGACTGTGGGATTCTAAAGAAGCCATGAGAGATTAAAGCCAGTCTGGAATGCAGCTCTAACCTTGGCTTTCCCAAGAGCTGTCACTTTCTCCCGAAGCTCAGCACACTGCCTCTCAGATTCACTTAGGTTGGCTTCCACGCTGTCCATCCAACCAGAAAACTGTCGAACATCATCCTGATAACTTGTCCATTTTGAAAGGGCTCCTTCGAGTTGACTGAAAAGGATTTGAAAGGTCAATAATTTCCGCTGAGAATCCTTGGGAGCCTGGCGTCTGTCGTGTCTGTTCCAGCACCACCGGCCAGCAGAGGGCCCAGACTGCAGGAAAGGGACTAGTGCAGCAGGGACACAAGGCCAGGCAGGGCTTATCAAAGCTGAGCCTGGGTCTCTGGTGAAAACGGCCTCTGGAAGCAAGGGACAGTGAGATCCAGGCTGAGAGGCAGAAAGGTGGGACAGGACACAAACCAAAGAGGCAGTGACAAGGAGACACCAGCTACTGGGAGAGGCCTGAAGGTGAACCCAGATTTTCTGGAGCCAAATCTCTGGGCATGGAGCCAACCAATATTTTGTCAAGTTCAACATGACATTCAGAGCAGCGGAGAAAGAAAGGGATTACTAACAGAAGGAAGGAAAAATAAGCACAGTAACCATCTTCCATGAGATTTAATAAGCTGGAAATCACAATGGAAAAAGAATATTTCCCAAATTGATCCAAATTGATCTTATAGACAAATACTTCCTTGTTTCAATGTACATCTTATATATTTAATTCCATTAATCATTTGAGTCTAATTTTGCTACCATGAGCTGGGTTCTTCTGTGGCACATGGTATCAGTGCCATACCCTTACACTGAGCACTGCAGTAAAATGTCACCTGAGGCCCTAGGTCTCTCAGACTGAGGATACTCTGGTCCCTGAGGCACCTCAGCTTGACAAGGAGGGCCAGGGGACTGGCACCGTGCTAGGGGAAGCCGTCAACTGCCCTCCTGACTTCTGGGAGTTTGTTCCAATTACTCCGCATGTACTCTGAGGCACACGGTGTGCAGCAGCTCCCAGGGTTGCCCCCAGCCAGGTCAGTTCCAGCTGCCCCGTGGGGACCTGTTTGATGATATGTACGCTTCACTGGCTGCCTCCTTCATCTCTCTGTCCCATTCTGTCCCTCTGGTATCGCCTCGTTATCTCCTGGTAACCACTCCAGTAAACTACTTGGTTTTAATAAAAATAACGTTATATTATAAAACATTTATATATCTTCTGATGTATAAGCAATGAACAAAAATAATAAAGATGTTCGTTTTCAGCTAGTTATACTAAAGCATAGGCACAGTATTGCAGGTCAGCTTCAAAGCAAGGTTATACCTGCCTGTTTCATTTGCTCTAATAAGAAGAGAGAGAGAGAGAGAAGAAAAAGGAAAAGAAAAGAAAGAAGAGGGAAAAAACAAAAAAGATAACAACAAGAATTGTCTGTTACTGAAATTTCATCATCTAGTGATGGCCCTTGGGTGGAGCTTCACTTGCCTTTTACAACGAATGGCTGCAGACAGGAGGGAAGCCCACATGTCCTTCACACCCTGCAGCTGCTGCTGAATCACAGGAAGGCCTTCTGGGGAGGTGTTCTGCAGGACATACTCCCCCCTGGTCACTATCATTTTCATCTGAATCTCTTTTTCCTGTTTCACTGATAACAAAGCCTGAAAAAACAAATATAGAGGCCCTTGTTAGAGAACGATATGCATCTGTGCCATGGAGCTTCCCCGGGAAATCTTGCTGATGTGCACCAGCCACCAGCCACCTGCTGGTCTCTATGGCGATTTCACATCGCAGATCTGAAGTCTTCTCTGAATAATCCTTTTCTTCCACTGCTGTTTTATTTTACTGGTTTTAACAGAGAAAATATAGTATGGAATTCATTGATTTTCAAAGGTCATAGGATGAAGAACTTCTAAATGTTAAGGTATCTAGCAAAACAAATCTATGGAAATAGACTATACAAGGTATAATAAAAAATAGAGTGAAGGTTTAAATTTAAAAATGTATTACAGTACAGGATACATTGCCATTAATAATCCTCAAAATACTTCCTGTTGCTTTCAACACTCTTGTCCCATCATTCTTGCCACTTTCTGAAGCAGTTCTGGAAATACTCTTTCTTGAGTGTCTTTAGTTGCACTGTCAAGCTGCCTCAATGTCTGGAATCAGTTCCAATTAATTTCCTTTCATGGTCATTTTGACTTTGCAGAAGAGCCAGACATCTCATAGTGCTACATCTGGTGAATAAAGTGGGTGAGGGCACATTGTAATGTCTTTATGAGTTCTGTTAGATGGCACTTGGCGGCAGCATTCACTATATATTTTATCTCAGCCCATAAAGATACTCAGGAAAGAGGACTTCCAGAAAGTGACAAGAATGATATGATAAGTATGTTAGAAGTGAGGGGGGAGTGATCTTTATCTAATAATTTTTTTAAATTTAAATAATCTCTGTACATTATGCACACATCTTATATATATTATATTTTTCAAATTCTCCATTAAACACTATTCCTTTGTATATGAGAAGGGAGTTCGAATTTAAAGTCATAAACTGATAGTACCCCCTAAAAGATAAAGTGTTATCTCTCTTCCTAATCTGGATCTTGAACCTTGCCATGGTCTCCAACCTCAGTTCCACATTTTGTGGCCTCACGTCCGTAAGAAAGAATAGAGAGAAATTTCTCACATATAATGCTGCTTCTTTCCTCCAGATTTTCTTACACTTTCCCCCTCCCTGACACCATTCTTAAATCTCCACCCAGTCATCTTCTCCAGAATAGCTCCCACCATCATTTTTAGGTGTCAGACTTCTTAGGAAACCAGATCCATGCTGCACAGATCCCCTCCTGTGTGTTTCTATGCCACTTGTTTGCATGTCCCCATCTGTTACCATTGTCTCCTGAAAATGAAATTCCTGAGAACAAAAGTCACCTCTTATTTACCTTTGATTCCTTGGTGTCAAGACAGAATGCTAGTCTCCTAGAAGGTACCCAGGATACAAGTAAAAGACATGAATGCAGATCAATTATTCTCATTGCAAATGAAAAACAGAACTGACACGTTAGGGTGAGAGAAGAACAGAGTAAATGATATAGGCAGGTAAGTGAGTCGATAAGATGGGCAATGTTTTGCCTTGTAAAATCTTGCATCAAAAAATGACTCTGTGATATAATTTAAAACTACTCTCTTAACCAGCTTGCAAGCAAGTAACCACATCTGGGTTTTATTTTAATTTCTGTAGAGCATTTGTGCAGCACCTTGTCCAGGGTCAATTAATGGAGGAATGCTTAGATGTGCCCATCCTATGACACGAGTATCCCACTCCCAGAGCATCTGAGATTTCTTGTAGATAGAGTGTGATGCATTCACTCCAGGTGGACAGAGACTGGAGGGAAACAAATTTTGTAAACTAAGGATTGCTGAAAGTGCCAACCTCCAGCTTGAGCATCCTGCTGTCCAGCACACTTTTGTCGGATGTTGGGTGGCAGTAAGAATCCAATGTGTGAACTGCATCTGTCATCCAGTCTTGTAATTCTTTAATCCCGAGGGAGAACTGATTATGCTCTGCAACGATTCTATCCAGTCTGGACACTTTCTCCTGGAAATGACAGAAATGGGTTTCTAGCTGTCCACTCCAGAAACTCCCCAGCCCCAGGCAACTCAAGCTGAAAAGTTCACAATTTCTTTCAAATTACTCCAAAGAGTCACAGTTTCATATGCTGCACAGATAAGATGCAAGTGGATTCATCTACATAGAATCTTTTTCTAAGTAGGAAAAATATTAGAATCTTGGGGACAGAAAGCAAAAGTTACAACTTTTTGCCTCTCAACTTCTTTATGACAATCTGATTTTTTTTAAATCAATAAATTTCTTCCTAATGCCTTGTCTGGTCTAATCACAGTAGTTTTTAGCTTTCACATCTCACCTGTGGCTCAAATGACACCACATACCCCTACTAACCTACACTTTAGTCAGTTTAAAAAAATAATAACCTGATATTTCATATTATTCCTAAATTATATATACAACAAATTTATATATTTAATTGACCAAAAAGTTGTACATATTTATGGGGTAAACTGTGACATTTCAATACATGTATATAAGGTATAAAGAATATTTCTAAATTTTAAAAGTTGAGGCAAGGAATGTGTTTTTTACTGATTAATTATTAGTCATATCCAACATGGAGAAGATTTTGTAAGAAGAGTCCATAGCTTGTAAAGCATTCAAATATGTATTACTTTTAATATCTAAGTATACACAAATGAACGAACAGAAAGTTGTTCTTAATTCATTCCTTCTTTATTTTTTTGAAAGAGAATCTGGGCAACTTCCATGTGACCTCAAACTTAATCTTTCTGCCTTTGTCTCCCCAGTTCTGGGAGTACAGGCATGTGACACTATGCCCAGCCACAGCTAGAATTTTTTAAGTAACTTATTCATCAAATAAGCATAGTACAAACACGACTGATTACTCAAATGGCTGTTATAGTGTGACTATCTCCATGGTGTTGCATTGAAGACCCAAATTAACTGAGCAGAAGTAAGTTCACAGGAAAATAGGTGAGGCCAAATTAAAGAAAAGATTAAATTATGGTACATTTCCTACATGCTTATATCTCAAATTTAAAAATATAATGTTATAAGCCTTATGATCTCAAAATAGGCCTGCACCATACATCCAAATGACTGAATGCTTTCAACGAGGTCATAGGAGGTCCTGATTACTTATTTCTAAGATATTTGAAGAGATTTAGTAAGCTAAATGAATCACTGCCGATTCTAAGTTCTGCTTTAGAATGTGAACTGAGAATCTCACATTCTGAGTACCATATAATGAATATACAGAATTTAGAGAAATTTTTAAAAAATTACTTCAGATTCATATTGAGTCTAATAAAATTTAAACTGTTTTGACTTCATGTTTTTCTAACATAATTTAATCTAAGGTTGTCATAAGAGAAAATCTGAATTTTGCCTATGTTTATGCTTTGAGTCTTTAATATCAGAGCCCAGGGAACATATCATTTCAGTATTAAAAGGAGTATTGGGGGCAATAGCAGAAATCAGAAGTTTCTTCAGTCTTTGGAACCTCCCCTGCTGCTTTTGGAGAAACATACTAGGAGCTACAACATAAAGATGGCCTTGAATTTCAAGGCAGGGGAGTTGATCTTGTGGATTTCATTGCTGACCTAGGAATGCCACTCTGTGGGTGTGTTGGGACAGATACTCTGTACAGCCTACCGCAACCACAGGTTTGCGACATTATTATCACACTCAAACACAGCACATGCCACGTGTTACCTTGGTTAAATTGCTTAGCGCTAGATACTGAGCAAACAGCTGTGACACTCTGTGCATAAAGCTCTTGCTGGCAGCTTGTCCTTCCCACAGCTGCTGAGCTTTCTCTTTCAGCCTGTTGAGCTGATGCTCGTAGCAATGAATTTCCTCAAGGACAGACTGAAAAGCACAAGCAAGTTACCATTCAGAGACAGGGGAAAGCACATGGAAGACGGGGCTCTGGCTCAGAGAACACAGAAATAAACATTGGCAAGCAGTCTGCCCCCTGAAGGCATCATTATTTCCAAGCTACACACTGTAGCACACAGTAAGGAAACAAGTCATACTCAAGGAAAGTCAGAAAACAAAAAAATCTGTCAGAACAGGAAAAGGAAACACTTCATCTCAAGGCAGCATAATCTGACTCCAGGGTGCCCAGCATGCATCTGAACGAATGCAGGTCAGGTGGACGGAGGGGGGAGTTGCGGTCAGTTGGCAGAGTCTCATCACCTGGAGCTTCTGTTGCTCTCTCCTCTTCGCTGGCAGATCATAGAGGCGGTTGCTGCTTTCCTGGACCAGCTTCTCAGTTTTGCTCAGCCAGTTCTGCACAGGCTCAGCACTTACTTCAAAATCTTTCATCTGGATCTTTAGATTCTGTGAGGTTTTAGATAATATCAGGGACAAAACAACAAAAACCAAATCCAAAGTCTTTTACTTAGCATTCAAAGCCTATTTCAATTTGCCTCCCTCACCACGCCTCCCTCTTCCCAACGTCTGGAGCATGACATCCTTTACTTAGGTGCTGTATAATTTTTGAAATCTTTTAAGAACTTTTTATGGCTCTACTTTTTAAAATGTAATTTTGTCCCTCACTGTCCAGCCAGTCCAAGAGATGATATCCCTTTTCTGATTCTGAGCTTTTGCTATTTATATTCGTGGCTTCACATTTTATTATAGACAGGGCCGGATTATGCATTTCTATCCGTGGTAGGCAAAACTGGTACCCAGCACCGAGAGGTATTTGCAGCCTCTATCTTGAGCTTTGCATTCATGTTAACTGCTATTTTTCTGGTCATTAGCCACTGGATGTCCTGTAGGCACACCAAATTTAATATGTATTACATTGAATAAATTATTATTACCCCCTTGAAAGCACTTTTCATACTATATTTATGTATCAGTTAATGGTATTATTATTTGTGTCATCTTCCAAACTAGAAACTAAGGACTCAACTTAACTTCTGCCTTTTCCCCATGCCCCTCATCTAATTAAAAAACAAGTCCATCTGATTAGTAACCATTACCTTAAAGTTGGATTTTCCATCCTACCATCACTTTCTTAATTCAGGCCCTCCTCTCTGTCACTTGCACCATTGTGTAAGGCTTTCTCTGATCTTCAGCTACTCGCTACAGCCTATTCTGGTTCATACTGAGGTCAGAGAGCTCACATGTTTATCTTGAGCTTCAAGTCCTACAGATTCTTCACTCAGTCTTTCTCAACCAAGTTCTAGGAAAGATTAAGAACTAGTGCCCCAAAGCTAAGTAAGTCCTAGTGTCCCAAAGTGTGCAATGAATTAATGTCTCTCCTACATACCCAGAGTGGCACATGTTAGGTTCCATCCTTGGAATAACTGTCTAGGGTTCAGACAAGGCACTTTGACCAAGAGTAGAGATGAAATTTCTTAATATACACTTCACTATCTGAGCCTAACCTTCATCTTATCCTGGTTGCCCTTGCAAAATTTCATGTCCATATCAAACATCTCACCATCCCCCATTCACAAGTGGCACTCATGACTCTCTGGCTCTGTGCATTCTGTTCTGGCTACATGAAGTGCGTATCAGTCTTGGCAAATTCAGCATACATGAGGCCTTTGAGGTTCAGTTTAAGTGTCACCTGTCTGGACACCTTCCTTGACTTTGCCAAATAGTGGCATCCTGGCAATAGAAACTACTACCTATAAACATATCTATTTTATGTTATAGTCATCTTTTTAGAGGCTGTTTCTCCTCTGGAAAGAGAACTCCCGAGGAAAGGCAATAAACTAGACCTTTTGTATTTCTATCACAGTTCTGGGTACATTATAGGCATTTTTTTATATCTGTTCCTAATAGGAAGGGATGGAGGTGGGAGAAAGGAAGATCTGGACTAAATAAAAGAGGTGCAACTGTTAGGAGAAAGAAGATTAAGAAAACAGGCAATTCTTGACCTATTCTCTTACTCTTGGGTATCTCTGGAACAAGGTAATCTTGCAGTCAGTGCCAGATATACTGTGCAGCAGACTCTGACTATGCAGCTCAGGCTCTGAGTAATTCCTAAATTCTCGGGCACTACACAATGATTATCACTTTATCCACCACAAAAACACCTGCCATGAAAACCAGCTACTACCACTAAGTTCCTGGGTTAGGAGAGAATTGAGAAAATATACACGTTTTCTCTTTTTGAGCAGTAGTTCTCTATTACTATCTTTTCTATCCTATATGAATTTCTATCCTATATGGTCATAATCAAATTATGGATGTATTCTTCAAGGAAGTGTTGTTTGAAAAGGAAAAGATACTCATTGTGCCTCTACATGTTCCTCTAAAGGAAGAGTTGGTACAAAAAAGATAGATGATCTTAGGAGGAAAAATTGTGTTGTGGCAATAATTATGTTATGATTATAATAAATCACCTTGGGAAAAAATGAAATTGCATCAACATTGTCTCTCTGTGCATTTAACTCCTAAAAACCTTCTAGCTGATATTTGCATAAGTAATAATATACCCTGTCATCAATAGCACTCTGTAGCCTTATGGAGATATTTCAGTTTATTCTTCTAGAATGATTTCCAAAATTGGAGAGACTTCAAGTGAGAGATTAAGTGCTATGTTTGAACGTGATGCTGCCTGTTCCTGCTGGGAGAGTGAAGAAGGGAAGTCTGTGATTACAGCCCGGCCATGCAAGATAAGATTCAATTTCTCAGGGTGCTTCACACTTCTGGCATTTAAAAAAATTTTAAATTTATATTAATATACATTGGAAGTAGATAATGATCACATTGATTGTGGGAAGTTGATACATTACATAACATATCTTAATTCTTTTTACATGGCCTTCTCCTCCCCTCTTTCCTCTCTCCCTTGAACCTTACAGTTATCTGTAAGATGTCTGTCAGTAGAGGCATGGCCAAAGTCATCCTCAGGGTCTTAAAACTCTGGGCTGGCTAACAGTAACAATGAACGCAGAACATGTCCTGTGAGTGGCTACATCTTACCTCGAGGGCAGATTCCTTCTGGTGGAGATTTGAATGAAAATTTTTCCAATCTTCTTTTGCAGCTTCAACTTTGGCCTGGATACTTTTTGCTTTCTCTTTGGTCAACAGAGAAGTCAGAAGTTCTCCTTTTGACAGCATCATGTTGAGCTTATGTTGACCATTTTCACTTTCTGACAAAAACTCCTATGAAGAAAAATGTACAATTAGCACAATAAAATGCTCTTTACTATAAAATTCCTTGATTTTCCTTTGTATTTCTCAATGAAATCAAAGAGAAGAACTAAGCTGTTTTTATTGGAGGCATGAAATGACCTAGGTCTTTTTTTCAATCCTCAAGTTGTATTTTATTTGCTACTTTAAATTCTGGCTTGTAGTACAAAAGTTGTGAGCTATCTTATGAGCTATTATCAATTAGATTAAAATAAACAAAAGAGGACCAATAGAATAAAAAGAATTATGAAATAATCTCTCTCTATATTTAATTTTCAAAATAAATGCCATATGCTTCTCTATAATTGGTGGAACTGGATTATAACTTTGGCTCTGAGCATCCTAGCTGCCCAAGCAAAAGTCAACACAATCAGGTACAGGACTCAAAGGGCTCAAATGATAAAATCAAACTATTGGCTCAGCAGCAGTATTATTTCTAGAAGAGACAATGGATGAATTTCCCTAAGGAGTCTTAATAAAGTAAATGCAGTTAAACAGAATAGAAGATACTATTATTAGGTGTATAAAGAACAGTAACAGAGTGTTTTATAGGGCTGTCCCTATGAAGGGCAAATAAATGACATAATGCTCAAGTATTATTCAAAAGTGTGGACACAGTACATACTTTTCCCATCATCTGACAAGACGCAAAGGTATAATCTCTCTCTAGACACACAGGTAGATTCTATATTCTACAGTCAATGCCCATTAATATTTTCATATATCATAGAAGACCAGGAAAATATAAACTGAAGATTATTTATTTATTATTTTCTCTGTGTGTGTGTGTGTGTGTGTGCGTGTGTGTGTGTGTGTAGTACTGGGTGTTGAACCTAGGGCTTCACACTGACATACATTCCCAGTCTTTTTTACTTTTTAGAGACAAGGTCTTGCTTAGCCCTTTAATTGCCTAGGCTGTGTTACACTTTTAACCTCCTGTTTCAGCCTCCCAGAGTGTTGGGATTGTGTGTCACCAGGCCCAGCTGTACGAAGTTCTTTATTCTGCAAAAAACAGAAGCATGGATACTTTAGCTTGTGGATTTTGACTGAAGAAACTTGATTTGGTTTGGATGTGGTTTGGTCCTCAGTGTGATGATGTTAAGAGGTGGGGCTTAATGACGTCCTGAGGTCACTAGGGACTGGACCTTGAGGAACTCTTTGTTTCCACAAGAGGATTCTTCTAAAGGAGGAATCTGGTCACTTCTTAGCCTGTTTGGCTTCCTCTCTGATGATGTATCTGGTTCTTCCTCCAAGTGCACCTGCTACTGTGGTGCCATGCACCAGAAGGTCTTCATTCCAGCTGAGCTCAGGCCAGTGCCATGCTCTTGAAACTTCAGAACTGTGAGCTAAATGCATTTTTTTCTTTATAAAGTAGCCTAGGTTGGGTATTTTGTTATAGTCACAAAATGCACTGATACAGAACCTCTGCAGGACATGTTTCAATAGATTGCCATCTGGTATATGGAACTTAGCTGAGGGTCAGAGGAAAGGCTGTCCTCAAAAATAGTATTGAGTTTCTCCAACACAAATAAATTAGCAATTGAAATCCCAAAGTTCTACTCCTTAGCCTGGAGCAAAACTGGAAGAAGAATTTTAAGTGGAGCAAATTTTCAAAGCAAGAGTTACTCCATTATATTATGAACCAAGAATTTTTAAAAAATGAAATGGATACAGACAATACTATTTTGGGGGCTGATTCATGCAGAAGCACTTGTACATAGTTTAAAGCTTATGCTTTTAGAGAATAATTCAAATTTCATAAGCAATCACTCAACAGTGCTAGCCTATGAAATAATAGTCATGCACAAGAAAACGATAATGCTACCATGTCTAAAAATGTTGGGTTTGCAGGTGGCATGCGAAACAACACCATAAAGTTGCATTTGGTGAAGGAAAGACCAGGAAAAAAACCCCAAACAAATAAATACATATAAAAGCTGGCTGAAACTCTAGCTATTTTACACATCAACTCTGTGACCTCGTTATGAGGTTATATATATATACCTGTATGTATATATATATTTATATCTGGCAATAATAATCTTAAATACCTAATATGGTTAAAGTGAAAATGAAATAAGAACATCCACTTTGGAGTGCTCAGGCACAGTGCTTATTACATAAAATAGCTTTTATTATTTCTAAAACCTTTATTAATACCTAAAATAGCATCCACTTATGGATATAAATGGATGTGTTTCTCTTCAATTGTTTCAATAGAGGATTTCTTTGCAATTTGATTTTAAAACACTCATGTAGTGCACTTCTAAAAAGATCTAGCGCAGTCTTGGAGAACCTTTTAGAGATGAGTGTCTAAACCGCAACTGAAAACCCACTTATTTATTGCAAAGTGCCAACACTACAATAAAACTTGAATGCTGAGGTTATATTTTAGAAAAAACAACTCATGCATTAGCATCTTTTGTCTTCGAAGACAAACAAATAACATGCATACCATAGGTTCGCCACCACTGATCTAAGGGAACCTTTCAACCTACTTTAGCAGTTTTATTAGAATTAATTGATAAAACTCTTACCTGTATTTTCTGAAGACTTGTGGAAACTTCACTAATATTTTGAGGTATATCGAAACATTTGGCAGTAGTGATTTTTGCATTAACCAACCACTGCTGAAAATCCCTGAAGGCTTTTCGAAATCTTTGTTGTAAAATCTGTTCTTTATTCTGGCAGCCCTTGGATGCTTGCAAACAGAGACTGGAAAAGTGATTTGAACATTCAGTGAGAATGATAAAGTTGATTAAAATAATATTTGACAGAATCAGCAGTTCTTAGTGTACATTTGCCGCATTTAGCAATGCATTTCATACTCAATGAATTAATATTATTATTGAAATAATGCCTGAAAATTTTTTAAAAGCCTCTAGCTTCTACTTGATTTGACCCTTCCTCCCTCCCTCCTTCCCTTTCTTCTTTTCTTCGCTTTTTTTCTTCCTTTTCTTTCCTGTCATTTCCTTTCCTTTCTTTTCTTTTCTTTGCAAAGGGGTCTCTTCTTTCCTACGTAGCCCAGGCTGGTCTCAAACTTACCAGCTCCATCGATCATCCTCTATCTCAGCCTCCCAAGTAGCTGAACTACAGGCAAGCTATGCTATGCCAAGCTTAGCTTCCTCTTCATATGAAAATATTATGAGGTTGGGTGCAGTGGTACCTGCAGCTCCAGCTACTTTTGAGACAGGTGTACTGCTTAACCCCGGAAGTTCAAGGCCGGCCTGAACAACACAGCAAGACCCTGTCTCTTAAAACAATTAAAAAGAAATATTGATAACATCAGGAAAGTTTATGCTTACTAATTGTATTCTTTAATCAAGCCAGAAACTTTTCCACTGTATGTACTCAGGTCTCTAGAAAATCGACAAAGTTCATTCAGCTGAGACTTCAGATCCTCTGTTGTAGGCTCTGCTTTCTGCAGAGCATCCAGGATCTCCTAATAGAAGAACAAGACAGAGGATCAGCCATTTAAATATTCTCAAACTATATAGGCATAAATCATATTACAAATTATTACTGAAGAGTGAACTAACACAGTTAATTCAGTAAAAAAGGGGAGTCTATTTTCAGGATTCCCCTTGATACGTAATAGTTTTTTGTTTCTTTGTATCCCTTTCTATCCATGAATAGACACTCCAATATTAAATGCAGTCCAATGACTAGTGGAAAAATGAATTGAAGTGAGATAACAAAAAGAAGAGAAAATATCCTATGTTGTTTAAAAGCAATTTGACCCGGCCATGATGAGATACCTACATTGTTTAAAGGTGAAGAAGGATCATCTCCATAAAAGTAATACTTATTTTGGATTAACAACACATGTAGCAATTGCTTTTATGTAGTATTGTGCATACTGAAATCTTTGACAGAATTTCTTATAACCCACAAATCTGATTTAACTATAAGTTCATTCATTTCATAATTTCATTCATATAGTCATCAAATTTTTGCTAAACATCTGTCTGTTATGTGTTAAGCATTTTGCTGGATTCTGGGGACACCCTCCTCTCCCAATGAACAAAGGTATGATTCTTGTTCTTTTTGAGCTTGCAATTCAATTGATGAGAGAGAGACATACACAAATAATCACAGTATTGTACACACTTAATCCAAAATAAAGTCTTAAGGCTTGACAAGGATACCTCCAAAATCAAAGCCATGGTCAGCTGTGTTATACCATTCCTTATAGGACTGTCACATGGACCAAGTGAGATCATGCATGTCAAATACTTAGCACAATTTCTGGCCAACTGATGAATGCTAAATTAGTAAAATCAACAAGAAAATGATCCCCAGATAGTTGAGACTGTGTAGATAGAGAGTGGTATCACTAAAGCAAAATAAATAAGTAAATAGAACAAGCAAATAAATACAAATAAGGAACAACTAAATGAGTATGCAAATAACTGTTGCTATTGTTATAACTATTTTTTGGAGATATTTACTGAGAAATGGCCCAAATTTATAGAGAAACTGCATCCCTCATTGACCAAACAGGTCCGTTCTGCATCCACATCTAGTAAGTGGCACCATTGTCCTCCTGTTGGTATCAATCAGACTAAGCACCATGCTGGCCTCTCCCCCTGCTTCCCCTTCCCACTCCATGCCAGAGATACCCAGTTTGGTCTACATCTTGGCTCCTTGACCCACTTTCCTCTTTGCCTCTGCTTCCATTTACATCTTCATCTTTTCTTTCTAAGACAGCACAATACCCTCCTAATTTGATTCCTGTTCTCTAGTTTTCTCTCTTACATTTTTTCCTTTCTCCTAAGTTGGCCTCTTGTCCCGCTGCCCCCTTCACCTGTCCCCTTAAGTTCTCACACCTCAGCATTCAGCTGAAGCACTGGCTCCTAGAAGGATCCTCTACCCTCCTTCCGGCTGCAGAGTTCCTCATTGGAGGACACACAGTACCACGGGCCTTTGCTACCATCAGGGCCCCCACTGGTTTCCTACTTATTTGTCTTCCCACTGGAGCCATGATTGTGAGAGCAGAGCTGAGCCTTTCTTGCTTTGTCCTCTTTATTTAGCTAAGTCTCTGAATGGAGAGGCATGAAAGATTTTTATTTACAACCATGAAAAGTAACTAGGCTGTATCTCTTTGAAACTTCAAATGTTAAATTGGGAACAACTGTTGTACATCACATTGAATATGTTATTTAAGGGAGAACATTGTAAGAATTAAAGTAACTTATTACCAACCAAAAAATAAAAACATTGAGATTCAAGTTTGTCATTTATAAACTGGGTTACATTAAAAGTGAAAAAATTGGGGCCAAAACTTTACATTAAAAATGTCTATGACTTCGTCCTAAATGGAAGTATCTCAGCAGAGTTTTCATTATACAAAATATTATACCAAGTCATGTATTTGTGATTCAGTTAAGTCCTGGAATATATATATTTTTATATACCTAAGAAGAACTGCTGTATTCCAACAGTAGTAATCTAATAGATGTTAATATAAATGAGTTTTGCAAATGCATTGAACAAGGTGTTTTCTATTATTCTATTATATAGTTTATAGTTCACTGATTTTTATATTTTAAAAGATTCCTTGAGTACCACCATTTCATTGTTTAAGGCAAATAGGTGTGAAGACTGGAGATCTGTATCCTCAATGACAAGGGCTCCCCAACAGCAAAATGATGATATTGGAACCTTGGCAAATCTACTGCTTTATAAACATTTCCCTAAACATTCATTATATTTGAAATATTATCTCCATTTTAAATAAAATGCCCTTATTAGAAATGATATATGAATCCTGAGAAGCAATGTATTATTCGCCTCAGAAACATCTGCCCTAGAGCCATGTGTGGGTGAGGACCTGAGCGTGGGCTGTCTTCTGTGAGTTGCAGGACAACTGAAGACTCCTATTTATGATGGCACTGTCCTGTGTTTTGCAGCCTTCATCTGTGACTTCCTGTTAATAGTACCAGAGTAAATAATAACAATAGCTAAGAACAGTAGTGTAATCTAAGTGCAACCAAATCTTTCTTTTTTTTAAAAAAAAATGCACTCATGCTAATGGAAAGGAAAGGGAAATAAAAAAGAACCAAACCAGTGTAACTGACTTTATCTCATAATCAGATCACATGAAACAATTACAATGCCGTTGTCTCTATTCTACAGAACTAACTGCCTATGCTTTATTCTGGTGCATAAAGCTAAAAATCAAAAAATACATCAAAAAACGAACAAACAAAAAAATTAACCAAACAAACAAACAAAAACCCTAGAAACATTACACAGAAAATAGTATGAAGAGATGATTATGAAGTTTTATTTTATTGTGTGCTAGATCTGTTTCAACTACTTCACTCAAAACAGGACCAAGCTAGAAATACTGCCTGACTTTCTTACTGGCTGGAGCTATTTTGAATTGACTGTAACATAAATAGAAGCAGAGAAGTTTACTTTGCAAAACTTCTTTATAAGGACAGCCATGACTTAGAGCACAGTGAAATTGCAAATACTGAAGAGGTTTTCAAAGATACTAGTGAACAGTGAAAGAAAAGAAAATGATTATAAGTTTCTGTCCATTCTTCATAATTCCTTTTCTGCTTCTTTTTCTCATAATCTGCAAGAGCTGCTACCAGTTAAAAAAGAAAGAAAGAAAAAGAAAAAAAAAGGGTCAGGAAGGCGCCCAGCGAGCATGACGGGGCGATTGTGTTAATGCGTGTTAACTACCTAATTCAAGTACATCTGTCAAAAGCACACACGGGACAGCCAGTCAGGGTGAAAACTCTTAATTGTGCCTTAGTAGGTCACCAAATCTGTGTTTCAAAGCTGTAAACCCAATCTTTTATTTGTTTGAAATAGTTAACTGGCAAGAAAACAGCTATGACTCTCAGTCTATTTATTCCTCTGCCCACGGGCCATGTTTTTCAGACTGAATGGCTCAATACAGTATTACAAAGTCTTACACCATAAGAAGGAAAGGAAAATGTCTCAACTAACAATAACACTGCCTTCAAGAAATAATTACTCCTTTCGCCCACATGTTAACTTTTACCAAAGTTTGATTTATAAGAAAAGGAAAAAGATCAGCCTTTGGAAATTTCATCAGATAAATATTTCTTCCAAGCCTGGATTTTGTATGTTTTTAGTTAGCAAAGACTTTTTTTTTTAACAAGCACGAAAGGGAAAAAAAAAATTTCTGGCATAACCACCAATAGAAAAGAGGAAGCCAACTTACATGTCCTGCGTGCCAGGATTCCACTACCTCAGTATCCGTGTTCTTGCCTTCCAGGAGGGCCAGCTGCTGAGTCCAGGTTTTCAGAAGGGCACCGAACTGTCCCAGGGCCTGCTCAAGCTGGGCCACTTGGCCTGAGAACTCCTGCTCCGAAAGGGCCATCTGACTGACCAGGTCCTCCAGGCTGCTCTGTGTGCGGAACACACTGTCTTCCCACTGTGTCCAGTCGGCACGCAGGGCCTGCATCTCTGTGTGCAGGAGCTCACACCCGCTGGCAGCTGTGTGCTGCTTCACTCCGGGGGCCAGCGACTCCACTCGGCTCAAGCGGCCTGCTCCCAACTCTCTGGAATCTATCAGCTCCTGCAATGGAATATCGCCATGGAAACCAAGGAGGCTGTGAGTCACTGAGCGGCAGGCAAGTTTTCAAATGAGTGCAGAAGGGACTCTGTCCCTCTAGGAAGTTTGAGCAAGTGTGCACAAAGAACCAGGGCCCACACAGCCACCCACCCCTGAGTTCGAAGAGCAGCAAACTAACACTGTGAGCTCCCAGGTTTGTAGCATAATCCCTCAGGAAGCTGCAGCACAAGACAGACCAGGCAGGCACCCTGGATCTGTGCACTGTTGGAGTACAGTGGACCCTTGAGTTACGACCAGCCTGACCTAGGAACAACTCGGGTTATGATTGGAATTTTAGTTTTAACTTAAGACCAAAGTCTTGAGTTACAACCCCTATGCTGGCCGCTTGTGCTTCCACATGGTCTCAGATACAGATTTAACCCTTAAAGAGTTCTAGAAGGAACATGACAACATCCTTTCCTGTGTGGAGTTAACAGAGAAATCCTGGGCCAGTGTCTCTCTAAGGACACTGAGATCTGCCTGTATACAGGAGAGAGACTTTGAGGGCTGTGTGGAGGAGCCTGAGCCTTCAATTGACCAACCTGAGTTACAACCAGCCCTTGAGAATGAACTGAGTGATGTCAGTATTTGGCTATGGTGTATCATGCCTGTCAATAAATAAATGTGAATTTCCTCCTAAATAGAAGGACCGGTAAACATGGACCACTGAATCCTGTTCACCTCATGGTCTCCACCCACCACTATCTTCTTCCACAGGATGGTGGCTTCAATCACATTTCTATTCTGCCCGCAGCAAGGTGACCCACCACAACAGAAGCATGAGTCCTCCTCATTTCCAAACACTTCAGGGCCTCAAGTAAACATTTTTATACCACCTAAAATGAATAATTCACAGACTGACTTAATTAATGTTTAAAGTAATCTGTAGACTGGGTTCACCTACAACTATTATTTTTACCTTTAAAAAAACTGCTAGAAATTTAGCAATTTAGATATTGTTTTAGTCTGGAGGCACATATGCTATAGAGGACAGTAAGATAAAGTTAGAGCATGCATTGGTAAGTAGATAAACAGTGGCATTTCTTTCTGAGAATAGGTTTCTTAGACTGAAATTTTTCTTGATGAAATAGTCAAATGTCATTCATGTATTTATATATCTATTGCTAAAGCCAGGATTTTGTTATCATTATAATACAAAACTATAATATCACTTCTGGATTAAATAGAAGGAAATGATGATTATTAGGGAAAAAACTTCAAGAAGAAAATCAATTAGAAATTAAATGAAAATTTGGGATAAGTATAATGCATATTTCATAAATTATGTTAGGCGTAAAGGATGTCTTAACTAGTTTTTATAATATAGCTTGCATTTCATTTAATTAGATTAAAATAAATATATGTTCTCATAATTATATAGAAGAGAGCCAAATTTTAGTGTTCATCATTTGAAAATACTTATAGAGTAGTCCAAAGCTTAACCACAAGGAATGTAATTTGACACGTGTATAAATGTACCCTGACACACAGTTAGCAGTTAATATACATAGTTAACCTTTCTTAGCAGCTGGACTCTAAAAACCATCCCTGTTTATCATTGTATATAGTAATTAGTGAACTGATAAAGAAAAGTGTAGCTTTTAAAAAATGACATGCTTAATTGTGCCTGAATGAGTGATTTTGAATTTGGAGTTCAAGATGTGTCAACTATCAAAATGCTTACCAGAATACTCTCTTGTGCCTTATCCCAGTTTTCTTTGGCATGACAGTGGATCAATTATTTATAATCAGTAGTTCTACTCATCCATATTTTGAATGAAAACATCATCATTATGAAGTCTTTCAAAATGCCTAATGCATATATTTTCTCATCTTGCATTGGAACTCTTTCAGAACATTATCTACATGTTCACACACACAAGTATTCATGTCTTTACCCATGTGCACATCAAGCTTTAGAGTTGCCTCTTCTGGGTGGTTATTCCTGGGGTTGGAGCTAGTCAGGGGTCCAAAGACAGAGGACATGCTTTCTATATTTCGTCCAAGATTGCCCACTGCCAGCCTCTGAATTTAGAGGGACAGCATCTGAGCAGCTTCATTTTCTCCTTCCTGAATTCCAATTCCTTTTCTCTAATTCTTTCTCCTATATTTCTATCCTTCAGAAGCATTTTATGAAGGCTTTTTGGAGAGAGAGACCATTAGCAACCCAAAGAGCAGCTTTTGGAAAATAATTATCTGACTTCCTCAAATTAACTTTTTAGGCATTAGCCCATCCTTGCTATCTATTCCTCCCACCTCCAGCCATCAGCATTTCCTCCCAAACCCATGGAATTTGGTCCTCTCACCCCTTGCTGTGGGATGACTCTCAGAATGGTTGCCAAAGAGCTAAGTGTCACTCGGTCTTTCTACTAGCAGCAGCTCCTTTCTGCATCTGTGATGGCCAACAACTTCTCCATCAGGGCCTTGATGTCATCACACCCTCTTAGCCTCCTCTCTTTATTATTTCTTCTCTCCTTTTTTCCTTCTCTCTTGCAACTGCTATTCTTCTGTGGCCCTTAAACCTTGGGAGTGCCCGGTTTCTGGCTCTGGGCCCACTGTCCTGTTTGCTACATACATTGGTCTTGGTTTCATCCACTCTGAGGGCTTCAGTAACAAACTGTGTGCAAATAATTTTCAATACTGCATCTCCAATCCAGCTTTCTAACCTGAAAAATACCCTGAATATTCAACTGCCTCACAGACCTTACTTTTAAGGGCAGCGCAACTTCCATTTGTTCACCCTTGAACTCCTGTCTGCCCCTCTATAACCAAGCTCCTCTGAATGCATTTATTTTCCTCAGGTGGTGATACCTCTATTGAGTCCAGCTAAAGACTTGACCTTCACCTTTGACCCTTCCCCACCTCGTCACCTCATGGCCAATGAATCTCTTATTTGCCAAATTCACTGGGCTTCTTTGTTTAGTGTGCTATGTGGCAAGCTCAGTTATAAAAATTGTATATGCATGGTCTAATTATCCTTAAAACAACTCTGTGTGGAAGGTTTTATTTTAATTCCCTTGTTTTCTTCTTCCACTTAAGACGTGAGGCTGGAAAACACAAAGTAACTTTTCCAAAGGCACAGCTAGAAAACCAGGGGAGGCCGGATGCATAATGGCTTTTCCCTGTTTCCAGAGCCTGCACTCTCGAAGAGCACAGTGAGTTACCTTTGCATTGGTTTTGTCAGCCCAGCATTCTGGCATCTATTTCTTAGGGTTACACTACGGCAACCACCACATTTGCACACAGAAGATGCTGCATTTTGCCCATAAGTGCAAAGTCCTCTGGATTCTTTTATATAATCTTGTTTATGTTTAGGATTATTAACTGAATAAAAACCAACTTAATCCAGGCAGGAAATGTTCCAAATGACAGAATCTCATACACCAAATTCTTATGTCAATATGCTATCTGTACTCAAGACCCCATGAAGCAAATGTATAGTGTATCAGTCCATTTTCTGACCTTAATTTTTAACAACTTTTTCTGAGTGGCTGATGAATCCCCAGACATGTCTGACCACCTCTGGAGTTCTTCCTTCGCTGAATGGAGCCAATCAGTGAATTCCTGGACTGCGTCCAAATACATGAGATGGTCTTTCACGATTTCTTCCACTTTCCTCATTTTCTCCTAGCAAGCACAGAAAAGGCTGCTTTACCAGTTGGTACTGAGAACAAGACATCAGACAAGATGATAGGCCTGACAGAGGTTACTTAACATATCTCAGAGGAGTTCATTCTCATTCTTAACTTTTCTCTGAGTTTAATACTTAAAAGAGAAACTAGAAACCTTGAACTAAGTAAAGCTTCGAAGAAGCAACCATTTTTTTTCCTGTAAATTTATTGTTGTTAGCATAAAAAGGCAAGCTTAAAAAAGTTGGATAATATCCTTAACAACCCACTTCATCACAATTATCAAAACTATTCTTATTATGCAAGCAATTATTTTTTAGCTTGGTGTACAGCATTCTGTTCAGCACTTTAAACACATTTTCCATTTAATCCTGACACCGCTTCTATGACTTGGATACTGTCACTTTCACCATTAAATAGAGGACACACAAGTTTACGGAGGTTAAGCGGCATGCCTAAAGTCATACATCCAAAAAGTGTCAAGGTCAGGATTCACACTTAGCAAAATATGAAAATAAATATCTTTGTTAATACTTATAATATCAATAAGACAGAGTTCCCAAAAGCAAACCAAAGTAGGAAAAAACTAACAAAATTCTCCCTTGATTTCTATACCAGTCACAATTATGCAAAAAAAAAAAGGAGGCAAATAAAAATTCATTCGGAGGGTGAATACATGAAATAGTCTATGTTTTGGAGAATAGGGAAAGGTGGTTTTTACTGAAATAGGAAATGAACACATGATTGAAATCAAGGGGGCAAATAAACTTGCATTTAATTCTTTTTTTTTTTTTTGTACCAGGGATCGAACTTGGGACCTTGCACTTGCCAGGCAGGCAGCGGAACCACTGAGCTAAATCCCCGGCCTAAACTTGCATTTAATAAAACAAATGTGCAGCAAAAACATAGGCACTTTAAACACTGATATTTGATGTTCCAGAATTTTACAAAGAAATTAAATTGACTAACAAAGTAGAAAAGGACAGAAAATAATGAATAATCCCAAGATAAAAGAAAGAGAAAAATACATCTGCAAGTGTAGGTGAGAAACAATCTTTAATACCTAACAAAACAACAACAAAAAAATAGTTTCAGAGCAGCTGGTTCTCCAATAATTTAATCAGCTCTCGATACACAGTCCAGGTTTGCTTTGAACTCAAGATCTTCCTGCCTCTGCCTTCTAAGTGTTAGGATCACTGGTGTGAACTACTGGGCTTGACCTTTATCTTACTCTTTACTTTAGTCTTGAAGCCTTTCTCGGTTATAAAGCACTAACCTTGGCCACAGTTGTTATATCATGAAACTGTGTCTTCAGCTCCTCTTGGGCTGCTTCCTTGAAGGACTCATCCCGAGTCCTCTCATAGAGCTCCCTGGACTTGGCGTTCAGACGGTGCAGAGCGCTGGTGTGATCTTCTGCCTCAGAGACGATGGACTGAAAATGGTCCAGCAGGGAAAACTTCTCCTTCAGGCCTGGCTGCAGTTGTAGAGGACGTTCTATTTTCTCATCCACTGATTCCATCCACTGCTCCAGCTGGCTTTTCCTCTCTAGGTGGTCATTCCATTGGCTAAGCACAGACTCCAGAGTGCTAGAGTTAATACCACACAATTTAAAAATGGCTTGTCTTGATATTGCTACCAAAATCCAATCTCAAGGTCACTGCATCCTTGGGCTGGGGATGTGGCTCAGTGGCAGAGGGCTTGTCTGGCATGCATGAAGCCCTGGGTTCCATCCCCAGCACTACCCAAACCCAAACAAACCAAACCAAAACAAAAGCCTATTAGGTCATTATATTTTTGTAAATGGTTTCACCAAATACTGTTGTAAGGGATGAAAATGTTGCTTTGACTACAGGAAGAATGTGCTTCTCTGATCCACTGCACCCAGAGCACGATTCCTTTACACGGGGTAAATCAATGCTAAAATGTGAAGTAACACGCTGTGGTCAGACCTGTATCAGGAGACCTGCCTTCCACATGCTAGGTGTCTTAAGTAGATAGACAAATTTACATGCCATGCTGTAATATTCAGCACTGGAAACATTAATTAAATTTTAGTTAGTATAAATCAATTATTAAGTTTCTTGGGATTAGCTTATTTTATTAAAAATAATATGGCAATTATATTTTGTTTACAGTTCAAAGGCATTCTCCCTGAGTAAATAATATTAGATTGGTTTTCATTTAGGGCCACACACATGCAAACACACACAAGCCGATGCTTTGTATTGTATGTGTGAACAAATGAAGGCTCAATGTACTTCTAATGTAAAAAAATATACACAGTCACAAACATAATAGTGAAGTAACTAACTAGCTTTCCAGATATTAAAAGCAAAGGCTTTCCAGACTAGCATTCAGAAAAGTCACCCAAAATTGAGCTTTACAAACTATTCTAAATCCATCTTCAGTGACTGCCCCAGTGTCCCTCACCTGCATGTTGAGTTAGGATTTGGTTAACAAACTTCCGATGTTTGCTCAAACTGCTGCTTTGGCATCAATAGGAACCTCATCATATATACAGTAGAGTCGCATCCTTTCCTAAAAGAATTTTCTAAAAAGTCTGAATCAATCTCCACTTCTTCAGAAGCCACCCAGACCTGCATCCTTTTACACCCACTCCATGTCTTTTGAAAACTCTGAATTGCACAACCTGGGTCAGACTTTTCTGGAGAGTATTCTCCTATGTACCCCAACCTCTGACTAATTAGAGGGCAAAATCTATTTTCTTTTGTTTCGTTATTTTAACACAATATTTTGAATACTGCTACTGCTCAATGTCTAGTTGTCTAATATCCTGCAGAACTGGGAAAGTCAAAGATCTGAATCTGCTTCTTGTGTTTAAATTTTTGTTCTAATATCTGCAAAGTATTTGCTTACAGTCCTATAAAATTTTGTGAAGCTGTCCTATTGTCAAAGATCAGGAAGTTTAGCTGGTGCTCCAGCAGGCTGCTATAGAATAAGCTATCACAGAATCTGACCTTTTTCTTGCAGACCACTAGGAGTTATTATTAAGAAGCAAAGTACTGCCTACTTTGCAAATCACTACTTGTGTTTTGTATTAAAGGACATAAAATCCAATTTTTAAGTGTAACCATGGCTTACTGGTGATACTGCAATGGATGGTGGCAGTGTTTATTTTGATTTCTTCCATTCATCTATTTGTTACAATCACACTGGGCTCTCACTTCTTACATGATCTGATAGTATAAGTGATCTTCAGAATATGGGTCCTAGGATGTGTTCCAGTATAATCCTGATTTGTTATCATTTGCTCAACAAGCTAGTCAGATTATTTGTAGCCTCTCTCTCTCTTTCATTTAAATTAAAACATAATTTTACATAAAACATTCAAATTCTACACATTAAAGGTTAATGTGATATTTCAATACTTGTGTACATGGTATAATGCTGAAACAAGGTTAATCTTAACTATCTCAAACATTTATCATTTCTTTACAGTGAAAACTTCTAATATACTTTTTTCTGTCTTTCCAAATGCACGGTATATCACTGTTCTCTTTAGTCACCTCATTATGCAATAGCATCCCAGGATTTCTTCCTCCTAATTATAAATTAGTACCCACTGATCAGCCATCCCCCATCTCTCCCCAGCCCTACTCTCTGCAGCTTCCTGTAACTACCACTCCACATCGTGCTTTCATTTTCTTTGAGATAATTTCCGTAAAGTCTACACATGAGTGAGATTGTGTGACACTATGAAAGCTCTGCATGGGCTGATTTTTGGTGGTATGAGAATGTTCCACAGTTAGTTGTCTGGGCTCCACCAATGTGACAATGAAAACCACCCTCTCTGTTTCCTACAAGCCCAGTGTGGGTGATCTCACCTTTGGTTAAGGAACAGATTTATACTTAAGCTCAATGGTTGCCAACAATGTATTCCCTACATATTCCTTTAAAAAGCTAAATATTATTAAAGAACCATGTATCCTTGCTTTAATGACTTGAAAAGAAGCATTCTCTTGAGCCCATGGTTTGGGCAAGATTCCCTGAGAGATGTTAATGGGGAGATGTGAACATTTTAAAAATAAAACAAAAACACAAACAAAAAAAGCATAGTCTTTATCCTTGGGGAATGCAATGTAGGCAGGGACAGGCATGCATGCAACCTGCTAAAATAGCATGCTCGGTAACTCTACCCCAGGGTGCCTCAGGACTGGTCCACCATTTACTAAGCCCTTGGGTGTTATGTGGGTAAATACATATTACAATAAACTGTACCTCTGAGTATGGACAGAGGTGCTCATGATATCAGCCCACGCGTTCTTAAGAGTCTGTAACTGAGCCTGAATCGCCTTCTGGCCTTCTTCACTACTGCTTTTCATGGCCTGTTCCCCTTTGCCAAGGGCCATGTTCAGCTTGACTTCTCCTTCACCTTTCATCAAGAGAATATCCTGGGAGGGGAGAGAGAATATTTGTCAGTAGGAGTACGAAAATCTTCTGCTGTTTTTTAAGAAGGGTTATGTTTCTCACAAAAATTAACGTAAGGAACATCTTACCATCAAAAATAACAATCAACTCTAGTCCCTACTGTAATATCACATTTCTCTTCATTGTTAGATACCAGGGAGTCCTAGAGTCAAATATGAACTCCAAATTAAATTCTTAGAAAATATTGGTCCCTTAGCTTGATTGGTTTCAAAGAGTGAAAATAAATTATTTTGAAAATGAAAACACAACTGCCATAATCCTAACCTTCACATACATTCAATGGTGACTGATTCCTAGAATTCAAGGTGACTGTTATGGCTTGTGTCAAGACGTCTCCCAAAGCCTCATGCAGTCAAAGGAAGGGCTTTTCAGAGGTGGCTGGATCTAGAGTGTGTGGTGCTGGGATCAAGGGTGTGTAGTTACTAAATCAGCCCACTGATTGGTCTGACATAGCTCTGGCTAGGATTAAGGGTGTGAGTGCTATACCTGGCCAGGGTGGGGGTGGGGGGTACCTTGCATAAAATATAAGGGACAGAAAGAGGGCTAATGTGCTGCTTGTCATGGGCTATTTCTCCTCTGTGATGCCCCTCTGCCACAACACCCTGCCTTGGAGCCAGGTGACTATGGACTGAAACCTCTAGGAACTGTAAGCCAAATAAACCAAGACAGTGACCTACATTGCCAGTCTAGGTTGGTGGTCTGCTGTGTGCACAGCCTTGTTTGCTTCCAACATGGCCCCTACCTAAGCCTGCATAAATGCTGAGTGGTACACTGATCTTTCCTGTGAGACCAGGAAAGCAGAAAATGAGGACTAGTGTTTACCTTTGCATTCCCAGCAACTTGCATAGTGCTCGGAGCAGAGTAGGTACTCAGCGTTTGCTGACTGTTTAACTCAATTAAAATAGGAATAACTTTAAAGGTATTTGAACAAAATTGCTCCTTTGCAAGAGAAAAAAGAAATATATCTTTTTTGCCTGATTTCTCCATTTTTGTCCACACAGTCCTTATTTAAAGGCTCCCAGAAGGATTAGGTCAAACTCAAACCTCTGAGAATCTACTCCAGTTGCTTTCCAGCAGTTGTGAGCAGCTGGTTCCCTGCACCTACCTGTATCTGTGACAGCCGGCTCTCCAAGGTCTCCTTGCTCCCAAGAGTGCTCTCTGCACAGGCCAGCCTGTCTTGGATGTTTCTCACCCGGGACCACATGTCCTGCATTGCTTCCTCCAGGGCCTCGTGCTCCTGGAGGGCAAGCTGGCAGCTCTGCAGCCTCTCCTTGGTCATTCTGAGCAGGTTCTGGTAGCTGGTGAGGAGCTGGGAGCCCAGGCGGCCACCCTGCCCTGCACTGTGGCTTTCCTCACTAAGAAGCTGCCCTCTCTGGGAAAGTTTATCGAGAGACTCTCTGAAAAAGAAACAGGAAAAAAATTTAATTCTGACATTCCAGAGCACAGGGGAGTGACAGATGATTGTTGATACTGGAGCAGGAGCCAGACAAAGGCTTGCAGCTGACATGCCTTTAAAAGTAAGGCAGGCGCTGGGAACCAGGCTGGATACTTGTGTTCTCTTATTGGCTCTCTTAATGGAGTTAATGGTTGTTTGTGGAAATGATCCAACCCATGCTGTGCCTGGATCCAAAGAGCAGTGAGGGAGCTGACCATCTCACCAAGAATTCAGCTCAGAAAATGGGCCCTGCTCCCTCTCCAGGCTCATCCCTAGCATCTCTCCGGTCCTACTGAGTGTTCTAACTGTGACAAGCTCTCTGCAATTCCTAAAGCACTCTGCTGTTTGAAGTACACACTTTGCATATGCCTCATAAGGTCACATGCAAAGTGACCACACATGCAACAGTGATACCATAAGATTCTCTCACCTAGTTATATGGTAGCATTTCAGTTTGTGCAAATCTACTCTGTGGTGTTTACACAATGACAAATTCACCTAACAATAAGGTTCTTAGAAAGCATCCCATCGTTAAGCAATGACTGACAGAGACTGCCTTTGGGAACAGCCTTCTGCTCCTTTGGTTTTGGCCTTGTTTTCATTCAAGAATCAATGAAGCATCACATCTCCAAGGAGCACCCACAACAACCCAGGAGAGTCTGGCAGTGCCGTCCCTTCATGTGCTCTCTGTTCCTTGTCTTGCTTTTTTATCTAACATATCTTTCTCAACCCACAAAGGTATCATCCTCTTAAAACCAGAGCTATAACATGGATCTTCTATCCCTAGAACCGAACAGAATGTGAAGCAAACAAAGCGAGAAAAGTTTCTTTCAAAGGCCTTTGTAGATGCGATATGTTTTCCTTGCTGTATCTTGAGTATTGCGTTCATCTCTCTTTGGACCTATGTTAGTAAGGTCAAGGGAAAAGCTTAAGCACTATGTAGCTCGGTACCTTATTTTGTTTTTGAAGTAGAGTTCTGAGTTATGTTTTCGTTCGTTACTTAAGTGCAATTTGGACAGTCATTTACTGTAGCTATTTTTATTGTAAGCTGACAATTTATAATTGCCTATATTTATGGTATAAAGTGATGTTATAACATATGAATAAATTGTGCAGTAATTAAATTAATCAGGTTAACATGTCAATCACTTCAAATACTTAACATTTTGTTTTTTGTGGTGAGAACACTTGAAATTTATTCACTTACCAATTTGGATGTACAATATTCTATTTCAAACTATATTCACCATGCTGTTACTCTAAAAAGAACAAAAACTCCTTCTTTCTACTTAACTCAGAGTTTGTACCTTTAACCATCATTTCATGATCCCCTGGCTCCCAAATCCTAGTGCCCTTCAGTCTAGAGAATTCTTACCAGCTCATCTAGCAGGAGAATATGGGGTACAGAGGGGAGCGAGGAAATGTTTTAACTACTAGTCAAATGTCTGACTACTAGTAAAAGAACATAAAGTGAGTCTTCTAAAAGATATTTATTATACTTGTAATCTGTTTGCCAAGGCAAAAAGCTTCCTTAAACATTAATGTGAGCTAAATAATAATCCAGGATAAGATATTTCATTTGTTACTACAAGATGAATTGTTTAATGCATGAAAAAATCCAGTGAGTCTCAGGTCTGGGTACTTTAAAAAGTATGAGACATTTGCCCAAAATATTTGAAGCACTGGAAATATGAAGAAAAATTCTAGAAGACTGGGAGTAGTAAGGAGCAAGTGAAAGAATTCAAGTGACCCAGCACATGATCCTGGGTGATCTAGGATTGTCTGGAGAAGTGGCCAGCTTGGTGGGAAACATCCTGGGTACAAGCACACCTAAGGTCACCTACCATCTGCTCTTGGAATACCAGAGAGTAAAACTTTAAGAAAAATGATGTGTCAATCAAGGTCAAAAAATTGTAATTATCACAAAAACAATAACGAGTAAAGAAAGACATTGAATCTGGGGATGAAGGGTATGTAGAGCACTTTCTTCAATGTGGTTTTAGTGTAATGATGGCAGAAAAAGTTGGCACAAAGGAAAGTACTGTAAAGAGAAGTCTATGGAGAAGAAACAGAAGCTGACAATATGTAAAGCCATTTAGCAGGTCTAGAGAGCCAAGAGAGGTGGGTTTGGTTGTGTTATATTGTATCCAGATAATAGTGTTTAGAAAGCAAAATAAAGTGTTGTATAATTTTCAGAAAGTTAATGTTAGAATGATGCTATTATTTTGTTAATTCCATAAATATTTTCTATTTTTCTGGCACCTCCCTACACAATGGGAATATAAAGATGCCAAAGACATGAAGTTCCCGATCTTGAAGGACTTAGTTGGATGTTGGGGGTGATCCAGTAAACAGACGTAGTCATCAGTAATGGCTGCCAGTGATGGAATAAAAGTGTTTCAGGGAAACTATAATAGTCATCAAACTAGCACATGTACAAGCAGTTGCCAGTAAGGGTCCTGCTGTTCAGTTGTTTACATGCTTGTTTCTCAAGGCAAGGAGTACTAGGCATGTGTGACCATAAAGATGATGCAGTGGATACAGAGAATGCTCAGGACCTGAATTAGGTAAATTTTACAAAATTAATTATTGTTGATTTATCTGTGCAAACACTAGGGTACTATCCTCTTCTGCCTCACAGACCAGTGGTCCTACTCTTGAAGAGGATGATTTTCAGAAGCCCAGGTGTTTGTTGAAGCTATGTTTCCCTGGAGGAAATTGTTCTGCCTTCTGGTGGAGAGGAAGCAACTAGAAATGCCAGGGGTAAAGCATGAATTTAGGAACCAAGGTGCTGAAGATGGGTGGTAAGTCAGAAGCACAGATCAGTGGCCTGTACATGTTAAAGAAACCATGGCTTCCACTCTCAATGGTTAAGGAATAAAGAGAAGAAGACTGTAGTAGAGAAGAGGAATCAAAGGAGAGTCAGACATAATGACTATGCCTCTTTGCTTCATCAAGAATATTATGAGAGGGCCGGGGATTTAGCTCAGTGGTTCCGCTGCCTGCCTTGCAACCGAAAGGTCCAGAGTTCAATCCCTGGTAACAACAACAACAACAACAACAACAAAAACAAAACAAAAAAGAATATTATGAGGATGGGTCCATAAGAAATGCAACTACAGCATGAAATGTGTGAAGAATACATGGAAGTTGAAGCCTACAGCATTAATTTTGTACCTTTACAGTTATTGTAAGCTTAAGGTCTCCTTTTTTTCCTATCTGCTTTACATTATATTACTAAATCTTCAAAACAACCCCAGAAAGGAAAGCACAGTATTGTCAACACCTTGTTTAAAGGAAAAAATAAAGAGTTCCAGTAGGTAAGAGACCTGGCTGATTTTTCAGCACAAAAGTGAAACTCATATGCAGATTAGCTCTTTATTTCTATCGTGGTCTACAGAATGACACACTGAAGTAGCAACATCTTGTATTCTAGTCATTCAGGGCTCAGAATAAGTCAGCATCAACAAACAACCAAACCAAACCAAACCATCATGTAGTTGAAAATATAACAGCAGGTAAAGGAGCCATTCTATTTTTGTTTCCATACCTCGCAGCCAGAAGTTCTCCCAGAAACATTTCAACTTTATGAACTTCATTTTTCTTTTCAGCAAGATGCTGTTTACTCTCTCCCAAATTTTCTGTATTTAACCTTTCTTCCATTTCGTGGATCCATAAGTTCAGTTTTCTGTGCTGATCTTCAAAGCTAAAGAAAAGAAAAATATTTTAGAGAAATCCTGCTGTGCTCATTACAATAGTAAGTTCTAATAGCTAAGGTCACTATGTTTTTTTTCAGCAATTAAGATCTCATGAAATTTCAAATTATAAAGAAAAATCAACAATAAGTCTGACTACTTGTTTCAGTAACAAAGTGAGAAGTCATGGTAATATATTTTGAGATACAAGCCAGGAAAAATTACCTTACATACTAAATTGATTTCATATTTGATAACGGACAGTATGATTACATTTCTATGCCAACATACACTTAACTTTGTGTGTGTGGGTACAAAGACTCTTGAATTGGTGCCAGTGGGTAAGTGGGACATGTACAGCTCCAGGGAAAGAAGGGAAAGTGTTTTTTTATGTCTTTGTTTCTTAAGGGAATTTGAATTTGGTACAAAAGCTCTAAGCTTTGATGACAGTATATGCTCTCCCAGAAACCTGGACAAGTGTAAGAAATTATTTGGCTACTAGAAAGGCAATTGGATCTTATTGACATCTTTTCTCCTCATACTGATGAGGATTTTTTTCCTTGTAATTTGATATTCATCCTCATTGACATATATCATTGATCGAAATCTTGATACACAAAATTCTATAGTCACTTTCTGCCATGATATTATCCAAGCAGAAATGGACACAAGGAAAAATCTTAAATCACCTAAAATTGAATGTATAAAAGCCCTAACATCTCCTGTTAGCCAAATAGATGAAAATTGCATGCAACTATGCCATTTACAATTACTACTGAAAACAATTTTAATATATAGAAAATAAAGCCAAATAATAACTTTAGAGTCTGAGCAATTGATTATTGTACTAGAATGAGCCTGCACTGAAGGTAGATCAAACATCATTATAATTTAAACTCACAATTTCAAATTTATGTTTGTTCACAAGCCCCTTTTCTCTGTGTAATGAAATCTACGTTTATAGGAACAACCTACCTCCCCAGCTCAGAAGCACAGTCTTGGAGGGCCTGCTTGTCTTTAAGGCATTGCTTCAGAAATGCTTGAAACTCTTCATTCGCCTTTGTAATCTGCTCCTGAATGCTGCTGACAGTTTGTTTCGACAGGTGTGCATACAGAGTCTGTCCCTCCTGAGTCACTACATCAAGTTTGCTTTGCCCATCATTGACTGAGTCCAGAATGTTCTGTTGCAGGAAATAAAGGTAATGAGATATATTTGCTATTATTCAGAGACACTGATGCATGGGCTCATTCATTATAATGCTGAGCTGAGATAGCAGAGAAAAAGAAAACCAAAGCCCAGAAGGAAAATGTGTAATAAGCCTGGGACGCGAATGATGCATTTGAATGGATAGAATCAAGGATCCTAAGGAAGTTAGGCCAGCCTTGGGAGGCACTGAGGGCAAACAGAATGTTGTCTGTCTAGAAAAGAGGATGATCGCATCACAGTCTTGTTCTCAATTCCTCCTCAGTCTCAGTGTCTCAGAAGTACTGTGACATTCCTCTAACCGGCCAACTGCTCCCTTCCTCCTCCTCCTCTTCTGATCCACCCAACTCACACAGTCAGACCCTCAGGAAAGGGACCTTTCCTTTTTCGTATGTGCCTCTTCCTTGGATCTATACATAGAATGGCTCCTACAGAGCCAAAGAATCCCAGAAGCCAAGGCTAGCTGAGCCTCTCCCTTGAGCTCCAGAGTGGCATGTCAATTGTCACTCTGACATTTCTATGTGGAGTTCGGGAGACCCAAGATTTAAAGGGAACAATTCCATATGTGAATTCATCATGCCTCTTGCAAAACAGCCTTCCTTTTACTATGACAATCTTAATTCCCTGACTTCTAATATAATGAATGAATTACTGATATCACTTTCATTACCTATTAGGCCACAAAATCCACAGGGTACATGTTAGTTTTTTTGTTTATCTTTTTTTTTTTTACAATACTGAACTTTGAATAAGTTTCCAGTGTTCTGCTCAAATTAGGTGCTAAAAAAAACTTAGCCCAAACCTAATTTGAATCTATTCTTCTGTAAGTAATTTCTTAACTCTGCTTTACAATGACATTTTCCTTCTTGAATTCACACAATTTTCCTAGTCAATAGAGTCCAAATAACTTGAAATAGACATTACTTTAATTTGCATATATTTTACCTCAAAATTTAGACACTAAGCTATTTTTCTCCCTCTTTTAAAATCTCCACAACAGTGATAAAATAGATAGAATTATTCATATTTTTACTACTATAAAAGTGAAAAAATAGATTTCATTTTGAATGAATTCCAAAAAAATGTTTCTCTGGCACAAAGAGAGACAAGGAGACCTAGACAATCTCTAGCTCCGAGTTGTTTTCTAAGTTACTTTCTATGTTGCCTGTGTCTATCTGACACAGTAAGGCCAATTCTGCTAGAGAAGAAGAAGAGATGAACTGAAATGAGATTTGGGAAATGAGAGGACCTGAAGGCACCTGAGTGCAGTGTGCAAAGAAGGATGCCAGCTTTCGTACCTGGAGATCATGGAGCTTTGCCTCCAGAATTTTACTGTTGCCAGTTCGATCAGATGATTCTTTGGCTGCTGCTTTTGCTCCCAAAAACCATTCTTGGAATTCCTGCATAGAATCTTTTGAAAGGTAATGAGGATCAGGAATAAATCCAAAACACTGAATAAGTTCCCAGGATTGACACATGAATTACTTCTGCACTTCAGCCCATCTCATTCTCCCTTACAAACATTCCAGAAAGAAGATGATAATGTAAAACATAATACAGCGTGATCTACAGCCATTACTGTGGATGGCAGAACTGGAAAATTATCTTAGAGAAGAGATTGACAACCAACTGGTATTCTTGGAATCCCTGATTTCCTATCATGCTTCTTTCTTTGGGTAAAGACTATGCAAGAATTCAAGGGCTGGAGCACTGAAGTTATTTCTTTTCAGTACTGGAGATTGAACCTAAGGCCTTTGCACTGAGCCACATCCCCAGACCATTTTTATCTTTTATTTTGAGATGAGGTCCTCTAAGTTACTAAGTTGCCTAGGATGGACCTGAACTTGCAATCTTCCTGCCTCCATCAGCCTCCCAGAGTCCTTGGATTACAGGCATGTACACCATGCCTGGCTAAAGACATTTTTATCGCTCAGGGACGAGCCATTTCCACTTTTTACTGCATCACCCGAGAGCTGCTGTGCATTCACATCAGCACCTTGGCACTGCTATGGGGAAGCAAAAGCACAGGACAAGTGGTTTCCTCACTCATGGCTGTGCCTGTGGTCTCCTAACATCCTGGTTTATTGTGTCACTTCATCCTAGCATTAAAAATATCCTTATTATTTCATCAGTGGCTGTGGGCCTCTTGAAAAGCTGAAATAATTCTCTACATTCCTAAATTAATGCATAGAAAACCCAGATGAAATTCAGAATCATCAAAATGGTGGACACCTGCTTTCTTGGGGAGAAAGGAGAAGAATTCTGCGTAGGGAAAAAGCCCCCAGCACATTACTTCTGCTGCTCAAATCGTAACGCAGGAATGAATTTGAAATGGTATACTTTTGGAAAGTGTCCTCCAACTTTTCCTGGCAGTTTTTAGACAGCATTTAGTTTGGACTCGTTCTTAAGAACAATTACCCACACCCAGGCCCATCAGTCCTCACCACTGAAATGTTTTTCCAGAGAATCCTGCAGGCTGGCTTGAGTTTTACAGCACAGCTGGTTCATGGCTTCCTGCTTCTTTATCAGGCCTGTCATTGCCCGACCCAGGCTCTCCAACTCTGCTGAGTGGTACTTGCGACACAAACTGTTGAGATTCTCTTGGGTAGAGCTGATGTTTCTTTGCTGACTTTGAAGCTCTTTTTCTATATCCTATAGGGTAAAAATATACCACAAGGGGTATTCATTAGAAAGAGACTCAAAAGAAACAAGGCAATAACTCCACCATAATAATCTTTTCCATCTGAATGTGATGCTGGTGAAATTCACTCAGAAGCATATGCACATGAGTGGGAGTGTTTCTGAATATTTGTGGTGGCTCTGTATGGCTTCTTCAGTAAACGTTCCCAGTTCTCCTTGGTAACAGCAGCTGTTGGGAAGTGGCTAGAATTTGGGTTTAGTCTAAGTTTTCAAGCAAATTAAATAATTCCATGTGGACTTCAGTCCAAGTCCATGATCTTGATGTTGGTCACCTTATAAGAAATGTCATATTTTTCAATATGCCATTTGGGTTTTGATTAAGATCACCGGCCATGCCAACAACACTAGCAACTAATTTAAAAATATGTCCTTAGTCTTAAGTATGGTAAGAAAATATGCTAAAAGACAAGTAAACTACATATATATGTTAAAAAGTTAACTCAATGTACATCTTTTACATACAGTTAATCAGGAGTGTCATCAATAAATATGGTCAAGTGACATGGAAGTGGAAAGTTTCCTGTACTTTTCTTTTCCAAAATTATAACATTTTCTAGATGATAGCAGTCAAATTGACCATAAAAAATAATTAAATAATAAAATATCTATCTGACATTCAAGCTTAAATATCGACAGAAAGTCAACTAGTATTTCTATAGGTTCATCTTTTTGTTTTTGGTATTGAGGATCGAACTCAGGACCTTGCACTTTCAAGGCAGGCAGCAGAACCACTGAGCTAAATCCCCAGCCCCTAGGTTCACCTTTTTACCAATATGCATAAATGTATACATATGTATATATATATGCATATGTATTGACATATATAAACAAATACAGTCTTTGAGAAGGCACTGCAACATATACACTTTCTGGTTTTAGATTATTCATCTTCCGTTTCTTAACACCGGTGCCCAGTTCTTCACTTATTGCTTATTTTGCTGTGTCCAGTATCATATATTAGTTATCTGGTTGCCAATATGAATAACTGAAAACAGAGGCTGTCCTTTTCATTACGGTTGTTACAAACAGGAGAACTACTAGCACCATTCAAGCAGAAGTACTTACTGATAGTCCAGCACCTACCTTTACTTTTTTCAGTCCTTTACATGTCTTGGTTTGGCCATAGCTCATCAAGGACTCTTCCACTTTCATCAGCCACACTGTTCTGTCACTGATGAATTTCTCTATGCTTGTACTTTGAGCAGCAAAGACCTTCAAGGTTTCTTTTGCTTCTTCAGTTACTTCTTTAGCATGCTCCAGTTTCTGCCTTACGTCTGCTTCTATAAACTAATTATAAGGCAAGATTTTATTAAAGTCTGTGGAAACCAAAAGAACACTCATTCAGGAAGAATTCTGTTTATGTGCAAATTTGTTGAGAAAACTTAAGCTTCACCATAGAAGCCACTCCAATGCTAATATGCCTTTTCCAGGAAGGAAAACCAGAAGCATGAATTGCCAAACATATCAAGTGATGGGAAAGTGGAGAGTAGGACTTGTAGCTAACAGTGGATGTTAAAGGGGTGGTTTGAACTGAGGCTCTCTGGAATACATGAGATCATCTTCTAAAATCTTACCTAGATCTATATGGAGCTCCTGAGGATAGGAGGTGACCCAAACTCTATTCTTCAATCTCTTGAGGAATATCCACACATTCTCTGCCCAGAAGAACCTCTTCTTGGGATAAACACCACTAAGCCTTCATGATAAAGCAGTTTTATTGTTGTAGGAAACATTCAGTGGGGAAGATATTTTCTCCTCTGGAGATGATATATTTCAGAACAGGTGGCCTCTCTAGCCCCATAGTTAATAAAAGGATTTACAATCACTATAAGTTGTGAAACAGTTTCCATTCCACAATTCAAAGATCCAGGTCTATTTAGAGATCAAAGTTTTTAACTAAAAGTTAAGGCTTTTTCTTAGTCTCAGCTCAGACCTGCTGCATGCAGGGAGCCCATTGTGGAGAAGGCGGTTAAGGTCTTCCTCTTCTCTTTCTTTACTTTACTTCAGTTTCTCTACCTTGTACAGCTTTTTGTCCTGAAGATTTGCACTGGCAGGAGGTGGGTACGAGTTCTGAATTGTGTGCCAACTGCTATGAATTTGCACCTGAGTTTCCTATCTACATCTCTCATGAGCCTAAGTCTGTGGTTTTTTCTGAGACTCCTCTCATACAGGACCTCCTGCTGAATTCCCTATGTGAGCTACTACACTCTCTTTTGCCTCTGTATGTTCTCCTTCCTCAGCCTGTAGTTGTCTCCTCCACTTCTCACTGCTGAGGTCTGCTCACCAAGATGGCCTTCTTTGCTGTCTATATGTCCTCCTGTGGTGGCCTCCTCCTTTCCTTTCCTCTTGTGACTCACTTCTGGGCTGGCAGCCATGCTCTGACATTCACCCCGAAGCTAACTCTGAGAGGCAGGCTACACCAAATAATCACTTCTCCTTTGGCAAACCCATGAGTAGTTAGGCAGCCTGTCTGGCAAGGGGTTACAAACTAGATTCTGGTGCCTGCCAACTGCAGGGGGCACAGGTTATGTTTTTTAAGTAGTGCCACTGAAATCCTTCTATCTAGACTTGAGGTAAATTATGTCACCCAGGTCTCTTCCTTGATATGTACAGGTATATAAGAGAAAGAGACAGACAGAAACAAAGAGAAAGAGAAAGAGAGAGAGAGACACAGAGAGAAAGAAAGAGAGAGACATAGAGAAACACACATACAGAGAGAGAGAGAGAGAGAGAGAGAGAGAGAGAGAGCCAGAGCAAGGAGGAGGGGAGAAACCAGAGCACAACAGTAGCTTGTTCCCCACATTCCAGCTTCATCTTCACTCTGCAATAGTCCAGCTGCTGTCCCTTGCTTGATATTCCCAAAGTAGGTGACAGCCATAAGCACTCCCCCTTTTTAGTTCTATATATGAATAGCACCCACTTTGCTTTTTGCTTCAGGTGGAACTGAGAAAGGAGACCACCCCTCCATATGAAATTAGGCAACTATGGGTTAACTAGGTAACGATCCTCTTTGTATAATGTACCTGAGTAGCCATGACAACTTCTGTAATCTGTAATCTGTAATCTTGTGCAATCTGTCACCAAAGGAGATCACCAAAACTCTTTGCTCTCCCTCTCTCTACTGTTATGCTTTGTGTAAATCCTGCTTGCTATATTCCCAGGAAAACTCCAATAGAATTAAGCTTTGTAGATGTAAAAAGAGGTATATAAGGAAGCACAAATTTCTATTCAGGGCTCTCGAGACTGACAGGAGTCACTGAGCTGCCGGCAACATTAAAAGCCACTTTTTGTTCCTATCTTCGTGTTAAAGAGTTATCCATGGGGAGAGGTCCTCACTATTTCCTGCTTCAGAACTGCTAACATTCCTGTACATGTGTGTCATCCACCAATGGTATGAATTGATGTGTGCACAGACTCAGGTCAGAGCAAAAGCATGGTTGCAAGCTGGTTTGGTTGGTTAGGAGGAAACAGCAAGTCAAAGACAAAGGCACAACAAGAAGAAAGACAATGTGGAGAAAACCCACAAGAGTAGCAGCAAATACAAAGGTTAAATGGCGCATCAGAGCCCTCAGCCAGGAGCCAGGGGGCTGGCAGCCAAAGGAGACCTACCACACTGGGTGCTTTGAGGGCTCAGGGCCAGCCCTGTTCCCATGTCCTGCTTCAATGGTCCTGGGAATTTGTGCTATCTACAGAGCTGTGAAGGGAGATTTTCAGTGGTGATTACTCCCAACCCATATACTGAATCAATGAATTAGGAAAATATTAATAAGAATATCCCTGAAACAGGATATTCCTGTCTAGACATAAAATGGTCCATGAGACAAGCTGACTGATAATGCTCCTAAAATTTAGTAAGGAAAAAGTAACTACTCTTATTATATCTGAATTGGAAATATGTTATTAGTACAGGCACAGGAAATTGTATAGATATTTATACTTAGCTCATGTGTATGATAAAGCATATGTGTTTTGTTGGGACTATGGTGATGGTATCATTGTTGTTGATTTGAGAGAAAGAGAGAGAGAGAGAGAATTTACAAGAGAGAACCCAATGTATGGTATTAATTATAAAACTGAGCTCTTACCTGAAGTTCTGGTGGTGTTTCTGGAATTTTAGTTAATTCTTTAAGACTGTTAACTTTGGAATGAAGTTCTTCCAATTTCAATGCTTTGTTTTTAACTTCAGACTAGCAAAATAAAAGAAAGGGGGAATTGCATCACAAATCAGAAACACTGACATACTGTATTTGGCATTTCATAATTTTAAGCGCTAACTGTCAAGGTACAGAGTTTAAGCCAGTGTATAAGAGTCCATTTCATTCTATGAGGGTTGTTACTACTTATGAATGTGGCAAAAGTTACATTTAACATTCACTTGGAATGTGAGGGAGTATGTGGAACTTATTTTCTCCCCACCCTCTTTTATTAGAAAAAAGATCCTGGAAAAAATGAAACACCAACCAAAAGCCTGGAGTTGGTGGGGATTTCCACAGGCTGTCATTTACTGGTTAGCAGTACTATGACCAATTCCCATGGTGGCACTGAATTCATTTCAGAGCATTTCAAAGCAAATACACATCAGGGGAGCCTCACAGCTGCAGACAGTATGTAATACATATAAATTGTTTCGAAGGAAAATTTACAGGCAATCCAAGAAGAAACCAGAACAACTGGAAAACTGAAGCATGATAATATTTTATTATTTTTTAACACACAAAATATGTCCTCATATGGTGGTCCCTTTCATTAAAATCAGATGGCTTCCATTAAAGAGACATTATTAAACATGGATGCTTATAAACTTAATCAGTTACTTGAGATCACAAGGAAACATTAAATAAATTATCTGCCTTAACTTAAAAATAGTATTCTGGTGCTTTGTGGACACAAAGTTCCTGGTGCCTTGAGTTCAGGAACCAGTTTGCTTCACACAGTAAGACGCAGCATTGCCAGGCCCTCCCTCCTGACCTACACTCATGTGTGACTCTGTTGTGGAAGGGCACTGCCCGGCACTGGGCTGGTTCCATGGCACCAACTTTGTCTGGTGTGTCAGGAAGTTAGTAACCAAATGACCTGGTCATCCTGAATGTGGGGCTGAGACACATTGGCTTCCTGGATTTCTGAGGTCAGCAGTCATAGGCTGGTTTGACAACTGTGTCTCTTCCCTAAAAAGATGCTGCAGCATTTACAGCACTTTCAGCTGTAACACCATGTCACTGCACACAGGGCTGAGGTCACACAGTGGCACATCATTCTAGAGTGTCCTCATCATCTGAAGTATAGACATAACAGATGTCAGCAATGTGTAGAGTAATCATTAGGCATGATAAATTTTGAGTATCTGTTACATTTATGTATGTATGTATGTATGTATGTATGTATGTATGTATGTATGTATTTATTTAGAGATGCTGGGAATGGAACCTGGAGTGCGCTAACCACTGAGCTATACTGCCAGACCCTACCTTTGTTTTTAATAAAATTTACCTCATTGTTAATTTATGTACAATTTAGCTTATAATGACAGTGCTAACACTTGCTTACAAAACTCCTGAAAATTTAACAATCTGTGAGCTGGGATTAACACGATCCAGTGCAGGCCCCTAAGAGCTGGGATGTTCAGCCACAGTAGCATCATAACAGTGTCCATGATAACAACTAAAGAGACCACAGTGCCGGGCGTTCCTGACTGTACTCTGAGTCTGGATCATTTTCTTTTGCTCTGATAGCCCTTAGAAATTGGAATTTGATTATAACATCTCTCTTGAATATTATATAAGTCAAAAAACCACTAGACACTAGGTAATATAGTTCATTCACCTGTTTTCAGACTAGTCATTCATTCGTCTATCAGTCAAGTTTTTTTTCTCTTTTTTTTTATATCAGTCAAGTTTTAAGTGGTAGGCACAGTGCTAGGCAGTGGAGGATACAATGTGATACCCTCTGGCCTCAGTAAGAGTACAGTCAATTGTATGCTTTGTCAATTACATCTCTCTCTTCACTCTCCTTCCCTGTATCCTGCTTAATTGTCTGTCATAGCCTGATTATCACTCAACATTTTTCATATAATGTATATTGTTATGTAAATAATATAAATTCCATAAAGGCAGCATTGTTGTCTGTTTTACTGCTGTATGTTCAGTGTCTAAAAACAATGCCTGATATATTGTAGGAATTCATTAAGAATTTCATGAATAAAGGGATAAATGAATGAATGCAATAAATGGGAATAAAAGGAGTTGAAAATGAACTGGTGACTAACGCTATAGAAGATCAGAAACTTTCCTTAGAGGCCTGTGACAATGCAATGTTTCATTTTCTTTCATTTCTGAAAAGGAAGTGGAAGAACCCAGCACCAAATAATAATAGCATATTTGAGACATTTGATGAATTTTTTGAATGGAGAAAAATAACTATTAAATATTACTAAATTAAAAACACTTCATATTTATTTTTCAAATGGGACAGTGCCACATTCTCATAAGAACAGGAAAAAGTTTGCATTTCATCCACTTTTATTTTTCTACTAAAACTTGAAGTAAAAGGCTCCACTAAAACAATAAATAAAGCAAAAAAACACTTAAGCAGAGCCTATATAAAATTTGAGTAAATAGCAGAAAATAGTTTATAGTTTGGACTGCTCCTGTGTCTCTTTGAAAAGAAGGATAAACTTTAAAAAAAAACCCACAATTTTTTCATATTCTAGACAGCAATAAGCAGATCCATAAGCAGGTGGTGTCAGTTTACCTCAAATTCTTTAAGGAATTCTTCAGCTCGGAGACTGCTGCTCAGGTTGCTCATGTTTTCAGCCAGCTGTGGAAGAGAGCTGTTTGACCACCCATCGATTTCATCTTTACTTGAAAGTACATCATCCCAAATGGACAGGCTTGTCCTCAGCCTTTCCATGTTTTCTTCCAATTTCTCCAATACCTAGGATAGACAGTAGAAGTCACGCCATTAACAGTATACAGTTTAAAGTGTTCATTCCCCCACCAATGCTTTTTAATTAGAAAATTAGATTTGAATGTCAAAGTTTTATAAAATTACTGAGAGCTAATTAATACTCCCAATTCAACTACATGTTAACAAATATATAGTGGCTTGAATTTCTGAAACACTAGATTTTCATTTGTAAGTTGGGATTCTAGTGACTATTATAGTATACAATAATATAACTCATTATAAGGTTGAATTCTACAGGATTCCAGTCCATCTAGGGCAGTATTGTATTTATTTTTTCAAAGTAGAACAATAAGCACTTTTATTTGTAATGCTGAGGTTTAGGAATGAGCATCAATTACATGTGAGAATATTTATAAAACAAGTAAATACATAAGAAAACAACACATTTTGGTCATTTAAATTATTATTGCTTACCACTTTTTCTATAATAATGGTCTTTAAAACAGGCATATAAAATCTTTGATGTCCCCCAATTATATGATTATATTATAAAAATAGACTAACTTGGGGCCAGGGGTTTAGCTCAGTGGCATAGCGCCTGCCTGGCAGGCATGAGGTTCTGAGTTCGATCTCTGGTACCAAAAAGAAAAAAAAAATAGACTAACTTAGTAAATTTAGCTTGCTAAAGCTTACTAAGTAAGGAATCCATCTTTTATTAAAATTCTGAATCTAGACATTGAGAATAGAGTCAATGGAATCATTGGACTTTTGAGCTGAAAGGTGAAGTAAAATATTTAGAGGTAGATATGCTGATTTCCAGGAGGATTAAATGATTTGTTTTATGACCACATAGCTAGTAAGGGACTGAGAATTAAAACACAAGAATATAAACTACAGATCCAATTTTTTTTTTTTTTTTTTGGTACCAGGGATTGAACCCGGTCCTTGCACTTGCGAGGTAGGTGACGGAACCACTGAGCTAAATCCCTGGCCCAGATCCAGTGTTTTTCAACACAAAACTACAGCCTTATTACTTTAAATTGATATACATTACATTTTAATATTCTGTAGGGTGTCTGTAAATTGCTCTATTTTATCCATAATTCTAGAGTCTTGAGAAGAAAAACATTCAGAGCTGTGATTTGTTAGGACTGAAGCAACCAAATGTAAATGCAGAAATCTGCCAGTAAGTTCTGATAAAAATAAAGCAGGTAATTTTTTTTTCTATTTCTAACTTTATGTGAACACTGATTTTATTCAGAATGTCATTTTGGAGTTAACACTGCATGTTCAGAATGGAATTCACACCTCTGAATAACCCTTTGCCCTCAAGTTTGGCTGAGGAATTCACTGGTTAAATTGTTCCCAGGGCGTGTTCCCAAGGATGCTCTTACATCCAGCCACTTGTCCATGGTGCTCTCCATGTCTTTTTCCACCAAGGTGAAGTCACTACTGTGGATCTTTTTCAGTTCAGATAACAAGTGTTTGCCTTTACTGGTAAAACGGTCCAGCTCTTTCTGCTTACAGTTCATTTCATGCTTGGCAGTTTCATGCTGTGGATATAAATATTTCCTCAATCAGTAAGACAATCAGTGATAAGTCAAAACTTTAAAACCATCTGCCATTAAGAAATGCATTTAAGGGACTGGAGATTTAGCTCAGTGGTTCCACCGCCTGCCTCACAAGCGGAAGGTCCTGAGTTTGATCCCCAGTACCAAAAAAAAAAAAGAAAGAAAGAAAGAAAGAAAGAAAGGTATTTAATAGTTGACCTTAAGCAGAAATTAATGATATTAATTAACTGTAGTACATATCCAAATGAATATGTAAAAAAATATATATATAATTTTAATGAATTACCAAAATTCTAGGATATCAGAATTCCTAGAAAAAATTTGAGCTATTAGCAGGAATTTCCCACATCTAAATGAACTGACAAGAGTATCTGTGTGAGAATTACTCAGTGAGTGAAAACGCATGTAGTAGTCTACTAAATCAAATGCATTTTGAATTTTACCTTGGAAAAAGCCCACTTAAGATCCTCCTGATCTTTTATAGTAGTTCTGGTTACAGTGACACTGCTGGCATTTTCTATGACTTTTGAGACAGCTGATTTCAAGTTCTGGTATTCTTTCATTAGGTCAATAAGTCCACAGCACTGGCCTTGGCTGTGAGGGTTAAAGGAAAATGTATTATTTAGTGTCATGTGTCAGGAAGGGAAAGCTTTCATTCCCTTTAATTGGACCTAGTATACACCACTTGAATGTGTTCAGAGATGAATGGTGGAACCATATTTCTCCCTACCTAGGTCAAAATGATGGTTGCTGGTAAATGTACCTAAACCAGTGTCCAAAATGGGTTTTTTATGAATAAAGAACACACACAGGCATTAAAACAAAATCTATAAACTCAATGACAAAAAAGAAGCAATACATGTTCTCGACAACTCAAACTCAGATGAGTCACCCAAATGTTTTGTTGTTTTAAATGTTTTTTAAATGCTGTTTTAATTATTTCTTAATAGCATGTGTTAGAGGCAAGGAATGAAAGCAAGAACAACACAAAGAAAAAGCAAACAAAAATACAGCCCCATAATTAAAATATGAATGTGCCTTTTCTATTTCATCATAATGTAACAAATTGTCATGGTCATGAATCCCCTGAGAATTATCAAAATAAGTAGCTTTTGTTTATAGAAGTAAAATGCCTTTGAGCAAGTAGTTCTACAAGTAAGGATGTTTTCCCTAGAAACAGATCTGTATGCACTAATGTTTAGGGAGAATTATAATATTTATGTAAAATCATTTATAACAAAGAAAATATAGAAATAGTCTAAATATTAAAAAATAGGTCAATGATCAAATAAATTCAGATTTTTTTGTAATTGAACACTGCAATCTCTAAGAAGTCACAACGTAAGAGAATAATTATATGGAATAAAGTTTGATTACATTAATAATCAACAGTATATAATGTATTCTCGATTTTGTTTCAGAACAAAATTCTTGATTTTGTTTTCTTTGTACAGTAGCATAAAGTATGTTTTGAACCACATTTTGCAAAATCAAAAGTCAATGGCCCAATGTGACAAAATTAATAGGGAGTTAAAAACAAAAGTGGGACATTTCTGACTTACTTTTCATGAATTAGTCTTTTGGTATCATTCCAGGTGACTTCCAAGCGGTTTATCTCCCTGTCAACTTCAGGAGCCAAAGCCACATCTTTCTGAGCAATCTGCTTGGCTTTATCTTTCAACCAGCATAGTTCATGCTCATGAGAATTCAGTTCATCTTCTAGCTGATTAAAGACTCTCAGCCTGTGAATTAAAATGTTACCTTACTGTTAATTCACTAAGGATAGTTAAGTATAATATTCCTTCTCTCCATCATAACATGATAAATGTAGGAAACACATTTAAGTGCCTAGAAAAACTTTTAACACAGCAATTAATGTATATCAATTGATAAAGATGCCTTTAATTTTGCAGGGTGACTCAGGTCGTACATCAGAAAATACTGACAATCATTCTTACTATTCACTCTGATCCTTCTATTACCCTTATATTCTCTTTGCCTTTTGCTTTGATGTGTAAGACTTTTAAGACTGAGACTAACCTTGATAGCTGAGTAGGTGAATTCTTTTTTTTTTTTGGTACTGGGGATCGAACTCGGGTCCTTAGTTTGTGAGGCAGGCGGTGGAACCACTGAGCTAAATCCCCGGCCCAAGTAGGTGAATTCTTATTGCAAGATCATTAGTATGTAAAGCTTCTGTCATGAGGTCCAACCCATGTAATGATCATACTTAAAGATCACAGTTATTTCTTTCAAGATAGAAATAGATTTACTGAACTCTAAAAAAAAATCTATCTTAAAAATGTTGATTATCTCCATTGCTGAAGATTACCATTTAAAAACCTGCATTTTTGTCCTTAATATGTAGATATTGGAGCATCTGCAAAAAGGGATTCTTTTTGCAGGTAACCACTGACAAGTTGTGCTTTGGTGCAGGGCTGTTGTGCACAGTAATTACATATATATTATCCCAGTTAATTCCCAAACAAAGTAGCTGTGGGCAGGTGTTGCCCTTACGCTCACCTTACAAGAAGAAAGGTAACTAGGATGGCAGGGACTTAGTAAATTCACTAATTCACTGAAACATTTTCTTGGCCACAGTGTACCCAGCCTAGCCCTCTTCTCCAGCAGTTCTAGGGTATCCTGTTTGCTGGCCAGAGAGGGCCACGCCACCCCAAAGCACCAAAGCTGTGAGACTTCTGAGTGAGTGACACTGAGAACCTTGCTATCTCCTTACTCCAGAGGCTTACTCCATTTCGGAAATATTGTTACACTAGTCAGAAAGCTTACTACTCTTCAGAAACATAACCTCAGGAGCTAAGTCTAGCCAGGTATTAACTCCATTGCCATCTAACTAATATTTTGGCTTCATGTTTGAATCCAGCCAAAAGGGGAGAAGTAATGTTCTTGGTAGGGACAAGAACATCCGTATTAAGTAGAGACACATTGGTACCAATGTCTTTAAAGTGTATCTCTGCACCATGAGAGAGGGAGAAGGTTCTGTTAATGGAGAAAAGAGGATTGAAAGGAAAGTTATTGTGTTAGCAGAAAAATTACTTGTCAAATTTATTAAGGGAAGCCAAGCATGGTGATGCACACCTGTGCCTGTAATTTCAGCAATCCAGCAGGGCTAAAGTAGGAGAATGCAAATTCAAGCCCAGTTTGGGCAACTTCATTACTTAGTGAGACCCCGTCTCAAAATAGCAAAATAAAAAAGGGCTGGGGATGCAACTCAGTGAAAAGACCCCAGATTCAATCCCCAGTGCTAATCCTTAGCCCTTTTTCTTTTCCACTGAACTCACCTGACAAAACTTCTGCTTATGCACATTCCCTGCCTTTTCTATGCCTCTATGCAGACTGCTGAGAGATGTGGAAAACTACACCTAAGTCCACTTTAAATGAATGAACATAGATCCTAGATGGCTACTCATCACCTTTCAGAGCTCCACACTCTAGGAGAGAGAACCGAGAGAACTCTTCACCCTACTTTCTCTCCTCTGACATCTGCCACCCACTCTCAACTAGTGACAACATGGCAGCCTTTACCCAGGTGAGGCGCTTGCTCCTAGCCACCAGGGATAAATTCCTTGGTATTTTTACCACTAGAATTACACATCTACCCAGATCTCTGCCTTTTTTCTTACTACAGTAGGTGAGCGCCTTCCACTATCCATAAACAACTGCTCACGAATAGTGTGAACTGTGTACTCTCCGGTGAATAAGATCTCAGAAAGACCCCCAAGGAAGCCATGGAATGTACAGTACTTCTCAAGCGTCAAATTAATCATTAATTTTATCTTCAAAATATTTGAGGAAGAAAAGAGAAGTTGCTACATATAGCACTCAAAACTTTGCACCCAAGTTAATTCGAGAACAAATAAAAAGTAGGAAAGCTAACTGGGTTGGCGTGGTTTCCTGTACCTCTGCTGAAGCGCCTGGCGGGTGGGCTCTTTCAGTCGCTCTCTGTCAGTCCTTTCTTCGATATCCTCGATGCTCTTCAGCAGCTCCTCTCTCTGGTCTTGGAATGCCTTCTTCAGCAGGCCCAGGGCATCGGCCTCACTCTGCTTGGTACCCAGGAGGTTCTGGATCCTCTCCAGTTCTTCAGAGAGCTGATCGGCCACAGCCCTGCAGGACGTCCTGTGATCAGCCTGTCTGCTCCTCAGATGGTACTGGGCTTTGGCAAGGATGCCATCGAGACCAACGGCAGTAGACTCCAGTGCCTTGACATCGAGAATGACATCGTTCAGGTCCTTCTCCAGCAAGTCCGATTGCTTCTTATTCATACTGCTAGTAGCTTCCACCGTTTGCCTCAGCCGGTGCAGTACCTCAGACAGACAGGCGCGGCGCTGTAAGAACTCGGCCAGCTGCGACAGGGCCAGCCCCCGCCTCTCTACCACCTGGCTGGCCTCCTCGAAGACCTGGAAGCAGTCCTCTGCCTTGCCCTGGAGGAGGTGGAGGTCTTCCATTCGGCCCAGAGACCCCAGCTTCGCTAAGTGACCCTGCAGACTCTGGAATTCTCTCTTTTTGTTCTCTATTTCTGCTGCATGGTCCTGGAAGGAAAGAGGGAGTTACTGATTCCCAGGCGCATCACAGCTGATGACAGAGATAGCCGCCAGCTGTGTGAGGCCAAGATGTATCGTAAATGCCATGGGCCATCTAGTATCGAGTCATTCACAGTGAACCTTTTAGAAATATTCATAACATTTCCCATTTTGTTCATCTATGTATTTCATATAAATCACAATCCTGGATTGGTTAGTTTCATGTGTTTTATGTGAGACAGCTCTACAAGAAATATGAGTATGCTTAATGTGGTGGCACGGCCTGTAATTCCAGCACTTGGGAGGCTGAGGCAGGAGGATTTTGAGTTTGAGGCCTGCCTGGGCTACGTAATGAGTTCCAGCCTGGCAGAGACTACGTAATTAGACCCTGGCTCAAAAAATAAAAAGAAACAAAAACAACAACAACAAAGAAATGTGACTAACTCACAACAAATCACTTTTAAAAATCTAGCTAGAAACTGCTAACGATCTCAGCATAGTTCCCACGAAAGAAACATTATCACCTCTCTTAATTTTAACCACAGTGGCTGTACAGATGACTTCAGTTTGACTACTAACCTTTAGATAGCTTCTTCGGGTCCCCTACCTCCCCTGCCATTGAGCTTTTATTTTAGAACATTTATTGCAAACTCATTCTCTCCTCTTTTGAGAAGTGTATCTTTTTAAAGCTTCTGGCCAATTTTGCAACCCAGGATTGCCTTTTTCAAGGACCTGGGCACCATCGCTTTGAAATGTAATTATCTTGGAAGGCAGTACTTGTCTTTCTCAGAGGCTCCTTGGAGGGCCCTAACTTGGGCAGTTGGTTGCTTTCCTCCAAACTGTGAAACTGTCTCCTGGTCTGACGATAGAAAAAAGTTTGCTTTTTGCTTCATAAAGTCAATTAGCAAACCTAGCATAGACCGAACATTGAATAAATAGTAAATGTTTCATTATTAAATATTATTATAAACTACTTTCTTAATGCTTGCTGATCAATATCTGATTTTTAAAAATGTTTTTTGGTGCCAGGATAGATATTATGCATAATTAATGACTTTATTTATTGATAAAGGAAATAAGTCATAAATTTTGTATCACTTTTAAGCTAAATAATACTTCAGAGTAAACATATCAAAGCAATGGAATTGTGTATTAATTTTTGGTATCAGAACAAAACAAGCTGGAAAGTTTAAAAATGGACATTCTTTTCACTTTATGCTAGAAATCATTTGCTTTACTATGAAAAAGTTTCTAAATGCAATCAATCAATTTTATCCAAAGTGGTTTTATCTGCTTAATTTATCTGTATAACACATTGTCAGGACCCATGTGCTCAAGTATTAAAATATTTTCATATCAATAAAAAGTTAAATTGCTGCCAAGTGTTTTTAAAAATGTTGCATCCCTTCATGATTCAGGAGCCCTCTCTTGTAAATAAATGTTTCTTCAATCTTAAAAGAATGTTTTACCTTGTGCCGAGTAAAAGCCACTTGATGGTCCCTTATGCTGATCTCAGATGAAGTCTGTAAGTCACTGAGAAACTGCTTAATCCACACAGAGAAGGAGAGCAGCAGCTCATCAAATTGCTGGTGCTCAGCAACCACAGACTGGAGGAAATTAATCCTACATGGAGAAAGGTGCTAAAGTTAAAATGTCCCATTAGTGAACCCAAAGAGTTAGTGATTATTTTTGGAATTAAACTTATTCCAGGGCAAAAGTGATGTTGTTACACACAGTAGCAAGCTAGAACTCTTGATAATTTCTGCTTCTCAAGACCTGTTTTTCTCACGATTTCCCTCGTCTGAGTTAAAATGATCGGCACACACCCCGAATATGAAGGAGTCATTCTTTCTCCATCTGTTCCTTCAGCCCCACATCCCATCTCTGCATGTCCCTCCAATTAGCACCTCCACCACTGGGCACACAGCTTCTGTGCTGTTGTGGTCTAGGTCTGAAATGTTCTCCAAAAGTCTTCTGTTTTCAGAGATGGGACTTTTGGAGGGTGATTGGGTCCCGGAGGTGTTACACTCACAGGAGACCAGTTCACTTGTGAGTTCATAGCTGGATGTGCTGCTAGGGTGGGTTGGTAGGGGCGGTCAGGAAGGCGTGACTTGGAAGGGTGGGTTGTATGTCTCCTTCCCTGGCCCCTTCCTTTGTGCTCTGCTTCCTGATCCCCACGAGCTGAACAGCCTTCCTTCTTCAGACCCTTCCACCATGCCCTTCCTGCTTTATGGACTGAATCCTCTAAAGACCTCTCTAAGTTGTGAGTGTCAAGGCTTGTGTCTCAGCGATGAAAAATTCACTAAGACATGTGCTTTTCTCCCCATTCTCACTGCCCCCACGGTCTCTTGCCTGGCCTCCAACAGCCCCTACGTGCCTTCCTCCACCTTTGCCTCCTTACTGTTTACTGAGAGCTCGTTCAGAAATGGTGTCATGGGATCAGAGCAGGAATCATGCTGTCAAGCCTCAGCACTGGGGCAGTTTCCTTGATGCACTCAGGAAAGCAAAACCCCCAAATCCTGATTGTGGTACCAAGGGATCCCATATCATTTACTTCTCTGTCCTCAGCAGATACAGCTCTGCCCCACACTCCCACTGGCCCTCTCTCTCTACGGCCTGATATCCCTGTTCGTTCCTACAGCCTCAATCCTTGTGCTCCCTGTGTGCTGTTCCCACAGTTCCCTAGGGCTGCTCCCCATTCAGTGCTCACAGAGGCCTTGCTCGCCTACCCAGGCTAAAGAACACTTGCCCCTCTGTCCCTGCCATGCCACCCTATGCTCAGTACTTAACACCACCTGATGCACTCTTACTCCCTCATTTGTTTAATTACATGTTTATCTCCCCCAGCCCCTTCCTGCCCATTCTCCATTCCACAAGAGCAAGGACTTCCTTTGTGTCTCCTGGACCTGGAAATGTTTCCAGGTTTTGATCAGGGATCCAGCCATGCTTTGGCATCAATAAATTTCTTGATTAAGAATAGGTGATTGGAGATCAGAATTGAAAGCTGGTATTAAAATAATACCTTAGCCAAATGTTAATATTCATTCCAGTGGTTTATGTTCAGAATTCAACTTTTTATTATTTCTATTTTATTTATTTTTAACTTTTGATTAACACATTTTAATTGTACTTATTAGAGTCCTAATATTTTAAATTTACTTCCAGGTTTTAATCCATACAATATCTGCACATTATCTATACATGCATATATTATATTTTGAATGTCTTCACATATTTGTGTCCCTTTAAAAGTCCTTACTTTCCTTCTTAGAGGTAGTCAGAAAATTTCTTTCTTGTAGAAAATTGTTCATCATTCAAGGGTTGACATCAGATCCTCCTGTGATCCTTTCCTGGACTTATCCCAACATCCCTCTTCATTTTGTTTCTATACTACTCTGTGTTTGCCTCTCTAATTTGCTTCCTTTTCATCACCACAGTGATCTGTAAAATACATACGGTCAAGTTGCATTTATTTTTATGGCTGCACTATCTGATGTGGTGCCAGCACTTAGTACTAATAAACATTTGTTGATTGGTTGAATAAATGAATAAACACTGGAATACATACCAGCTCCAGGAAGGTAGAGTGATCCTCAACACATAGAAGAATGCTCTATTCATTTCATAAACTCAGTAAGTATTTGAAAAATGAATGAATGTTTAAAAGAGTCAGGAAGGTCAAATGCTCATCCAAGATCACATTGGTAATCAAAAAAAATTTAAAGAGAAAACTTTTTGGTTTTTAATTAGAAATTTATGAATGCCAACTGTTTATTGTCTAGTTAAGTAAGATTAAATCTATTTTCTCTTCAATTTAAAATAATGACAATTTTGCTTGCTCTGTCCAAGATCTATATTGGAATGAAGTGAAGTAGCCGATGTTTATAAAATGCTTCTGGTTGATAAATATCATGTGAGGCAAAATTTTAGTCATCATTGTTCTCCCGTACCTGAGCAGCTTAGGGAATAAATACTCCAAACTTCAGTTGCTTTAATCATCTACCCTGGTCTAAAGCTAAATTTTGAATTGAGGACCATTGGCAATGCTTGCTTTTGAGGTTCTTGATTTTGAAAATGACAAAGTAGTTTGCTTCCACTCCTAGTAAAATAGTTTCTTCCACTCAGAGTTCCACTCTGAACAACTGAGTTAAATAAAAATAAACAAAACTCTTCTTTCTTAACCTATACACTCACCCTTTAAAAACAAATGAACAATATTAGAAGTAATTTTAGGACCAACCTTTTGCTAATTATCTGTGGCAAATCCCTCCACCTCTCATCCAACTGCTCCAAGTGCAGTTTCATCATTTTCACGTCATCTTTGGCAGCAACCGAGAACAGTGATTCCTTCAGCTGTAAAAGGTTGCTGTAGGAGGAGGCCTGGGCAACGACTTCATTTTGCAGGGCCTGAGGGAAGCAGAACAGAGCACAGAACTCAGCCAGCAGGACTCAGCGGCCAGGCCAGGAGAGGCAGGGGCCGATGCACAAAGGCTGAACATTCTCACAGAATGGAGCTCATTGGCCAAAAGAGAGATTTCACGACTCGATTTATAAATGGATCCACTTCGTCTTTTTTCTGAGCTTTGAAAATAATCTTTATTTTTAAAAAATTCACATGCACATTACAGGAAACAAAAACACAAGAAACAAAGAAGAAAGCCATTCACAGTCATAAGCAGCTTACTTGGATTTTTTTGGTCTATGTTCACTTCATTTTTAAGCAATTTTTTAAATGCTATGGAAACCCAAATGAGTTTTTGGTAGTTAGAGTTGTAAGCTAGGTAAATTTGAAATTTGTAAATTTCTTTCAGGATGAAGAAAGTGAACAGGTGAAGAGAATTGAAGAAAAATAACTGGACTAGAATCAATGCATATCCCAAAAGTAACCAAGATGGAATTCTAGATATGAAGAACATAGTGATCCTCTTGGTTTAGAGATTATATTTGGCCAAACTTGGGGAACCTAAGAGTCCTTGATTTTACTTAAGTGCAACAGAAGTACTTAGTTTTAAAATTGAGTTAGGCACTGAATCTCTTAGGTGCTGTGAAGTCACATAAAACTGTGGTTCCTACCAAATATGAGGTAAAATACAAAGACTTAAACACACAGGTAGCAACATAAAACAGCGTTGAGTGAGATGATAGGAGTGACACGGCAGATAGTAGATGCTTGTCCAAATGCTCTCTTTCCCTTTTTAGTGAGGGCCATCTGCGACACAGTAAAATCTCTAAAAGTATCAGAGGAAAGAGCACCTAGCCTGTGAAAGACAGAGAAGATCCCAAAGCAGAATTAGGACCTATGCTGAGTTGGACACAGAAAAGTGACACAGGAAGGTGGGAAAGCACATGGCACAGCCGGCCAGCCCTCAGCGCAGATGCAGCTTGGCCGATGGTGTCCTGTGTGGACATGGGAGAACAACAGAGTCTGGCAGCACTCCCTGGGTCCTCTCGCTCATATCCACTCAGTTTCCATAGAGACGCACAGAGGAGTAAAGTTCTATAGCGCAGACATCTTTGTGCCTATGCTTTGCCATTTTTAAGGGAAGGAGCTGTGACTTCCCCTCTTGGACCACTTCGCATGTGTTTTTAAGGAAGAACGAGGCCGAATGGGAGCCATAGCACCATCTCCTGTAAATCCCACCTCCTGGGGTGGGTGGCCGAGGCAGAAGGGTCAGAAGTTTGAGGCCCACCTGGGCAACTTAGCAAGAGCCTGTCCCAAAATAAAAAGGGCTGGAGATGTAACGCAGTGCATACTCAGGCCACTCACTATAGGTTTTGGAGAAGGGACTTTTTGGAGGATGAATACAGAATCCATGTTTCATAAACTAGAAAGGCAGGAGAACCAGATGTGTGGCACGCCCTCGGGTCAGAGAGGAAGCAAATCTGAGGATGGGGCTACAGTGATCTCTGCTGAAGTTTTAAAAAAAGCAATTATCAAAGCAAAAAGACCACAGTTTCTTCTTAAACCTATTATAAAAGTTGATGAAAACAGTGGGGGTATAAATGTGTAACACAATAAATGTCTTTTAAGAAGTAATTTTGCCTATTCAATTTGCTTGCATATTCAGAATCACTTGGAGCAAGTTATTAATTTCCAGAAATCAGTTACCATGCTCTACAGCTTTAAGACTGCCTAAATTTTTTTTTTTTAGTTTAAAAAGTTTGCTTCTTCCAGGATGTAACAAACTAGTAATCTTTGTCTCTCTACTTTCATCCATGTTTGTGTTCATTCACTTTTTATTTTGCTTGAAAATGATCATTATTTTTTATTTCTTTCTATACTGCATCAGTTTCCTCTTTAAAATACTATTTAATTGAGCTGGGAATGTGGCTCTGTAGTAGAGTGCTTGTCTAGCATGCTTGAGGCCCTGGGTTTGAGAGCTAGAACTGTAATCAATCAATCAAAAAACCAATCCTTGTTTATTACCAAAACTCACATGAATACAAAAGTGGAGAGATCACACCTACTTTCAGCTCCAATGGTTAACTGACAGTCAACCTCATTTCATTTATATTTCTGCTCACCCTTCTCTCAACTCACCAGCCAAGTCAATCCATTTAATTCAAATGCCAAGACATTGTTACAAGATTTTCTAACACACTATGGAATCAAATCATCAGAAAGTTCTCATCATTACATTGTCTTTCAGATAAGAATTTCTCTGTTTTCGAGATTCAAATTTGGACCTTAAATGATGCTTCAGGAATTATAAAAACCAAAGCAAGGAGTTTGGGATAGAGTGATGAGGTGCATTTTATTTATTTTAAAGACAATGCAGCTGTAGCAAAAGCCTTTCATTTTCCTTCCTCCCACTTCCTCGAACTTGCCTGTATTAACTGAAGTTCACTCTGCACTTTGACTCTGTCTGCAGAAATGTCCCTCTCTGGGGAACTGGCGATGGCTTCACACCGCTCCAACCAGGTCAAAAAAGATGACAGTTCTTTCTCTAGCCTGAAGAAAGCAGAGACAGGAAACAGTTTTATTCAAAATCATCATGCTAGAAGATGAAACCTTTCATCTTGTTGGAGGATCCAACAGGAACCATTATAAATAATCCAGTGCTGGCTGAGTCATTCCTATATATAAAGGTACAACGTTCCTTCCTTTTCACGTGTGCACCTGTCCTTGCTTACTTACATCTGTCTAACAAGTGAAGACACATTTCTGTCCTCTACTTTCGGGGATCTTCACCTTACACTGAAGATTAAGATCTCCCAAGTGTAGACACAGGAGTTCACACACTTTACATCTGGGATGACTATTCCATATTGGTTAAGGAATATCTCACCCAGAATTTCCTATTTTGTTGTGGCAGTAACTAAGAAGAATACACGCTGCTCACCTCTGCCAGAGGGCCAGCAGGTTCTCCAGCACAATCTGTCTGTCTTTCACCCTCTGGAGCGTGCCCTCATACCGCTGCTGAAGAGCTGCAGCCTGCTGGATGCAGATGTGTCTGCTTACCACCTTCCGAGCACTGGTGGAGAAGGCGGTGAGTGTGCCGCCCAGAGACTCCAGGGCCTGGCAGAGATCCTGAGAAGAGGATGAAGGAAATAGGGGAGTGCCCCTCATTCTCTGGAGATACGCTCCAGGGAAATCTGAAGATGCATGATGTCATGGATAGTACCCGACCCTACAAACACTAGGTTTCTTCCTATACATACACACTTGGATAAAATTCTGTTGAGAACAATGACCAATTCTAAAACTGAACAATTATAACAATGTGCTATAATAAAGGGTATTTAAAACTTATGAATAATTTATTTCTGGAATTTTCCACTTAAGGTGTTTGACCTGCAGTTGATCACGAGTAACTGAGTGCAGACAGCCAACCCGTAGGTGAGGGGGCCCACCCTACACCACGAGTGAACAGGGTGACCTGTGTCTTCCTTTGAGACCCAGAGTCACAAAATTTTCCCTTGGGGGAACCCACTTTCCAGTCACCCTTCTGTCTCTCTTAGGCAGAAGCTTTCTTTCTGCCAATAAATTTTTCCTACTCTTAACCTCCGTTGTTCCTAGAATTCATTCTTCGATTTTAGAGAACACAAACTCGCGTTTCGGATATCCAGTAGGTTTGGGAGTTACATCTCTTCCCCCTATATCATTTTGGAGGTCTTCCACTGAGATTACTGGTCAGAGGTAAGAGTTTGCTTTTGTTCTATAGGTTCTAACTTTGGTCTTTTTGAGTCATAGGTTGTAACTTTTGTTTCATAGGCTCTGGACATTTGTTTCATAGATTCTGGTTTTTTTTCATAAATTCTGGCCTTTGTTTTGGCTTTTGCTTCAAAAGTGTCTTAATTTTAAGTTGTGTGTTTTAAATGTTTCCATTTCTTGTTTTTCTTATGCATAGGCTTCTGTTAAAATTATGTTTTATTCTTGTTTTGTATGTGTTGCATTTGGACTTAGTTGCTTAAAAATGTTGTAAAATGGGTCTCTTACAAAATCGTTTCAGATAAAAACAGTTCAGGCTTTTATCTGTCCCTTATAGAATGCTAAACACTGGTTACTCTGCCAGCTAGTAATTGCCTTTAAGGCAGCTGCCACTCTCAAAGCAGAGGACAGGTTTCTCTAGTTGCCCTCTGGTGAATCCCCACTCTCATTGACACCAATGGCAGGTGGCACGTTGACCAGATAGGGAATTGGGTTCCTTTCAGAGACAGATCTCTGATTGCGTGAAACTAGTGGAAACTGAGGTGAAAACTGAGGGGTTATGGCCAGGGCTACTCTCTGGCAGATACCCAAAGGTCCCTCAGAAGAAACTAGCTCCCGACAGTCCATCCGGGTAACAAGCAGAAAATCTCCACATCTTGTCCCTATCTGGACTCCTCAGAGAGGTGAAAGGGGAACTCTGTCAGTGATCATCAGATATCCTCTGTCTCAGAGTCATCTGAAACGAGCCCTTTCTTAAGCCTCTCTTAAGAGTTGAGCTACAGGTTTGGACTTCTTTCTCTATTACTAATAAAACAGACCTCTAGACAAATGTACAAAACAAATCTTTGATAGAATAAAAACTACCTGAGCCTATTCTCTCACCTAGACATGGTCTTCATCATTTATATGTATAGGGGAGAAAAATGCCTTTTCTGGTAGGTTATGGACTTTGGAACATTGACCGTGGACTTATGAAATGCTATATGGTGAGCTTTTGGGATGTTTAACCAGATTGAGCTTTATTTGAACTTTTTCTCTCTGCTAGTGAATTAAAAACTCTCCTTAAACTTTTCTCCAACTGGTTGGGAGTTCATTTGAAAATCCCTTATAGTCAGACCACTCCTCCTTCCAGAAAGTCAGACTAAGGCAATTTGCAACAACTGTTTTGTCTTGCACTAGGGAAAATAACAATCAGTAACTTGCATTGGTGTTTTTACATGCTAACTAGAATATGGGACTATTTTAGCCAGCCTTTCTCTTCATTCATGCATACCTAGGAAGTCAATAAGAGTGCCTTTACTATGTAGATTGTGGCCGCTAGGAGGACCTATGAGTTTCAAATACTTAGTGAATTTAAAATGGACCTTAAAGGAGTAGCCTTGTATTGTGGCTAATAAAAGTTGCCTAAATGACTGGATAGACAACAGAAATGTCTCAGAGTTTTCTCTGCCCTAGGGCCCAGGACAGAATCTCTGGAGGTGATCTCTTTAGCAGGAAAAGTGCCCTAATTTGACTGTTGACCTATTTTCCTCTGTCTTTCAAGGAATGAAAAAGCAGTGGTTTAAATCTCTTGGTTTGCTAGCAATACTTCCTTCTCTAAACATGATTGTTATGGTTGAAGTCAATTGTAACTTGTGCTTTAAGAGTACCTACTGGAGTAAGGATATGGGTTACCTGAGGAAGATGGGATTGTGCTCTGGTAAAGGCTAGATAGTCCAGTACGGTTTTATTTTCTAGGTCTCTCTCCAGATGGTAGCTACCTAACCTGGAGTGGAATAAACCTTGGGGGAATGACCTGGGGATGCCCTAGCGGGCACAGGAATCAAGCAGAGACTTATGGGACTCCATATTCTCTTGTTTCAGATTGGGAACTCCATATCTGAACCTCTTACTGCTTTGGAATGTATTAAGGAGCAATTTAGTATTTCTCTACATCTGGCATGTGGTGTGCCTACCTCCTAAAGCCAAGTACACAGAGGAAAGTACTATGATGCTATCTCACAATCAGAATTATACTGTAAAAGAGAGAAAATGGTCAAAATCATCTTATGTTGAGATTTTCTTTACATTAAGAAGTAATTCTTTCTTGTGTTCAAATGTAAATGTGGGCCATAGAAAAATGAGAGATACCTCACCCTTAAGACATTCAGTACCTCTAAGCCTGAAGTACTCCCCGCCCTTTAAAATCTGAGAACAAAGTTTCCAAGACAATTTTAAGCCTAACCACCAGGTGCTGAGGGTGGAGTTTCAAGACCAGCCATAACTAAAACCTCCATGTGGCTATATCCATCCTTAGCTAAGTTGTTCAGGTCCTTCAAAGACAACATCCCTTGCAGGAAGTAAAAGGCAAATATGGGACTAGATGTGTTCATGTTTCTTTTTCTCTCAGTGATCTCAGACAGATCAAATGAGACCTAAGAAAGTTTTCAGATGACCCTGATATGAACATGGAAGTCTTTAGAGGACTTACTCAAGCCTATGCACTAGATTAGAAAGATGTAGTGTTGCTCTTAAATCAAACAGTGATTTCTAATGAGAGACAAGTAGTATTACAAGTTGATAGTATATATAGAGACAAATATTATTTTAATTTTGAAAGCTCAAAAGACAAGGGAATAACCAGTTCCTACTGGAATGCAAGCAGCTCCTATACAAGGCCCCCACCGGCCTACCAATCAGGAGATTAAAATAGAAGACATTTTCAGGCCTGTATTCTTGAAGATCTAAAAAAGATAAGAACTAAGTCCTTCAATTATTTTAAATTGCCAACTATTTTACCAGGAAAAAGCTGAGAACATCCCTGGATCCTGATTTGATAGAAGGAAATACTATAGATTTTTCCAAGTCAATCTTGTAACATGTAGATGGTATGCTGTTATGTGCCCCCTCAGAAGAGCTTTCTAGCCAAGACATCTGCTCTGCTGAATTTTCTAACAGACAGGGGTTATAATGTTTCTAGATCTAAGGTACAACTTTGCGGCCTTGAGGTAAAATATTTAGGCCTTATTATATCTAAGGAAACCCAAAGACTGGGGGAAGAAAGAATTAAACCAATTATTTCCTTTTCACAGCCCAAGACTCTAAAACAGCTAAGGAGATTTCTAGAAATTACAGGCTTTTGTGGTCTTCAGATAACAGGATATAGTGAGATTGCATGACCCCTTTATTAGTTTATAAAAAGCCCAAAAGACAGTCATATTTTAACCTGGGAACCTAGTTCCCAGACCGCATTCCAGAAGCTCAAACAAGCACTTCTAAGTGCCTACCTACAGGATACCTTTTCAGTTTGTTAATAAAAGGTGAGATATGGCTTTGGGAGTGTTTCTGCAACATCAGGGAGCTGCTCAACAGCCTGTAGGGTACTTAAGTCATAAATTAAATATTATAGATTTAAAATAATTTATTTAAAAAGAAAAGTCCTAAACAATATAGTTAGAACACTTTTATTCTCTAAAGAGGCAAAAAGCAGCCATTCGGGTTCTTTGATTATTGGTTTGATTTTTCTGCTTGGCAATTCAGTTGGAGTCAATCATAGCTTTTATCTCTAGAGACATGTTTTGCTAAGGATTGCAGATCCACTCTGATCTTAATTGTCCTTCTACGCCAGAGATGGTTAAGATTTAGTTCTTGTGCCATACTGAAAGCCACTCTTCTGTCCCTTCTCCACTGCCCTGGCCCTGAGAAATAATGCAGTTTGATTCAAGGGACTTCCCTCTTTTGTGGCTGCTGGATTTCAAGACAAAGCTTCCAGAATGGTGAGTTTCCTCTTCCTGGAATCCTTCCAGAGTAAAGCTGACCTTCATTTATCTTTGAGCCATATAGAAAACTGGTCTGGGTTTAATCCTGAAAGTCTCAAGAAATAAATGTAAAAGTTTTAGCCCTGATTTATCTGTCTTTCAGCCCTCAGCAAAATCAGAGAATGGTATGAACAGCTAACCTGGCTCTGGCCACTTCCTTGCACCTCTAGTCTGCCGCCACTGGCACTGGATGAGATAAAGTCTAAGGGACACCTCAGTTTGGGTACAGAACAAGAGGGATAGACAGGGATGCCTTCTTTTCCTTGTTTTTTTTTTTTTCTTCAGAATGGGAGAAGCTGTCATAGGTAGCCATCTACAGCACACCAGGTTGGAGCCTTGGCAGGCCTTCTTCCCTAACTGCATGAAATTCATACTTAGTTCCAAAGAGGGTCACCTAGTCTGTTCTACATTCAAACCTGACTTGAGTGGACCCCCACTGGAGATAGTTAAAATTACCTTTAACAGTTTGTCCTTTTAGAGGGAACAATTACATGTGGCTATCAAATAACCATGGTTATCAAAGCAACAATGAGAAGCCTATATAGCTGGGTATTCTAGTCAGATAAACTGTCAGCTTAGGGCTCATCTTAAAATGCTCTTTGCTTTCACAGGTGTAAAAGATTTTTATTCTTTTTGATTCTTATTACAAGAGATTTCTGTTAATTGACTTACAAAGTTCTGACTAGTCTTATTTAAAATTATAAACCTAGGGCCGGGGATTTAGCTCAGTGGTTTCACCACCTGCTGCACAAGCGCAAGGACACTAGTTTGATCCCCCATACCAAAAAAATAAAAAAATAAATAAAATAAAATTATAAACCTAAAAATTATAAAAGTGATTATAATTCAACTTGGCCAAATACATCTGAGTGCACTCTGGTTTATAAATAAGTTATCTTATGTGTGTGTCTATCTGTTCAATTTGTTAAAACTCATACAGCTGTTTTGTTTGAGATTTTTTTCTTTTGGCATTTTGGATTTTTTTAAGATGTCTGCCTGTAACTCAAGTTGGCTTATAGATAAATATAATTAAAGACATGCTTCTTCCAGGTTGCCAGATGATCCAAATAATGTCAACTGGTTTTACAAATATGGTACATGCTGTTGTCTATGTATAACTTGGGAATCTTTCATTGGTTAAAATAATGTGTTAATTGTTATGATCTGGTTCTCACAGGTCATCTAAAAACTTGTTAAGATAATTAAATAAAAACTCTTGGGCTTAGGAAAACTACTGGACAGGACTCTCCTTGGTAAATAAAGGAGTAGCTGCCTGGAAAAAATTTATTCCAGGCTTTGTTCACAGAGGGGACCCCAATAATTTCCATAGCCTTATGGGTAATGCATTGCTAAACATATCATTGTGATATGTATACATTGGTGATGGTCTAAGTTTTCTGTGGGAAAACAAGGTTTTCTTTAAAATGCTCTTGATACAAAACAAAATTAAGGGACAAAGAGTTTCATGTAATGGATACTCATTGTTATTTCATGGTATATATATTCATGCCTTCTGGGTGTACAAGTCTTCTTGGATATTGTTTATGGTAATGATCTCTTTTGTCTCAGGTATCTGCCTTTCTGTTGCACTCTAGCTAATTGTGATAAGAGGTACATGTCAAGCCAGCATGAGAAAACCAGTCAAATAATAGTTTTCTTAAAATTTATGTGATGTATGTTATATGTGTCACTATACTTAGGGATGTTCAGTCACCAAACAGTTGAAACAATGTCACACACTAAAATCAGAAGCTAGACATTATGAACTTCTAAGGTACATTTATAGGCCAATGTGTGTGTGTTCTCTTTAGATGGCATCCTACTAAAGGATAGCAAATAAGAGTTTTCTTTATGTCACTTGATATCTTGTGATTAGATGGAGATGTTTGACTGAAAGACTATTCCATACTAAGATGGACATGTAAGTGTTACAAAGAAAATGTCATCATGATTGTCATGCTAAAATACTATGTGTGGCTCTTGATCTTAAGTTTCTCTATATAATGTATATCTGCTGTCTGTTAACCATTTACAGGGATTCAACTAAATGACCATGGTTGGTAAAATAACAGACCTCTAACTATGCTTTATACTTTAAAAGTGCTTGATGTTTTAACTATTACAATAGTTAAGCTCACTGCTCCTATTGAAATACTTATGTCACTGATCTTCTCTTTTGGGTGTTCAACAACTAAAGTTTGGAGACCAAAACAAAAAAGGAAACTGGGCTAAGAGGACAGTCAATATTTTTGTCCCTGGCCCTTCAAGGTCAACAAAGATCCAGGACACAAAGGTACCTTTCCTACAGGATCCTACACCTTTGGTAACTCACTCAACCTCCTGAGAAGGGAGATTGCTGAGTACCAGAGGACAGATGTACTGTGTGCCAAAGGAGAGTCACAAAGAGGAAAAAATCTCCCATGCTTTCACTGAAAGCAACATGGTCAAGCAAGGCTGTGACTCATCCTGATGGCTGACACTGACAAAGAAGCTGAGAGGCTTTATGCATAGTTCCAAAGTAATTCCTGAGGAGACTTAACTGACCTTGATAGATAGCAAGACATTCATACTGATTGACACAGGTCTCACTTTAACTTGGTCTTAAACACCCAGCAGAAAAGAATAGCCAAAAGAGGTATAAAATAATGTCATAGTAATAAAGCTAGATATAAAAAGGGGCTCCAGTCACTGATCCCTTCTGGCAGCTTCTAGCTACACCAGTAGCTGACCACATTTATGGATCATTAGGAAAAAATTATGGTAGAATCCATAAGAGCCATCAGGTTACAATCACTATTCCAATTTCTAAGTGTGACTTTCTTCCCAACCTGCCCTTCCATTCTAGTGTGCTTATGCTTCGATTATACATGCTCTAATTTCTTTTTTTTCTAATTTCTTAAAAGTTTTGTTTATTCTTGCCTAGAGGCTGCCAAACTCCAAGCAGTCATACAAATGGAACCAATGACAAATGTGCTATTCTTCTTTTACTGGGATCCACCAGATCGACCTTGTAAACAACTCATAACTGCTAAAGTATAAAATATGACTTCTATGTTGGATTCTGAAGTCCCCTGGACCTTCTTATCCTCTTTGTGAGAGGTTATTAATAGTTCCTCCTAGTAGAAACCCTTGTTTGCCATATTCATAGCAATCCTGCTGACCTTATAATTTGACCCATGTATTCTTAACTGTTTTTTTGGCTTTGTCTCCTCCAGACTCAAAGCTATACAGCTACCAAGGTGACAATGCCTGGTGTCCATCAAAGGCCTTTAGATGACTGCTGATCACAACTATGACCCTCTTCAGCCAGAAGTAGTCAGACCTGTCTTTGCCCTTTGACCCTTCATGGTAGTTAGGGGTACTTCTTCAGAGGGGCGGATATTGCAGATAGATAAGTTAATTAGATATCTTGTAGGCAGTTAGACAGAGCTAGCCCAGGAGGAGCCAATAGGGAGGACAATCAAGGAGCCATCATGGAGGACAGTAAAGACACATTCACTGAAGGCCAGCATTGTAAAAGGAGAGAGACTACCACATCCATTAGAATGAATAGCAGTGATTGATATTCTAAGTACATATCAATCACCTGGGTGGGGGGCCAAGGTCTTAACCCAGCCTCTCCAAGAAATATTCCTTACCCACCCTTACGAAAAATCCTTGTATGCTTGCCATGTGACTTGCTCCCTCATTTGACCCCAGTTTAATCAATATTACCTAGGTGACTGAACTTGCAATCTTATTGGTTGGTCATGGTTTTGCCCCACCTCATGCCCACCTTGTAAATTTCCATTGGATCTTATAGTTTTGTCCCACTTTGTATCCACCTCACCACATGGCTTTGCTGTATAAAACATCTTTGAAAAGTGAGGTGGGCGGGCAACCCACTTTCCGGTCCCCCTTCTGTCTCTCTTAGGCAAAAGCTTTCTTTCTCCCAATAAAGTTTTCCTACTCTTAAAAAGGAAAAATTTTTTTCCTCTCAGTCACAATAAACATTAATAGTACCAAAAATGTCTCTGCTATGATGACAGGAGGGTAGAGAGAAAATGAAGAGAAAGTTCCTCATGGATGTAGAAACAAAAAAATAAGATATTCCCCAAATAATAATGTCGTGCTGCAGTTCTGAAGAGTTTCTACTTTCCCTTAACAGTTCAGGTAATTCTTGAGAAAGTATTTATCTTATGCAAAATGTATGAATATTTAAAAAGTCTATTCTTAATTTACAAAAGCTACATGACACAAGCTATCATATCTACAAAAATATATGGAAAGATTAATGGCTGAAGTAGCTGCTGTCAAGAACCCACGATAATAATAATATGTGTGTTAACTTAAGCTTCATAATAACCCTCAGAGATTTGTTTTCATTATTTTCCATTTTATAGATGAGAAAATCAAGATATAGAAAAATTTGCTTCCAGACATTTTTTCTGAAATCTAAATATTAGAAAAAAATGGAATATTATCCTCTCTAACTTCTATTATAAATGTAGTTATGTTAAAATAAATTTCATCACATTTTACTTTCCTACATTTAATTTTTTATATTTAAAAATGACATAAGTAACAAAATACATTTTCACTATCAATATCCAAACTATACAAATCCCACTCCCCTTTCTGATGGGCTTTTGTGGATCATTTGCTTTCTGGCACAGCAGCCCCCTTGTTCTGCATATATGCACATATTCTCACACCCATGGAGGAGGGACAATATATGTTTTTTTATTAACATGTTTCATTTATTATTCCATTGTGCTTGATTTGCCCTATTTTCTCTTTTTCCAAAATTCTGCCAGAGCCTCCTGTTTGTTTTCTTGTCAAACACTTACAATGATGACCAGTTCAAAAGCCAGACAAAAAACCCAGCCCTTGGAATTGAAAATAGTCATTGAAGACATACTTTGCACAATTGAATGTAGTGGGTTAAAATCTGAAATTTGCAATGGACGTATTTTTCTTGTACCTTTAAGTTTTGTAGTGCTGGCAAGAAGTAAAAGAGTTTTCTAAAGCTATATTCTGAAAATATTACATGTTCTAATGAAAAGAGAAATATATTTTAAATAAGTATTCCTTTGTTTTTAATGCAACTTATTTAGATACTTGCATTTCTTGGGTTATATAAAGTAAATTTACTTGCTCTATTTACTTCCTTAACTAACATAAAAATCTTTCCAATTTCAATTCTCATGGAAACATTTACTTTGCTTTCTTTTCAAGTAAGAGTTACCAAATTTTTGAGTGATAAATAAGCAGAAATGTTGAAGCATGCTCTTACCATATGTTCTTGGAGAACTCTGTATGTCTCTGTAGCTGAAGAACATATTTTAATTGGATCAGCAAGTTTATCTTCAAATTCAGACACAGATTGCTGGATCTAAAAAAATTGGTGCCATACAAAAATGGTGGAGAAAATATAATAAAGACAAAAAATGCTATTGAGCAAGCAGCATATCTATTTTTAATGGATGACTTTCAATGTGATATCAAAGTATATTTTTTAAAAATCTGAAATCAATATGTCCTATTTTAAAGGAAAATTAAGCCTTAAACTGAACACAATATATGATATTCTTACAGCCCCCCATAGTGCCATATAAATAATTATGAATTTAGTTATCATTGAGAACTTGATACAATTTACTCATCATCTATCAAGTTCTCAATGAATACTCCACAAATAGTGCCACCATTTGTGGAATACTTATCGCATGTATCTATAAACACATGTGAAATATGTTACTCTCCCACGCATGATTTTACCTTTCTAAAATTGTCCTCAAACTTTTGCTGCTGAGATAAATGTCCAAGAATTGTTTCTTCCAGGCACTGTGCATGTTCCCGGAGTTCTTCCCAGTATCTTCTTATTTGTGTCAACTTGGCTTTGATTCGAGCAGATTCTCCAGTGGTAACAAATTGAGCAAAAGACTGAGCTTGTTCTTCTAATCCAGTGATACTGCTTATCTTATTTTCTATTTCCTGAATTGTGGCCTAATATTTAAAACACAAATATTTACAATGTAGACCGAGCAAAGTTGTCTTGTGGAAATGATATAATTATCTATAGAGAGCAAAAAACCAGGAACATTTCTTAGCTGACGTTTGAGCATACTTGGAGGGTTGGAAAACAGCTGTGGGAAAACAAAGTGTTGACATGGTGCTTGTTGGGTAGATAATAAAGAGAAATACCTCTGTTTGCAGTGAAATAAGCAAGAAAATGTCCCTGTGACTTTCACAGTATCTCTGAAGACACACAGAATTATTTTCTTATCTTGGCAATCAAGCATTTTGATCAACAGATCTGAGATAGCCATGTGTCCCAAGAATTCATAGGAATACTAATATTAACATTCATTTAATTTTTCTGAAGTGTGGTTGAGTATTTCATGTCTCACTGAACCCGAAAGGTTTTTTGATTGTACTCCTACCTAAAGCCATGCTGTTCAAGACTATCAGCTATTCTTTAAGCCAGTAGTTTCTAAACATAGACAAATGCATTGGGATATCTGGTCCCCATCCTCAAGGCTCAGCTTACCAAGTCTAAGATGGAACCCCAAACTTTTAAATTCTGACGGTTTCACACAGGACGCTGCTGCCCCTGATTTGAGACTCCACTGCTTTCTTCATTAGCCATATACTCCACAAGAAAAAGCCTACACATTATCACGTTACTGAGGCAGAAGAACATTTTAATATAGGCCAATCATGAAAAGTACTAGCTACTAAGGATGTATGTGCATGTGTGGGGAGGGGCATGTCTCTCAAAACCATGCGGCTTCTTTATGTATAAGAAAATGCAAAAATTTTTTTTGAGGAAAAGAAGCAAATCATTTTATCAAAATAATGTCAAAAAATTCAAGTCAAGTTTCAGTTTCCAAAAATTTACATGGAAAATACTGTTACCCCGGGAGAAAAATAAATTTGTGACTTCTATCCAAAAGAGACAATCAGAAATAATTTATATCAGATTGTTGGGTAGTCATGACTTATTTTTTTTTTATTTTTTCAAATGTGTGGCTACTGTTGTATATCTGATAAATGTTTATTTGGGCCCAAATATAGCCTTTCTTTTTGCCTAAAAGACTATATTATTTTAGAAAAATTACTCATAAATTCAACAAATATGTGTTGCCTACTATGCTTTAATAATTGTGCTAGGTGCTTGGAACGCATCAGTTGGAAACAATCTTGGTTAAGAATAAAGTGCTTACTTCTCCGATTAATACTTGTCATCAGTAAATTCAGAAACACAACCCATACGAGTGGATTGTGGAATTGTGGTTAAAAAAATTTCATCAAAGAAAGCCAAGATATGAATAAAGAACAAAATAGAAGATAGATAATAGAAAGCAGGGAGATAGATCTTTCTCACTTGGGAAAGGGATCAAGACATGGAGGAAGGGAAGGAGAAGTGGGGAAGGGGATGAAAAAGAATTAAGATGTGTTATGTTCACCTACCACTCTCCACTAAGAGTGTAATCATGATGTACTGCAAACATGTACTAATAAAAAATAAAAAGCAAAAAACCCCATCTAAGAGAAGGTGGCAGATGATCCAGTATATCAATTAGAAAAATCAATTAGAAATAAGAAACTCATCTGGAATAGCATGTAGTGATGAACAGAAACAGGCTTAGGGAATTTATCTTTACAGCAATACATTGTTATAATATAATTGATTTTTCCTATAATGTAGCCTTCTGTTTGGGAATAGAACATGAGCCTCTTAGGACAGTGTATTCCACTCTATCTTTGCTTGTTTCTAATAAATGTCTTTTTCCTAGTATTCCTATTCATTTAATATGTCATTCACTATGTCATTTCAGACATATTAAAACATTTGTAGCCTGAGGGTAAGAAAATCCACATTTGAATACATATATATATATATATATATGTATAAAACGTGTGATTGCAACTTTTCTTAAAGAATAACAGTGAGAGGACATTTGATCATTGATATATTTTGGAAGTTCTAGAATAAAGCCCGAAGAGCAAATGAATTGTAGGAAGGATAAGTTAAAAAGTATACATTAATTTTTCAAAGAAGAAACTTTTGAGGCAACACTGCTTAAATATGCTATTCTATTTTCCTTCGAATTTAGTGAAAATGATGGAACGCTGACTTTTCAAAATGCTTTTAAAGATTGCGAATATTTTATGAATGCTGCCTATGGGCTGGCATGTGTTTTTTGCAGAACACCACAGAAGTCACAGCGGGCTGTGCATGCCCCACTCTGTGTCGTTAACTGCCGAGGTGTGTGAAGAGCAAGGACGAGCTATACTGTGTGTGATTGCAGCTGAGCAGCACAGCACCCTCCCACTCTGCACACAGCAATAACTTGTTCTGAGTCACAGTGCAAAATGCCTCTTCTCTTAGCATTTATTTTACTATATTTAATAGAATTAAATGGCAAAGGATTTCCCCTTCCAAGAAGAAAAATAAACTCAGATAGAAAAAGAAGTGATCCAATTTCTAAAATGTGTGGTGTGTGCAATTGTATAAGAGATGAATAGTCCCGACCCAGTTCTTTCAGTCCATTTTTCTTAAACCATTTGAGTGAAGGGTACAATAATGATCTATCTACATGATTATTTGGGAGCTCAGAGAGGTAATGTATATCAGAGCATCTCCACCTAGGGCTCAAAGTCAGAAAGGCAAACATTAGAGTGACCATGTCTGATGGTTTCTCCTACAGAAAGCAACTTTCCAGGCTCTTCCTTGTGGTTGGTGAGGGTAAACATCACTAATACTGGAGCTAGATATTTGGGATGGTTTTGTTTTGTTTTGCTTTGTTTTAGTACATGTTTGCACCACATGATGTTTACATTCATCTCGGAGAATAGATACATGTACATAATACAGTTTGTTTCTTTCCCATCCCCTTCCCTCCCTCTTCCTCTAAATCCCTTTTCCTCAATTTCACTCTTGTTATTATTATTCTTAGCTCATTTTATGATATATAATGTTTATGTTCATTAGTTTATTAGGTTCCTGTACAAGGCTTATCTTAATTCTACTTATTCCCCCCTTCCCTTTCCCCTTTTCTCTTGCCCTCAGTCTCCTGGACTCCTTCCCCTTTGCAAAAGATCCACCCCCTGGTTTCTTTCTATCCATTCTTTATTATGCTCTTTGTACTTTGCCTTTCTCAAATGAGAGATATGATGTAGATCAATGGAACAGAGTAGAGACTAGAAAAACATCCCTAGACACATTCGGCTACCTGATATTTGACAGAGGCTAAAAAAGCATTTGTTGGAGGAAACACAGCCTATGCAACAAATGGTGCTGGGGAACAATATCTGCTTGCGGAAGATTGAAGCTGGATCCACATCTCTCACCATGTACTAAACTGAAATCAAAATGGGGAAAACATCTAAACATTAAAACAGAAACAGTGAACCTCTACTAGAAGATAAAATAGGTAAAACACTTGAAGTCATAGGTGTAGGAAAGGATTTTCTAAACAGACCCTCAATTGGATAAGAACTAACAACAAGAATCACCAAATGGGATTGTATTAAATTAAAAAAGCTTCTGCTCAGCAAAGAAATCAGTTAATAGTGTGAAGAGATAACCAACAGAGTGGGAAAAACAATTCCCAGGTGTTCCTCAGACAAAGGATTGATATCTAGGCTATATACAGAACTGCAAAAACATTAAACCACCTAAGATAAAAGACCCAATCAAGAAATGGGCAAGTGAAATGAATACATACTTCTCAGAAGAAGAAGTACAAATGGCCAACAAACATATGAAAAAATGTTTAATATCTCTGCCCATCAGAGAAATGCAAATTAAAACAAAACCAAGTTTCCATCTTACACCAGAAAGAATGGTAATCAACAAGAAATTGAAGAATAACAAATGCCGGGATGGCTGCAGTGAAAAAGGAACCTTTATACATTGGTGGAAATGTAAGCTACTAAAACCATTATGGAAATCAGTATGAAAATTTCTCAAAGAACTAAAATTAAAAATTTTATACGACCCATCTATTTCCCTTCTAGGTATTTTTCCCAAAGAGCTAAATACATTATACTGGGATAGTTCTTATAAAGGACAGTTGTTGATGATGAGTACATTTCATGTTGTATAAATGAATCAACAGAGATCTCCATGTGGGTTAATTTAAAATCAAGGAAAAGAATAATGTATCCATAAAAATATTTTAATGATATTGCACACAATATTGACTTGGAATGCATAAGTCATACAATATTAATACATAATTCCATCTATAAAGTGTTACCCTGTTATCAATCAAGACCTCTTAGCTTAGTATTTTGTGTGAATTTACTTTTAATAGAGTCAAACAGCAATGAAAAGTTTGTCCTGGGACCAAAGAGCTTCGATGAAATAAATCTAAGAAAGGAGTTCTTAAAATCTAGACAGAGATTATAAACATAATGTGTGAGCAGGTCACCTTAATTTGGCTGATTTGCATGTCCATGGCAGATGACGAAGTTTCCAAGGCATTGAGTTCTTTTTCTTTCTCAGTTATCCAGATGGACAGGGTCTCAAAATTACTGCCAAAATGATCCCACTTGTTTTTCACCATTTCCATGGTTTTAATACTAAAATTAACCAAATTAAATAAAAATGCAGTATTTTAATAGAAAACAACAACACATTTTCCTCTAAATCATCAGGTGCAAAGATAGTGAAGACATCTGTGATCATTGCAAGGTTGGGCATGTTTGAATAGAAAAACAACACACACTTGATCTGAGTAGTCATCAGGCCTCAAGTCTTCCTCACTTCTGAGAATGAAAATTTAGTGAGGCAGCATTGATGCTGTGCTACAGATGGAACTGAGCTTTGAAGAAAATATTGCTGGGTTCAAAGGGGTTTGAATCAGGTATAAGCTAATTAAACTCTGCATGTGACCAGTAGTTGTCATGGCTTATTTTGATAAATTATGTCAGAATAGATTCCAGTGCACAATGTTCTTTAATAGTCCTGTTTTCATAGACAGGCTCCCTTCCTGTTAAAGGAAGAGATGCTGCCATACTGCTTTATGCTGATCTTTACAAAATGCATCTGTATGAATTAGGATGGAGCTTGTGGTCTGAATTCCACACTACCAGGTGGGAACTGCTTCCATTATTACAGGTAAACCTGTGATCTGTAATCTATTATGACTTCAGCTGTTCATAGATGTCCTTCCATACTGATTCCAAGACTTTCATAAACTCTTGTGCATGAGCACCCTAACTGCTCTTAGACAACTTAGGCTTTATATATAACAAATCTAGTGAACAAAATTTCAACTCTTGATTCTCAGTTTATATGAGCTATGCATATATAACCATGAATATGGCTTTCAGTTTAGATAAAGACTCAGATAATCAGTATATTATTGAACTGATAAGTCCCTGGGCTGAAAAATAGAACAACAAATGAATGTCCCTGTTTATCAAAAGGCACTTGAACACACGAAGGAAAATATAATGGCATCATTGACTGTCAAATTAAATAGTATTGCAGTCTCATATTTATACCCTGGGTGTGCCGAATGGTCTCAGCAATACTGGAAAGGCAAGCTATGTTACACCATATTGCACGTTTTTAAATAAAATAAAAATTCAAATGGAAATTATTAATAGAAGTACCTTCCTTTCTGACAAACTCCAAGTTTACTGTTTCCATAGGATGTTGGAGAGTATTTAATACGAAGAACTCAAAATTTCAAGCCACAATTTGTTTTTAATAAAATATTCATCAAATTTTAAAGTTTAGACAAATTTGAAATGTTAATTTCAAGGTGTTAATAGTATTAAAAAAATTTACATTTTGAAATTCATCTTAGAAATGGTATCCTGTTTCTTAAGAATAATAGGCTATGTGTCATTGATTTGCCACTAAATAGAAATGTTTATCTGAAGAATTACTGGCCATATCCTGGTAAGTTTAGCTCCTGAAACTTCTTTTATATAAATATTAGTTCATCAATAGGTCAGATGGTTATTTTTAGATGAGTAAACATTAAATGTTTAAAAATAAAGTAAACTTTTTGATGTTAATTTCTGGAAATAGCATAACAATCTGTGGCAATTTGAATACTGAGGCACTGTAAACAAGCTTGAGAGCTTTATGGTCTATGTAGTGTGAGAATGTTTTGACCTAGAATCTATGCTATCAAAATATCTCTCCTTTCCTGTACCTTGAGACAGCAGAACAATATGATAAAAATTACTTTAAACATTAGTTATTTTTTGAGAGTCCCTCTATAGTGTACAAAGGCCACAGAATTGAATAGATATGGCTTTCCTGTAAATATAATCAGTTTAAGATGCAAACCCACATCCCTTGTATATTCTTGCTCTCCTATAGACATTGGTTCCTATGTTGAAGATCCTTTTTTTTTTTGAATTGTGAATTGCTTCCTCATGACATGCTGAAATACACAGACACTGAGATTTTAAAAGACTGTTTTGAATACAAGACACAGGAAAGACTGCAATGAGCTTTATCTCAGAGAAGAAAGCTTAGGACTTGTGAAGCACATACTCTTCTTCAAGCGTGTCTTCCAATTTTTTGACTTGCTCTTTGATTGACTTGGCCTGCTGCTGAAGCAGCTGCTTATTCTTGGGTCCAAGTGGTATTTCTGAAGCTTCCTTTACAAGATTTTCAGCCTGGACTGCAATACTTTCTGTCCGCTTGGAAAACTCCTAGAAAAAAGATCATAACTGTTAGATGAGCATTTTACACTCTGACTGGGCCTTCAAGTAAATTACATATATTGCATCATCTCCCCCAGGATAGACATGTGGATAGATAGATGAATTCACACATGAGTGGATTCATATTGTTCTTAACAATAAAGGTGACTTATTTTCATATGACCTCTTTATGTGGACTGTTTCTTAAATTTTTTTTCATTGTATATACACAACCAGCCCCATCTTCACTGTTACCAACAATTCTCACAAAAATGATTTCTGCATTGTTTTTTTGGTTTGGGCTTATTTAGAATTCTGAGCTACACTGTAATAATTAACTTAGCCACAAATACGTAAATGTGTTACTAGCCAGCTCATAAAATGCTCAATTGACTACACAGAGATAACAGATTTGTAGGCCAATGAATAGAAATACTTGTTTTGAGAATATCTAAGTATAGCATATTAATGATTTTTCCTATACAAATGCATATTGTTTATTAGTTATCTGATAGGAGATACAATCTGATCTTAATGCTCTTAGGTCTTGTTTTTTTCCTACACATATACAACATTATGGAAAGAAGATAAATTTTGAATCAATTAAACCTGGGCAAGATTCCTGGATCTGCTAATCACTAGTCATTCTACTTTGGTGAATTACTTTTCAGGCTCTTTTTTTTTTTTTTTAATAAAATGCAGCTTATAATGCTTTTTTTTGAAGGGTACTCTTAGCTTTCCATTATCAAATTTACTTTTAAGTGCTTTATACTCTGGCAGGTACTAATTATCATTTTTATATCCTTCATATAAAATTGAGGAAAATGGTTTATTAATTCTATCTACTTATTTTCAACAATTCTGAGCTATTCAAAAGTTAATTTAATATGTAGGAGGCACAGGTAAAGTTTATGCTGTCCAAATTTTGTTGGGTAAATAATGTTGAATACTAAATTAGAAAAGGTAAATCCAGTGATAATCTTAAATGAAAAAAATGGTGTCTCCTTTCTTTTCATGCAAGAAAATCTCAGGAAGTTTAAATGTTGATCAACTTTCCTTTCCTCAATAGGTACTGTAGAAATCCAATGTAAGTATTTATAAAAAGTCAGCTTTTCACTCATAGCATCTCCCAGCATTATTATAAATACCATATAAGATAGAATAACAGACAACTAGTAGAGCTTCCTGTTTGAAGACTTAATAGCCTCGTAGAAATAGCAATATTACTTCAAAAAATTGCCTACAAGTCAACAGAATATAATTAAGTACAGCTTCCTTCTGTAGAGATTTATAGTGTCATAAAATATGATAGTTCTTGATGTCATAACATTAAATTCTGTGCTTGAAAACACTCACTATTAATATCTGTGAACTTATAGTCACTGTACATTCAATTGTCAGTCCCATGAATCACAGCATAGCCCCTCAGAATCCTATAAATAGAATCCAAAGTGTAAAATAGTATTTCCCAGAACCCAGGGGAAAACCACAAAGAAAGTAATATTTGAAAATGCATACACATATCTTTAACCTTAGAGTGTTTGAGAGTTATGTAAGCTATATATGGAGAAACATTGCAGAGGAATCCAAAGACCAGAATGATATTGATAAAAACAACATCAAATTAAATAAAGCTTGGAAATAGCCCAAGTGCCCATCAACTGGAAACTGGATAAAGAATGAGAAACTAGAGGCATTTATAGCTAAATGGATGCATATTAAGGCCATACTCAAGTGAAGTAAATAGGACACATATGTGTAAATACTGAATAGTTTCTCTAGTGTGAGAAACTGAAAGTGTAAATAAGGATTAAAATGATTAAAACGAATAATTGATAATTTGAAATAGGAAGAAAAGGTCCAAAATGGTAGGGGAAGTGGGAGGGGCAGGGGAAAGGAATGTAATTAATATGAGAAAATGAAAAAATGGAAACACAGTCTTTGTAAATAGGGAAGGGTGGAGGGGGTGAAGGGAGCACAGGGAATGGGGAAAAAATAAGAACCAAGATACATCATGTACAGGTACAAGCACCCAATGATAAATGTAAACATGTTGTATACCTAAAATGTACCAATAAAAGAATTTAAGCAAAAAAAAAAAAAGTAATAACTGTGAGGTCTTAGTCCTAAGTCTTAAGAAGAGAATGTATAAGTGGTAGCGGGATGTATCAGGAAAAGAACTAACTTGCTTAATATCTAGAGCTGAAGCCAGAAGCTAGGCTCTGTCCTTCACTAGCTGAGTGACCTCAAGGCTCATAACTCTGAATCTTCATTTCCTCACCAGTAAAGCCATGGGTCATTGTGAAGATCAAAAACGATCTTGCTATGTGCACCTTCCCACATACTGGCTCACAGAGGACACTCCAGTTCCTCAGCGCAGGTGAGGAATGAAGGTGATAATAACAATGCCAAGTACGTAGAGAAGAGAGAACAACTATTCTGGATTACATGTGCTTAGCTGTCTGTGTATATAAGCAGTGATTCCACTTGAGTTTTTGAATGAAAATATAAGGTAGTGGCTTAGAGTGTAGGCTCTGCATTGAGATATTTTGGGTTCAGGCTCAACCTCACCACATAGTGATATAGAGATCTTGGAAAAGTATAGCAACAATTTTGTGTCTTACATGTCATCTAGAATGAACAGTGATATCTATTTCTTAGAATTGTTCTGAGGATGAAAAAAGATGATAAATATTAAGTGCTATACCAGCATATAGTTTATAGTCAATAAATGCTACTTCATATTAAATCAGTCTCAAAATACAGAAGACCTTGGGCTAAGGAGAATTTTGATGATAAGACTAAAAAGATCACATTTGTTTCATCAACAGTCAAACTGATCCAAAGGGACTGTGCAAATGGAGTTGGAAAACCTGAAAGGAACCTGGATGGAAACATTTAGGAAAATTAACCCAAAGACATTTATTTTTTATTTATAAAAGACATCTGCTATATTTTAATACATAATGCTATTAAAATTAAAAATTACAATTAAAACAATGCTCTGTTTAAATAGCTGATGAAAATTCCACTGAACTGAGTCTGGGGCTTTCTAAAATTTCAAACTCTTTAGTAAGTTAATTATAGGAGAAAAACAAAAAATAGCAGTTTGAGAGAAAGAGAAGCTTTTTGTTGTTAGAAGACATAAGCAGAGGAGTTTCCTTGCTAAAGACTGGGAAACAGTGTACACAAGCCTCTTTCTTGCACACTGTCTAATCCATTTCTATGCTTACTTGGTTCTTCTCTAATCCCTGGTCAGGTACAGCAGCACCACAAAGGACTGAATAACTTTGAGTGCTTCATGCAAATACATCAGCTGCTCTGAGTGCTCAAGGTGCTTGAGCTTACAGTGTTGAGCACCCCAAACACAGGACTGAACATTGTCTCTCTGATGCCCAACTGGAGCATCAAACTCCCTATGTCCAAAACTGGGTTGGTCATCTTTCTCCACTGAGAGCAACTCCAAGTTTCCCGTGGCACTCATTATCTTCACAAGGCTAAAAAATGTGGGTTTCACATTCTTTTCCTTCATTCTGTCCAGTCATTGCCTATCTTCATGGGTGTGCACTCCACATCATCCTTTATACCTGTCCCATGTGCTGTATGCCACCCGTATCTCCCTTATTTATGCCCATAATAACTATTGTATGCAATAACTTTTCAATTGAATTCCATGACCTCAGTCATCTACTCTTTCACTTTTCTACACCTGCTTAGAAATTAATCATTTTAAAAGCACAGTTTTAATGGTGTGACTGTCTTTCATTAAAATCTTCAGTGGCTCCAGCTCCGTTGCCTGGAAAATATCATTTTAGCTTTTTGGAGACACAGTGGTCATTGCCTAACTTACCTTTAACAGCCACGTGCAGTTATTCCACTTTGCAACGTGGAATCCCAGGTCCAGCATTTTATACCACATGATGTTCCCCCTTCTAGGAGTGTCTGTCTGTTATCTGCTCCAAACTCTGCTTTTTTAAGTTTTGCCTGCCCTTCAAGTTTCAGCTTGAAATATCACTGCCTCCAGATTCTAAAATCTATGTCTTTGTTACGAAACTAGCCATTCCCCATTTGCATGAAAAGCTTTATCTTAGTTTTTAATGTTTAAATCCTACTTATGTTGTGGTTATCCAGTGTTGAAAAGAGTGCATCATCAATAAAAATACTGATTAAATGAGTTAATAATTAATATAAGAAGAAATAGTATATTCTTATCTGAAAAGTGTGCACCAAGGAATCACATGGTTATATTAATATACCTTTGTCTGCTCCAGTTCTGAAGACAAACTTTCCAAACTGCTAAAACTCAGGAAGCGTTCGTGGCTAGAACCTGTTTGAAAAAGGTATCTGACCACTGTCTCTTTGTTTGTCTCAAATCGCTCCCATTTCCTTAATGTGACCTAAATTTGAAAAAAATATACATTTCAGGTTACCAAAGAGTATCAGAAAATGTTGCCACATCTTCATTCATTTTCTAAATTGCCATTTCCCCAGTGAGGTCTTAGTTTGAATTTCACACAGTTACACTGGAGAAAGAGCATCCTGGTGTCTTCTGTAAGAATTTCATTTGGGGTCTCAGTATCTTCATCTACGCAAAGAGGATACATAGATGAGATCATTTCTGAGTTCTCCATCAGCTGTAAAGTCCTACAAATCTAACTGATTTTGCTGAAAACGTAGGTAAGTGACAAAGAAAAAATATCTTCAATCTCTATCAAGAAGCATAGAAGGGACAGAGGGAAGGAGAAAGAGAGAAGGGAAGAGTTGGCCAAATTTAAAAGCTATTTTTAAAATAATGTGTCAAAGTGGCCAAAATTCAGCTTTGTTAAAGAGAACACATCAACATCACAATAAAGCAAAAAGTGTGGCTGCTGGACTTTCCGAAAAAGTAAAATGATGTGGTCAAATTAGTGTGCATTAAATCCTGGCTTTATCATTTATCGATGCTGTGTGACATCAGGCCAAATGCTCAAACATTTTATTCTTCCACTTTTTTTTTTTGATAGGAATCAAACAACCCAAGGCCTCACAAATGGTAGGCAAGTGTCCTGCTACTGAGCTACACCCCCAGCAAACAGTTTTTCCTTGTAAGCACCAAACTTGTGAAATGTGTTGATTACAGGACCTGCTTCATGAGGCTTATGAGATGATTAGAAGAGGTAACTTGTGTAAGGTATTTAGCACAATGTCAGAGTGTCAGAGGCTGGAACCAACATCTATTCCTGTTTGTGGGAGATTTAAGCACTTGGAAGCCCAGCTTTGCCTTTTACTGAGCCAGCCCCTGCCCACCTAGCCCTACCTGGATTCGACGCTCCTGCCTCTCTCTGTTGTGCTCCACACTGGCCAGGGTTCTCTCCAGCTTTTGCAGCTCCTCCTTGCCCGGGTCAGCCAGCCCACCTGCTCCCTGCTGCGCCTGCCCCATCTGCTGCTGCAGGTCTGTCTTCTTTGCTGAGATCATCTTCATCTTTTGCTGAAAGAAGATGTTCAACACATGGATATAAATTTTACTGTCTAGTTTGGTAGGCAGGACCAAAGCACCCACACTCAACAAAAGTAGAGAAAAGTACGAGCTCATGCATTGTGGGCCTGAACTGTGTTTTAAAATTAAGGCTACCAGTTAAAACAGTAATAATAGAGGTTCTACATTAATCAAAAGTAGGCATTATTTATAAACACAGGTTTTAATGGCAAACAATATAAATAATTTACATTTAATGTTTTGTGTACATATTTGTAGAATATTTGGCATTTTAGATAATACTCCAGAAAGACTTTGGTAAAACAATTCATTTGATATGATTCTTTTTAGTCATTTTCTGCCTAAAACCCAAAGTCTCAACTCCAGTTTCATCACCAATGCTGGAAAAATACAAATATTATGAGGTTTATACTTCCTTGGTAGATTAATATTGTGACAATTAAGCTGGACTCTAAATTGATTGGCGTGAGAGCTGCCTAGGAGATTGGTAAAGCACACTTCTGGTTGCATCTAGGCAGGTGATGAGGTGTCACCTGAGAAACTAGACTGTATCTGGTCCCTTGCCTCTTCTTCTCTGATACTATTCCTCAGTTCTGCTTCAAGACATCATGAGGTGGGCAGCTTTCCTCTGTCATGCCCTTCCACCGTGTTTCTGCCTTGGAGCCAGCCAACCATAGACTGAATTCTCTAAAACTGTGAGCCAAATAAATCCCTCCTCCTCTGAATTGTGGGTGTCAAGTATTTTGTCCAACAACAGGAAAGATGATCAATACAAATATCCTAAGACATTTTGTACAAAGTTGCATTTTAAAGAAAATATTTTACTGAAATATAATCTTCAAACAGAATGGTACACAAATCTCAAATTTGTAGCTCATGAGTCTTCAAAAAATACACACACTCAGAAATAAGCACCTGGTCCAAGAAATATAAGAGAAGCTTTAAAATATTGTTACCAGTATCTGGAATCTTATATTTGTCTGACTTAAGGTAAATAGAAACCTAAATAAAAATTTTACAATGATTGAGATCAAATGTAATACTAAAAGTTAATTTCTTGTACTCACAGTTTTTGGCAATTATTAAGTAAATCTATGAAGCCTAGAGGCTATTTTATAATACTCTACTCATAATGTAACTCCATTAGCTATTGTTTCACCATACACAAAGTTAGTTATTTTATCATTAAAATGTTTTATTTGAGTCATATTTCCTTGCATTTATGTATATATTATAATGCCCAATTCCCTTTTATAGAAAAATAAGTTGATTAAAATTGCTTATTATTAGGGCTAGGTATATAGCTCACCACTACAGTATGTATTTAGCATACAAGAAGCACTAACTAAGTTCATTCCCCAGCTCCAAAAGTTATATATATTATTATGTTTATGTATACATATATGAAATCATTTACTTCTAATTTTAATTCTTTGCAAAAGCATACTGTCCTGGAATTGTCCATGTCAAATAAGCTCCATTTCCCAAACTAAGATGGCTTCAAAGTCGTAAATTAAGAAAGATTTTTAACATAAGGACAAGAGATTAGTGATCTCAAATATGAAGTAATCTGTCTCCCTATGATTTTCTTCTTCTGTTATGAAAAGGGTAATTTAGCGGGCTTTATACACGTTTTCATAGCTAAATCAATTTTCTCTCCTTGGTATTCTTTGAACTTTTGATTTTATCACATCACTCTGTTGCAGATCTGTCTTGCAGGATATTTAACAGAGAGAACAGAAACCAGAAGTGCCATATTTTTTTTAACCATTCAACTTTGTTTGGGTTCCTTCCCTTTGCTCTCCTCCAGCCCAAGCTCTAAGTCATATTCTTTATCTCTCTGGTTCTATCAGTAAGAAATTACCTTTACACAAATGCATTAAAGAGGCATTTCTGGGTCAGGGATTTAGCTCAGTGGTTCCACCACCTGCCTTGCAAGCGCAAGGTCCCAAGTTCGATCCCCAGTACCAAAAAAAAAAAAAAAAAAAAAAAAAAGAGGCATTTCTACCTGGTGATGAAGCAGCAACTGCTGTGCTTCAAACAGATTTTCAGTGTCTAAGATCTTCTCAGCTTGATCTTTAGCTTCCTGAGAGCTGGAAATTAATTCTTCAAGGGAACTTTTCACTATTTCTTTGTATTGAACACATTCCCCAAAGTTGCTTATTATTTTTTCAACCTAGATTTGTATGAAAAAAAAGTAAATAATATGGTATGATTTAGTGAATTTTATGTAAATTTTTAAAAACTTGAAACAGGACTGACAAATTAACATTGCAAATATTTACTATATACTATGACACTTTGATATACATATACATTGTGAAATTTCCTCAATCAAGCCAATTAGCTTATCCATCACTTCCCATGCTTTCATTTCTGTATATGTGTGTGTGTGTGTATGTGTGTGTGTGTGTGTGTCAGAGAGCAGTTAAGTTCTACTTTCTTAGCAAATTTCAAGCCCACAGAGAACTGTTATTAACTGTAGTCAGCATGTTGCACATTTGATTTCCAAAACTTATTCATCTTACAACTTGCTTTTACACTTTGATCGACATCATCCTCTTGAGTTTGTGTAATCTTACATATTGTAAGAATGTACATAAAGTCTTTCTCAATGACTAGAAATATATTCACAGATATCTAACTTTTATTGTTTTATATATTTTTGAGGCCTCTTTAATGATTAGCAAACTGTGTAGCCACTTACGAGAACTGCAAGTTTAATTTGATTTGATGCCCTGTGACATATTAAAAATCTATTCTAAAAAGAGAAAAAGAACAAACAAAACCTACTCTACTTGGCAGCCTAGGCAAAAAAGTAAAACTGTACCTATTCTATATATTGTCTCCTGAGTTTCTTTAATTATAATCTCATGACTAATGCTTAATTATAACATTGCTTCACAAGAAAGTTGAATCCATCCTACTTAAATAAGGAAAGCATCTGTAGAGAAGAAAAAGAAGTATTTGTTGAAAATGCACTTCTAGTATTTCTAAATAAAATATGAGTAATTTTATGGTTCTTTATTAGATTCTCTTTCTTTTCCTGAATTTTCAACTTTTCTTCTGATTTCTGCTTTCCCTATTTTAGTTTCATCAATAAATTTTGCTTTCTGCATCTTTGTCTTCACTAATATAACCACTCATATATTTTAACATTTATCTTCCATGGAAGCCTTCTAGTTTATCTTGCTCTTATTTTGTTTTTTGTCCTTTGATTCTCTTCTGATGAGAATTTCCCCAAGATAACTTAGAGCATGCTGGTTTGCAAATAAGCACCAATAAGAAACTGTGAAAACCATGAACTCTAGATCTCAGTGTAAATCATCAGCTGTGTTGAAAAAAAGTAACCTTTTTAGCCAGGTATGGTGGTGGATACCTGTATTCCCAGCACTTTGAGAGGCTATGGCTGGAGAAGCACAAGTCTGAGCCTAGCCTGGGCACTTTAGCAACCTAGAGAGACCTGGTCTTAAAAAAAAATAAAGGAGTGGGGATATAACTCAGTGCAAGAGCCTTTGGTTCAATTCCTAATATAGAAAAAAAAATAATAAAAGGTGACTTTTCATTATACCCTGTGACTTTAACTATAGCTTTCTTTTTTCCACTGGACAATTGCAAACACTTTGTGTTCAGCATTAATTTAAATATGAAACTGATTATTATCAGAGGAAGGGACTGACTGCCAAATTCATTTTATATACATCTAACCTCGAACAGAATGCATGTTTTTCTCCATTCTTTTCTTTTTTGCTTTCACTACATGATTAGCAAAAAAGAGCAGTGATATAAATTACTGAAAATGTAATTTTCAGAAAAGTGTAAGCTAGATGAGTGTGCAAAGAATTAATGTCTAGTTATTAAACAGTTGTTAGAGATAGGTTGTGGGTACAAGTCCAAAAGACAGCATCACCACGAGAGTACTTGGAAGATAAAGCAAATGGCCCTGGTAAAATGTTATAGAGACTACTATTAATTTCAAATGTTTTGTAAGAAGGTCGAGGACAAATACATTATAAATCTGTGTACTTGTGTTACTAAAACTGATTGTTAAATCCTGACTAAAAGATCACCTTCATATATACACGAACTTTTTGACCATTACCCTTATTTTTACCACCTTCACTAAGGAAAGAGTGGAAAGATGGATGTCATATTTTCTTCTAAAGTATGGTAGTGGCAACTAACTACACTTGACTGTTTTTATAAAAATACGAACAATTAAAGGATTGAAATAGCTTTATTCCATAACTGAATTAATCAGATCACTATGTTCAATTTGTCCAAAATTCTTAAGAAAACCATAACTTATATGAAAATTCTCACATAAAACTAAAACCACAAGCAGTTCAGAGTATTTTTGGCTTGTATAAATTCACTTCATCAGTCTCATGCAGATCTATCTACTTAGATTAAAATGTTAAAAGCTTAACAGACAAATTGTTAGGAATATCTGTAAAGAATTCCAGTTCTTCAGAATCACACAGTTTAGTGGATATTTTTTAGTCATCTGGTAGACCATTTTCCATGCAAGGTCAAGAAACATTGGTAAATATCTATTCTACTTTACCTTCTTACAGTATCTTCCTACTCACAAACTCATGAGACTTATACAACAGCTGAGGGTGAAAAAGGTTCTACTATAAATTAAGTAGGTTGACTGGCATATTTTAATTTATAAAGAAATTACACAAGCATTAAATTGCATATTTAAAAGTTTAAAGTGAGTAGATCTTGGCTAAAGGAGTTTTTCTGGCCTGCTGAGAAGCCATTGACTTCATATTTAGTGACTATTTTATTATTTCTAGTTAGCAGCTATCAAGCATTCACCCTGGCAAGCACTATACTAAATGCTTTACACACATCACTCCAGCTAATCCTTGCCACTGCCATTTTAAGGTAAATATTTTAAACCCTGTTTTATAAGTAAAGAAATCAGAACCTAGAGACATCCAACAACAAACTCAAGTTTATACAGGATGTAGGGCATCAGATTTAAGCTCTGGCCCTGGGTTTATCTGAGGCCCAAGCCTTGTTCTTAACCTTTATAATAAACCTTAAAGTGATAGAGAAATAACAATATTTTTAGTAAGAACAAAAAAATTTGTAGATTGATATATTTCTAATAAGAACCCCCCAAAAATGTTGATGGATAAACTTTGGATTTCAGATATAGATCATTAATCTGAAATGACAGGTTCAATAAATGACAATGAACTTAATTCAAACATTCTGCTTATCTTGCCCAATAATATTCATATAAATAAGTATGCTAATTGTACTGTTTTAACTATGGTGTCTTTATAAAATTACTTGTGAAACTACAGCCAAAGGAAATAGAACCATCTGCTCAGAGTGTGAGGACCTGACATACCTCTGACAGCAAAGTCACGAGTGCCTTGAAAGAGCTGGATAATTTCGCCAGCTCATCTCCTTGGTGTTGGGCTTCATTCTCAGAGGAAAGCTCAATCAAAATTTTGAGCCTGGATTTCAGCCAGCTAAGAGTCTCGCCTTTTGTGCTAACGTCGTTTCTGATCTCCTGGAATGAGAGAACACCATTGTTGAACACAGAACAATTGTGAATTAGGACTTTGTAGCAGGAAAAGACTCAACCTGAGAAAGTTTGTATGTGGAGGTGAGAGACATTCAGCCACCAGCAGGGCGCCTGCTTCTTTTACTCTGGACCTATCTTTAAGAAATCTACAAGGAATCAAAAGAAATGTTCCCTGATGCCAACTGCCAATAGCTAATAAAATCAATACTGTCTTCACACAAAAAATCACCTTCATAATTAGATGTTTAGATATTTATAGAAATATCCTTATTCACATCGAAGGTGCTTCTAACAGTACTAAGAATATGAGATACCAAAATTAGGAATTATAACATATAAATTTTGTTACCTCACTTTCTGTGAGCTGGAACAAACATAGTTCCAGAAGCAGGTGATCTCTGCATTGTAAGATGTGAAATTTTTTTGTACTACAATAGCAACCTGTAGCAAAAAGTCTATTAAATGTATACTAGGGTGTTATTAACCACCTCTAGCATATAAGGTGATTATATAATTTAATAGGAAATAAAATGGAACTTAGAGGATTGAAACAGGAGCTATGTGACTAGCAAGGGTTAAAAATAAAAAAAGAAAGCGTTTCCACAATGGCATGTCTCTACAAAGGAAGGCCAAACTGAGAGGGAAAAGGTCACCAGGTTCCACTCACAGAACACAAGCTGTGTTCAGGTCTGAGGCTCTGCCACCCTGGCTGGGTTCATCCCACTGTACCTCTGCTCACAAAGGCCAAAAATGAGTCAGCCCTATCGGAATATGACAGGGAAAGGATGCTTAAAGGTCTTGCTGAATTCACTGATATTTTCTGTGACCTAGCTTTCGCCCGGCTGAAAATGTATCGTATAAAAGTACACAGTGTTCTTGTTTTCTGTGACAGTTCCCAAATCCACTGTGTTACACACCCATGCATATAATTTTCACTCATCATTAGCTAAAGATACAAGAGATAACACTGAGCATGACAATCTCACAGCTGTTGACAATTCAGTAGGAAAAAAGCCCCTCAAATTCTCCACAGTAATATGAGGACACATATCTTCAAGACAATGTTCAGAAACCTATTTTTTCTAGAAAGAAAGAGAAGACAACACTTACATCACCTAACGTTTAAAATTATTATTGGAAAATTGCCTCCAGCAAACAATGGCCTAGAACTTACTTCCACCGCATGTTTCACCTCGCTGTGATTGGCAGCATCCAGGGCCGTATCCTTGATTCCCTTCAACTGTGTCTCCTTGGCTGATATCCAAGATGAGCACTCAGAAAATCTGAAAGAACACAAGCATCTCCTTATTAAAGGGAGAAAATATCAGAATGGCGAGAATCCATTTTCCATGGATGTACTCATAAAAATGTGAGAATCAAGTGATAACCAAATTGATTAACATATTTCCTAGAAACCTTATAACAGAAAGTTTAGGGCAAGGGTGGCTGCCTTTAAGCTCAGTAACTTGGCAGGAGCTGAGGACAGAGATGAGTCCCAGGGCTTGAGCAACTGGGAGGAAGGGACTGCCTGAGGCCTCTCAATTGTGTCCATGGTGATGAGGTGCTAAACCAAAGAAACAGATGCTGCTGTATGGAGTGGGTGGTGAAAAAATCAGGGGAAAGGGGATTAGCCAATTCTGCCCCCAAAAGAACATCTGAGTCAACTGGAAATAAAATGTCTCAGCCTATTGCTGACTGAAACCCATCATTTTAAATTAAATGAAGCATCCCTGTACAGGAACACAGGCAGGGCCAGACAATCTGTCTTTTTATCCCATAAAATGAAACAATAGTCATTTCTTTCTTCATAATCATCTCTGAAATAGCAGGACTCAGAGCGACTGAATCGCTCTCTAGAAACAAACCCCAAGCTACCTGCTAGTGTAGTCTTTCCACTTGTCTGGGTTTTCCACCAGCTTTGCGTATGTGGTGTCAATGGCAGCTCTCAGTTCTTTGAGAGCCGTGTAACAGGTTGCAGGTGTGTCCTTTACTGGATCCCGGACTGACAGCTTCACACACAGTTCCTCAATGAGCTGTAACCTTTTCTCACAGAGGTGATGAGGACCTTTGTCACTGAAGAAAATCTAATAAGCAATAAATGTTTTTATAGTGCCTATAAGAAGCTGTATCATACTGTTTTTTACATTTTCATAGAAAAACTAATGAAAGATTTCCATAGACTACCACTAGAGAGTAATTAAGCTATTTTTCCACACCCAAAATAAAGCATCTATTATATCCTTTAAGTAACAGTGCACCTCTACATGAGTGTGCTCTTGGTATGTGAAACCTACCCTGTGCTCTTTAATGATGTTTTCACTGCCTTCCTGGGGAACCAGCTTGGTCTCTCGATTCAGCTCCATTTTGCATTCTTCAACAGAAGCCAAGAATCTGCTCTTCTCTGCAGCAATCTTCAAATGGAGCAAATGGTAGGGGGCTTCTCCTTGAAGGTCCTACATTTCATAGAAAGATCCAGAAAAGAAGAATCATGCTTCTGATGAGGTACATTTCTAATTGAAATGGCAAAAAGATTAAAATATTCTCTTTGTTCTTTGGGCTTTTCCAAAGACTGACTCCTCCTGGTCTTTTCAGCCTGACAAGGTCAGGCATTTTTCACAGCAATTCTTCTGTTTAATTTTCATAATAATCCTGCACAAAATTAATGTTCTTTACAGATTATACCATTAAGGCTCTAGAAGAATTGGGGAAGCTAAGATTTGAACTGAGATTTAAATCATGCACTGATACTGCATACTCCCTTACAAGTATGAGTCCCTTCTGATTTGCTAACAACCCTGTGAGGCAGGAAAGGCAAGATAACAAAAGGAGAATTTGAGAAAACCTTATTAGACACCACACAACACACACAAAACTCAGGGTTAAATACCCTGATCACCTGCCGTACCCTCTTCTCTTTACAGACACACAAAGAAGAAGTAAGCAAACACTCAAACAGTGCATAACTTTTTATATCCTTCCCTTTTGATATAAGTGTAAGCTTCATCATTACTTTTAGTTCTCTAATTTATAAATTTTAGCCAACTTGTGTCCTACAGAGCTTAAAAAGATTCTCTTTAAATGAAATATTAAGATAATTGTGACAAAACTGTGGTAGGGCCATGGAAAGACTATGACGGGTGACACCCAAGGAGTTTCATGAATGTGCATGAAATAGCACAAAACTTTCAATTTCCTTGTACCTTTCTGATATGCTAAGCTTCAAGACATCTTAGAAAGCTTGGGTTTCTTTAAGATTCTTTTCTTTTTAAATGAGAAACACATTTTCAAATTTGGCAAGCGTCTCTCTTATATACACAAGGATGATGTTTAGCCCATGTTAATGAGATTTTAAAAATCCAGAAAATAACACAACCGGATGGAGAGGGTTTTAGCAGCCAATCTTCCAAACCCTGAGACTCCTTTATACAATGCACATAAAATATCACCTCCTGAGAACATTCTTTCTCTTGGTTCAAGAAGCAGCTGTCAGGGAGCATCGATGACGAGTGTTCTGCCTCTGGAAGCTGTGGTGGCCATGTCAAGTGGGCTTTCTGTGGCCAGACCAGCTTTGTTCCTTACGATTCCTCCCAGCGCATGACACTTTGATCACACAGAGCCCGAAAGGATCCCTGCCTTGCTTACTTGGTTCCCTCTGGCTTTCCCTCTTCTGGTCACCATGGCTTTCCCTTCTTCCTACCACCTCAGTTCTGCTATTTCTTTGAAGTACTAGCTCAAAATTGGTTACTTTATTTACACTTCTCCAATCTCCTCATGAGTCCACCTCCTTCTCTCAAAGCTTCTGTAAGTATAATGTTTACATATGGGCTTATTATATATTATACTTTTGTTATTGGCAACAGATGATCTCCCTAACAGAGCTCTAAGCTCTTTTGGGAAAAAGATGTAAGTTTGTTCCTCACTAAATTTAGTTCACTAAGAATTTCTTAAGTTAATGACGTTTTTACACCTACCCTAAAGCAAACAAAAACCGGACTATTTGAATAGTATGATAGAATTGATGCTACCATAAAGTTGGAAGAACAAAATTCTATATTTGTTCATGTTTTATTCATGTTAGGGTTTTATTTGTAATAGGGAAGCACTTCCGCTGTGCCTGGACCTCAGTCCCTCTGTGCTTTCCCCCTTCACTCAGGTCACGCTGTTTTCCATGTCCCCAGGTGCCCCGGGCTCACCTTCCACTGTTTGTGCAGCTTCCTGACTGCTTCCTGCAGCCCCTGTTGCTCCTGCTCTGGGAGGATGTCTGTGAGTTCATCACAAGCTTTCAGGAAAGCATTGAGGACCCTCTGATCCAGCTGGCTGAAAAACTCCTGAGGTGGAAGGGAGAGCAGGTAAGGTTCCCAGCAAAACAGAAGACAGCATCAACACAATCGCACCTGACCCAGTCTCTCAGCCACCCATCTGCTGCCCTCATCAAAACTGCTGCGCAATAATTCCCAATTCTTTTTTTTTCAGAATGAACTATAAATAATCTACAGTTATGAGTTGAAACTCTTCATATCTGCCTTTAACTAGTACTTTTTACATTTCAGGGAAAAATCTGCAGGTTTCAAAATTTTGGTACAATTTTCTGAAAGGCCAATTTTCTGAAAGGTCAATCTTAATTCCAGTGATAGAGTTCTGGTTCCTCTTCTGTAAAGTCAGAAGAGCAGGCTAGAAGCCAGAATCCAGTCTCAAAACTCTTCTTTTCTTTTCTGCCCCCACCCCCTGCCTTGGTACTGCAGATTGAACCCAGGGCTTTGTGGTGCATGCTAGAGACACACATGCTATCAATAGAATCATGTACCCCTCAGATTCATATACTAAAGCCCTAGCCCCAAATGTGATGGTAGTGGGAGATGAGGCCTTTGTGTGGGGAGTAATTAGGTTTAATGAAGTCATGAAGGTGGGTCTTTGACGTTAGGATTCATTCCCATACAGGAAGAGACAACAAAGAGCTCTCTTCCTGCTACATGAAAAAGGCAGCCCCCTACTAGACAGGGAGAGGGTCCTCACCAGAACCCTGCCATTCAGGTACCCTGGTCTCAGACTTCCAGCCTCAGGAACTCTGAGAAAATAAGTTTCTAATCCTAAGGCTCCCATCTATGGCATTGTGTTGTGGAAGCCTGAGCAGACTAAGACAATGCATGCATATATGCATACACCCCTGACTAATCTCACACACTCAGGACTGTGGATGCAGAGACATTTGGAAACAATGGTGACTCGAAACAGAAGTGCCCCACTGGAGAAATGCATAAATTGAAGGGATGCTTTGAGCTTTGTGATTATAGACATTGACCTTGAGTCTAGGAAGCTGCATCCCAAATTCACTGAATTTCTCATTTGAGAGTATGGTTTATACAAATATCCAGTGAAATCTCAGGAAAAATAGTTCATCTCTATATACCATGTCATATATCACCAATGTTCTCAATACTAATGTAAGTGTAAAAGTAGAGTAAACATAAAATCACTCCATGTCGTGTATTAAATACAAAACTTCAATGTCTATACTATGATATGGTGGTTTATAAAATGAGCACAAATAGCCAGGCATAGTAGTGCAAGCCTGTAATACCATCACTCTGGGAGGGTGAGACAGGAGGATTGCAAGTTTGAGCCCAGCCCAGGCAGTTTAGCAATTTAGCTAAACCTTGTTTCAAAATGAACAACAACAAAAATTAAAAAGGGCTAGATATGTAGTACAGTACTATTATATAAATAAATAAATAAATGACACAAAAGACTTAGCCATTCACCTTAAGTTGTCTATGTAAGAGAACTTGTGGTTATTTAAGAATTTCTGAATAAAATGAATTACTAATTTGCACAGCCTGGATTATCTGGACTTTATTATTCCAGGGGTTTAAGAATGATCTCCTGTTAATAAAAAAAAAAAAAAAAAAAAAAAGAATGATCTCCTGAAAGGCAGCTAATCAGATGGCCTTCAAGTATTTCTGTCTACCATTTCTTTGAGTTTCCCATACACAAAGTTTCTGCCTTCCTAAGTCACTGTGCCCACTCCCACTCCCCCCCCCCCCGCCCATACACCAACACTGGGTCAGAATGGTCTTTCTATTTGCTCATTCAAGATCTCCTGTCCATGCCCCCAGGTTTCATGAGCCACAACAAGCAGACTCACGGTGTGTCTCCGCAGAAGTTCTTCAGGGTCTCCCTTCTCTTCCAGGCTCTCCTGAGCGACCCGCAGCACCTTCTCCAACTCTGCCCGAGACTCCTCAAATTTCTTCATCAAGCGACTGTTGGTTTCCACATGCTTTTTCCAATCTCCGGTTTTCTTTACCATATTCTTGATGTAAAAAAATACAATTGTACCTTGGTATCCTCGGTGGGGGGGGGGTGGTTTTAAGATTCCCCGAGGATACGAGAAATCCACAGCTGCTCAAGGGTCTTATATAAAATTGGCCAATATTTGCATGTAACCTAGGTGTATCCTCTTGCACAGTATAAATCATCTCTAGATTCCTTGTAATAACTAACACAATGTAACTGCTACATGAATAGTTGTCATATTGTAAACAATATAATAATGACAAGAATAATAGGAAAAATGACAGGAAAGAAAGGCTGTAAATGTTCAGTATAGATATATTTTTGAAAAATATTTTCAACTCACAGGTGGTTGAATTTGCAGACGCAGAACCTGTGGATATGGTGAACTCACTGTAATCATAATGTGATGCTGCTTTTTCATTACTGAAAGCATCATTTGGCCAGGCAGCATTATCTTTGTTTTAAGCTTAAAAAGTTACTTGAGAGGAAGATATTTCATTATGATAAAATTTAGTAACTCTTTTCAATATTAATATCAGAAAAAATAGTAAAATGGCTGGTTTTTCAAATACCAGAGGGTAAGGTGTTTTAGCAAGAAGTGTTGAAACAAATGGTAATTACTTGTTTTTATCTTCGGATTTTTGTGGACTAACAACTCTAAAGGCAGGAAGAGCAAATTACCTGAAAAGCAACATGGACATCTGGAATCTGTCTCTGTAGCTTGGTCTGATCAAAATGCTTTAACACATTGCTTAAGGCCACAAACTTTTGAACGCTTTGGCTGCCTTTCTCAATGAGTGTCACAATTTTTTTACAGCTTTCTTGACAAGCTAACAGTTCCTACAAGGAAAGGAAGCCCATGATAATATTATTTACAAGAGACAGTGAAAGAAGGAAGGAAAGAGGAAAGGAAGGAAAGAAGAAAGGAGGGAAAGAAGGAAGACAGGAAGAAAGGAAAGAAGGAAGGAGGAAGACAATGAAGAAAGAGAAGAGTAATTACAAACAATAGCATTACATATATCAGCATATGTAAAACCACTTGTACAGAGAGGAACGTTTCAAAAGAACTCAGTTTTAAGTAATCACTGAAGCCAGTGCTTTTTATATAAGGCACTTAGATGTCACAATGAGTTTTTATATATTCCATGCACATCTTATTAACATAAAACATTATTATTTGTCTACTCACTCCTCCAACTGGTTGGCAGACAAATGGCTTTTTGAGAGAAAAATCACAGAATCAATCTACAGGTTTTAATCAGACTAAATAAATTTGACATCAATGTGTGTTCACTTTACTGAAAGTGAGATGTAGCAGATTATATGTTATTTGTGTACTCTAAATTTATAATATTTGAATTCTTACAGCTTCCAAGATATCAATCTTTTTAGTGAAACAGTGAACTTCATATTATCATCAAAAATATATCAAACCAATGGGTCTGGGGAAGACTTACACCTGTTCTATTTGCAGCATGAGATGCAATGGTGACTGACAGACCCTGCCCTCTCTGACTTCCAGCCTGGTATCCTAGCAACTTTGGCAGAGGGGAAATGAACCAGCCCAGTGAAGGCAGAGTCACTTTTTGCCTTGAATCCACACCACTTGCATTTCAACATCCTCAGCAGCTTTGAAAAAAATATTTCAAACTGCTCATTTGGATGCGACTTTTGTGAAAGAAAAGATCCCATAAAACATAAATTTAGATACTCATTAGAAATAGAAAAAATCAATTATTTATTACATAAACATACATATAAACTATATCTACCTATCTATCCAGCCATACATATCCATCCCTATGTTTCCAACCAATCCAGGAATGTAGGAACAAACACTTTTTAAAATGAAATTAACTGCTTCATCAATGGGTAGCAGGTGATGCCCAAAGATGTGTGTGGGAAGGAGCACTAAATGATTTCCCAAAGAGAGTCAATATGAAGATGAATATTTTAAAAGTATGGTTTTCTTTTCTTTTAAAATTATAAATGAGATTTTAATTACACTAATCTTGTGTGTGTGTGTGTCGTATGTGTGTGTGTGGACTCTATTCATTGGTAGAAAGACAATACTAGAAAATTAAATGACTGCAATGCAGAGAGGTTAATGAAAGGTCCTTCTATTGTGAGTGTGTGTTTTGTTTCAAGACAGAATAGTGGGTTTGGCTCTCCTTCTATGACACATTCCTTATTTCCAGAGAGTCACGGTGAACTTCCACCTTCTGCACTTGGCAATCAGAACTCATGCAGGGGATGCACAGGGGAGATGGTCATGAAGGCTTGCTGAGTGTCATCTGTCACAACATTGCCCAGGCCACAGGAGGGAGAGGCAGATTCTCCACATATGCTGCTCCTTCTAATTTTGCTCAAATCGGGGAACTTCTTAATTCAGAAGCTAAGAGATGGGCTCCAATGAGCCCACCTGCTCTGAGTGTCCAGCTCAGCAACTCCCAGAAACAGCTCAACACAGGATGACCTCTCACTTTGGACAAGTTGTACATTTGTGTTTTGAGTTACTAGTACTATACTATTCTAAAAATATTTTTGTCCTAACTGAATTTCTATTACTATAAACAACATCTCATCTTCTTAAATGTGTTTTAAAATAACTTTGTCTTTGAAAGGGATTTTTCTTACCTGATGCTTTTGTTTAAAAAGAGCACTAGATTGTGCCTCATGCTCAAGAACTGTTATAATCTCGTTGATTTTCCCAAGTGAGTCATAGAAAGATGTCATCTGCTTTTCTAAATCCTCCAGTGGAGTCAACAGCTGCTGAGACTCATACAGGAGTGGGGAGCAACTGTCTTTGACCTTTAAAAGTAGGAAGACAAAAGTTCCATGAGAGGCCATTAAGTGCTACAAGCTCAGGGACATTTTCTTTAGTGACAGGGTCATTTGGTGCTTTCAAATCTCTAAGGAAATTTCTTTACTGATATTTCCTCTATATTGTTAAACTTTGCTGTCAATGAGAGGAGTGAGTTCTTATGGAGCTTTCTAATGAAAATTCATGCAAGTAGTCCATCTGGATGGCACTTTCCTATTTAAATAATTGTTGTTAGTAAGGCAGATGGCATCAAATTTCCTTCATAAAGCATGTAACTCATTTTCATATTGGCCTTGAAATCTGACCTAAGACAGTCATGAAGTATTATTATATCTTCATGGACCTGTTACTTCTGGCTTTATTTTCCCAAGCTTTTCTCTGACTTGAGCTCTGTGCCCAAACAAACTTACAAACCTGTTGGCTCACTCTTCACAGACCCTTCTATGCTCTCCCACTTCTCTCCAGCTCTGGGCTTCACTACAGTATCCTTATTGACTTCCTACTCATCCAAGTACAGGTGTCACACACTCTCATTTAATCCTGGAAGCTTTCATGCTAGGGACATCTCCCCAGTGTGAAATGGCCCGACATCTCCCCAGTCTGAAATGGCCCAACCTGTCCCTTGTTGTTTAATACATCTGCAGTTTCTTCATAATGAAGACATAATCTCTTGGAGTTAAAGAACTCAGTGAAGTGTGTACCTGACCACTTTAATGTTGATCTCTAAGAACTTGGAATTCTCTGAGGACCTTTCAGCCCTTCTCATTTTACCTATAGTTGCTTCTAACTACTATTATTTTCATTCCACTTAATCAATACTTTTAGACAACTAAGGAAAGGAAGTTAATCATTATTAGATCATTCCTTATTATTCATAAAAATATAAAGACAGCAATGTGCCATATAATCAGCAATATTACAAAAATAATTTTTGAAGAAAGTGTGGGGGACATTTTGTTACTGTGAGGTACAAAATTATAGATGCAGACATATTTTTGTGTTCTAAAATACGTTGCTGGAATGATGAACTAACTCAGTAAATGAAAGCTACTGTCCTACTTCAATAGCACTCTGCTACAACTGGATTGAGCAAAACCAAGAGAATCTACTCATTTGTATAAAATAAGTGTGTTGTATTTATTATTCCCTTGGTGCAATAGACCAGCAGTAAGAAAACATAATAGCATAGATGTTCCTAAAGGCACAATTTGCCTTCTCAAGTTGCTCTGAGCTGCTATACTTGGCTAAGAATTGCAGGTCCAGGTATTAACTCTCACCAAATTGAAAATGTTGACTTTGGGTTGTTAGTAAATATTGCTGGTAGTCAATATTATCATTAGTGTGCATTAGTACTAAATTACAAATAATTCTCACTTCATTAAATAAAATTATTGGAAAATGAACTTTCTAACACATACCAAAGGTTTTTTCTTGACTATGTTCTTTTTATTTGCATTTTTATATTATTCTTTTTCATTGATTCTCCATTACTGATTTGACTTATTATTATTTCTATTTTTCTCTCCTATATAATAGATTTCTTCATTTATTTTGTTTTCCAATTATAAAATGTTCCTATGCACTTATATAACTATTCCTTCCTTTCACTAGAAATTAATTACTCAATCGAAGTGGATTTTGCAAGCAATATCATCCTCTTAAAATATAAGTTTTGATAGATAAAAGCTCCCAATGGAACTTTCAAAGCTCTTAAAGAAAATCCCTCCATAAAATTGGAAAGCCTTATGGTTAATGTGTATATCCATCTAGTTTCCTACATAGACATGGTATGATTGGCTACACCTTATGCCTACAATGAGCTCCATGAGAAGAGGAGGGTGGAATTTCCACTGCTTTGTCACTATTCTGGCAGGAAATATAAATAAGCTTGAAGTGCTCTCAAATCTCAATACATTCTCATTAAACTCTATGATCTCCCTCTCCTCCTTCTCTTTCTATTTCCTCTTCTCTCTTGATTTTATTTCATTTAAGGGTCCTCAAGCCATATCTATTTTCTATTAAAATATAGTTACTGCATTTCTAAACTAACAGAGGTAATGCTTGGTATGAGCACCATAGTTTTGTTTTTAAAATTCATGATAAAGTTACTAAATGACAAAGTCACTAACTCAGGAACATCAGTTGGAACCAAAAGCATGATTTGTTGATGAGTAAATACTTTCTCCATGGAACAGAGGAGGCACTGGGCAAGCTGGTGTTGGTGCCATTCAGCGTGGTGTGCATTGAGGTATTTTCATACCTTGGTAAGCTGCTCTTTGAGCCTGGACATAGTCAAAAACATCTCATTAGCTTCTTCTTGAGTGCTTTCTTTTGCAATGAGATGTGCTGTCTTTGTAATCATCTTGTATTGAGCATCCATCACAGGAAGCCTCTGCTCAATATCCTGCATGAATCATTGGAATAGCTCGATTAATACATGATGCATTCTTTTCAATTCCAAGATTCCACAGAAAGCAGAACAAAAGTCAGTATGTACCGCAAAAAATTCTATACTTGTAATAAACTTTTAGAGATTCTGGTCGTTGCTTTTCTTTTCTACTAATAGAAAGGAACATTATACAAATAAATAAAAAGTTTCTCAACTTCCCTTTAAAAGTGACAAATATTTGGGCATGTTGGCACTCTGGGAAGCTAAGGCAGGTGCATTGAGAGCTCAAGCTCATCCTGGTCAACTTACCAAGATCTTCTAATAAAATAAAATAAAGGGCTGGAGATGTACCTTAGAGTCAAGGCCCTGGATTCAGTACCCAGCCCTACACACAAAGAAAATGACCAAATATCTTTAATGTAACAGAAAGAGTAGTTGACGTAGTCTTTACAATTTCAAAGCATATGTTAATACAGAAGAGAAATACTCTTACCATATAAAGGTGTGTTAAGATTGTGGGGCAATTCAGACTTTAAAAATAAAACACTTCTTTCTTTAAAAAGTTTTTTCATTGTATAAAACTTAAATTAGGTATAGTAGTGTTAAGAGAATTTAAATTATTTATAGTGTCTTAAATAATGATTACCAATACCAATATCTCATCTTTATATCATTACTTTTTTCCTGCATATGTCTCCACCCATTTTTAACTTTTACTAAAAACAAAAGGATGATACTGTGGTTTCCTTTTCTTACTGAACTCTGTATTGTAAAATCTATGTCATTAGTCTTCCACTATTTCAAATTTCAAAACTGAGTGCTCTTCAAGACACATAAATACCACAATTCATCCAAGAAATCCTTCCTTGTTGGAAGTACCACATTGAAAGTGCTATTTATAGATGCCTCTTGTTTTTTTCTAATGCTTCATAATTTTTCCTAATGTTTTGTAATGTAGAAACAATTTAAATTGAAAAAAGTATCTTTGAAGTTACTTCTTATGATCAAAATGTATCTTTTTAAAATTTGAGTATACTTGCATTTTTTATGAGAGGCATGAATTGGGCCATGTGGCCCTGTCAAAATGATGCCTTAGAGGATACAGAGACAGTTTTTTGAATGATCTGGAAAACATTGCTGATCTTTCTTTTTCACAATAGAGTAGGTTTTTCATTTTATGACCAGAACCTCTCACCTCCAAGTCTTGAATTAATAACTTGACATTTATAAAAGAGACTTCTAAAGGCTCAGCAAATTTCTTATGGGCTTCAGTTGCAAAATCAGAGAGGGTAGTCACACAGTCTGTGTATTCTTTCTTCATTCTGTCCATCTCATCCGCTCGAGCATACTGTTGAGGAAAGGTGGAGAGGAGCAACATTTGAAAGTCATTAAGCTGCGACTCTAGAAACTCACAATCTTCGTTTAGATATAGGCTCATAGTCTTGGGAATTGTTCTCTGGTAAGAAAGACTCTAATTCTTGATGCTTATTTTAGATAAGTTTGAAGTAAGTCCAATTACTTTGCAAGAAAAAAAAAGGAACCAGCATGGAAATGAAGGACTATGATTTGAAAAGCGAATCATTCCGTATAAGTAGACTCCATATGTCAACATGATCTTTAATCAGACTTTACACTTCTGTTATTTTCCTTCATTACAAATGGAAAAGAATGAATAATCAACTATAAAACAGACCAGCTTTAAACATGTCTATATTCTGCCTTAATAAGCTCATGCTATAAAAATAAAATCGCCTCTAAACAGACTGTTTATCATCCATCGCATTTATAACAGATCCACGTCTGAAGAGAACATAGATTTGAAAGACATACTTGCTTGACTTCCATAAACAACTCCCTCCATCGCCCATTGAGCAGGAGTAATTGCTGCTTGAGGTCACGAGAGACCATCTCATCACAAGTTTCAATTAGAAAATTGCCAGCGTCATTCATGGCCGTGTGCTGCTGAATCCAATGAGGTAAATTTCGGAAAAAATCCTAAGCAACAAATATTGGACATTAGTGTAAAGCATAAACCAAATATTAGTAACTAATATGAAAGTGATCAGACTAGGATAATTATGTCTTCTAAAACTCATGTAGATTTTAAGATAGATTTTAAACTTCTTTCAAAACAAATTACAGTGTTAAAAATAAGAACTAGAAATGTTGAGTGCCTTTTTCTTTTTGTTGAAATGAAGTTTCCCTATGTTGCCCAGGCTGGCTCTGAATTCTTGGGCTCAAATGATGCTCCTGCCTCAACTTCTCAAGTAGCTGGGACTATAGATGTATGCCACTGTGCTCAAATCGGAGTGTCTTTTTATAAGAACACAAATGGCATACCTTTTACTGAAGATAAAAAAAAACGTGGTGACCATTTCTTATTTCCATTTCACAAATGAAAAAAGCAATGAATTCCTGTCAGTTTCACAGATTTGTGCATGGTGTTCAGGCTAGCAAATACCAGTTCCAGGGTCATGTAAGAAGTATGATACGTTAGAGGAATTTCTTAAAGATTTTAAAAATATTGGGCCCATTACTTTTTATATCAAAATTGGAATATATATATATGGAATATATATAAATATTCGATACACTACAATAATTAACAAAAATCATGGAGATAATCATAAAAGAAAAAAATTAAATTAAATATTTGGATTAAGAACATTTAATACAATAACATCCTTTCTTACTTGCTTAAGCATATATACTTGCCAATAAAGGTTTTCAACTCATTTCAAATTAAACACGTGTTCACATATTCATCACAGTAAAAAAACCAAGGAAAGTTCAAACTTCATTTCATAAAACCTGTGACAAGATTTACATAAATAGATAAGAACACTCCTATTTCTGGAGGTGACATTCCTTGGGATCAAACTGACACCCATGAGATCTACTAGGGCACTGTTGGTCTGATCAGAAAAACCTAAATCTACATGAATACATGGATAATACCTTCCCTAGCTACACAAAACTACTTAATATGTACATATGAGTAAAGAATGGTAAAACATCAAAAACTGATACATGTACTTGTATGAGCAATAAAGGATTAATCCATCTTGGATGGTAAACAGTAATTCATTCTAATATAGTTACTGTATTTCTTCAGGGAAGCCTGACCTTTCAACTTTTTACATATAAATTGATTTTTCCACGTGAAAATACTGGGCTTCCATTAAGAAATAAATATGCAACTCAGTCCATTTCATTTGGTATTTACACATGACATTAAACACTAACACAAAGGTACATACACCTATACTCTTGTAACAAGTGAAAAAGGAATCTTGTGGAGAATGAGACCCTTGAATGAGGGTTGATAAAATCCAAAAAAGAATATTTGATAGCCTAGTTGTTCAAATGGTGCGTTATCACATCAGTTCAGTACTATGTAATCCAACATAGTTTTCATCGTTTTAAATCAGGAAATCTACCTAGGATGAGGCCTTAGACATCCTTCTTCATCAACAGACCTCAGTGTGGTTATAGCGCCCTCTGCTGCCTGATAGATTTGGCCGACCTGTAGTTACTCTTCAGAATGCAGATACTGAACACTGAACTGGTCAGACAGGAAACTGCTTTAACAGAACCTTAACAAAACAAGTACATATTGGTCTGAAATAATTAATTAGCCCAAAAGTGTAAATTTTCAGGCAAAGTGAGAAGTTTTGAGTCACACTTACAAATATGTAATATTCTCTGTGAACAATGCTGTAAGAAAGGTTCTCATTTCTAAACCATCATCCTGTTTTTTCTTTTATATGAAACAATCTTACCTTTTTGGCATTTTCTGATTGATTCAGCATTTTTTCAGCATCCTCTAGCCAGGCTTGAAGACTAGCCACGGTGTTGCCATAGCGATCCCAGTTAGATATCACTTCCTCCAGCATGCTCCTCACGCTCCTAACTTCCACTGAGAGATTCCTCCACTGAGCAGTGGTTTCATTCATGAATTTCATCACATTCTCAGCTTCCTCCACTGAAACAGAAAAGACAAATTACAGTCTTTACTTTGTACCTAAAATCCTCTATACCTTCTTTTTATGGTCTTATCATTGGTGTGCAGTAGCATCTATCACAAATACTGGAGTTCAGTCCTAACAAGCACAACAGACATATTTACAAAATTGAAAATAAATGTATTTTACAAATTGTGTCTTCACACTAATTTAAACTCTCATTTACTTGATTATAATATTCAAGTTATTGCCCTTTTGCCTTTAATCCTTAGAACTGAAAATAAGTTGAAAATTGTAATTTAGAAAAATGAATGCTTATTTTGCTCTTGTCAAGATCTCTCTCTCTCTGTCACACACACACAAACACACACACACACACACACACTCACACACAGGAGTATGATTACACCAGTTAGACAAACTCAAGAGAATTGAATATAGTATGTTCTCTCCAAGGCCAATGGCATGGTTACACAAAGGTTTTTAGAGAATAAAATTTATCTGATCACATAGATACCTGTGTGCTCTAAATTCTACTGCAGTAAACACTGCAACAAATTCTATAGTGTGTCTTACCTGAACCATCTGCTTTGACATACATCTCAGCTGTCTGTTTCAAGATCTGGTATGTTACTTCATATTGATCGAAAAACTTGCTATTTTCTATAAAAGACTAGGAAAGGAAAAATGGTTGGCAGCAGTAAACATTAGGCTTGTCTAGAATGCCAAAGTCAATTTTATTTTGTATAGGTACCTGGAAATTTCACCCAAATTTGTCAACCTCGCTGTTCTTGAAAATATAAAATTAATTCTACTGCCACAAATAACCTAAAATTATTCTGATAATATAAACTGTTTCTATACTGCCAATTCTAATATGGCACTAGATTGAGAAAATATTCTATTTCTTCACCACTGAAGGATTTGCTTTCTGAAAAAACAGAAGTTTCTCCAGAGAACCTGGGCCTAACATTTAAAAAGCACTAAATTTGCAGGAACATTTTAGCATTACACTGTGTATAAGCTGTGGGAGTCTATTGTTCTCTGAATGTTCATCCTGTTGAGTGATTGCCTTGAGGAACTTGGGATTATAAATAAATGACAGAGTTCAAATGCTTTCCTTACAATAAAAAGTAAATAGAATAATTTTAAATAATCACATATGACACTCATCAGTGGTATTATATTCAATTATCCAGCTTAAAAAATTACAAGATAAGATATATATACATACACCTATATCTGTGTGTAATTTACATATGTTATAGTGTCAGTGTCAGCAAATGGGTACAATAAAATTCAGAACATATACTAAACATTCTTGGATACATTTCATTATTGTTAATGTCAAAAATATAAAATAACTTTCTTTCAAAGGATATTCTTATACACAAAGTAGAAAATTAATGCAATTATAGTTAACATATCACCAACGGTGCTTTAATTTTTAAAATAATATAATGCATTCCTACAGTTTGAATTCATTGGAACACTTGATAGGTGTCACACAAAATTAAAAATTAGCCTTTACAAACTAGCTGAAGTCCTGTATATTATGCTGATGATCCTTAATATGGAGATACGAAAGGCCATGTACAGATGTGAAACTGTTTATTCAGCGATTTCATAAACATTCATAAATTTTTACTGATGTTCACCATGTTTCAAGATAAAATATAAAGACATTATATATAATACATTGCAGATCATTTTACATTCATAAATCATTTACTTATATTCTTCAGGGATAAAGTGAATAGAGAAAGCTGTGAGTTACATGGAAGGAAAAGTTCTATAATTAATAATTCATTCAATAACTCTAATAGGTTTTACCTTTTTTGTTTGAGGCTAAGAAAATAATAGGAAGAATAACAAAGTAGTAGTCCTTATTTAGTTGTATGTCTTACACCTACTCCTTAATTAGGGAAAGAGAAATTTACTAGAATTTAAATGGTGAATAATTTAACCAAACAAGCAAGTCATGATTTGATCAAAAATGAAAAATGGGGCCAAAGATTTACCTCAGTGGCTCTGGCGCCTGCCTCACAAGCGCAAGGTCCTGAGTTTGATCCCCGGTACCAAAGAAAAAAAAAAAAAGTGAAAAACGGCACCTGATGTTCAAGACACTGTTAAGAAATTGAAGAAATAATTATATTTGATGAAGTTTAAAAAGTAGTCTATGTGTAGGCTTGGTGCACATTTCAAGAAGCCAAAAGGAAACAATTGCTCTAAGTCCCAAAGAAATGGAAAAAGAGTACCTGTGGTGGATAGGAAGTCTTAAATAGACTTTTATACAGTGGTTTACAAGTAAATTGAAAATGAGTAAGAGAAAAAATCTTATTTCCAGATTCATTTTTGGTCCAAGGACTGGAGAGACGGGAATATTTTTAAGATATTAAAAGTGTTGCAGGATTCATTAAAGTATTTTTTGAGTCTTCCTATTGTGAAGACTGGGTAATTAATTTTCTATAAAGATAATATTATTGTTGTTGTTACTATTGTTAATATTGGAGATTGAACCCAAGGCAAGTACTCTACCACTGAGCTACATTCCAGTCCCTTATTTATTATCTTAATTTTTTTATCAGTCTATGCAATTTGTCTCCCCCCTTTTTGCCGAGTATGAAGTAAATACATTTAGTATATGCATTATCTATTAGAACCACTTCAGCAGAATTGCTAAATCTTCTTTTAACTGTAATCTAGCTAGCCATACATCTCAGAAAAGTGAAAAGGTAAATACAAATGTATATTTTAAATCATAATGACAGGATCATTTATTTTTTAAAAATTAATCTGAACTTGGATACCAAATTCAACAAATGAGCTCGGTCAGTCAGGGAACTTTTAAAGTTGATGTTACTTAAAAAAAAAGATACCTCTTTTGCCACTAAGTCCACAATATTAGTGGAAGTAACTAAATTTCTTTCTTTCTTTCTTTTTTTTGGTACTGAGGATCAAACTCAGGACCTTGTGCTTGCGAGGCAGGTGGAAGAACCACTGAACTAAATCCCGGCCCCTAAACTTTTACTCTCACATTAATAAAAACTCCTCAGTTGCATTTGAAGGGAGCTAAAGCAGATAATTTAAGATTTTAAAATCAATTTTGATGAGTACTTTCATCAGGATTGTCTAATTGTAACTATGAATAAAATAGTTGCAAATAATAAAATGAATATTCACATTACTTTTGTGGCACTCATGGGGTCAGTGCACAATTCCAAGATCTTTTCTTTTATATGAAACATTGAAATGTTATCCTAATTTCTCTGTGGTAAAATCCAAGCTCCTGCTAATTAACATGGCCACTGTCAACAATTCTGACAGCAAGGACAGCTGATTACACTCTGATTTACATTACAGTATGTAATCACTTGTCAAGAGCACATGACCTAACTGAATCCATAGCAAGCATTTGCAAAGTATTTTCCAAGTGTTTCTAAGCATTCAATGGGTGCATACCCAAGATAGGAAACACATTTTCTAGTTCTCTCTTTAAAATGTATTATCATTTTTTTTGCGGATAATGAAGGCTGTGTTGAGAATTTAGACTAAAGGAAAGACAATTATGGATGTTTTACACATATATCATTTTGTTTATTAGATAAAGTAGCAGCATAAAAATATATTCTTTTTTTAAAGAACCAAGCATTGCATGTAAGGAATTGACCTTTTGATTTTATTGAGAAGTCATGAGACTCTTTGAAATGGTCTCTTCTAGAATGAATGATTTACCTTAAAACTCCAATAGAACCAAAGACATCTATAGTGTGAAATGGAAGGAAAACAGTCTCTTCTGTCTTTGTTCTTCAGAAAAAAGTCCTAGTATTCTATTATTACTATGATCATCAATACTAGTATTAAAAACTTAGGAAAAGAAAGTACGGTATTTATACACAGTGGAGTACTACTCTGCCATAGAGAAGGATAAACTTGAGTCATAAGTAGGAAGATGGATGCACCCTGAGACCATACTATGAAATAAATCAGACCTACAAGTTTAAATGGCACATGGTTTCTCTTACTTGAGAAACCCAAAATATAAATAAAGAGCAAAACAAAAGACAAATGATAGGAAACAGGGAGCTAGCTCTTTTGCAAAGGGAAGGCGACCAAGAAATGGAGGGAAAGAGGGAGAAGAGAAGGGAATAAAACATGAAGTAAGACGTGTGATGTACTTCTATCAACTCACCACAAGGAATGCAATCATTATGTACTGTGAACATGTACTAATAAAAAATAAAATTGAAAAAAAACTCAAGGAAGAGCAAGTCTTCTAAACATTAAGTTATCCATAAAGTCGCAAGGGGTAAAGTGGCTGAATCATAATTTGAACACAATTCTCTGTGACTGGCGGCTGGGCATTAACACTTCACCCCTAGTCCTATGGCATGCAGCCCTAGGGAATACATAAAAGCAATGGCCAGGCTTCAGTGTGTAACAATAAAATGCTATCAAATGGACCAAAATTAAATGAAACTAATATTTATGTGAGCAACACTTTTTAGTTCATTTGGATGTTAGGTATCTTATCAATCATTTGGTCTTTTAAAGCAAAAAATTTCATAGACAATTTAGCCAATAAAATTCAGTACTTGCACAAAAGAACTTCTGATATAGAAAGAGTTGGTTTCAAATTCTGATTCCACACTGTACCAAGTGAGCCACCTGGGGCATGTGACTTGGATTTTCAAAGCCCAGCGCTTCTACAGTTTCCTCAGTGGATAAAACAATGCCCAGGCCATAGGGTCCTCTTGGATGAAAAATGAAACACCTAAATCCCACAGTGATTAAAACTATTACACAAAAAAGCACCTTAAAACCTTTTGTGGAAAAGAAATATGTATGATAAGTAGTTATCTCACTAGGGGAAGAGGATAGCAGGAAATGTTCATTAAAACATGCTGTGCGGGAGGGCCGAGGATTTAGCTCAGTGGTTCTGCCACCTGCCTTGAAAAGGTAAGGTCTTGAGTTCGATCCCCAGTACCAAAAAAAAGAAATAAAATGCTGTGTGTAAAGGGTGATTAGTAATTTACAAATAATAGTGAAAGTTGCAAAACAGTTTGAAATTAGCAGCTTACTAAACTCTGTAACTTTATGCAGTAGGCAAGATATACTGACATTTTTATCATTAATAACAATTCTCTAAATATCTGCTGAGAAATTCAAAGAGAATTATTAACATCATTGTATTAGAACATTAATCTGGTGCAACAGTCCTGTTAGGTATTTAAATCTGATTGGTTGTTCTTAAATAGCCAGAACAAAGAATGGATTTTGTATAATTAACTACTGAGCTCAGGGTATATCACTTGGTGTGACTAATTCTTAAAATACAAATGCACACTTGTATTTAATATTCAAGGGGTTAATGTAATTACTTAATGTTTTTAACAATGGATTTTCATTACTTTCCAAAATAACTACAAATTAATAAAAGAAACTATCATAATAGATTTCACCTTTTTTCACAAATGGTTCCTGGTCATATTTAGCAAGTCTAGAGAAGAATTTTACTGTAAACCAATTAAACGCTTTTTTTCCAAATGCATGTTGACATATCACTTAGAAAATCAAGTGCAAAGGTAGCAAGACTATGCTTCTAAGAAGCTCCAGTAAAGGTAGTCTCAAGAAATATCTAAGCGTAGAAATTATTGAGTCACTGTCACTAATCAAGTTTTAATGGGCTTATATTTTTAAACTTTATCAATTTATCATTTGGAATTTGTGCTTAAGCAAATGGAAGATCACAGGACTGAGATGCTCTATTACCATTTCTTCTGTGAGAAAAATTGTGCTGCAAATAAATATGGGGGGAATGTTTAACTGTCTGTGATGAAATCAATTGCCTTTATAAAGTATGACACAATAGCTACATATAAATGGAACTTCTGGTTATAGAACAACCTAATTCATTGATGCAGGGATACTGTTCTATGTAGTACAGGATTACCTACAAAATTATCCCCAAACATTGGGTAATCTTTAAAAAGTAAGTGGATACAGAAATTCACAGACAAAATTTTACTCTTCCTGTTACACTTCAGAGGCAGTGAAGCCCAGGGAATGAGCCAGAAAAGGACACACTAGAACTAATCTAAAAGTAGATAGCACCCATATGAACAACAGAGAACTGTTCTAAACTATTCATAATGGGATCTTAGAAGACGTAAAGATAATTTGTAAGTGTTTCAATCCAGTTTCAAAAGTGTAACTGAGTTCCAATCACAGGAGTATGCAATGCAAAAACTTTTTTTTTAAGCAATAAAGGGCAATCATACTGAAAAATCCTTCCAAACCAGGGTGTTTTCAAAACCAAATTCCAAAGAATACAGGTTTGTAGTTGAGATGACTGTGAAAAGCTTATAGCCTAGAACTAACTCATCTAACACACTGGTATCTTTATAGTTAAATTCAAAGTTAAATAATAGCATCAACAAAACTGGTACATGTTCAATGCTCAATCTACAAGTCGTCTGATTTCTCCACCAAAGCACCAGGGACTTACGATGTAGTTTTGCAGAAGCAGCTCCACTGACTCTCGTCTCCCATACTTGATGATCCAAGACTTCAGCTTTGACTCTGCAAGAACCAGCAGCGAGAGCAGGCGGTACTTTAATTCTAGAAATTCCATTTTCCTTAAGTGCAGCGCTGATGTGGAGGAAACAAACTGAAACCTAGAAATAAAACAGAGAGAATTTACAGTACGTAACTAATAGTAACAGAACAATGCTTACTCAACCTGTTACATGTCAGCCTTAAATATCATGCAGCTACAAGGTCCTCTAAACTCTAGCTGATCGCTATCTGGGGATTGGAGTCCTTTTCTAGCCCTGGGTTTAAAGGCAAAGCATTATTGATTGAAGTCTTTGATTTAGTTCTCTCCTCTGCCAACACATCTCTCATCTGTTTCTTTTATAAGCTGTTTTTGCAATATTACATAATGTTCCCTACAGTACTGAATAAAAATACAGCCTATGAAGAAACCATTCCTGTGATTTCCAGGCTGTGGGCACATTCAGGCTCACTCTTTGCAGTTAATAATACATTAGCATGTTAGCATTCTTAGCTTGTCTCATGGAGACCCACTTTTCCTTTACCAAACATAAACATCTCTGAAAAAGACAACTAACAAGTCATTTAAAAGAACAGTAAGGTAAAAAGCATCCACATAGCAGTTAAAAGAGAGGCTTCATGGAAATGCAGACATTATCTTACCTCTCAGCCATGTCCTCTAATTGGTCAGGTGGCACTGGAATCCCGTTAACAGACCTGGTCTGGTAGATTTCATGGAATGCTCTTTTGTGGGCATCTGTGTTTTGAAGCAGATCCTAAGATACAATTTTAAAAAAATAAAAAAATGAGGAAACATGTTCACAGGAGGCTAGGAAGCATAATTTTCAGCCTGCACCGATGAGTCAATGTATTCAACAATTTGATCCTGCTGTCACATTCACATGCAGCCTGGTGCCTATCTCAAGCTTTTACCTTGAGCAGGACATGGTGCTTGTACAGAAGACATGCCGTTAGGCCCGTGTCTAATAATTATGGCATCTTTTAAACACACATGACACTTGCCCAGCAATGCATTCAGTCGTTTTAAAGGTACATGATCCAAAGAAAAATCTAATTATTGCTACAAACAATGATTTCAGTTATTTTTCTCCTAGGTTTTGGCTATATTGGTTTTTAAAAGCTTGAAACTAAGCCTAAGAAATTTAACCCTTTATTGAAAGAGGTATTAATCTCCCTAGCGTTATTTTATTTTAAATGTGGGCAGGCTGTTTTGCTGCCATGCAAAATAAGCCGATTAGATTAAGATATATTTTGAAAATACTCTTTTGCTTAGAAAATTCCCAACAAGTTCAAAGAATTTCCCTTACATAGCACAATAGGAAGACCAAATGTGACGTCTAAAACTAGTCTTGATCAACTGTATAGAGTTCTCCTATTCATTTACTTTGGCTAATTTGAATCTTCTAATGTGTTTTTCACAACCTGTGTACTTACTTATAAAAACAACACACATCTTTTACAATCCCTAGACAGTTTCCCAGAAAGAAGTAGAGGAAGAGTGAAGTAAAATTAGTTAAAATCAATATTGTTTTCTCAAATCAGGATTGGTAGGTAAATCAGACAAAACAGAAGCAAAAACTGCCTAAAATGAAAAGAGACACATCAAAAAAAATTTAAACAGATACTACAAATTAAAATGTTAAGACCTCTACGTATGCATTTGTCCACATAAGGGACATCTTGACCTCAGGCCCAAATTATATTTATCCTGATATGTTTTGCTGTGGCCACACTTTGACTTCTTTAAATTTGTAGGTAACTACTGCACATGTTATTCACAAGTCATTTGAGTTGGATGGAGGGTCTTATGACCAGCCAAGAGCTGACCACAAGAGGACAGAGAGCCAATCTATCCTCAGAACACCTATCCATGGTGAGTATTTTAGTCACTACTTCCTTTGTTACATCCAGGAACATTTCTGTAGCTTACGGTTTAGGGTGAAACTTCCCCAAGTGCCTGCAGGACAAATGTGGCGCCATCATTACAGCCAGCTCTGATTTGTTATACCTGACAGTATTTACTATATAGGCATTAAGCAAAGTCTCTATAAGGTATCAGAACAAAAAAAGCAGGTTCACACACAGATTAAAGAACTTCTACAGCTGTCCACGAAATTACTGTTTCATCAGAGAAGCCCTCTCACTGTAAAACAACAAGATATTGAGCAAGACTCATGTGTCTAATTCACTTTGTTGGATCAGAGGAGGCCAGTAAAAACCTTTGGTCTTCTATTCTTAGTCCCAGAGCTGTATCACAGGCCTGTGGGGAAAAACACACTGAAAACAGCCCAGGTTGTCAGCAAAGAGATGATAAAAGTAAATTCAAGTGCACCATATCAATATTTATAGATAAAAGTGAATGAGGTAGATATTTATTAGTTAAAAGATGGAGATTTTCAGATTTTTGTCAGAAACTAATGAAATGAAATATCTGCTTTTTGTAAAAGACAAATCTAATGACTGAGAAGATGGATAAATAGGAATTAATAGAATGGAAAAGAACACATTAGGTAACATTAACTGAAAGAATGTTAATATAAGTGTACTAATATCAGATGAAACAGATTTCAAAATAGAAATCATTAAAATAATTAATAGCTTAATGATGAAACTTTCAACTTACTAGAAGATATATTAAACCTGAATTTAAGTATACCTAGCAAGCTTCAAAATACATGAAGCAAAAAGTGATGATATGACAGGGAGCAACGGACAAATCCACATCGCTGCAAGAATTATCGCCGTATCCCTCCATGGCTATAGACGGAACAAAAGAAGCAAGCAGGATAGCAGGCTGCCTGGGAAGGAACACGGTGGCTGCCCCCAGCAGCTTTCCTGGAGCTTTTGCCATGTATTTTGAGTAGATGGACTCCCGTGGGGAGTTTTGCGCAGAGCAATGAAATGATCTAAGTGGTAGTTTGTTTATTTTTGTTTTTGAATCCATGCCTCTCTATGTTGTCCACACCAACCTTGAACTCAGTGGTTTGAACCTGTGATCCTTCTGCTTCAGCCTCCCAAGTGCTTGGATTACAGGCAGGTACCCCTTTGCCAGGAATTTTATGAAGATTACCGTGGATATGCTACTGAAAACCTCCTGTCCTCAATTCCCTCGGCTTCTTAGACAATGCCTTGGCAAATTTCCACCTACCTTATTGGTTGGGCCTTTTCAGACTTTTGCTGGTTTATCTTCTACACTGTGATCTCTCAATAGAAGCACAATCCTTTACCCTTTCCTCTTCATTTGTCCACACTACTTTATTTAATTCTCCAGTACTTTATCTTTAAATATGCCTCTCTGTGCCAGTGACTCTGTATTTATCTCCAGCCTATGCTTCCTTCCTGAGCACCTGTGCCTTACCTTCTACTGCCTACTCCACTTGTCAGCTTGGATGAGAAAAACACTCATTGTGCCCCAAACTGAACACCTGATCTTGAAATTTCTTCCATTGTTTCCCCATTTCAGTTGATGGAGATTGCATTTTCTCAGTTGCTCAGCCCCAACATAACAGGGGTATTTATGACTCCTCTTTCTTCACAATCAGTATTTAATGCTGAAAATGCTGTTAGCACTACCTTCAAAATATATTAAGAATCTCAGCACCAAACATCTTAATAGCCATCACCCTGGTTCAAGACACCTTGGCATCCTGGCTTCTACCCCTCATGTTTGTTCTCATATGGAAGCTTGGGAAAACATTTCCTTCTGATAAGAAAATGTAAGGGAGAAGATGGTTAGACATAACATAGACATTTCTCAGATGAAGAAGTAGAAACAGCAAATAAGCATATGAAAAAATGTTCAACATTTCTGGTCATTCAAGAGATCCAATGAAAACAACACTGAGATTCCATCTCACTCCAGAAAGAATGGCTGCTATCAAGAAATCAACCAGTAACAGAGCAGATTAGGAATGCCAAAGTACAAATAGGGAAAATAAGAAAGTACAAAAGACCAGATTAGGAAAATATAGGGAATAAACTATAGGCACAGACAAGATTATGAAAATAAAAAAGAACACATTGAAGAATTTTAAGTTAATAATTTCAAAGAAAATCAGAGGGATAAATTCCAGGAAACTATCAATTAGCAATATTGACAATTAAGTTTTTTTAATTTAAAAAATATTTTTATATATTAGTATACGTTTGTGATACATAATGAATACATTTCATCATGGGGAATTGGTACATATACATATCACACTTTAATCTTTCTTACTTCCCCTTCCTCTCCCTTCCCTCTCCACAGATCCCCATCTCATCTCTATAAAATCTCTCTCCTGTCATCTGTTTTTTATTTTGCTCTTTAAATTGTTTATACTTTGGGTATCGCCTACAAGAGAAACCATGCAATATTTAACCTCTGCGTCTGATTTATTTCATTTAGTATTATGTTCTTAAGGTGCATCCATCTTCTAAAAAGTGAGTCGATTATTCTTATTTATGGTTGAGTAGTATTCATATATATATATATATGTATGCTGATGGACCTATAGGTTGCTTTAAGATTTAGCTATTATAAGTTGTGTTCCTATAAATATTGACCTAATTAAAATTTTGTTTTGCACCGAATAACAGTGAAAAACAATCTTTTTCCATACAGAGTGGACAACATAGTACAGAAAATTCATATGACACAGAGTTAATACAATGACAGTTGAGATGATGATAAATGGTATAAATAAACATAACACAGAAGAGGAAAAATAAGTTTGGGAAAGTTGTAATTGCAAAAGAGGTAACTAGGAAGAGGTTGACTAAGAGGGATTCTTTCAGTGATGGACCAAAGAAGGTGAGGAAGAGGGAAACTGGAGTATCAGTGAGACCAATATCCCAGGGGACGGCAAGGAAAAGGCCTGAGGATGAAACGCTTTTCTATTTGATGTCAACTATCTAGAAAGGTTTTGGTGTCTAATTATTTAAAATTGGAACAGCATCTCATATTCTCTGTGCTTTTTACCATCTAACCTAAATGTATTTATTATGTTTATCTGCAAGACAAATTATGTAAGGGCAAGACAAGTTATTTAAGTTTTGCTTATGGATGTATCACACATATCTAGAACAGTACATTACACATAGCAAGTGCTTGATAAATGTATTTTGAAAATCCAGGAAAGACTAGAAATATATAGATGGAATGCAGAAAGGAAATTAGGAAAACCAAGTGAAGAAAGAATTTCAGTTGCAGGATGCTATGGTTTAAATCTAGAAGGTCCATCCTCCAAATAGCTCATGTGTTCAGAGGTAGAGTTTTTGGGAAGTGATTGGATCATGGGGAAATTTCATTATCAGTGGATTGATCCACTGATAAATTCAGAGCTGAGTGCTGTTACAATTGGGGCCTGCCGCCACCCACACTGATGCGGACCAGCCAGAAGGGGAGGACCCCTGACCACTGGCCAAGCCCACAGCGGCGATCCACTTAGCCTGCAGTACATTCTCCCCAACCCAGCTTCTGGCCTCCTGGCTGTACCACTACCTGTTTACACACTACAAAGACACAGGGGACACCAGACCAGTGTACCTGGTAAGTTGGAGGGATCATCACCTCTCATCAGAACCTGAACTATCTTCAGGGGAAGGGCAGCTGGAACCTGCAATACAACCTTGCAGAGTTCAACCCTACAGGAGAACAGGGAGCTCAACTTGGGACTTGCCACCAGAAATCTGCCTGAATCCCACAGGTCTGCGACGGGCTTGCTGAGACTCACTTACTTATATCTGCACATTGCTGCCCACGTTGTTTATTGTG